CCTAACCCTAACCCTAACCCTAACCCTAACCCTAACCCTAACCCTAACCCTAACCCTAACCCTAACCCTAACCCTAACCCTAACCCTAACCCTAACCCTAACCCTAACCCTAACCCTAACCCTAACCCTAAGGAGTACGCTGTAGCGACGGCGAGGGAGTACGCTGTAGGGACTTAGCGACAGCGAGGGAGTATCCTGTAGCTGTACGCTGTACGCTGTAGGGACTTAGCAGCTCAGCGCGCAAATCTGAGGGCATGGCCCGCCTTGAGGGCATGGCCCGCCTTGAGGGCATGGCCCGACTCCGCATCTGCCGATCGTTTCCACAAGCGGGTTAGCGTCGCCCAAAACGGACGGGCCATGCCATGGGCCTGTCGATGTACTAGTAATAGGTTTGAGTGTTTATGGGCAGAGGAATCAGCAGACACGTTATACTGGTTTCTAATTCTGTAGACAGTGGACTTGTGCTTTCAGGTCCATTCAGCAATGTCACTCAGAGGCTGACCACGGAGCGAATTGCGAAGAACCAGAGCGCGCACCGCATCATGAACTCGTTCACCTACCATATGATGACGCGTCCTGGTCTCCTAGGCCCTTGGTTGTCGAGTATGAAGGGTTTTTGTTTCGACCTTTGCCAGTTTTTTTTTCGGATGCGCATACCCACTCGTGATTCGCATAACTTTAGAACTCGACTATACCCCCAATGTAACTAACTGGTCCTCAGGTAATGACATTCTCGCGAATGAGCTCCGGTTCCGTGCTCTCACGCCGCGGCGCATGTCCCCGGCGTCTGCACATAACATACCATTGTATAAATAAGAGAACCCTGTATATAACGCCAATTACGTCTTCTTTGCTCGACGCAGTCTGTGCTCCTTGTAATCATGTTTATTGGCCGCATCGCTCAATCTTCGCCACGATCCGAATCCCCCGTAGGAAAATCATCCCCCGATTTGTCTCCCTTGGATCCCCCTCTTTCGCCAAAAACATCGGTCCTTCGCTGTTCCCACAACGGCATATTACGTCGAATGCTCTCGATATGCTTCTCACTTATGTCCGCGACGCAGAAAGTTGGCTCCGAGTCCACGTCGTGGCACCGTGCCAAGACGCTTCCCCACGGATCCACAATCATTGCATGTCCATAACTCTGCCTCTTCCCCTCTTTGTCGTGTTTCCCCACCTGCGCCGCTGCGAGTACATAACACTGCGTATCTATCGCCCGCGCACGCAGCAGCGTCTCCCAATGTGCAGCTCCAGTCCGTACCGCGAACGCAGAGGGATATAACAGGCAAGACGCTCCCAAACTTCGTAACCTCAGCGCTAACTCGGGAAACCTCATATCATAGCAGATCGCCATTCCAACTTTCCCGACTGGAGTTTCGAATGGCGGGATGAGCTTCGTACCGGGGACGGTGGAGTTGGATTCCTTGATGATTGGGCCGTTGGGGATGTCGACGTCGTAGAGGTGTAGTTTTCTGTAGATTTGCGTGTGGTCGCCGTCGGGGTAAAGCCAAACATGCGCATTTGACACCCGCTTCGGATCGTCCGTCTTCTCGTGAATACCAACAGAAACATGCACCCCATGTTCCTTAGCCGACTCCTGTAACCCCTGCAAAAGCGTATTCGTCTTCCTCGATTCCACGAGCCGCCGGCCTTCCTCAGCGTTGGAGGCAATGTAATCGCTCGCTTCAGGGAGGCAGACGACTTTTGCGCCTTGGGCTGCGGCGCGGGTGACGATTGTTTTGCAGGCCTCGAGGTTGGCAAGGACATTTGACGTTGCGCAGAACTGGCCGACTGCTGCGAGGACCATAGTTGTAGATGGATCAACTGGAAAGAACGATGTCTGAAGTCGAGGGTTGTTTGGCGGAGAAGAGCTGGGAGGAGCGTGACGTCGGATCCGGCAGGGGTGCGGATTAGAATCCCGCAGCGGGATCGATAAGACAAGGTTGGATAAGACGTCGCGTATGAGTATTTGAATAATGAAAGCGAGCACGGTCATGAAATGGTTATGAATCAATTTTCGATTGCTGGACTACACCCGGGGTATCTACCTACAGCGTACATGTCCAATAACGTCTTCGGGTATTCCTAAGATACACATCCATCATCCTCAAATCCCCCCTATACCCTCTCAATGTACACCGTCTCACCCTTCATATCCTCCATCTTATGCTCCGGCAAGGGGCTCGTACTCAACTCTGCGTCAAGCCCGAGAGCAACTCTCGCCTCATGGGCAGACAAACCCTTCGGCATGCTCCTCTCAACCTTGACCGGATTGCCACCCGCCGCGAAAATGACGTCCATCTCCTCCAAACTCCTGCCCTTAGTCTCGGGGAGGTAGAAGTAGATGACCGGGATGAAGGAAGCGTTGATAATGGCGAAGATGATGTAAGTGTGGTATCCGATGTTGGCGAAGGCGGGGGGGATAATCATCACGACGATGAAACAAAAGATCCAGTTTCCGGCAGAGGCGATGGCGTTAGCCTGGGAACGGACGCGGAGTGGAGCAATTTCGGCGGAGTAGAGGAAGGGTCCACCAACCCAGCAAAGTCCGAAGAAAGTGTTGAAGACAAACAAGAATCCGGCACCGACGAGTTGATTCGTACGAGACCCGGTGGAGAGGAGCGCGGGGATGATGCAGAACGAAGCGGCCATTCCAGCGGCAGTCCACATGAACATACGACGACGACCGAAGTACTCAACGAGGAAGGCGGAGATACAGGAGCAGATTGCATATTCGGTTCCTCCGGCTGCGGCGAGGAGGTGGGACATCTCGGAGGGAAGGCCGAAGGAGTCGGTGATGATTTTGTTGGCGTAGGTGGAGACCATGTTGATGCCGGACAACTGCTGTGCTGACTGGATGAAGAAGCCGAGGGCGACACGACGGAAGGTTTGAGTCTTTCCGCCTTCGAGAAGCTCGCGGTAAGAGAAGGGCTTTTCTCCCTTCTGAGCCTCGAAGGTAGCAACGATCTGGTCGCGCTCTTCGACGACGTCGGGATGGTCAATGGGCTTGTCGACGAGGCGGGAAAGAATCTCGGTAGCCTCCTCAATGTGGCCGTGTTTGATGAGCCAGCGGGGAGACTCGGGGAGGAACATAATGCAGACGAAAACGGTGACAGCGGGGATACACTGAATCGCGACGGGGAGTCTCCAGGCAGCCTGGGAGGGCTGGAGGAAGTAGGCGCCGTAGCCGACCCAGAGGGAACAAGCGACACCGATTGTGCACATAGCTCCCTCAATCATTACGAGCCAACCTCTGTTGTGGGATTTGGAGCACTCTGCTTGCCAAGTGGGGACAGTTGCGACATCGAATCCCATACCGAGACCAGCGACAACTCGTCCCGCAGTAAACAACGCAATGCCGTTCGCACCAGCCTGCATGGCACCACCAATCGCAATGAGCGCCATACCCATCACCACTGTCTTGCGTCTACCCAAACGATCACCGACTTCGAGACATGCGAGCGCACCGACCAGGCATCCCAATTCGAAGGACGCGATGACGATACCGAGGATGTTGGGGTCTTTCATTTCGGGGAGGACGGAGAGGAAGGGTTGTTCGGTGATAATACCGCCCATGACACCCATGTCGTAACCGAATAGCCAGAATGCGGTACCGGCGATGACGGCGATGGCGAAGTTGAGGGCTGTGCCGCGGAGGCCGCGAAGTCCTCGTGCCATTGTATGTTATGTGGTTGTTGTAGTTGGTGTTTGGAAAATGTGGAGTGACGGATCAGGTGAAGCGATCGATGTGTCCTGTCGGGCCGTCCTTGTCGAAGTCAAGACTGAGCGGTGTTGTTGATCCCTCCACAGACTGCGAGGGATGACCCTCTCTTTATAGCCGCCCCCCATCACAGTTGACACCCCCACGCGTTTCGTATCGTAGCGCGACCCCAGACCCCGCGGAATGGCAGGTGTGATGACTTGGTGGTTGTACGCGGGAGGTGTTTCCTTCCTTGGGTGTGTGGGGTGCATATCGGAGGATTTCTCCGCGGCTGGGGAGCACGCTCGAAGGTTAAGCACGATTAACATAGGCGCTTCGACCGGTAGGATACGGACACCGCCAGGAGGGTAAGTTCAGGTGGTCCCCCGGGCTCAATTGCCTGATCTGGCGGACCTCTGATCTGATCAAGGCAGAGCAAGAAGCTCCAGCTCGACGGCATCGCAGCAGCCACAACGACGACCCAGCTGTCAACCGGTTCTCCGGTCCCGGAAAACATGTCTAGTCCACTTCATTCTCACAACTGAGATCCTAATCTCAAAACGGGAGAGATCCTCCCTTTCTCCGGGTCAGCCTACAGCCGGCCGCGGGGGTGCGGTGGCCGGGCGCCTTCGCTGGCGCGCGACTCGGTTGGGGTGAACAGCTAGCTAGCTGCCCATGGGGTAGAAGCACCCGGGATGGATTGCAGATGGAGGTAAAGTGCAGGATATCGAAGTCGCGATTGAAAGTGGTGTTCTAGAACTTGATTTCTCATGGGGATTACTTGCCTTCCTGCGCGTGCAGGGCCTTGGGTGGGCGGACAGCTATGCAGCAGATCCAGATGGGTGTCCCGTGAGCATCTCACAAAGCTCTCAGTGTTTAGACCGCCAGGCTTTCGCTATTTTCGCGGCAATGTCCAACACCTTTCGTTGAAAGCGTAAGACTCCGTGACCTGCCATACATGTGCGGTCTCGCAGATCATCTTCAAATGTCAGCCCTTACAACTCAGAATCTTACTTGACATGTAAGGGAAGGATCCGTCACGATCAGACGGAGTGACCTTCGCCGAAGCCTAGGCCTAACAACTACTATCTGAGCTACGTTTCGAGCCGTTCGCAATCACCTAGGTAGTTAGTTAACTGTACCTACCAGAGCACCTTAGACCAATCTCCGCTTTACAATTACATCTCATCACGATTGCGGGCCCTTCTTGCTTCATGCCGCACCGGTTCCCCACATCCGTGATTCAAGGTTTTCACTAACCCTTCTCAAGTAATACCTTCCGCAGCTTTACAGTTACCGCGGCAAGCAAGGTCCTGTGACTGGTCCTTGTACATCCGCAAGTCTCAATGCGGAAGGCAATCCATCCCGCGGTGGAAAGACGGCCCCGAGCGACACCCAATGCACCCCAGAAAGGCAAACAGAAGGGCCGGGTAGTAAGCTCAAGAGAAGGTAACCAATGGATGTTAAATTGTGATGTACTGTGTCAAGCATTTAAGGAAGCAGGTAAACGGTTGGGGAGTTCAGAAATTTGGCACCGTACGCGTCAAGGGAAGTTTTAGGTGTCATTGCTGTGAGAAAGACGACAAAGATGTCATTTCGCTGGCCACGTCGCAGTGTTTTCTCAACCATGATCGACCAGCTCCTACCAATATACGAACTCATCACCACCCACCACCATACCCACTCGGCTTCCCGGGCGGCGGAGGTGGTGCTCGTGCTCCATAGTGCGAAGCATACCCTCCCGGGGCTGCTCCGTACGCTCCTCCCTGTGGCTGCGGCGGCGGGGGCGGGGGCGCCTGTCCATACCCTCCAGCACCATAACCCTGATAACTCGGCGCCCCAGCACCATATCCAGCCGGCACATACGGACTACTCGACACCTGTGCAGAAATAGCAGGCGACGACTGCACACTCAACCCCGCCAATCTCCTCCTTAATGCCTCCTGATCACTCTCCGGACCTCTCGCCTGCAATCGCTCGAAGATCCTCTTTCCCTCTTGTCTTCGTTCGTCGATGTACACGTCCACGTCGCTCTTAAGTTTAGTTAGGATCTGGTTGAGCTCGGTATAAAACTCCACACCCCGCTTTACGCCCTCACGTACATCCTTGTACGCATCATACGCGTCCCCGAACCGGCGAGTCGACTGGTCCCGTCCCCGACGAAGTCCGTCCCATCGTTTCCGCTGTTTCCGTGCTCCGGAATCTTCGTTCAACACCTTGAACCTCGCAGATATCTCACGAAGTACATCCTCACCTTTCGCGATCGTTGCACTGATTCGTTGAGAGTAAGGTCGGAACTTCTCGAGTTCGTGTCTAAAGACCTCCTTTTCGCCACCAGGGTGTCGTTTGTTCAGAATGAGAACATCGGAGATGTCGTCGCTATGCGCACGCTCCCTTAGATCCTTCAATGTGTTCGTTCGTTCCCTCTTCAAGATCTCCAGCGTACTTAGGAGCTGTTCGATCTCCCCCGCTACCCTCTTAACGTCCATCTTCGGCGTTGGATCACCGAAATCGAGATCAAGCAAGGACTTCTCCTGCGACGGCGTAGGTGTCATTGTCGTGGCCCTAATCGCCGCATCCCCAAAAGCAGCATCCAACGCCGCACCCTCCCCACCCTCCCTCAGGATCTCGAAATCGGCACGATGAACACCCCACAGACTCATCAATCTCCCATCACTCTCCGTAGCCTTCTCGAGACTGTCCTTGTATGACACGAGTTCGCGCCTGCTGTCCTTGGCCTTCGGGTGTGCAGAGGCAGGCGGTTGGGTCCACTTCTCCTGATATCGCGCACGCATGGATTCGCACTCCCTCGCTTCCTCATCGAGTGTCAACTCAATCCCCCTAACCGCCTCCCCAACCTTCGCTTTCAACTTCCTCAGCGTCTCCATCATACCCTCCACCTTCCCATCCTTCTCCATCTCCGCGACTTCCGCAGCCATCCGCCGTACATCTCCAGTGGGTGTCGCCAATTCTTCCAATATCCGCTCCTCCTCGGCAAATTTGTACCCGGCAAGAGTGGCGGGAAGGCCGAGGTACTCGACACCGCTATGGACTTCCTCGTCGGCGACTTCGACACGCTCGGTTTCCGCGCGGAGCATCTTTGCTTTTTCTTCGGAGTACATACTGCTACTCGCGTGCACGCTCAACGGAACCAATTTGTGGAAGATATCCCCTCCGATGATCTTTTGTAGATCCGTGTCTTTGCCATACAGTTCGGTCAGGGGTGTAGACTTTACGGCGCTCATCTTGCCGAGCGGAGGTACTGATTCCTCTTTTGGAACAAGCTGGTGGTAGACAAAGTCGTTGTCCTTTTCGGTACGGGCGTGGAGTTCTGTCACGGTTTGTGTCCAGTTCTTCAGGATTTCGGTAAGGACCGAGGCAGCATCCGCGCCGAGACTTTGACTTGGGCTGTATCCCAAACTTGTTGTTAATCTGAGTGCTTCCTTTCCAGTCGCTTCTGCCACGGCAAGGTGTGCGAGCGCCCGACCAGCCTCGCCGTTATCGCTGTCGACCGTAGCAGCGTAAAAGTGTGCGATAGATGTCATGTACTTTTGCTTCAGCGTGCACAGCCTATGCCACACACCCTCGATGACTCCGCTATTCACGTGTTCCTGTAAATCCTCCAGTGCCTGTGTATAGTAAAACGCCGCCTGCCCAGCCAATTTCGAAACCAATGCCGGTTTTGCTTTACCGCCTGCCAGGGTGTATTCGAGAAAGACCTCCTGTGCTTGCGCGAGCATGATCGTCCGAAGCTTGGTGAGAACTTCGCGAGAGAGGTCGGTAGAGGGTGCGTGAAGAAAGTTCTCATCGACGAAGGCAAAGCAGCCAGCTGCGGACTGGAAGGCGGCGTATGAGCGTTTTGCGCCGTCCGGGTCGGTGCGGTCGATGGTCGAAGCTATGGCAGAGAGCGTCGCGCCAAGATTAAAGAGAAGCGACGCTTTCTCGAATGCGAGTGAAGACTGCGTGGTCAGAGCCCCCGTAAACGCATCATGCCACGGAAACGATATCTTGACCCCCTCCCCGGCTCCATTCTCCGCCGTCGTCGCCACGGGTACCCGGAGCTCCAGTAACTCCAACTGCGCGTAATACTTGTAAATCAAATCTCGTCCCGTATTATTACGTTCTGCGCCGCGGACGGATTGACGGAGGTGGTGGATCATGGAGCATTCTTCGGAGAATGATTGTGGGTCTTGGTGGGTTGAGCGGATGTAGTGTTTGAGCGGGGTGATCCAATCGACTTCGTCTGTGGTCTTGCGGGGGATGCTTATTGTTGGACTTGGTCTCATTGTTGGTTCGAGGTATGAGTGAGAGAGAGATCAATGATGGTGAGGTTTGGTCGTCGGCATCCGTACGCTGCAGTTGGTGCGTCACTGGGGTCGGCAAGACGGCAGGACCACCGTGCACCGCAAAATAACATCTCGAGAGACAGGTTACAACCATTCGGGATGTAGAAGTAGAGACTTTCGGTACCTCCAAACACATAGACTGCATCCGTTCACCTACGCCGGCAAAACTCCCCTCCTAAACCGCCCAGTCTAGATCTACCATGTCCTCCAAAACAATTGAACCCTCACGAAATCCTCAACACAAGTCGTTCGGACTACCTCCCGCATCCCGATTCATAAGCGCCAGCGCCTTAAGAATCAGGGACATCACCCTTCCAGCGGACCATCGTCTGGCATACTCCCCACTCTGTGTTCCCGAGCAGACACATCGATCTCAACCCTTCACAGTCAACCATTCAACCCGACTCCCATCCATCGCCTCCCCAACATTCCAATTAACCCCACTCGCCTCTCACATCCCCCCAAATACAAGTTTACAGTCCAAGGTAATACTCCTTCTGCATCGTCATCCACACCATACTCGAGGTACTCACAACCAAAGGCCCAATCAATCCCTTTCCAAAACCAGCAGTCCCGTAGACCATCCACTCAAGCCCAAAGTGGGCAAAGGCAATGATGTAGGTCCAGTACGTCAACTGGTAGATCTGGGGGTTGGTGAGGTGGTACGCGGCGTAGAGACGGACGATTGCGGAGGTGAGGGTCCAGGTTCCGAAGGTGCGGGAGGCGAGGGGAGTTACTGGAGATGGAACAAGGTTAGTCAATTTTGCCTTTTGGATGAGGGGAGGGAGGGAAGGTACCTTGACCAGGTTTGCGGAGGTAGATCTGCTTGGAGAGTTTGGTGGTTACGAAGTTCTGGATGGTGTTGAAGATTGCCATGGTTGAGACGAAGAGCATCCATTTTGGGAGAAGACCGGGGGTGGTGGGGAGGTATGCAGTAAGGGAATCGATGATTGCAGACATGATTGCAACTGAATTTCTCGAAGGGCGAAAGAGTTCGGGGCTTTGGTTTTCGATTGAATGTTTTGTTCGCGGCTGTCGCTACCGGTACCCGCACAAGCGAATGGTGGGGGGTGCACGTGCTGAACTTGAGCGGGTTATTAACGCTGACGAGCAGAGATAATAGCAGGGAAAACAGAATTGCGGAGAAAATGGTATTCCTCGAGATAGTAATTGGGTCCTTTTTGCTGTTGCCTTCATTGCACGTAGTACGTGCTGTCCCGGATCAGACGAACATCATCCCTTATTCCTCATCATCTACATAGACGTCCACTTTATATCATAACACCATTCCATCTCATTTCCCTGATCATCAAGCAGCCCACATTCCACTGCTCTTCAACGGCTCCAACAAAACAATGTCAACATCGTCATGTGCCCCCTGCAACAACATCTCTCCCTGGAAATCGATGACCTTTCGTCGCTTGGCGGCGCGGAGTGTGCCGTTGAGTGCCTCGACTGTCAACGAGTCAGTAAATCAGAGTTCACAACCAACTGCATCTGACGTTGCTCGACGAGGAACGAAACGTGGGTAGGGATCACGTACAGATATTCGATGCACGCTCATCACGAACCAAAGTGCCGAACTTGACGGGCTTCTCGGGCGCGCCTAGGCGCTGAAGCTCTGTGACGAGGTGCTTGATTTCTTCGTCGATGTTTGTCATTGTGATAGATCGGTTATGGAAATGGTGTTGTGTTGTGGTTGGAAGCGGAGGATGTTGCGTTCCAGCTGGGGCAGCGGAGGGGCTTATCGATGAGGCGGGAGAGGGTGAAGTTGCGTCATTCTCAAGGAGGTCTGTTTACGAAATAAACCCAAGTCAGGAAGGTGACACTGTTTATTTTTCTGGGTGTACCCGCGCGTACTGGCTGAGCGCATTCACCTCTACAGCCTGTCCTGTTGACAACCAACTTTTTCCCACGCGTACGGATCACCGACAGTCAAGCTTCCCAACCTCTCACCAACAAACAACTTCGTCAGGCAGTCAAACGGCAGATATGCTTCTCCAGTTGCCTTCGAACCGAGTCAGGTGCTCAACATTGTAGCTCCAAATGCAATCGCCACGCTGGAACCCCAAACATTCGGATGCCCTCCGCCGGCATGGCGTATTGTATCGGCTATTGTCAGCGGAGATAAATCAGACTCTGGGAGTTTGATATGCCCCGGGCCCCTCAGCGTTGTTTCAGCGTTGGCTACGACCCTCGCAATGCTGACCCATCCACATTTCGCGGTAGGTGACTGAACACGATTTGCACCCACGATTCCCACCAGAGTTTCCGTGACCTGAGCCAAAATATCGATAGCAATATGACAGCTGCGAAGTATACTCGGCGCAAGGTATAGTTCAAGAAGATACAGCCCTTTTTCTGGCGCTTGCGAAATCCGTGGCGTGAGATACTGCAGACCCATGAGCGGTAGTGTGTTAATCATATGAGCGTGCAAAATAAGAGAAAGGGATGTTGTCATAGGCGAAATTCGATGAAGGTTGTGTATGGCAAGTACGATGTCATAGAAGCGTTCTACAGAAAATATTAAGGCCAGAAGGGCTGAAAGCGGGAGATTCCTCACCATAAGGACATGAGGGGGCATATTGGGAAATGACTTCAAGGCCTTGGACGACTTCACAATCATCCTGGTCGTAATCCAGTGTCGCACAAGGAGAGGATGGTCGTCTGTTTGGTAAGGTTCCTGTTGTCTCGACCGAGGACGCCCTGGAGGGAGATGAGACCGCTGTGGACGAGCTCGAGGATCCGGAAGCCACTGAATCCGAAGTAGGAGGTGCACGGCAAGGCTTCGGTCGAAGGAAAGGGATGTGGTGCCTGGAGGACATGGTGAGCAGGGTGTATTAGTATCGATGTTTGGAGAGCACCATCATCGGGACAGCTACCTCTTATACTTAGCTAGACGGAATCGTACTCACGGTTGGACATGGGCCGCGGTTAGGTTCTGTCAGGCGTAGGCGCCGCGGACCGAGGCCATCTCGCTCCTTCATATTGCGGGCCGGGATTCCATATGTCAGCTCAGGGGCTTAGGCGAGGAAATATGACAGGTGCATTCTTAATCTTCTTACACGAAATCGTTCATGTTACGGGATTGGGTGCGGGCCGGTGCATATGTGTCTTGCCCGTTACGAGTTCATCGGGGCGCGGCCGAGTGCGACTGCCAAGCTCAAGATCCATCGGGGGCCTTGTGTCTTGCTCTTATTCATGTTACTGAATGTATTTGGAATGCGCTTCGCTTTGTATCTATGGCTAGGCCTTCCCACCACAGGTCTCAGTGCTTAGCGGTATGGAGCATGCGACCAACCATTCCCCACGAACCATAGAAATATAGCAAAAGCCAGGATAATCCAAGGCTCTACCTAAATCCGCTACCCACATGTGCCGAAGCAGACCACCTTCAGTTCCAGCTAAGGCTGTGACGAACCACTAGGCCGCCTGCCAATCCGACGCACTCAGTCGGCATTGCATTTCCAAGCTTAAATGGAAAATATAACGTGAGGGGACATGCGTTCTCCGAGGGTCGACCGCACGCATCTACCATCCCGTTGATGCACACCGCGAGCAAGACGACAGCTCGTTGATCAAAACTCCTTTCCCACTCCTCATAGCGCACTCACGCCTGCCTCACCATGTCTCCAAGACACCTCAAAACATCCTTCCCACAAGACACGCAACCGCCGTCTCCGTTCTCAAAATCCGAGGTCCCAACCCAACACAGTCAAACCCAGCTTCCGTCAACGCATCGACCTCAGATGGAACCCAGCCACCCTCAGGTCCGATAACGGCGACCACGCCCTCTCCTTCATCCTCTTGAGTCAAGTTATCCCCATCAGAGTTAGCACTCAAGATGTTATACGGACATTCCCTTCCCCCTTCCACGTGCGCAAAGAATCTTCTACCTTGAGGTTTGTCCGTCCACGACCGCACCCACGGCGCAAACCTCTCGACCTTTTCGATGGTCATCTCGACGGTGTCACACGCCTGCTCCAACCCCAGAAGCACTTGTTCCCGTAACCGGGCTGGCTGTGTTTTGGGTGAACCCCAATATGACTTCTCGACGCGCCATGCGGGGATGAGGATGAGGGACTTGACGCCTAGTGACGCAGCGGCGAGTACGACGCGGTCCAAAACTTTCGGACGGGGGAGGGCCAGGACTAGAGTGAATGGCAATTTCTTCGGGGGATTCCTCCAGGCTGCGGAATCATCCCGCGAAGGAAGCCGTAGTTCGACTACTTTGGGTGAGCATGACAATACGGTCGCGGTGCAGATTTTGTCGTTCAGGAGACCGACTTGGATGGTGAAGCCGGGGGAGGGATGGAGGACGGTATGAATGTGATTGCAGCGGCGGGAGTCTATGAGGGTTGCTGTTGTACTGTCTGGCGAGAGATCTTCTGGTAGGAGGAGGATGAGGTTCATTGTGCGGGAGCTCGTAGACTGAGGGTGGAATTCGAGGGTCGAGTTACCGAAAGTGGAGGATGCAGAGTAACGTTGACTGAATGAATTGGTAGAGATGATGTTACATACAGATAAGACGCAAAAACACAATGATCTATTATTCGATATCTAGAAGCAGAATCTTCGAGGATCGCATTCTACGACCACTCTCGGGTTCGTCGGTGATTACGTGTGCAGGTGACGTTCAGATCTCGTACGTCGTCGAACGTACTCTCCGCCGAGACCTCCAAATCGCCGCCATTCAAACCCGCACGACCGACCTCTGCGAAATATTACCCAGGTCATATCCTTCGATATATACATATCCGTCTAGAAAGCAGACTCAATATCTTCAATATGGCCTCTCGTGCCCGCCTCTCAACAGGCTTGAAGCAAGTGCCGCAGCACCTTCGCGCATACGGATCACGACGACTTGCGATTTCCACGGTAAACGCCGGTCAAAGGCCCCTACCTACGTGTTTTGCGTCGGTGCCCGTCGCAAGACGACAATACCATCTCGGTCCGTTCAAGCAGACATTCTTGGTGGCGAAGGATCAGGATGACAAGAAGGGATCAGGAAGGCCGCCAGCGGCAGCTGAGGACAAGGAAGAGAAGCAGAACGAAGATGAAGTGAAGCCAGAGGAAGAACAGAAGCAGAAAGAAGAGGAGTTGAAGCCCGAGGAGTCGAAGGAGGCTAAGGGCGTGCGCACGGTCGGTGCTGCGGGAACGACGGGCGGTGGCAACATTGTCGATTCATCCTCCGCGAACTCACCACCATCGCTCCCGGCGCGACCTACGGTGCCTTCAACTTACCCGCGCCTCCTCGCGCTTCCGATCACCCGTCGTCCTCTCTTCCCTGGTTTCTACAAGGCAGTGGTAATCCGCAACCCGCAAGTCCGCGCCGCCATCAAGGAGCTTTTGGCTCGTGGTCAGCCGTACATCGGTGCTTTCCTCCTCAAGACCGAAGACGACGTAGATGTCATCGAGGACAAAAACAAGGTCTGGGAAACCGGTGTGTTCTGTCAAATCACCAGCGTATTCGAGAACGCCAAGAAAGACGGGGAAAGCGAGACTTTGACGGCTGTGTTGTACCCGCATAGACGAATCAAGATGTTGGGATTGGTCGACAAGAAGGGTGAGGCTGAGGTTGTCGATGAGGGTGTTGTGGTGGATGCTGCTGTTGAGGAGAAGCCTGCGACACCGGAGAACGAAGGCGATGTCATCGCGTCGTTCGAGCCTGAAGTGGAAGTTGAGGCGACGAAGCCTGATGCTGGTGCCGAACCTGCCCGCAAGTTCAACCCAGTCGCGTTCTTGAACTCCGAGGAGTATTCGGGCGTTAGCGTGGTTGACGCAGAGAACGTGTCGGACAAACCGTATGAACGCAGCTCATCCACCATGAAGGCTCTTACCGCAGAGATTATCGGTGTTTTCAAGGAGATTGCCGCGCTGAACCCTCTATTCAAAGAGCAGATCGCATCCTTCTCTATCTCTCAGTCCGCCGGTAATGTTTTCGATGACCCCTCCAAGCTCGCTGACTTTGCCGCCGCGGTAAGTGGTGCAGAAGTCCAGGAACTCCAGAACGTTCTTGAGAGCCTGGTGGTGGAGGACCGACTCCAGAAGGCTCTTGAGGTACTCAAGAAGGAGCTGCTGAGCGCACAGTTGCAGAGTAAGATTTCCAAGGACATTGAGACTAAGATCGCCAAGAGACATAAGGAGCACTTCTTGCGCGAGCAGCTTCAGGGCATCAAGCGCGAGTTGGGTATGGAGAGCGATGGGAAGGATAAGCTTGTTGAGAAGTTCGACGAGAGGGTAAAGAAATTGAACATGCCGGAACACGTCAAGAAGGTGTTCGAGGAGGAATTGAACAAGTTGCAGGGTTTAGAGCCCCAGGGCAGTGAGTTCAACGTTACGCGAAATTACTTGGACTGGTTGACGCAGATCCCATGGGGTCAACGCAGTCCGGAGAACTTCCATGTAGGACACGCCGCAAAGGTGCTCGATGAGGATCATTACGGTCTCAAGGACATCAAAGAACGTATTCTGGAGTTCATCGCGGTCGGTAAACTCAAGGGTACTGTTCAGGGCAAGATTCTTTGCTTCGTCGGACCCCCTGGTGTCGGAAAGACGAGTATTGGCAAGTCCATTGCCAGGGCTTTGGACAGGAGGTTCTTTAGGTTCAGTGTTGGTGGTTTGACGGACGTTGCGGAAATCAAGGGTCACCGACGTACCTACATCGGCGCCATGCCAGGACAGATGATTCAAGCCCTGAAGAATGTCGGCGTGGAGAATCCCTTGGTACTCATCGATGAGATTGATAAGATCGGTCGGGGGCATGGTGACCCGTCCGCTGCCCTTTTGGAACTGCTTGATCCAGAGCAGAACAACTCATTCTTGGACCATTACCTCGACGTTCCGGTCGACTTGAGCAAGGTACTCTTTGTCTGTACGGCTAACTCGTTGGACACCATTCCTGGCCCTCTGTTGGATCGCATGGAGGTGATTGAGCTGAGCGGTTATATCGCACAAGAAAAGCTCAAGATTGCTGAGAAGTACCTTTCTCCTGTTGCGAAGGAAGCTGCCGGCTTGAAGGACGCGAATGTAGACCTTACGCAGGATGCCATCGAAATGCTGATCAAAGCCTACTGCAGGGAGAGCGGTGTCCGCAATTTGAAGAAGCATATTGACAAAGTTTACCGGAAGGCAGCGTACAAGATTGTTCAGGACGTGGGTGAGGAGGAGTTGAGTGAGGAGAAGGCTCTGACGGAGGAGGGCAAAGAAGCAAAGGAAGCTGTTGAGGTCGAGCAGATGCAGGAGGCAGTCAAGAAGGAGGAGGGTGGGAAGACCGAGGAGAGGGATCAACCCTTGACCGAAGCCGCTAAGGAGGACAGCAAGACTAGCGAGCCCCGCAAGCCGATGAAGGTTCCTGATTCTGTCGCCGTCAAGATTGAATCCAGTAATCTGAAGGATTACGTTGGTCCACCGGTATTCACTTCTGATCGCATATTCGAGACAACGCCGGCCGGTGTCGTCATGGGTCTTGGAGTTAGCGGCTTGGGTGGCTCTGCCCTCTACGTGGAATCTATCGCGCAAAATGCTCTTGGTAAGCATTCAAAGCCGGGATTCATGTTAACTGGTCACCTGGGTGACGTGATGAAGGAATCTGCTTCCATTGCGTCTTCCTATACCAAGAGCTTCATTGCCCGCGAATTCCCTCAGAACCGCTTCTTCGAGAAAGCGAGCGTGCACTTGCACTTCCCGGCGGGTTCTATACAGAAGGATGGTCCCAGTGCTGGTATTACGATGGCAACCTCACTGTTATCCCTGGCCTTTGATCACGCGCTTGACCCCACAATCGGCATGACTGGTGAGTTGACCCTGTCTGGGAAGGTGCTTAAAATCGGTGGCTTGAGGGAGAAGGCCATTGCTGCCAAGCGCAGCGGCGTGAAGACCATCATCTTCCCCAGTGACAACAAGGCCGATTGGGAGGAAATGCCCGAACACATCAAGGAGGGTCTTGAGGGTAAACCTGCGGAGTGGTACAAGGATGTCTTTGAGGTGGCCTTCAAGGATCTCGACAAAACGAGAGCGGCTACCCGATGGATCGAGGACTTCAAAAGGGATTTTGGTGGTGACGAGGTTGTAGCGTAAGGTCATGCGTTAAGGAGCGTTGGAGGTACGATACTTGGTTTCTTTTCTTCGCGCATTTTCTTGCTTCATGTCTATATAGGCGTTTGATTTCGTTCAATGGATTAGCATCGGATTATCAATTCCTCTCAATATTAAATTTACCTGGATCATGCCTTTTCAGCCATTGTAAATCAGCCAAAGTTATAAAGGCGGACGTTTGCGTTTACGCATACTTGCGTCACCGGTGTGCTACCCAATGAACGGCGTTGGAGGTCCCCGGAAGAAAGTATATTCGAGGGTTTGAATCACCTAATGGTGAATGGCAGTGAACGTCCGGCCCCCTTGGACGCCCGTTTTTGCCGGTCATTGCTACATGGATCAGAAAACTCCGGATGCGGCTTACGCGCGGCTAGCGCTTCCCTGGCGGGCGGAACTCGAGCCAACCGGATCAGGATCGAGCGCAAGACAGTTCAAACCCAATGTCCAATCAGAACCTTAGTCTAGTCCAAGACCCAAAAACCTAAGCTAACGATGTTACACAATCAAATTGCAACTTGCGCTCCTTCCCAAACTTCCAATCTCAACCGCACACTCCATGCTCCAACAGCATACCAGCACAACAGTGACATGGCTTTACCAGGCTTCCAGGCGGCAAAAAACATCTTTCTCTGATCTTAAGGATTCGATGAGCGAGTGAGACGCCGGAGATTTTGCTTACACGGGGTACCTTTCCTGCAAAGGAACTTCTGGGTGGTCCTCCAGTTGATGATGCTTATCTTGATGCCAGCCCCGAGAAGGGATGTGATTCGAGTTTGATGTTGTTTAGGTATTTTGAATCGTCTGGTAGCAACTCCGAAACATTGATTTTAAGGAGTAGCAAGGGATATGCTGGAGCTTTTGCTATGACCGGAGTTCTGCAAGGAACTTCCGGTTGGTATTCCACTCGTTGATGTTCATCTTGATGCCAGCCCAGAGAAGGGATGTGCCCTTGGTTGCACGGTAGGGGTCGTACCACTCACTACTTGGTACGCTCGACACCTGCAACCTGTTCTGTGATCGTGTTTAGGTCCCGCTAGATATCACCGTCGTTTAGCCAAGGTCTTAAGGACTTAGTGAACAAATGATGCACTGGTGATTTAGCTTACCCGGGGTCCCTGCTAGGGGCCTTCCGGGTGGTCCATCTCGTTAAGGCTTATTTTGCTGCCAGCCCTGAGAAGGGGTGTCGCCTTGGTTGTGTTCGGTTGGGGTTGTATTCGGTACTCGGTAGCCTGGACACCGGATACGTGTACTCGACAAACAGGCTGTGCCCCGAACCCAAGGTTCTGGGGATCTTGCGTAAGTAACGTACTGGTGCGTAAGCTCACCACTAACCAGGGTTTTTTTACAGATGAGCTTCCGGGTGTACTTCGAGCGTGTGGGACTCTGCAGCCCCTAGCTTTGGAGAACAGCGCTGCATTCAAATTTCATACCAAGCAGCCATGGGACTAACCATACTGTGACAGTCCTAAAGCGTATACCTCCACACACTGAGATAGACGGAGCTTAAACGAACATGTTCTGCCTGTGGTTTCTTTGATTCTAACAGTTTTTGAGGTTCGTGGGCCCAGTGAGTGTTTTCGATGCTTTCATGCATGTCCATGCAACATCATGCACCTCCGCCAAAACACTTCACATTGTCATAGCTCTCTGAGAAATGGTGCTACACGCAGTTCGAGGACATCAATCGATTCCTAAACGTCTGGCCTATTGGTTTCCCCCCTGAAACCGCCCTCACAAGCCTTGTCTATGAAAATGGGCGTGTTCAGTAAACCATCCCCGCACAGATCGGCAGTAAAACGCGCGCCGTCAAGAATTTTGCACACAGCAGTGCCCGAACCGCCCAAGCTGTCAATCAACAGTCCCCATTTGACGGTGGCCGATGAAAGAACCACAGATGGCTAAAGTATCCGAACCTCGAGGATTGTCGACATCTGGTGTTCATTTTCGTGTGACTGACTATCAAGTATGGCTGCCGTAGGTGACATGAAGGAGCCCCCCCACAGAGAACTCATTCCTAAGCATCCCCTGGATTCGTTTGGCCCGGTGTGCGTTCAGAGGCTAGCTCGCGCTCAACCGGCTCGGCGTGGAGAAAGGTGCTGGGTGCTGAGGAGATCCGCTTGTTCACTTGTTTTCCCGCATGGAACTCAGGGCTTTACGTTCTGTTTTTTGAAGTGACCTCGAGCGGTCGACCCATGGCATTCTGAAAGCAGCACACACACGCAGGTACCCAATAGTAAGCAGAAGAGACCCAATTTCTTTTACACCAAACTCAGTAGTTCTGCTTCAGCTGCAGGTAAATGTTATGGTATTCACCACGACGTTCGGTGGATTTTTCCCACGGTTCTCCCGCATCCGGCGGCCTACAAATTCGCAGTCGCTATGCTATAAGTACAATGGTCTTCCCTATGGAAGGGAGGGTCAACGGTATGATCAACTACCACGACAAATCCTGCGCCTGATAAAAGGTGACTGCATCCTCCTTCTCACACTCGTATTTGTCGAGCGCTCTCTTGCGTTGAAAGTAGATGGAGCAATCCCTATGTAATCCGTCAGTTCCGCAGCTGGGAAACTTAGAATGGCAAACAGTGAGCACTTACAAATTTGTGCACATCACTTCTTCCAGGCCATCACCCTGACACACCCGACACATGTCGAAAAGCCTTTCCTTCGACACCTCAAGTGCTTTCACAGCCTCCCTCTTGCCCTCACCGATTTTAACAGACTGCCCTTGGTGAGCACAGCACAGCTTCTTCCCACTCTTCGCTTGCTCCCCACACACGACACATCTCGCCAACGTTTTCGCCCCAGATTTCAAGAACGCACTCATCATACCCGTACCCCCAACTTTTGGGACACTCTTGACCTTGACTTTGAAAAGCTCGTCCACCTCTTTCCTCTCCATCAACAACTCCAAGATCCTACTTAACGGATTCCGTACCGTATGCTCCAAGTAATACTCATAATCCACGTTCAAGCCTTCTTTCATCGCCCATTCCGGATCCTCGGCTTTTTCGAAGCCCTTCGCGTTGGCAGGAGCGGCGATGAACACGTAAGGGATCCGCTCGCCGTCTTTGAATGTACGACTCGGATTCCGTTTTCGGATTTTGTCGATGACTGCGATATGCGGTTGTGTTGTTTTGTAGTCAGCTGCTTCGGTACCGAGCCAGAGACCCTGTACGAGTTGTTAGTTCGGAATGCCCAGGATCCCGCTTGAACCCCATACCTTCGTCATGATGAACTTGCCGATATCGAATTCACCGTTTGCTATCCGCTTTATATTGCTGCCACGAATATCAGCTCTCCCCAACATTGGTGCAAGACATGCGAGCTTACCTTCGCACAGACTCCTTCACCTCCTCGATAACGTCATTCCTCCCTCTCTTCTTACTTTGCAACAGTATATTCAATACCTCACCCATGAGATCCGCAATTAAGGGTACCGCATCCCTCCGGTTAGCCTCTAATCCTTTCACTTCAATCCCATTCGCATCCTCGGCCTTTGTCCACGAAAGCCCGGCATACCTCTTTCGATTCACCAACAAAGAAGGGAAAAGGACCTGTACGCACTCGTGAGCCCAATAACTTCGTTTGGTTCAGGAGTGATTACGTTCTCGAACTCCAATTGCACGGGATCATCCCAGACTTCACTAACCTCCCCCGCCATCCTCTTCCCAAACTCCACCGCCTCAGCAACACCCATCCCATACACCTTCACAAAACACGAATCGGTATCACCATACACAACCTCCACCCTCTTCCCTTCCCCCTCAACATTAAACTTACTCTCGATAACACGCTTCGCCTCCTCGAGCAACAACCCACCCGTAACAATCGTCGTCTCAGCAAGCGGGAGACACTGCAACTTACTCTCCTTCGCACCCGTGAAGCCATACATCGCATTCGCCACCACCTTCAAGCTCTTCTGTCGTCCATCGAGGACTGCGCGGACGACGGGGTCTGCGGTGGCGTTCATCATCTCCTTCACTTTCCGCCGCTGCGAGAGGAAATGTCTGAGGATGAGGGGCACGATTCCTTCTTTCACGTGAGGTTTCGCGAAGAAGCAGCGCGTTGGGCCGTAGCCCTGGGTATAATCAGACTCCGGGAGATCAGAAGGTGAGGCGAGAAGTGTAGAATAGCACAGATTCCTCGATATCAGGATCCTGTACGGAACTCGGCATAGGTCAGCTTCTTTCAACAAAATGAATCCTGGAAAACAGTACGATGGATACAAACTCCGAAAATCCAACACGATAACTGGGTTCTCCATATCATATCCAACCCTCGGCATCCAATTGACCGGTCCCTCGGTCATCTGTGAGTCATACCGTTGTCCTGTACGACGATATCAGCCAACGACCACAGCTTTTCGGCTACGTCGCCATACCGCTCGGAACAACGATTCCCCTCGCCCCACAAAACCGGAATAACTGTCCATACAACCGCCTCATCTGTCCCTTCGACACGACATCCTAAATCCCGTCATCAGTTTTCCCATGATACTGAAAGACCGGAAGAGGAGTATGACACTCACATTCAAGTTAATCCCACAAACCCTCGCCATTTCCACGGCACTAACGACAACCTGTCCCTTCCTCATCAACCCAAGCCCAACCCTCGCCTCTCTCGCAATATACCTCTCAAGCCTCTCCCTTCGTCCCTTCCTCCACATCTCACCCAACACCACCTTCCCGAACCTCTCAAGTCTATGACCAAGCATCATCTCCGACGCCTCTTGCAACGAATACGTCCTCATCCTCTCCTCCCTCTCCAGAATCAACCGCAGATCCAATACCCACCGTCCTACGACCCCCAACTCAACTTGTTCCCGGTTACTCGTCCCCACCATTCTCCGCTGACTTCGGACCCAGGATGCACTATACACCTGCCTCGTCTTCGGTTTGAGCTGGATGGAGGATGGACGGGATAGGGTAGCGAAGGAGGGGAGGTTGAAGGCTGTTGCGCGGGTGAGGAGGAGGGAGAGGGTATCGCCGAGGTCGTACCCTGTCAGGATATCGGGATCGTAGGATATGATGAGGTCGTGGAGGCCTGGTACCGAGCCGAAGAGTGTCAGCGGTGGCCAAGAAAAATTATTATGCGTACAAAAAAAAAAGAGACATACCTTGTAACATCTCTCTTTCGCTACTGAACCGGATGACGTTCATGTGACCCTCGTTCGCATCGTCCGTGGCACATGGATCATCTGGTTCTTTGCCAACCTTGATACCCAGTCCCGGCATTTTCAAGTTCTTCATCTCGTTATCGCCGCTTCCGTGGGTGAGTAGCAGGACCTTATCACCTGCACAACCACAGGTACCCCCGTCCTCCTCCGTAACTTGCTCCGTCAATATCACCGTAATAGCAGCCACAAAATCTTCTTCCTCTTCGTCCTCCCCATGATCACTATCTCTCTTCTTCTTCTTCTTCGCCGGGCTTTTCGTCGTAGTCGTCGTCACCTTCGTCTTTCTCGGCGTCGACGGCACCGAAGACGCTGAAGCACCCGAGACCCCAGCCGGGATAAACAACGCACTCAAACACGCACACCTCAACGGCGCAAGATGACTCCACCTCTCCGTCCTCGCTTCCGCATCCTCACTGACACTCGTAGGACTCAACCCCTCCACAGCACCAACCTCACACCCGACAACCACCCCATACCTTCCATACACGCCTCCCACCTTGAGAACTTGATATCGCCCGTTCGGGATACGAACCCAACCAGCCCCGACGACACCCATATCGACCATGACTCTATCCGTGAGCGCTAACCCGTTCTCATAAACCGTTGCGTCATACAACAAGCCCTCCCTCCTCATCTCGCCCAACATACCACGTTCCAACTCCACCACCTCCCCGAGGACCCGAACCGCAGCGTTGGCGGCTGTTGTGGAGGCGAATGACAAACGGAGGAAAGAGGAGTAAAGCTCCGAGTTGGGTCGATAGTGGAGGAGTGGGGTGCGGGATGTTAGGGTTGCGGAGAGAGGAGGGGAGGCGCTAGGAAGGGCAGAGACGAGGCGGGGGATGTCGGAGTTTCTGAAGGTTGGAGATACGGGAAAGAATAGCTATGTAACCCGGAATATTCAGTTCGACCTTCTGGATCGAGTTTTTACGTGCCGGGGTGGGGGGAGGCGGGAGGAGTGGGAAAACGTACGTATGGCTCGACTCCACGCACGAGGACACATATGCTGACACCATCCTCCGCAACCCCGTGTAACCGGATCAACGTTCCATTGCCTGCATCCCATTCTACTCCTGTCAGCGCAGGTTTATCTTTCGATGCATCCTCGCACTCGAGGAGTTGGAAGATCAGCGGATTCTTCGTGGGGTCATAGGAACGGCGTGGACGGCTGTACAGAGACGGATCAAAGGAAGAGGAAGGTGGCATCGAGCGTTTCTGTTGGAGGTACCCAATCAAGCGTGTAAAAGGTCTGATTTCTTCTGTAAGGGAGTTCAGGGGTATCAGCTGTGTGGGGTAGATTAGGTCCGCAGCCCTGACGAGAGGGCGGTCTCTTCCCACATGCCCCGTCTCAATTGACACGTTGACGTCATTTTGAGAGTATCGATACCGCGCGACCCTGACTGGCCAAGTCGCCAAGCAACCACGGCCACGACCACGACCACGACCACGACCACCACCACCACCAACAATGGCCACCAGGAGAAGCAGCGAAACAATCCCCCTCACAGACGGAGACGACGACGAAGACGACGACGAAGACGACCTCGTAGTCCACAGAGGCCATGCCCACGTCCGCGCAACAACTGCCGACCGCGACATCCTCGCCGAAGAGGCAGATCGCGAGGTTCTACTCACCGTCCGTCCTACCTCGCTGTTCGGTCGCCGCAACTCTGTCCTCATCGGGCCGAGTGATAGAAGAAACAGTATGGTAGAGGATGAAGAGGGCGATGATGTCGGTGATTCGTTGTTGGGAGGAGAGAAAGGCGTGAGAGGGAGGAAAGAGCGCGGGTTCTGGTATCAGGTGTTCATGAGGACGTGTGCGACGGGTGTATGCTTGCTTTTATTACTCGTCGTTGCGATCATCATACTCTTTGCGGCGGTGGAGTTGCCGAACAAGATCCCAACGTCCGACAAAACCGAAATCATCGTCACTCCCGGCAACACAACTACCACCGTGAAGCTATCGAACGGGACGCATGAGTTCGTACCAACAGTTCTACTGATCTCACTCGATGGCTTTCGTGCGGATTTTTTGACACCGACATTGACACCTCACCTCTACAACCTCTCCCAATCACTCACCCCCAACTACTTCTCTCCATCCGCCTCCTTTTCTTCAAACGCCTCCAAAGTCGATACCTCCCCCAATGCCCCTGGAGTCGGCATCGACATCGGCGCCGTCAACCCCCCCTACCTCCTCCCTTCCTTCCCCTCCGTAACATTCCCAAACCACTACACCCTCATCACAGGCCTCTACCCCTCCTCCCACGGCATCATCGGGAACGAATTCTGGGACCCCTCCGCCAATGGTGGTAAAGGAGCCGAATTCGTTTATACAGATCCAGAGCGTTCTCATGATAGTTTTTGGTGGGAAGGCGTGGGCGGGATGAAAGGGCGCGTGGAACCCGTGTGGTGTACGTGTAAACGACAGGGCGTGCGGAGTGCGGTTCATATGTGGCCCGGGTCTGAGGCTGTCATCAATGGTTGCTCGCCGGATTACTTGGATCCGTATAGGACTGGTGTTGAGGTTGAGGATAAAGTGGAGAGGGTGTTGGGGTGGTTGGATATGGAGGATGAGGTGAGGCCGGGGTTCATGGGTGTGTATGTCCCTGACGTCGATAGTGCAGGTCATGTCTACGGACCCGAAAGTATCGAGGTCGCGGAGGCGTTGGGGAGGGTTGATGGGATGGTGGGGGGGTTGGTGGCGGGGATTTTGGAGAGGAATTTGAGTGGGGTTGTGGATTTGGTTGTTGTTTCTGATCATGGGATGGCGACATCATCGGGTTCGAGGGTGGTGTTTTTGGATGATTTGGTGGATGTCGGGGGAATTGAGCATATCGACGGGTGGCCGCTGTTTGGGATGTGGCCGAAATCGAATGTTTCCGTGACGGAGATGTACGCCAACATCTCCGCTCAACACACGTCGACGTCGCCTTGGGACGTCTACCTCCGCGGGGACATACCTACGCGGTACCACTTCTCGAGGCACGATAACCCACGTATCGCACCACTCTGGCTCATCCCGCGCCCCGGGTGGGCAATCACCACACACGACCGCTTCGACCCCGAAATCGAGGACTACACCCCCCGAGGAATCCACGGATACGATAACGCGAGTCCGTTGATGCGTGCTCTATTCGTCGGTGTCGGGCCCGGGTTCGGGGAGTGGACGCCGGAGAAGAAAGCCGGGCCGGTTGCGAATGTGGACGTGTATGGGATCGTGACACGATTACTCGGTATCAAACCAAACCCAAACAACGGCACCCTAAACGGACACCTGCGCCCCGCTACCCCCGCGACCCAGAACTACACCTACATCCGTCTCGCCTCCGAATGCGCTCTCGCATCCCTCCGAATCGCAGATGAAGGACTCGAACAGGAGGAAGAAGCACTTCTTGCACAGCTCGAGGAGGATTTATTGGTTGGGGTGCCGACGTGGGAGGAAGAGGTTAGGATTGAGGAGGAGGAGGAGGAGTTGGGGTGGGTTGAGTGGATGAGGGTTGAGGCAGAGGAGGCGAGGGAGTGGGTTAAGGCTGAGGCGGAGGAGATGATGAGGAAGGCGAAGGGAAATATAAAAAAAGAGGAGTAGTAGGAGGTAAATTTCGAATAAAGCGTACGTGACGTCATACCACACCACACCGCCCCGCCCGCTCACTCACGCCGACAACCCCCCCCACCCCCAAACCACCATCAACCCTCAATCACAATGTCAATCCAATCCCTCCTAACAAAACTCACATCCTCCTTTCCCCCACTCTCCTACCTAACAACCTCCTCCCGCTTCCCCACAACACCCCTCACCACCTCCTCTGGCCCCCACGTCGCCCGTATCGCACTGAGAATTGATAGTGAGGTGGGGATGGATGTGTTAACGTATGCGGTGGATATGGGAATGACGTTTTGGGAGGTTGGAGAGGGAGGGTTAGGGAGTGTTGGTGCGTGGTTGGGGGAGGAGGGGGAGGGGAGGGAGAGGAGGGGGGAGCTGTTTTTGGCGGGTACGATCACCACCACCATCAGGTGTTCTGAGTGAGGGATGCTAACGATGGTCGTACAGCCAACATCCCGAACGGCACAGAGGCGGCTGTGGTGGGAGCGTTATTCGATACCCTCAACACATCCTGGCTGGACCTGCTTTACGTTCCCTGTAACGCCGAGCACGTCACCCTACCCACCGATGCGGATGGATTGACGAATGAAGCCTTCACGGGGCGGGTCCGGTATATCGCACTCGAGGCACCCACCGCGGAGGAGTTGCGGTATTTCTCTCCACTCCTCCGATCGCCGCCTGCGGTCCGGATCCGTTCTCGATCGGGTATGGAAAAAGTAGGAGATGAGCAGGCGAAGGACCTGGTTGAGGTAGCCAGGGAGTTGGGTGTGGGGTTAATCGTCGATGATGATGTTGAGGTCGAGACGGGTGGGAGTGAGATGGTTGTGTGGGTTAGGGTGTGTGGGGGGATGAGAGATTTGGAGGAGGTGGTGAGGAGGGTTGAGGAGGAATGAGCAATCCGGTATAGTTTTAGGTTTGGAGGTGAATATCGTGAACCTGAGGGCCGTGCGCGAGCCGGTCACAGGAAATAGAGTACAAGGGTTATGAGACTACGACGGCGTCACTTAGAATACTCCGACTCAGTATTGACGGTATTTCAAGAACGTCCTTTGTATTTGTTCCGAAATTCCGGAGAATTTGCCGCGGGAATGACGGGTATGCACTCCACACCAGCAGCTGCTGTCCGGCGCAAAACAAGCATTGTTAAGCTTTTCCATACTGTAGCTATACCACAACCACCATCAATATACGTTCTCTACGAGGGATCCTTGATCCCGTACTATCTCTCATCAACCACAATGCCATTCCTTCCAGCCCTTTCGCTAGCCCTCCTCGCTCCCACCGCCCTCGCCGCCATCTCAACAACCAACCACATCCTCGAAAATATAACCGAAACAACCTCCTACCAAACCTACGTCGACTGCTACAACCCCACCTCCTCCATCTTCGTCGCAGACGACTGCGCAACCGACATCGCCGCCGACGCATACTACCACGGTACCCTCATCCTAACGCCCGCGCTTAATGCGACGGATGTGGAGGTGTGTGGGGTGGATGTCGATGTTGTTGTTAGTAGGGACGCGGTGTTGAGGCTTGGGCCGACGGGGGGTGAGTATGTCGGGAATCGGAGTTGGTATGATCCCAATGATATTTATTTTGCGTTTAAGTCGAATGGGACCGCGCCCGTGTCTGAAGGGTACTCCAGCGCCGGACACCCCTCTACCACTGATCTGTTTCTACCACCGACAGTGGATCAAATGGTCTATTTGAGGTCGAGTTGGGATGGAGCGATGGCGGGGGAGGAGGTCGAGGCGTATGATTTCTTCGATGATGTGTATTGGAAGAATATTTCTGTCACGTCGGACTATGGGAATCAATCTTTGAGGTTCAACTCGACGCGTCCGGGGCTGATTACGCGATACGGCCAGAACTTCGTCGATTTTACCTACACACCCGACAACTCCACAACCAGTACCGGAACTCCAGTCTGTCCCGCCGTTCTTTCATTCATCCGGCGAATCCAGCATATCCGACAAATGACACTAACCGCCTCCATCGACCCCTCCAGCGCGAACATCACCTTCACCGCCCTCGATATATGTCCCGGGTGTTCCTACGCCTCCCCACTCACCCCCGAACGAACCTCCGACCTCGCCCTCGTCCCGGATGGAACGCTGAATTATACGATGAGGTTCGAGGGACAGCCGTTGCGGGATTTTCCGCTAGGGGCGAGGGTGAACGTGGAGGAGGATGGGAGGGTGATGTTTACGAGGGGGATTTATTATGGGAAGGTGGAGGATGTTGGGGGGGTGGTGAGTACGGTGACGAATACGGAGGTGGCTACTGCTACGAATGTGGTTGTTAGTGGGACGAGTTCGAGTTCTGCGCGGGCTAAAGCGAGTTCTGCGGCTTCAATGGCGTGTAGGACGTACAGTGCAGGCCGGGGGTGGTGTGTGATGGGTGCTGGTATGGCTGCTGTCATCGTAGGGTTTGCGACGTTCATTTGATCTGGCGTTTTTGGTTTATTCCTTTATTTTGGGCATTTTGTTGGTTTCCGCTTTAGTAATCTAAAGTTTATATCTGTGATTCCATAATCCCTACATTTCCACACATCAAAACCTAACCCTAACCTTCTCCCACAACTCCATCATCACTCCCTCACTCCCATACTTTCTGCGTACAGCATCATACCCCTCTCTGTCATACCCACTCCAAAAATATTCTTTGTCGGCATACACGAATGCGTATAACCCTTTTTTCCCACCCATCTCTGTGACTTTGCGTTCGAGTTCGATGTTGAGGTCGACGAGGGGACGGGGAGAACGGGGGATCCCGTAGAGACCGACGTTCATGACCCAACTCCTACCTTGAGCGTCCTCGTTGCGCGGGTTGCTGGAGTCGGAGGCTTTGTGACCTAAACCGAGGACTCGCGGTTCGTGTTCGCCTCGGACTGGACAGAGCCACAAAGGCCATACCCCAATCTCCTCCCTCTCCCACTCCACGAAGTCCTCGAATCTTCCCTCACTATACGGAATGTCGACATCCTGCAACATCGACACATTCTCCCTCTTCTGATCAGACATGAGCAGCGCGACTTTGTACAGCGTGGAGGTCGAGAGGAAGGTGTTGAACAGTGGTAGGAGGAGTCTCGACAGCAGGAGACGGAGGGGTGGGAGGAGGGCGCTAAGGGCGTGGACGGCCCAGAAACCGCCTTTCTGTAAGGCCATGTGTTAGCGAGCCGCGAGATGTGTTTGGGTGGTTTCACGGTGGTTCGGCTTACGTCGTAGCGGAAGAGGTATTCGAGGGTTGGTATCAACTCCTCATGAATCACCTCTCCAAACTGCTCTTTCCTCTTCTCCCTCGTGTCAGATGTTACATATCCCCCATCCCGTTTTGCGATCTGCTCGACGTGACTGAAAAAGAACCCGCGTCCAGGATGATCCTTATATACCCCCATACTCCCACCCACCAATCTCTCCGCCTCCTCCTGCGTCACACATCCACCAAACATACCAATCGTGCCATGTTCGAACGCAATAGCGTCCATAACCGCATCCGAACCCATCCAACTCCTCCCATCCTCCCCCTGCTCACTCGAGAGTGATCCAATCTTGCAATCTGCTTCCCGCCCAAACTCGGAGGGGGTGCGATATCGAACATACCGAACCCTCATCCACGGACTCGCCTTCTCCAACTGAACTTCAGATCCAGCAACCAATGCCACAGTCCCACAGCTGCCCGGTACCGCACTCCATAACTCCCCGTCATCCTTCGCTGTTCTGATTTGGGCATCACCAGCGATGAGCGTGGCGTCAGTAACCGAGGTATCGAACGTCGAATTCCGCCACGAGGAAGACTCGATGCCTAATCCCTGTATCGCGCCCCCAACGGTAATAGATCGGAACTCGGGAACGACGGCGGGTAAGAATCCCTTTTCCAACGTCGCTGTACACAAACCGGCAAAGGTGACCAAGGGCTCCACATGCGCAACTCGGCTTTCCACAGCGATGGATAGTAGAGCGTTCAGATGTGACATTGAAATCCGTTCGGCACCATCTTTATATCCTCTCCCGCGTGCGACATGTCCCTCCCCTTCCTGCCTCCCCATGACCACCTTCCTCCCCGCTTCCCTCGCAACTTCTACACCCCTCCGAACAACCTCGACCTCCTCCTGGTGTTCCCTCAAGGACTTAACACGAGGGGCCGGATCAAGAGAGAGCGTGGGGGTGAGAGCGGGACGGAGGTAGATTGTGTAGAGGGAGCGGAGGAGGAGGAAAGGGGAATTGAAGAGCGCATGTGTTAGGTCACAAGTGATTGACCATGTCAATAACAGCTTTGACCGTAGTTGTGACCAAGAGATGCCCATTGTGAGGGTGGACTGTGTAGGGGCAGGAGAAGGTGCCGGTGGGCTCGAGCGGTCGTGTGGAGGTGAATCTGGGGTGCAGCGGGTTCCCGCGAAGCAGCGGCATACGAGAGATAGCATTTCAAGAATGATCTTCAGATTTCGCTGATTTTGAGTAGTAATATCCTAGATGATCTCGCCGTACCCTCATAGTTTTGCCTCCATCGCATCAGCCGTACCACGGGTACCACCACCACTCTCCACCCCCTCCACCCCCTCCACCCCATCCTTCCCCTTCCCCTCCCCCTGCACCGTATCAACCACCCCCATGCTTCCCTCAACCCCTCCAACCCCTTCCGCAGTCCCTCCTCCCCCTCTCAACCTCCAACCTCTCCAACTCCTTCACATGCTTGTCCCGTTCTACCTTCATTACCTCCAACGTCGTCTTAAGCCGTGCGAGAGCAGTGGACAGAGTTATGTTTTCTTTTGGTGGTGAGTTTCAAAGGTTCACATGTCCAGGCGGCCAAGGGGATAAGGTTTGCCGCCAGCGCCACACTCGAAGCTCGGGAGGAGGAGGCCCGCGAGAGAGCGGGGGAGCCCAAACGACGAATCTCGGAAAATGGACGGCAATGGGGTCATTGACATTGCGATCCGTTTGGCCAGAGCTGACTGCTGATGGTCAAGCGCTAGGGAGCATCGGCTTCAGCCTGCCGAACGCAATCCAGTCCAGATCCCCCCCTGATGATTTAACCGGTGGACCTCTTCTTGATCAGGGTAAACCTACGAGCGGGGAAGTACGTCTACAGTAATGCCGGTCCTCGGTAACGCGCCGTTATGACCGATCACGCGCATCTCAGCGTCTCAGGACATGGGGATCAAGTTCGGATTCATCTTGGATAAATCTGACATTGGTCGCGACAATTGGACAGCTGTTCGGTCGACTTGTGCCAGGTAACGTCAGCGGTACCGTACCCGTGTGGCTGACTGTGACAATTGGCAAGCTCGAGATGTGGTACGATTGCTCAGGACTCTGTCGCACGGCATATCAACTGCAGCCCCAGACGGCTCGGGAATATTATGGCCATGATTGCGGAAGAGGTAGACGTTCTCCCTTGGCCATGCCTTAGGAAGGAAAACAACTTCCGCATTGTTGCTCCTTCTCGCCATATACTGCTGATGGCTCACCACATGCGCAAACTCAGTGACACGCCAAACCCAAGGCTGTTGATCATCGCTCGACCCCCTATCGTGCACCTGCTGGTAGGACCGGTTAAATCATTCACAACTTCGAGATGTACCCCACAACAGACCCCGCCATGGATCGTCTTGGGTAAAGATACGCTCGCTTATGCCTCCGCATCATCGCCAATACAAGCTCGAAGTTAAGGAGTGAGCTGACCTAGCCGACTGCGACCCTATACCCCGCCGGCTAAATCATCCCCCGCGTACGACGTCGTACATCCTCTCGACAAAAATGTCCTGCTGAAGGGTTGATCTGATCCGACTATAAATGGCCGCCATATCGCCTTACGAAGTTGATCCTCACCGCCCTCGACAACCCGGAAGTAGAGCAACATTACCATGCTTCTTCAACTATCCACCCTCACCCTCCTCCTCACCTCCCCCATCCTATCCACCGCATCACCCACCATCAATGCCGACCCGTCCTTCCCCCTGACGACAGGCGCCGGTGGTTGGGAATCAGCATACCAACAAGCCCTCGCCCTCGTCTCACAAATGTCCATCCCCGAAAAAGTCAACCTAACAACCGGTATCGGATCCCTCGGCCGTTGCGAAGGAAATACGGGATCTATTCCGCGTTTGGGAATCCCGGAGTTGTGTTTCCAGGATGGACCAGCAGGGATCCGGCCGACTGATTTCAACTCCGTTTTCCCCGCTGGAATTACCGCTGCCTCGACCTGGGATCGCGAACTCCTCCTCCAACGCGGTCTGGCATTGGGTGCCGAATGGCGCGGAAAAGGAATCAACGTCGCACTCGCCCCAGTCACCGGAGGCCCCCTCGGCCGTAACGCAGCCGGCGGCCGATTCTGGGAAGGCTTCGGCGCAGATCCCTACCTCCACGGCGCGGCAGCCTACGAAACCATCATCGGATGGCAATCAAACGGCGTCATCGCCACCGCGAAACACTGGATCGCTTACGAACAAGAAACATGGCGAAACACTAACTCCGGAGGTCCGGGGGCGGGGTATCCGTTTACGTTGACGAATTTCAATAATACGTATACGCTTTCGAGTAATGTTAGTGATCGGACGATGCATGAACTTTATATGTGGCCGTTTGCGGAGGCGTTGAGGGCCGGGGCTGGGGCGGTGATGTGTTCTTACAATCGTATTAACGGCACGCAGGCTTGTGAGGATCCGTACTCCCTCAATCATCTTCTCAAGACGGAGCTCGACTTCCAAGGGTTCGTGATGTCCGATTGGGGAGCAACATACTCCACCATTCCCGCAGTCTTGGCAGGGGAGGATGTCGAGATGCCTGGAGGAGATCAATGGTTCGGACAAGGTCTCATTGAGTCAGTGAACAATGGCTCGGTGCCTGAGACGAGGTTGAATGACATGGTCACTCGTCTTCTCACGCCCTGGATCTTCTTGGGTCAGAACAACGGATCGTACCCCGAGACCAACTACAACGGCAATACCCTCGAGACCTACAACGCTACGACTGGCGAGGTAATCAACGAGCATGTTAACGTCCAGGACGACCATGCCGTCATCATCAAGAAGGTCGCGGAAGAGGGTACCATCCTCCTCAAGAACACCGATGGCGACCGCGGATTGCCCCTCACCAACGTCAAGAAACTCGCTATGTTCGGTACAGACGCAGGCGCGAATCCCAAGGGTCCGAACTACTGCCAACAATGGATCCCCGGCTCTCAGCTCTGTCCGGTCGGGGCCTCGAACAACGGTACCCAAGCCGTCGGGTGGGGAAGTGGTGCCTCACTCTTCCCGTACCTCGTTGACCCGCTCGCTGCGATCAATGAACGTGCGTCACAGGAGCAGACCTTTGATGTTGAGTGGGTGCTTGAGGATTGGCCGGTTGGTGATAGCTGGGCCACCATTAATGCTACTGCTCACCGTGCTACTCATTGTCTCGTCTTTGTACAGGCGAGGAGTGGAGAGGACAGTGATCGTCAGAACTTTACACTGTGGGATAACGGAGACAATCTCATCAACACAGTCGCTGCAAACTGCCCTAACACCATTGTCGTGGAGCACGTCGTAGGACCCGTCTTGATGGAAGAATGGGTCGAGAACGAGAATGTCACTGCAATTCTCAACGCCCATCTCCCCGGGCAGGAAAGCGGTAACTCCCTGGTCTCAGTCCTCTTCGGCGACGTCAACCCCTCCGGAAAATTGCCGTATACGATTGCTAAGAGTGCAGACGACTACATCCCCATCTTCGGAGAGTATGTGAATGACCCTCAAGTTTACTTCTCCGAAGAACTCCTTCTCGACTACCGCCGCTTCGATGCCTTGAATATCACCCCTCGCTACGAGTTCGGATTCGGATTGTCGTACACCACGTTCTCCTACTCCGACCTCGCCATTTCCGGCTCCGTCTCCTCCGGCCCTGCCGCTACCCCCGGTGAACAAAACGCCCCAGGCGGTTTCCCCTCACTATTCTCCACCGCTCTTAACATTACCGCAACCGTTGCAAACACGGGTGACTGCACCGGTGCTGAAGTCGCCCAGCTCTACCTCGGTTTCCCGGCTTCCGCGAACGAACCTCCTCGTGTCCTCCGCGGCTTCGACAAGATCAGTTTGTGTGCCGGTGAGAGCGGACAAGTTACGTTCCCAGTTACGAAGAAGGATCTCAGTATCTGGGATGTGTATAGCCAGGGCTGGCAGATTGTGCAGGGCACGTACGACGTGTATGTTGGTGCCAGCAGCCGTGATATCAAGTTGGTGTCGAACTTTATCGTTGCTTGAGCGAAGCGAGGGTGAAAGACGGTATGAATGTAAGATTACGTGTTTGGATGTTTGATTAGTGTCATCAGGTAACTTAGGACCAACTGAAATGGTATTCTTACGTCGTTGATGATATATGGGGTATGCCAATAAACTCCTGCCTTAGGCTTCAGCCTACAATCACATTCCACACCTGTCTAAATCGACCCTTCGGTAAGTTCGTTTCTCTATCGCCGACCTCGTCCATAACCTCAATGTTGTCCTCATAAATTTTCCTCCCAGCATCCAAGTCTGCCTCCTCCAAATTCACCCATTTCGTCTTATGCCACCACTTCCAGCCTAAGAAGAGCACCAGAAAAGCCGGCAAGACAACATACGCTACCACAAAATCGGCTGCAACAAATGGTTTGGCTGCCAATGTCGGGTACCCTTGCAGGAAAACAAGAACGACATTAGCGATAAAGCCGATGTAGGCTCCGTACGGATACCACCTTGCTGTGAAATGAAGCTTGATATCTTTGTTCTGGGAAATGATTGCACGCCGAAATCGAATATGACAAAGAGAGATAATCGCCCAGGCAATGAAGGCTGAAACACCAGACATGTTGATGAGGTAACTGTACGCCTTTCCAGCGCCAGCACTCTGCTTCATCAACGATATGAGCCCGAAGAGGTTCGAGAAGATGAGTGCGGGAATCGGTACGCCGCGTTTGTTGATTTTGCTCAGGATCCGAGGTGCTTTTCCATCGCGTGCCATCATGCAGACAACACGAGACGCCGCGTAAAGGGATGAGTTCACAGCCGAGATGATGGTGATTACCAGCACCGCGTTGACAAGGTGCGCACCAGCTGCCCATCCTGCACGTATAAACGCAATCGTGATGGGAGATGCACCAGTCTTCGACTTGGGTGAAAGTAGGTTCTCATCATTGTAAGGTACGAGGATACCCGTGAAGAAGACGAAGCCAACGTAGATGAAGAGGATACGAAAGAAGACTTGTCGGATTGCGCGAGGGATGTTCTTCCGGGGGTCTTTGGATTCACCAGCGGTCAGACCCACCATCTCTGTTCTGTTTCGTACAGTCAGTAAGGTCGTGAGCAAGTCACATCTGAGGGCTTAATCTTACCCAGCATAGTATGTTGCTGCCATAGCAAAAACACTGACTACCCCGCTGAACCCATCAGCAAATGCTCCAGGGTCCTTCCAATAGCGAAAGCCAATGTAGCCCGTATCACCAATGCCGCCCACATTGATGACGACGCCGACGATGAAAAAAAGGAGGATGAAAACAACCTTCAAACTCGCCAACCAGAACTCCGTCTCCCCGTAGGCGTCAACCGACAACTAAGCAAAAGTTAGCGCAGAACCTTATGGACTTGATGCTTTACGTACAAATGAGAAAGCGAGGAAGAACACCCATAAAATGAGGATCCACGCCCATGTAGGAGGCGTATCATTGGTCCAGAAACTTAACACAACCGTTGCCGCCACGTACTCATTCGCGAGAATAGTAACCCACATATACCAATAATTCCATCCAAGTGCGAATCCCATAGCATCATCGCCGAATCGACCAGCCCAGGTCACAAAAGACCCAGTTTCAGGAAATACTGTTGCGAGTTCGCCTAAGGATTGCATGGTGAGGTAGAGGACGGCGCCAATAAGGCAATAGGCGATAAATATGCCACTGGGTCCGCCAGTTGCAAGAGCGGTCCCGGTACCGACGAGAAGGCCGGGCCCAATGATACCGCCAATGGAGATCATCATGAGGTGTCGCGACAACAGCTTTCGTTTGACATCGTGTCCACCAGTCGGCGACGTATTTGATTCCGTCGATCCAGGTGACTTGCTCGATTGCAACTCATATTCACCATTCTTGTCCAATCCGCCCTGGTCCATTGCCTGCGCTTGTTCTGGGTTACCCATCTTTGCAAGTGAACTCGACTCTCCCGGATCAGGAGGTAGACGAGCGTATTTGAAGCTCATCGCGAGAGGATGATGCGGGACGGTCGGCAGAGCACGCAATTGGGGGCGGAGAGCGCGGCCATGGAACAGTAATTGCAATCGGTAGCGCAACCTTAATTTCAGCGAAGCGAGGTTATACATACCGAATGCGAGAATATTCCGATCAGGTGATCCGTTAAATTTGAGGATTATGTCAGCTGCCGCGATTGAAGAGGAGCGCGTTCGTCGAAGATGAGGGAGGTTGACTTTCATTTCAAGATCGGGCGCCGCCGTGCGGGTGATTTCCTTCCGTAACGTGACGTTCGCCGAGCTTCTTGACCCAAATCTGATTCCCAATCTTTGCCTTTACTTCCTTTACTCGAATCGTCTTGCTGGTGTCCTTCCACAAAGCTTGAAGTTCCTCGCCAAACTCCTCCACGAACTGCAACAATTGCTTGACCTTCATCTCCTCGCCGCCCAACCTCCACGCTATACTTACATGAAACCGTGCTGTATCAACCGTGTATAGCGCAGGTTGCTTAAACTGTTTCATCACTGCTTCCAGTGCCCTCAGCACTCCACCAAACTCGGATATGCCCTCATTGACTTCGAGCACGAGAAAGGTGCGGGTTCGTTCATCATTCACAAAGGTAGAGATATTATCCAGCGTCATCTCAAATGGCTCGATATCTGCCAAAACGCGGCTAAGAGCTCGAGTGAAGTCTTCGCGTTCATCGGTCCAAAGCGTAAGTGGGCGCGACAAGGAGATATGGAGGGCAAGTTGATTCCCAAGCTCACTGACCAACAACGAAGTCCACCCCTTATCCAAACTGCCAGCTTTTTTCACAATTCGGTCCAGGATAGACATAAGCTTGACGTCTGGCCAGACTGCAGCGCATACATAGTTAGCATCAACCTTGAGCCTCCCAACACAAGCGGCAATGAACACGTACATTCTGTGTATATATGCGTCGCCCATTGTCCCTCAACATGTCTATGCGCCCGCTTCCGACCTTGATGAAATGCCGGATCGTCTCCCACTCGTGGTTTGGTAGCGTACAGATTGTGGAAAGTCGATGGAAGGGACGGCAGAGTCGACACGGCAGCAGGTTCGACGGCAGGATCACGCTCGTTCGCATCGTCATCTGAGGAAGAATCGTATTGGACAAGGGTGGTCATTGGGACCGTGGCCGAGATATAAGCGACAATTGGACGTCTGTTGAGGATCGTTATCGATACCGATGGGGCTGGAGAGGGGTTAGGGTTTTACGCCGTTTCGAATGTCAGCTCAGCTGCGTTGTGAAGCCAGGCGAGTCTACAAAGAAGTGCATTGATCTTGCTACAGTTCCCTGTAACCGCGGCTGTCTGTGTACAGCTCTTGTTCGTTGGAAGCTCGAGGAAATATTTCCCGGGTTTCAAGTATTAGCGATCACGGGTTCGTGATGATTTTATGAAGAAAACGAATCAAGAAAGCGAATCTTGCTTACGGATCACGATGAAGTCCGGAAACAGTTTCGAGTTTATGGCTTTTTCAAAAAGGTTTAAGAGGATATGCTTGATCCTGATCTCCTCGTTGATGAAATGACTTCAGAGGTCGAGACTCTGCATTACAACACGGGACACTATGGAAGCGATTATGTACCCAGTAACCAACGAAGGATGTCTTCAGGATATGTGTAGCATATGTGTCATATAAATGACTCTGGCGTCCAGGTGCTTTTGGAGCCCTTGGGTTACTGGCCATGGACAGGATCTCCTACATCTTCATGAGTCTCCTGCAGGAGCATATATTCATCATGGATCGGTTGGGCTTATCCTAAGACCCACCATGGCTAGTTGCAGGACGGTAGGCAACGAACTTGAGCGGAGGGTCGAACGGTAGGGTTTCAAGGCGCGGGCTGCCACGATGTTCGGCACGTAAGGACATGTACAAACCGCCCGGATAAGGTATATAAGGTATATTGGGGATAAGTTCACAAAGCCGCCTAGGTAATAACACGTGCACACACCCAATTTCAATGGCGGGTCTGCTTCTTCATGACTTCTTTCTAAACTTCTTCTCGCGCTGATTGTCTTGACGCTTATCAGCTTCATCCCCCAACTCCGAGAGGTTGGGTGGCTTTGGACATCCCATAGATGCCCAGTAATTGATATCTGCGATCTTCCATTCCACATCATCTCTTAACAACCCAAACTCATCGAGATAAGTTTCCTCCTCATTCATCCACGGCGTTTCGAGCGTTACGACAACAGATCGGACGAACGAGATTGGCTCTCCGCTCCCCTGAATCGTGAAACGCCCTACAACTCGGACATCAACACGCGTAATCACGCCATTGTCGGCGCTGACGGTGGCTTCCTTTGCGGAGTCAACGTACGGGTTACGTTCGATCCGGTCCCAGTCCACACGAACGTATGTCCTCCCTTCAACGGGAATATTATCACGATGGTGTGGACACCTCAAGTCGTTATACTCAATGCCTTTCCTTGTGCCAGATCTTGTAGAAATCTTGATGATCTCTGCGTCTTCGAGATGCTCCAGTGCGACAGGAAGACGCACGGCGCCGGCCTTGGGGTCGCCACGGGATATCTTCTGGTATGGTTCCAAACAGCGGTGGAAGTTGCAGGTAACCAAGGGTGCAACGGATTCCAGATTATTGCCGGATAAAACGCCGAGAAAGCTTCTGAGAGCCAGGGCGCCAGCACGAGCCCATTCGTTGTTGAAGTAGTCTGGGGGAAACCGGTTTTCGAGTGATTGACGATATGGAAGAAGGATAAACCATGATATAAAACGTGTCTCAAGTAGGATTTTGAAGGTCGGCCGAAAGGCCCCAACATCCATCGCTACGAATAGTTGCCCAAACGTTGTGTTGAAGGGTGACGGATAAACATCGGCATGGAACAGGTATGGATACTGTCGTAGCCCCTGTTTCAACGATTGGCCACGAGGGAAATCATCATAGAATTGCCAGACGCTTGGGCTAGTGTTAGGCATTTCGGGCCTTTTAGGCCCTTCAGTAACTGGAGGCCAAGGCCCTTTCAACATTCTCAGCCAAGGTAATGGTCTCCCAAATGATACACCTCTCGTGCTCTTTACCGGCAGCTGGTACATCGACGGCAGCCAACAAGCTGGCGAAGAGGTGATGCGCCGATATGGAAGGCCTAAGACGTGCCCCCTAGTCATAATAGAAAACCAACGATTCCGTTAATTGCGATTGCATTTGCAATTGATTCCAGTTGCAGTGGTGGGTGCTACCCGACGTACTAGGCACCTAATGCACGAGTGAGGTCTGCAAATCTGCGCTGTTCTCCGCGCGTCGTGGGAATCAGTGCAAGTCACTGAAAAATGGGGTTTGTCGCACAAATCAAGCTCGAGCTAATCCCCGAGCTAAAGGTCGGAAAGCCACCTTCTCGGAGCCAAAATGCCCTTCACCTGCAACCCCTGCTGCCTGGAAAACGCAAAAAAAAAACATGGAAAACGACTTCCCCTCACACAACATGCATTCCTCATGTTTTCGAGGCATCTTGATCTATACCATTGACCTCGAGATGTTCGTCCATGTACATTTTCCAAGCTCAACACCTAGTCCCTTGTCTGATGCCAAGTTTTTCATGACTCAACAACGTTGCAACCGTCGTGTCAAGCACAGTGCTATAAACATATAAAACGATCAACAAGAGCCCGGTTGATGACAGGAAGCGCAAGCTCGTCATTATAACGTCACTTCGCTTGGACAGCCCTCAACTCCTATAGCGATTGGCCTTGGCAAAGTTGCGCTTTTTCCGAGACTCAAGTCAAGTGATAGCTTTGCCATATTTGGTGAGAAGGGTAGAGCAGAGATTGTCATGTAAGAGAGCGCCATAAGCGCAGACAACATCCGAAATAATTCGAAGTCTGTGCTCGGTAAAAGGGCTTCCCACCTGCTCTGCGTACGTGTCCGAGATTCCTGATATGAGAGCGATTTCTTCCAAACAAGTCACCGCATGCTTCTTTGCGACGACGGGACGCCTTCGCTATGTAGAACATGAACTGCGCGGATACTTCTCGACCCAGGTCAATGTCGTAGTCGTCGAACCAGTTGTCTTCATCAGAGGCAACAGAGTCATCAGACAGGCTCGTGGCCAGCGGTGGTGGAGTCATTCTGGAGACGTCTTGGTCATCCAAACTGGTCGGGTCGACGTCGTCTTTGAAGCTCAGCAAATCGCCGAAACAGTCATCATCGCACGCAGAGCGCTTCATCCTCACCTTCTTTTTTGACTGTTGTTGCTGTTCTTCTCGCTTGCGAACGTCTTCAGCTCAAAGCATGTGCTTATATGCCATCCTGATACCGAATATGTGCCGGCTTGGACGCAGGGCGTCTTGTAGGGTCAACAAGCCTGGTCCTAGGAAAAGAGAACTGGGGCGCCTTGGTGAGCCGTCGTGGGCGACCAGACATTGTTGTCGATGTGGAAGCCCGCTAGGGATTGAATCCTATTTGGATAGGTAGGCGAAAGCTTCAAGAGCTTTGACGAAGTGTTCTGGGTTCTGAATGACCAAACTCGGATGGAACAAAAAGAAGGTAACTGAAATGGATTGAAATACTCCAACTTGCCAGGAAAGGACGACGGATGTTTACATTAAGGCAAGATCACGGACTTGCAATTGATGCGAGCAGGGATGAAGTGAATTAATATCAACAAATCCAGCCAGGCCAAGGTTCGCCTAAGTTACTGTATCGAGTCCTTATGACAATGTGAATGATTTCAAACTAGATAGGCCTGTGTTGATATTTTTTGTTGAGGACAGTTTTCTTTTTCCAGAGGTTGGAGCTCGAAGGTCAGCTCGAGGTCGGTTTGGGCGCAAATTTTGGTCCTTTCGGTGATTTGCACCAGTTTCCGCGACGCGCGGAGAACAGCGCTGATTTGCAGACTTCTCCCGCGCATTGGGTCTTGATCATTCCACAACCCATTTTCTTCATTTCACACCCCAGCGCCAACAAAAAACTCAGGATATCTCGCCAACCGCAAATCGGATCTCGGAGGGTAGAGAGTATATAGACTGATAAAAGTCCCCTGAATCCGTTCCCACCTTCAAATTCGGATTTGAAGGTTCCTGGGAGAAGATACCAACTGTTTCTCACCTCTCAGCCCGGCGCTGCGGCTGGTGTGGCACAGCGCATATATGCATAAATCTGCACATCACATCTCAGCAGTATTTGGCAGAGTACAGCAGCTGGTGGAGTGAAATATGCGAGTTAAAGGTATCAGGATATTCACAAAGTTACTCTCTATCTTTCTATGCTCTTGCCGTATTTCCAAGTTCAATGACTGTTGAGATATCTTTGAAGTTGTGAGTGCGCCGGGGTGTGAAATGAAGATTTAGGGGTGTGGAATGATCAGGACCCCGCGCATTACTGCTGTGTGCAAAATTCTTGACGTAACTTTCCCATGTGCGCGCGAATCGCAAACTCCATATGACAAAAACCCCTAAAATAACATAGATAAAGGCCTCGGAGGCCGAGTAAGGGTTCAAACTGATCATACCTATCCTCAGCAATCACGTCGTGCCACCGGTTTTGGGCCACAAGGCCTCTCTCAGTCGCTTCATGCTGAAAATGTGTTTTTAGTTATATGAAAGAAACACCCCCTGGAAGCCGTGAGGGATGCAGCTCCGGGTCCCATGTGATAGAGGGAGCTTAGACGAACATGTTCTGCGTGCGGTTTCTTTGATTCTAATAGTTTTTGAGGTTTGTGGGTCCAGAGAGTGTTTTCGATGCTTTCATGCATGTTTATGCAATATCATGCACCTATGGCAAAATCCTGCATAATGTCACAACTCTATGAGAAACGGTACTACACGCATTTTGAGGACATCTATCGATTCCTAAGAGTATGATCTATCGACTTTCAGCCTGAAATCGCCCTCCCAAGCCTTGTCTATGAAGATGGGGGGGGGTTCATGAAACTGTCCCCGCGCAGATAGGCTGTAAAATGCGCCGCGTCAAGAATTTTGCACACAGCAGTAGGTGTCATGCAGCTGTCCCGCTGACGTCGAACATATCAGCCTGAAATCTTGAATATAGGAACTCGAGTTCTCTGAGCTGGCGATATCCTCCTTCAACTGAGCAGCTCTTTCGGAGCAGAACTCTACTCGTACCGCGTCGAAACGCTCGACAAATGTTACGTTCCCGGTGATCGAGCATGTTCACGCCGCAAGAAGAGCTGGACTACCAGAATTTTCTTGATGAATTGAAACGGAACAGTGCGCAGGACGAAATCCAAGAGACTCTGCCTTGTGTCCATGACGATGATCGGCATGTCCAGGACGCTGCCTTGGATGCGCTGATGCTGGAAGAAGGCTTGGCGGAGCACGGGGATGATCAAGAAGCCCTCGATTTACTGGAGGAGGCTCGACTAGAGTCCAAGAAGGAGCACTATCTTCCACATCGGATACCATCTCCAATGCGCGAAGTACCCATACGGCACGATTCCTCCATGCCAGACGAGAACGAAACGCGAAGTCTACCGGATTCGCTCTCAACGGGAGACGATGCTCCGTCTCAGAGGGACGCGTCATCTTACATCGCAGGCTCGCCAGCCGCCAGCTCTGTCGGCTCCATCTCTATACCAGCTGCCGCAGCCGCTCGACGTCCCTCTTACCTTCTATCCCCGCTCCGATCCTTTTCTGGTCGTCAAGTACGGCGACTGACGTCTCAGAGCTCTATAACGCAAGGAAGCCCTTTTGGCACGCCCATATCACCAGCTCCCAGTATCAATTTCGCGCACTCGCGGTCATCCTCGTACTCCAGTAACCTCGCCGACTTTGGTGAGGAAGCACCGCCTGCGCCTTGGGAAGTTGTGCGATGGACGAAACTTAAAAAAGTATCCACGCAGATCTTCTCTGATGCGGGGCGGCGAAATTTCGGTGCCGTCAGTACTATGGCTGCTTCTGGGCTCATTGCGGCGGGTACGACGAAGGGACTACTCCTGATCTTCGACTTTCATCAAACCCTCAAGTCGGTCATCGGCGTGAACACCCGTGCGGTAGAAGCGGGTGCTGTAACGTCTGTGGCGATAAGCGCAGACCACACTTTCGTTGCTGCCGGCCACGCAAACGGCGACATTTTCACCTGGGAACTCCGAAAACCAGCAAATCCGGTCCTACACATTCCCGCTCTAAGCGCCGAAACCCTCGCAGACCGCTCCATTGACGGACATGTATGTGGATCAGCTGTACTTCATATAGGATTCCTGGGTACGAGACATAGCGCAATTGTCAGCGCCGATGATACAGGCATGGCCTTCCACCATGCTGGATCACGACACTACATCTCTAACCGCGTCCGCACGACTCGCATCCTCGGACGCTACCCAACCACCATCCGTCCCGGAAAACCCCACAAAGCCAGCACTGTCCTCGCTTTCGGCGTCCTGCCCCTCGGAAGCGCAGATTTCGTGACGGATCTGATGGGTGTGGTGGCGATGCTTACCCCCTACAAGTTGGTTGTGGTCAGCGTGCTTCCTGACGCGAGGACCGAGTTTACTTGTATGAAGCCGAAGAATGGTACGGGGATGGGGATGATTGTGAGTGGTACATTGGCGTGGCATCCCGCCAGTAAGAAGGCTGGAATGGTTAGGGAACCCATGTTGGCGTGTTCTTGGGGGAGTTATGTCATGGTGATTCGGGTGAGCAACAAGCCTCGTCCGGAGGATAACCCGGGCCCGCCGATATTGGAGTTCAATAAGGTAAAGGATTGGTATGGGGAGGAGCCAATTGTTGCGTTGCAGTGGATGAATCATGGGGTCCTTTTGGCGTTGACGGTTACGCAGCGGTTACTCGTGGTTGAAGCGCTGACGGGCAGGTTAGCCGAGAATAATGATCTCCTCACGAAGCAGGTATTGCATGCAGATCGATTCTCGTCGCAGTTGGAGCGTGAGTTCACGACAAGCGAGGAGGATGGGGATGCGCCGGGAGCATTGGTCGCTGACGCGTATTTCGGAAGTTTCCGGGTTTTCAAGCAACGGCTCTTTCTGCTTTGTAATGATAACCTGTCAGTGGGTACGTTATTAACATGGGCAGACCGATTACTGGCATTAGTCGAAGCCGGAGACTTCGTTGAAGCTATCGCATTGACGACTGCATATTACAATGGCGAGACGGAGCAAGTCACGCTCGGACTGCCTGACGAGGAGGCGTCGCGCAAAGCTGTTGTTCAGGAAAAGTCGGTGGAACTGATTAAGTCTTCACTTGGATTTGCGCTGGGTCGACAGGAATCCAGTGCTGAGCCACGTTTACTGTGGACAAAGTTGCTAAGAGATCTTGCTCTTGCGTCTTTCGATGCCTGTCTCGGCATGCAACAGGAGTCTCTTTTATTCGATACCGTTTTCGATTATTATGAGGACGCAGGGCAGGCATCTATCTTCATTGATGTGTTGGAGCCCTATGTTCTCGGCGAAAAAATACGCGATGTGCCGCCCGCTGTTGTGAACGAGATCATAAGGCACTTCACAGAACAGCGCCTTCCGCTGCGGTTAGAGACGTTGATCTGTCACATACAGCCCAACTCACTCGACATTCATCGCATAACGGGTATCTGCAAGCAATATAGCTTGTATGACGCGCTGGTGTATGTCCATACACAGGCGTTAGAGGACTACGTCTCCCCCCTGGTTGAGTTTGTGGGCCTGAGTAATAAGTTCCTGCTGAAATCGCAGAGAAGAACGGAAGCGGTTGATGATGTGTTTACGAATGATGCGCCGGAGGATTTGGGAGCGTTGACGTTGAATGTGGTGAAGGTGTTCCCCTATCTCTCTTACACACTCACTGGACGGACGTATCCTGCTGGCCGGGATATGTCTGATGCATTGGCTGCTAAGGCAAAATCTGTGACTTATGACTTCCTCTTCTCGGGACGCACGTTGAGTCACCCGGATGATAATGGCAAGCTCATACGGACTCTGCGTGAAGGAGAGGCAGAATTGACCTTCCCGTATCTCAGGTTATTTCTTCGACTTGATGCGACGACGTTTTTGCAAGCAATGGAAGAGGCTTTTGAGGACAGTTTCCTCAATGGAAGGGATGACCGGCAAGCAGATGAACAGTCTTTTGGGAAAAACCTTACCCGACAGTTCATTGTCAACATCCTCCTTGAAGTAATGAGCTCTGGGTTTCCCCAAGAAGATGTGGTTGCTCTACATGTGTTCATCGCGCGCAATCTGCCCAAGTACCCACAGTATCTTCTCCTATCTGGCAGCACCATTGCGCAAATCTTGGTCGATTTGTGCAGGGTGCGAGGAGATCCAGAGATGATGGAGGATTGTCAACTGGCTGTGGAACACCTCTTGTCCGTGTATCAGCCTGCGGATAGTGCGCGCATGACTCAGCTCTACGAAGAAGCCGGGTTTTACCGTGTGTTGAAGACTCACTACCGGATCGAAAAGAGGTATGGTAAGTTGTTGGCGACGTACATCAGAGATGAGGATGACGGACCGTCAGTGCTCCCTCTGGTGCATGAATTTTTGAGGAAGAAGAGCGTATTGACTGCTGCGCAACGAAGGGATGTGGAAGCTGTCGTATTGCAGCGCATCCATCACTTAATTCGTCTCGATGGACCTGGTGTGGCACAGCTCATCGAAAGGTTCGCGAAGCACCTGCATGCGGACATCGTCAAAGCCCTAGAAACAGACAAAGGCCAACAGTTTGTATACCTCAGAACTCTCCTAGAGCCAAAGCATCCAGACATCATCCCCGACGAGCACAGCGCATTGGCTAATGGCGACGCCAACAAGCCCAAGGAAGCAGAGTGGCTGAATTCTAATACGAGAATCCTTTACATCCAGCTGCTTTGTGACTACGATCCATCAGCTGTGCGGACTTACCTCAGTACCCTCAGCGATGACGACGCGGACTGGACAGCTGTCATTCAGTTGCTTGAAGACCGTGGAGTAGTGGACGGTGAGGTCTACCTCCTTCGCCGACAGGGCAAATCAAAAGACGCTCTCAAACGAATCATAACGCATCTCAAAACCCAGCAGTCGGAGTTGATGCGGCTTCTCGGTACTGACGGCGACATTAATCCAGGGAGGATTGGCAATACGTTAGCATCGGTGCAGAAGTTTGCTTTTCTTGCCATTGGGCTATGTGAGGAAAATACGAAACCACAGCCGAGGGCTTATTATGCGAGGAAGGCCAACGCTGCCGCAAGTAAGGCTGTTTTGTTGGATGTCGAGAGACTGTGGTTGGATTTGCTGGGAGCTCTATTGGACCTGACACTGCAGTTTCGGCCCTCCTCGCAGATAACGGACAAGGCAGGAGACAACGCGGCCAACGTTCGTGACCGTGCCGCGACTATGATCCGTCATCTCTTCCAACACGCATTCACGAATCTCTTGACCGTCACCGTCAACCCCCCTTCAACTCAACAGGCATCCCTCCCCTCCTTCCCCCGCATCCTCGAAGGATTCCTCACCCAGGCCTCCTCCACCTCCCCAGACCTCTCTTCCCTCCGTGCAATTCTCAACGAAATCTTCTCCGCCTACGTCTACGAACGCCAACTCCTTTCCGTCGTCGACCGTCTCCTCTCAAAAGACGTCTTTGTCGACGTCTACCACGCCCGCCGTATGCGAAAACAAGGCTGGACACCCACGAATGCGATGTGTGAGGCTTGTGGGGTTGGTATGTGGGGTGCGGCTGGGACGAATAATGGGCAGAACGCGGTTGCGGTTGGGATTCTGGATGCGTGGGAGGCGAGGAGGCAGGGGGAGGAGAAGGGGAGGAGGGAGAGGATGGAGAGTGAGAGGGATGTGAAGGAGAGGCTGAGGAGGGGGAGTGGCATTGGGATTGGGATGCCGGATTCGAAACGGGGTGGGTCGATACGGAGTAAAGCGAGTGGGAAAGGTAAAGCGGTCGATGACATGGAAGATGGCGGACCCCTCAACAAAGGCAAAGAACCCACGACGGATAATGGCCCGATCACATCCACCTCTTCCTCCTCCGGCGCATCCATCAACATCACCCGCAAATCTGCCACGGCTGAGGAGTCGGCGCCATTGAGCAACCTGGTCGTCTTTGCATGCGGACATACCTTCCACGAAGACTGTTTGGAGAAATTGCAGGCGGGGAGCGGGCAGGATGGATCGGGATCACCCCGTTCGCGACATGAGTTTGGGCATAGGTGTATTGTGTGTAGGGAGCATGAGATGATGGGATAGCAGTTAGGATTAGTCAAGCATGCGTGGAGTCGGTGTTGGTGTTGGTGTTTTTGAGCATGCATCGTGCATGTAAGGAAGAGTGAGAGATATCATCGGGCATACCAGATACGATCGCGATCAGATCATTCAATTCTACTTAGGACTAGGGAACGAGATAACCAAGATACCCTCCTACCATCCCGTCTTCATCTACCCATGGACGTCGTCTTCCAATACTATGTCGTGAACGTTCCTTCGTCACGACATCACCACCCATACGTCTCAACCCAAACCTCAACCTCCCCCCCCTCCGCCACCAACCCCGCACAAGCCCCCCTCACATTGCGTACCAACCCCGCGGGGCCACAAGTCGCGACGACTAACCCATGGCTACTCGTACTCGTTTCTCCATGGCCGGATCGTTCACCGGTACCGCCTTCCTTGTGGTCGGAGGCGGCGGAAGAGATGTACGCCGCTACGTCCGGTCGGCCGGAAATAACTTGCAATTGAAGTTCGGTTAGCGCTGGGCCGGAATCTGTGTCGAGGAGGGGTGTAGCTTCTGAGCTTGGGTCGTGGGAGGTACAGTGAATCCGCACCTCTAACCATTCTTCCCTTCGGACCTTCCCTCGAATAGCGGCAAGTGCATCCGCGATCCAAGACACGTGTGCACGGTCTTTGACGGCCCAAACGAAGGCCACTTTCTGCACCCCCTCCTGCCCCTCGAGCTCACATCGGCGGTTAGCTAGATCTTCCAGGATAGCAATCGTATACGCAACCCCACTCCCCCCCGCAACCAACACCACCACTCTCACCCCATCCTCCCACTTCTGTAGACAGGGTGCGTGGCCATACGCTCCATCGAGTACGATGTCGACGTTTGCGTTCGAGTCGGCGTGGGCGAGGGCGAGGAGTGCGTGCGTGAATCCCGCGTTTGCCCTTATGAAAAGTTTGAGGGAGTCGGAGTATGGTGCGGAGGCGATTGTAAAGGGGTGTGATTCATGAAACGCCCCGATGCCCTTCACGCTCAAGAACACATGTTGACCTGCATTCCACCACATTCCCCTCCGCCCAGACACGTCCACCTCCAACACAATCATCCTACCGGGCAAGACACGCAAATGACCCTGCCTCACGTGTCGGTGTCGAAGCAACCGAGCAGCGCGGTCAGAGATGAAGATGATGGCTGAGAGGAGAGTGTAGGGGAGTCCGGTGCGGGTGGGTTCGTGAAAGCTGAGGAGAGCGAGGGAGAGGAGGAGGAGGAGGAGGTGGGTTGAGAGGAAGAATTCGTACATCCTGTTTCTCACGTGTCTTTAAACACGCCGAATAAGTTAGCGGAGTGGATAGGAGGGGAAGGGGGGAGAGGTGGGGGAGGTACCGTAGTGATGTCAACCCGATAAGGATATATGACCCAAGCCCAAAAACCCCCGTAAAAATTCGTCGACTCATAAAAACCCTCATAAAGAAGAATTTCCACCCCTCCTCTTTCGTCCGGCACTCCCACACCTGAAACGCAACGAAATGTCCCAACGCGGTCAACACCACCCCCCGCCCGCACCAGCGATGTAGGTAGTTTATCCGTTCGTAGGACCATCCGACGTAATGGGGGAGGAGTGGGAGGTTCTTTGCGGCGAGAAGGTAGAGGAGGGGGAGGTTTATGAGGGAGATTAGGCCGAGGCGGGTGCCGAGGAGGAGGATGTGGCTGGTGGCTCCTGCTCACACAAGTCGTTAGTCAACCCGACCTTGGAAGTAAAAGAAGGAGAGGGTGGACGAACGGTAAAATGAATAGAACACATTGAGAACCAAATACCCCATAACCACACCAACCGCAGCATTATCCCCCAACCCAACGACACCAACCCACGCACTCTGTCGCATCCCCCACACCCTCCACCACCTCGGTCCCCTCACACCCAACCTTTTCCATATGATAGCGAGGAGGAGGATGAGGAGGAGGAGGGGGTTGTATGTCGCAGTGAAGGATTTGGAGAAGTGGAAGAGGTGGAGGAGATGGTCGCGTTCAGATTCGGAGGCGGTTGCGATGACGGCTTTCATTATGACGGAGGATCAACGGGGAGGATGGAGGTGGGTTTAACTTTCTTCCTCATCAGATCTGGGTTATCGGGATGGCTGCAGCGACCTGCGTTCGGTCGGAAGATCCGGCGCGAGATCATCTGATTACAGTCGAGTTCAAAAATTTCGTCGATTCCTCGCGTATGCCCACTACTCCACCAAGTCGTAAAATGCCTGGAAACACCAACCCCCATTGTACTCCCTACAACACTTGATAAGGCCTGAAATTCAACATGGGTAAACAGAGGGACACACCCAATCAGCTGCGCGCACTTTTAGTACTCAACAACAAGGTTAGGAGGACACCTCATGATACTGCTACTTTTGCCCATGTCCAGCCAAGCACAGTATATCGAGTCAATAAGCGCTACAAAGACACCGGGAGCCACGGAGCACTCGCTCGCAGCCGACCCCCTGGCAATATCACTCCAATCGTACATCGAGTATGTCATCCGGGCCGGGTACTATTTTTACCGTGACATGTTAATACTGCTACCATCCAGCGACTTCAGGAGTTATACAAAGATGCAGTCTATGCTTACTACGAGGAGATTGCCGACATGCTAAACGAAGAATCTGCAGCGGTCGAGCTTTAACTTACACGGCTCGACGGTCTCGATGGTGCAAAGCAAACCAGTATACCCGCAAGTTGCTAGCAGTTAAGGCAAAACAAAGTAACCCTATCTTTGGTGCGCACCATCAGCTGTCGACTATGCACGACACACCAGATCAGCTTATCTTTCTCGACGAGTCGGCAGTGGATGAACGTAGCGGCTACCGCAAATATGGATATGCTCCCGCTGGACATTGAGCTGAAGCCCAGATTCACCTAGGTCACTCTTAGAAGTGGTCTGTACTTCCTGCTATGACGCAGAATGGATACGAAGCATATGAGATTTATCATGGTTCATACAATGCAGACTTGTTTGTACGGTTCCTCGAAACAAGGGTCCTCAAGCTCGTACGCCCTTACCCTGCACCAAATAACGTCATTGTCATGGATATCCATTATGATCCCAGGGTTGCCGAAATCATCCATTCAGCTGGATGTCGACTAGTCTGCCCACTACCACCCTACTCACCGGATTTCAACCCTATCGAGAACAGCTTCTCGACGCTTAAGGCATGGTTTAGGAAGCACCATACCAATGAGAATGCTACCATGAGCATACCTCTCTTCATTCACCATGGAATCCACAAAGCACTTACTTCGTAAAAGGCTAAGGCATGGATTAAGACCTGCGGATACAGGAGCATCTTCGCAAGCTGTGAGGAGCAGGGCGATGTAGCAATAGCAGCGTACAGCCAAACGAAAAAGTCATGCGAATCGCGCGCAAATCAGCGAAGCACCACCACCAAAGGGCGCGGGTAGACATAAAACTTAACAAATCTCTCCATTTACGAAGTCAGAGCTGCAGGTCAAGAGGTCATAAGATTTGCAAGGGCGATCTATGTCTTATTGTAGCCCAAGCTGCACGCGCCATATGCTGTGAGGCAAGATTTCCCGCCTTTCGCTTGCACCGTATCTACGTTACAAAGACATGTGCATGACATCGCATGATGCGTAACACTGGATAGACGTGCAGCAAACGATGCAGGCGGAGATGTGAGGGTATGAGCAGAAGTCCAACGTCATTCTACAGCTGTCCTGATTGAAACCTGCTCCTAAAACTCCTTGGCCATGGAGTTTGGACGGGTTTTGTGATCTCCCGTTCTCGTCGAATGTGCGGGGGTGCATTCAGCTTTGCGCGCAATTCGCATGACTTTCGCGTTTGGCTGTAGGAGACGGTTTTTTACAGCAGTATCGAGTCAGTTTTACATCCTTAGCTACATAAGTAGGTTGTGGAATCTCCCACTCAAACCTCCAAGTCCTCGCAAGTTTTACTAGTAAACTGGCTGTGAAGATGGCATTTTGGGAAGCATTCAGGGCAGAATATGCAAGGCATTCATTCTTACAGGGATGTCAGGGACGGGCATCGTGACTTCTGAAAGAATAACAACGCTCATCGTAGCTGATTGAAACTGATACTCAAATGCTGACACAAGTCGGGCGGAGTCTATCCAGTGAAGAGCACCCAGACCCAAATGACGTAACACTGACGTAGGGTGACATAAGACTGAATGACGTGATCACTAGTAAGACCAGGCCCAAACCAAAGACTGACACACAAGACGTGACAAGGTGGTCGAGAGCGGTTTGTATGCGGAACTCAACAAGTGACGACTTGGTTGCAGGATACTTGAAGTGGCGTAGACGAACGAGACACCCAAGAGGTCAAGGAACCTACAAGAGCTGGTGAGGTAGTAAGGTCTTGGTTTTCCTCAAAGACTCTGGTTGCTAACTAAAGAACTAAGTTGGGGGGAGAGAACTCGCCCTTATATAGTTGTTAGGCTATGCAGATGTGCGTAGCGCTAACCTATGCAGATAAGCGCAAGCCATGCTGGTTCACCACCATGAGGCCATCAAGCCACGGCGCATCAGACCAGAAGTACGTAAGACTAAAACATTAGCTTAGACATAACCTTAAGACGTAATCATAGGACATATACATGAACGTGCATAGACGTTGCATGATCACAATGGAGTGTGGGAAACCGGAGGTCATGAAGCCATTCACGACAAGGGTGAATGTGCGGACGTCAAGTTGATACCTACATCTCGACAAAAGACCTACAACAAGAACCTACTCTGGGTCAAGTTGAAACTAAGACTTCAAGTAGGGTGAGACTGGGATGAAGAAAAGACCACCCCGAAACCGCGGCTGATCATGCAACCCGGCAAAACTGAACGGACACTTGGCTAGAAACCTTTGTACTTGACCTAAGGCCATCACGTCCATGATTGCGTCAACTGCCGAGTGATTTTCTGTTCAATTCTATGGTACTGTTGCTAAAAGACAGATCCAACAGCAGGATGAGGGTATCATCGCAAGCTGAAAGTCCTCTGTGTATTTAGCCTGTGCTTACTGCAGTTGATCAACCCATGGCCAGTCGACCCCGCCGGCACGCCACTGCATGCGCAGGTGCGACGTGAGGGGTGGGATCAGTATTCATATTTTCCAGCAAATCGATGAACCTGCAAGAACGACGTACACGAGGAAGTACGGACGAGGTAGCAGTCGGATGGTTTAGATGAACAAAAAGCTTGTTCGTGTGATGATAGTCGATAGAAGTGAGAAGGCATGTCGGTCTGATGTCATACATAGACGAACACCCACCCAATCTCCACCGACCTCCCCTCTTTATCCTTGGCGTCACTTCTCCCATTGTCTTCGCCATAAATAAGGACGATCTCGTCCTTCTCCTCGATCGCGCGTTCCTTCCTATTTCCAATCAAGTCCCCATTTACCCACGATCCATTCAAACTAGAATCTATCAATCTGACCTTTCCAGTCCCCAAGTCCCGTCGCAGCCGACAATGATGAGAGGATATCCTGATATCGCCAGCGATATCTTTTCTGCCGATCTGTAGTTCGTCTTCTATGAGAGCGAAAGAAGGACATGATGTCGGGTTGAGGGAGAGTAGTCGAGCCCATGGCTTGCGCGGTGCTGGAATTGAGGCGGCGGAGCTCAGGGAGGAACGTGTTCGTTTAGGCGGTGATTTGATCTTCGTGGTGTCATCATCGTCGACGTCGCACACGGCACGTTTTAAGGGACTGATCCTTGACTCACGCATCCGTTGCGTAGCTTCCTCGACGTCTTCCCCTTCCTTCACACAACCTTCGTCGCGAACCGCATCGTCATGCAACAACAGTAGCCGGAATCCCACCATCTCATCCCGATCCCGAAACAAAACTAAACCATCACCACCCTCCAAACCCATCGTCTTACCCTTCGTCAGCTTTCCTTTCCCCTGAATTGAACATCCATTAACACTCAAATCCCGCACAAACACATCCCACCTCCCACTTTCACTGTTCACCCGCCATATCACACAATGCCGTTTGCTCAGCCGTACGTCCGGGATAATGACGTCGCACAATTCCGGATTTCGTCCTATTACGATTTGGGATTGGGTGATCGGGATGGAGTCGTGTGGTAAGGAAGTGGGGAGGGGATGGAGGATCGCCCAAGGTACGGCGTTTTCTTTCGTTGATCCTTCTCGCGGAATTGTCGGCGATTTACTGAGCGAACGAGGCGGGTCCATATCCATGTAGCTGAGCATCGGCACACTCGGCCTCGGTGCCAGGTTGGTGTTCGTGAGCGAATGTAAAGCAGCCGATTTTGCGACCATCGTACTTGCCGGCGTTGGCGGCGATACCTCACCCCCAGCTCGTGTATCCGATGCAATCGATGCTTGCGACGCCAACACAATAAAGCTCTCTGGGCCATCCGAAGCAACCGACTTAGCAGCCACAGTCGTGCCGCGCGAAGGCGGTGAAGGTGAGGGTGTAGCCCGTGGTGGTTCCGGTACAGGCGATCTCCGCGATGCCAACAAATCATCAAACTCGCTGCGATAAGATACCAAACTGTCCTCCGGCAAAGGTGGCGTGGCTAGTCGTTTCCCTTCTAGTCTGCTGATATACGATATATCGGCCTTCACTCGACTTAATTCTCGTACTTGTTCCTCGGGTTTTGCGAAGAAACCCGACGCTATCTCCGTTTTCACCCTTTCAATGCCAGGTCTCGACGATGGCCGAGATGCAGACTCGTCTTTGATCGGCGGATGTGTTACCGTTCCACCCAACCAAGGGTGATTCAACGCCTCACTTAATGTCATCCTCTCCTTCACATCCACCCGTAGCAAACCTTTCAGAAACGCAATCGCGTCATCCCCAACATGGTATCCATCCAGATCGCCCCAGGCTATCCGTCCGTTGAGGATCTTATCTGACACTTCGGCATGCGTAGTTCCCATGAAAGGCGGCGTCCCTGTGAGGATGACCCAAACGACACATCCCACAGACCAGAGATCCACCGCGGGCGTATAACTCGACGATCCAGCAACCACTTCGGGGGCAAGGTAGGATAAGGTGCCGCAGAATGTTTGTAGGAATGTGGCTTGAGTGGCGGCTGTCGGACTAATCGCTTTCGCAAGTCCGAAGTCTGTGATTTTGGCAGTCGGTTCCTCGTGAGCATAATCGTCACGAAGAAGAATGTTCTCCGGTTTCAGATCTCGGTGAGTAATGCCGAGACTGTGAAGGTATTGTACGCCTTCCAAGATTTGCTTCACAATGATCCTTGTCCATGTGTCATCCGAGGTGAAGGGTCCTTGTTCAGAAACTAACTCCCCCAGATCTCCCCCAGGCACCAATTCCATGACTAACCAGATTGTAGATTGATCCTCGAAGTAATCAACATACTCCACGACACTGGGATGTTCAAGTTGGCGTAAAATCTCGACTTCTCTTCGAAAGAGAACGCTTGCTTGAGGGAGTGCCGCGAACCTCTTCTTGCGTATGACCTTGACTGCTACGGACTGCCCCGTACTCCTCGAAACGGCTCGATGGACTGTTGCGAACGATCCCTTCCCCAGTACCTCCGCGAGAGTATACTTCGAATCGAAACCTTTTAACGCCTCCTTTCCCGCCGGTCGCGCAAGACGCACAATAAACCTGATTTCGTCCTCTTTCACACCATGTCCCAAAGATATCTCATCACCCTGCGCGAGCACGCATCTATTCCCCTTCCCGAGCCGCTTCAAGTTCACGAAAGTCCCATTCGTCGATAAGTCCTCGATCAAGACTATCGGGACTGATGCATTCGTTGCCTGCGACGGCGCCTGTATGTTCCTCGGTGCTTCAATGATCCGAAAATGAATACCGCTATACCGTGACCCTTGTAAGACAAGTTCGCATGAATGGTGTCTTCCTGCACGCCATCCCGGGATTGAACCAGCAACTCCGCGAGTGATAGTCTGATTCGGTATATCCTTCGAGGATGCAGCGCAAATGAGCGTCAAGATTTCGTAGTTAGGGCCGTGATCGGTAGCGGATCCGTTGGTGATGCTCGACGGCAGTTGCGTCTCTGTTTGTGTCTGTAACTGAGTAGCTGGTAATGAAGACATGAAGCGAATGCAAAATCGTTTATCTTTTGACGGCCTTCCACTAAAAGTCGTGTCGAGGAACAGTGTGCTTGACCTCTTGAGCTGGCCGGCAGCTGGAGCGCCAATGACTGATTGCAAAGAACCGCTTCGAGCGAGGGACGAAGAGCGAAATCGACGATGATCTTAGGATTCCTGACAAGATTTACTCAAGAGATCCATACGGCCGAGCGTCCTGATAGCCGTCGTCCAGCATGTAGCCTGTACGTCGACCGGCAGATTCCGAAATAGGCAGAATCAAAACAGTGTCGTCGACGACCGTTGCTCGCATTCAGCACCCGGCCGCAGCCGTGTGGAGCAAAAGAATTATTTGAGGACTTGTATATCCATTAACCTAGTCTAAATATCCTAAATAGATTACAAAAACCTCTTTTACGTTTCCCCTTATTAATTTACAAAGGTTTCATGGCTCGCTCCCACGCAGGTAGTCGAACTGTCCTACTGCTCTGTGCAACATTCTTGACGTGCATCATTTTGCCGTGTCTTCGTGCAGGACACGACCATCCCACCGAACAAGCCGCCAAAGCTTGAAAATGCCTCCTAGGAAGCTGAAAGGAGCTGCTAAGGCTTCCCATCAGCGCAGGGCATCAGCTGGTACCCCCAAGCCGCCCTCCCGTCTCCTCGAGGATGCAGCCTCACCACCACCTACAAGTACAGTCCGGAGGGAAAAAAGGCCTAAGAGAGTAATCGAACTTGAAGACGAAGACGCACCGGTTGATACTATCAGCAGGTTCGGCGACTTCCAGGTCTTCATTCTCGTCACTAGGGAAAAGAACCACGAGTACCCTCAAGCACCCTGGACGGTCAATCCATTCAGGTCTTCGGCCGATTAAGAACAGCTTTTGGTCTATCTCGTGCTCGAGGATCTCCGTCATGATCAAATGGTGGTGGAAGGTGTCAACAAATACTCCCTGAAGCCCAACATCAACTGGAAAGTCTGCCGCCGAAGGAGCCATGATGCATCATGGTGTAGACTACGAACGGAGGGCGACTGGGAAGCCTTCATTGATGCCGTCCACGCTGCGCGAAACACACCCAAGGTCGAATGGTCAGCTTTCATCCTCATTGATACACACTACGACCCTACAAGGGTTGCTTCTCAACTCGAGTTCGACCAGCAAACCGCCGTGTACGCCTCTCAGACTCAGCTCAAGGCTCGAAAGCCTCTCATCCCTCAACCTAGGCACAGTGCTACCAACAGTGCTCTCCAGGGCATTTTGAATGAACTTGCGAATGATCCTCAACGCTACAATAGAATCCTTGCTGTTCAGACCCTGCAGGCTAAGCACCCCTAGCAGTACTGCTATGTTCATCCCTTTTCTGGTCAGCATTGATACATCACCAATGATCTCCTCAATCTATGGTCTAAGTACTTGGTGGCGAAAGAACCTGGAGTTATTGTCGAGGATCAGCCCTCCGATCCGCTCTTTACTGGGTTGCTTGAACCATTGAAATCGACAGATGAATCCGAAACACCTGAAAGCAGGCACTCTTCGTCCGGTGTCCCTCAACTACCTGCTTAGACAATTGACCCGCAAAAGCTCAGAGGCTCGAGCCCTCTTCAAAGGCCGGTTGCTGATGATTTGGACGGGTTTCTAGCCTATGTCAAGACCAAGGTTCCAGACTACATCGACTTTGATTGTCAGATGGTTTGAGATGCAATCATCGACTAGTGCTCAGCAATCTCAAGAACATCGAGCCGAATGGCCTACTGCCTAGAATGGGTGAGGATCATGCGCAAGTGGTGGCCGGTTTGGAAAGGTATCCAGCGGGAGCAGCAATCGAGGCCTCAATCCCTAAGCCTCGAGCAGACACTATGGTGGTAAGAAAACAATGCGGCACCCATGTTGATTCACTAAGAGTTCAGCAACCCTTGAATCGTGATGAATCCGACAGTTCTCAGGCACAATGACACTGTTTGGACTAGGGAATAGACCAACAATTGGTAGCAGATCCTCTTCGATGAATTTGACGAATTGTTCAGCATTGAAGGACCCCTGAAAGATGCATAGCGCCTTCAAACCTTCAGACGTCTGTGCCGGCAGCACACTCCTACGTGCCGAACGTCCAAAGACCCTCTCCTGGATGGTGCAGGTGCCGGTTGGTGAGTACCAACAGTTTTCGTGAACCCTCCTCTCATCCATGGCCGATTCATCAAGAAATACCAGCTGTTTTTGGGTGTAGTCAGCCATTTCAATGGCATGGTTTGCAGGTGTCATGGTAGCGCGATAGAGATGTGGCGAATTGATCCTTGGGAAACTCAGAACAGTCGTCTTGATAGAGGGTAGGGTTTTTGTAGTACAAGTACTTGATCTGCTGCGGTCATTTAGTGATTGTCATACGTGTATGGACATCTCGTTTAGCAGAGTTAGATTAGTTGGCATATGGTTTGATTACTGCGCATGAGTTTGATAAGCTGGTGTGACACCTCGTCTTACTTAGATTGCACGAGTCATTTAGTTATGGCACGGCACCGGCGTCATGACTCATCATGACGTACACTTGGACGTACATTTGGACGTACATGGAAAACTATATAAGCCAGGCCTTATGCCACCTTAAGATACTCATCCAATACAACCTTCTCTTTGAGTATATCACAGTTTCTGAGATCCTCTCATAGAGATTTACCCCAGCCAGTGGTACGTCTGACAGTGATGCCCTTAGTGGTACCCGTAAGCATACGAATAGAGTTATTCGAGTTAGTGGGATATTCTGGGCACAATCTGGATTGTTAATTCGTCTTGAAGGCAGAATTTTTTATACGATTTACCAACACTACACTGTTATACTATTCTACCTCATGACTGCACACTGCATAGACGCGACGTTCATTGGTCCCATCTATCACAGGTCATCAATCTAGGCCCATTGAGATTAATATCGTTGAAACTTAAATAAGATCCGAAAATTTCAGAAGCCCAACCATGCCTCAAGTCCCACTGTCAACACACATGTGCATACCATGACGCTTCCTCTCATCTCTCCTTTGTCCACTCAGTCGAAACAAGTTCATCGTCTTCATTATCATCGTCAACGTCAAACTCCGTATCATCTTGAGAACTGTGATTGGACGTGTATCGATTTGATGCTCCTGAAGTGCGCAAGATCTTCTTTCCAGGCTGTTTCCTACCACGAACCTTCATTGCCATTGGGTCAGGGCAAGTTAGTAAAAACCGATGAGAAGTCGCTTTACTGTTGCTGTCAACAAAGTGCGGGACTCACCCGAATAAGAGGAGACATCAAGCAAGAGTGTCGAGATTAAACAACCATCATGTTAACCCTTCAGCAACGGCGATCATGTGCCCAGTTTGGGTTGAGACGATACAAGCCATAGCATCGGGAGAACAGATGGGAGAGGACCAGGGAGGTGTAGGATTCGCTGCTTTTGTCAGTCAGTCGCGAGACACCCAGGGAGATTGAGACGTTGATGGTGGTGGGTTCCTGTTTGTGCTGAGGACTTGGTGAAATTTGCCAGCGCATCAGCGCACCAGCGCTTGTGCTCACATGTCACTCTCGAGAGGCGCAGGCCGAAGAACCGCCACCAAAGACCATTGATCCTCGAAGACCCTCGCCCATTGATCCTCAATCTCTTTTTTATTGATGTGAGATATCTTATTCTCCTGGAACGAATATCATTCCAGGTCAAATAAGGTATTTGTGTACCATGAATTGGAATTCCACTCTACTTGAATACTTTCTCACTTTATTCGTGTTTTTCATACAATCGAATGACTTATTCGAGTGCTTTTGCTGAAAGTGGAATATGTTATTCCATATTTGTGCAATCACGAATTAGGTCTTCGTGACAGTCGAATTCAGGGGGCTCGTGGGGCCTGACAGCTTCCAAGTTCTGAACCATGCTTGTGATTTTCCCCAAGAAATACGACACGAAATCATCAAGCACTTGGCCGTTGTTATGGCCGCATACTCCCACCGGTAGCACTCTCGCACTGTTGCGCATCGCCTACGCTCCACGTCCACTCAAGTTCATGGACGACATAATCTATAATTCGGTACAGATTGCCAGGAAACGCCGTTCGCAGCTCAGGAAGGCACGTATTCTCCGTCGACAGCAGCCGGCGCTCGGGAATAGTCATAGTGCAAATTGATAGCAAATTTGAATCTCCCTCTTAAACCTCGTTTCAATCCAGGTTCCCACGACGATCTCCCATATCAGCACGTGTCCCTAGCCAATCGACGCACACTGCACCCCAGACTCGCACGTCACCCAACCCGCCAGTCAAAGACAACACCAAGAAGACCCCCTCTATACGCCGAGACGAAGGTCAATTATACAATTACAATGTCAGACGATACACGAGTCTACCTCTACACCTCTCTCGCTGGTGGCTCCACCCAGGTCCGTGCTCCACGTTGTCGAACGGGTGGTTGGGTGAGGTGAAACTGACGGAGAGTGGAACGTAGCTCACGACAGCGACGACCCGAATCGCGTCCATCCTCGACTCTCATAAGATAGCATACACCGCCGTCGACCTCGCAACAGGCGACGAAATCCACAAACGGATCTGGCAGCGGAAAACAAGCGGTATGTTTCCGCGCTCTTCAGACTTGCAGGATAGATGCTAACGGAGGTATTTGTGTCTTATAGGCAAGAAGTTACCAGGCGTCGTAGTATGGACGAAAACGATCGAAGGAATTCAGGGCGAGGGAAGGGGTGAGGTGGAGGGTATGGACGTACATGTATGCCTCACAACCGAGGAATTGGAGGATGCGAACGAGGGTGGGCCGGCTGAGATCAAGAGTGAGCTTGGGTTGAATGCTTAAAGAAGAAGATTGTGAAGGAGCAGGTGTATGCTATGGATACTATCGAGCCTACGGAACGGCTTCGCTGACGGCCGGTAGACGCTGACGCTGGACCGTCACTTCTCTGAGATGAAAAAGAGAGAAAGAAGATGCCGCGTTGGGGTTATTAACTGTCTAAGCAAAGCCCATAAACTATCAATTGGTATACTGGTATAAGATTGAAAAGAGATCGGTTCCTTCCTCCTCTGTGCAGTCACTAAATACTCCATACATCCATCCATAACATCACCTTGACCACACATGTCGCTCTCGCATTGCTCACCTAACGGCTCGCGCAAAGCTCACCCCATTGCTGCCTCAATCTTCTTCCCCTTGACACTCTTCCACTCAACCCCACACGCAACCAACGTCGCCACAGCCCCCGTCGCAACACTAACATAATAAGCCCTATCCAACGCCCCGACATACGCCCCAAACACCTCCCTCAACAACATCGGATCACTAACCACACTTCTCAAATTCGTCGCGCCGGCCGCAATGATCGTCGCTGCGTCCACTGTTTCCCCCGAGGCGGTGGGCGGGATGGCGAGGAGTGAGGAAAGAAGGTCATTCGTGAAGATCGTTTGCGCGACGGAGACGAAAAGCGCTCCACCCAACGTCTGAAAGAAAATCACGATCGCGGTTCCGGAGGGGACGTCTTGCATTGGTAGTACAGCCTGAACCGCGATGACGGGAAGCTGCAAACAAGCACCAATGCCTGCCCCCGCGATGATCTGGAACCCGATCCACCTCCCTGTCGCCATCTCGACCTTGAATGTCGAGATTAGGCCGGATCCGACGGCGAAGAGGGCGGCGCCGATGATCATGAAGGGGGTGTAGTATCCCAAGACTGTGGTGCCGATACCGGAGACGAGGGATGCGACGACGACGGCGAGGATGAGTGGGAGGGTTTGGATCCCGGATTTTGTTGCGGAGGAGGATTTGACGGCTTGAAAGTAGATCGGGACTGCACACCACCGTTCATCATTAGCATTGGTCCGGGGACAAGGAGGAGGAAGAACCGGGGGGGGGAGTGACATACCGTAATAAACCAACACAAAAAACCCAGCCCCAACAAAAAACACAAACCACGCCGAAAAAAACACCGTCCGCTGCCTCATAATTCCCAACGGAATCGTCGCTCTCTCACCCAACTTCCACTGCACACCCACGAAAACGACCAACAACACCGTAAAGACAACCAACAACGCGATGATTCGACCACTTGACCACGCGTATGTCGTCCCACCCCATTGGAGGGCGAGGAGGAGACAGATAACGCAGGGGAGGAGGACGGACATACCGATGAAATCGATTTCGGCGAGTTTTTCGCGGAGGGTGTGAGTGCTCGTCTCTCGATGCGGCGGCTTGAAGAAGAACAAGAGACCGAGTACCGTCACCGCGCCGATAGGAAGATTGATGTAGAAACACCATCTCCAGGACAAGTGGTCAGTGAATACACCACCAAGCAACGGCCCCGCAATCGACGCAATCCCATACATAGCCCCAATACACCCCCCAAATGCAGCTCTTCTCTCCAACGGTACAGTATACGCAATAATCGTCAACGCACCACTAAACAACCCAGAACTCCCCAATCCAGCAATTGCGCGACCGATGATTAGGGTGGTTGAATTGGGCGCGATAGCGCAGATCAGGGATCCGAGTTCGAAGATGGAGATACAGATTAGGAAGGTCCATTTTAGGGAGAATTGGGTGTAGATCTTTCCGAAGGAGGGTTGGAAGGAGCAGGCTGTTAGCAGATAGCTCGATGCGTACTATGGTCATTTTATCAACGTCAGCCCTTGATCTTTGATGAGGCGAGGGCGAGAGGGGGGGAAGGAGGAGGCACGTACCCACCCAACATCATCCAAACTCTTAAACCTCTCCGTAATCCTCGGAATAGCAGTCGCGATAATCGTATTATCAAGTGCCACAAGAAACACGGCTAAACACAAACTGAGCATGATTAACGCCAGTTTCGCGCCATGGGGGTATTCAGAGTCCGGGAGGTCTGTTGTTCCGGCGTTGGTGGTCACCGGCTCGAGGGGGAGGTTGGGGGGTGCGATGGAGGTTGAGGCGAGGGTTTCGGCAGTTTTTATTTGGGTGAGCGTCACTGATTTCTCGTGAGGGTGATCCTTCTCGTCCATGACGATTGAGGCAGACATGGTTGTTTGCAGGCCGAGCGATCGAAGGACTTTTTATGTTTGCGCTATGTGAATTAAGCTTCGGAGCTTTGGTGGGACGTGGGGAAGTTGGCGCGAGCTTCCTCGGCACTACGGTGCTGCCGGGAAGCCAAAGGGATGGGGATACGAGCGATGCAGCTGGCGAGATCGATAGCTCATAGGGCAGGTCGGATCATAAGACAGAAGAGACTCTAACAATCGGCTTCCCAATCGGACCGCCTGCATCTCATCTCGTCTCGCTCTCGATCTTCCTAGTGCGGTTGAACTGCCAAGGTGCAAAATTCTTGACACAGCGCGCGTCGTAGGTGCATCTGCGCGGAATCAGACCAATCCATCAAAATGCCTGCTAAACGAAAGCTGGCTACGGAAAACGATTCATCGGAACGCAGTTGACAGAGGCAGTGCTCGAGGAGTCATGGGATGATCGAGACCTGCCTGGGGGTAATTTACCTTACGCGATTTCACCGCGAAAATGCAATGGAAGGTACTCCGCGGAAAGCGTCAAGACCGTGATGCTCCGTGGAACCGACTACGCCGTGAACTCGACTGGAAAACCTTCGTCGAAGCTGTCAATGTGAGGCGCTGATCACCTAAGCCCGAATGGATCGAAGCTGGATTCGAGGGTGACCCGGCTAAGTACGACAAGCTTGCTGCGCTACAAGCACTTCAAGCCCGCTGGATGTGCTCAAAGCATCACCAAAAGCATCTGCAACATTCACCCTCTCAGCAGAGTCCATCGCCGTGTCAACTACATGCAGCAAGACCGCCGGGCGATTGCTGTTGTCGAACCTGGTTCTACGGCCACCATCGAACGGCCCTCCCATTTCAGCCTCGGTCTTCAAGGACTTTCACAAAGCATTTCAGCGAGCGGATATACCAGATAGCACACCTGATTCCAGCCCCAGCTCAGCAGGGTATCCAATGCTGCCTACTCTGCTGTCTGCTGACATGCGGCATCCATTTAGTCAAGGCACCCCAGCCCCTAACAACCTCATGAGAGACTCCAGCCCTGTAGACGATCTGGACGGATTCCTGGAGTTTGATAGTTGCCTCATTGAATATAGGACTTTTTTGTATCAAGTTTTCGCTTCATTCTAGCTTGTGGTTGTTGAGTTGTGTCAAGAACAATATTGATAGCTTATAGGGCAGGAAGGATGGACCGTGGGAAAATGGAGAGGACATGAGCATAACGAGAAGTGCATGACACAATTCTTGAAGGTTATAGCCACCCCTACTTACATCTTCCGCCAACAATAGTCCTCCATGCGCTGGCTAACTCCATACCTCTGCGTCCTCCAATACCTCCTCTTCACCTTCAGCCTCCTACACGCCTCCTCGAAACACTCCTCAAGCTCCTTCTTCCCTCTTCCCTTCACCTTACCAATTAACCGCTCATACGACCGTATAGCTCGATCCAATCCCATCCCCATCCAGAACACCGCTCGTAGAAGTCCGAGGCCATCGATGACCGCATTCCTAGCTTCGATATTGATATGGATAACCTCTTTCGAAGTAGGTGAATCGACCGGGATTGGGGGCCGGAATCCCTCGATAAAAGAGGGTGAACGGAAATATACGTCAACGGTGCGTACGACAAGCTCCTCCTTCCTCACCTCCTCACCCGCGTTCCCAAATTTCCTCAAGTTCTTCCTTGTCAACCGATCCGTCAAATCCATCTCCAACCTCGCCTCTCCCGTCCTCACATCCCAACCCTTCCACTTCTCGCCCCCATCCGCACTTGTACATGTATCGACACGATCCGTCCTAACACCCCCACACCTGAACCTAAATCTCCCACGATTGGTCAATACATACACCCCACACTCCGCCAATAACACACCCACGAGATGGTGATCGACATATTGCCGCCATTGGAAGCATACGGCGCGGCAGGTGTGGATTAGGGTTGTTGGGTCGATGGCGGCGAGGTAGTGGAGGATTTGGTGGTGGAGTTCGGTGGGGAGGGAGGGGATCATTGTGTAGAGGATGGTTTCGAGGAAGGGTGGAGGAGAGGCATGAGGGTTTTTGGGTGGAAGGGTCAAGGTTCGGGTATATGAAAGGTGCGTGCAGGTGAGGTGCAGCGGGGTCCAGTCGGGCCGAGTTTTCGCACGGTATGCGCGAGTTGGAAGGAGATTGTGATACAGTGGTTTGGAGAATGGATTAAACAAGATGAGCCAATCATGTCTGTTGAACAGCCTTCGGTATCCTCTCGTTCGCTCATTCAAGCTTGTGGTGAACACCCCGGACGATGTGACGATGCCATCATGCGGAGAAGATAGACGACATCGAAAGAACAGGTAGTAAAATCTGGACTATACTTAACCAAGTCCGGATCGAGTATCAGGAAGAAATGCTTTTTTATGAATGACTATCCGAAAACAAGATATTAGATTAAACAAAGAAGCAAAATGCAACTGTGAATACCATCCTCATCCTACTCTTCACGCCCTCTTTTTCTACGTCCATAACCACCTACAAGATTCCAAACACCTTCTTCAACTGCACAATCAAAGCCCACTCCTCCTTTGACACGGAATCTCTGAACGCGGGATCCTTGAGGACATCAATACTCTTTCTTGAGATCTGAGAGTAAAGCGGGTCCTTATCCGAGACCTGACGACCAATGAGGGGCTGGTTCTGTCCCTCGATCTTGACGGCGACACCACCACCAGCCTGACCCTTCTTCACGACATCGACGGACTTGTGGTTGGACTCGATGGAGGTGACGTTACCAAGGGAGATAACCTCGCCATCCTTGATGGTACAGATGGGAGTACCCACGCGCAAGGCACCCTCGACGACATCACATCCCAACAAGATAGGGTCTTTACGGGCAAAGACAGCAACGGTCCTCAACACGCAAGGGTACACAGCGATCGCCGCACCCTCCACCCTCTTCTGCTCGAGCATCTTAGTCTGGTACTCAGTGAACTGGTCGAACAAGTGGTAAATAATGTCCGCAGTGAAGATCTTGACACCGGCTTCGTCAGCGAGGTGTTGAGCATCCTTGTCGACCTTGACATCGAAACAGAGCAAAACTGCGAACTCCTTGTTCTTCTCCAGCATCGCACCGGCACGCATGACATCCTTCTTGTAGACAGGACCGATGTTGATACCAGAGACGGGAATTTTAGAGGTACGCAAGAACTCCAACAACGCCTCAAGTGCACCAAGAGTAGACGCCTGCACGCAGACACCGCGGTCAGTAGTGTCAATACGAGACAACATATCCTGCAAATCCTCCATGACAGCATCCTTCAACTCCTCCTCATCATCGTCAGGTCCACACACAAACAACCTAGAACCAGCAATCGCCTTATCCAAATCGTTCGCAGAAATCTTGACTCCCATGGCAGCCTTGATAGACTTGTGGTGCACGTACGCGGACTTGACACGTAACTCCTTCATCGGCTGGGGTGTCAACAACGCACGGATGTGCGTCACGATGGGTCCATTGATACCACACACAACGATCTTATCACCCTCATGCAAGACACCATTGACCAAGACGACATCAATCGTCGTTCCCAATCCCTCGATCATCTTGACTTCAAGCACAGTACACTCGAGCTCAGAGACGAACATGAGACGCCCAGTCATCCTCTCCTGCGTCAACTTACACAACAAGAACAAGAGATCGGGAATACCCTCTCCCGTGTGCGCGGAAGTAGGAACCAACGAGACATACTTGGCCATATTCTTGTTCTTGGAGAAGAGCTGGGAGTTGAGACCCTGCTCCGCGAACGCCAACTGCGTCTTCTCCAAGCGATCCTGGAACTCCCTCTGGACAGTCTTCTTCTGCTTCGCCAAGGATGCCTCGAAGCCGCCGTTGGGAGTAGGGTCCCAGCCGTAAAGACGGTCGATCTTGTTGAGAGCTACGATGAACGGGGTCTTCCTCTCCTTCAACAACCGGATGGACTCGAGAGTTTGGGGCTCGAGACCGTGCATGATATCAACCACCAAAACCGCAATATTACAAAGCGAACTTCCACGAGACCTCAAATTCGTGAAAGACTCGTGTCCAGGTGTGTCAATAACCAACAACCCAGGCAGCTTGAACTCGAAATCACCCTTGTTGTCAAGGACAGCAGTCTTCTTAACAATCGCATCCATCGGGAAGTAGGTGGCTCCGATTTGCTGTGTGATTCCTCCGGCTTCGCCTTCTTGGACGTTCGTTTGACGGATTTTGTCGAGGAGTTTGGTTTTTCCGGTATCGACGTGACCAAGAATACAGGCGATTGGGGAGCGGAGGTTGTCGGCGGAGCGGGCGGCCATGGCGGATTTGTGACGTTCTTCGCGGGCCTTTGCTGCCTCGGCTTTACGCTGGGCCAACATGCGCTGGTTTGCGGATTGCTCCTCGTCAGATGAGTCGTCATCGGAATCAGAATCAGAGTCTGAGTCTGAGTCATCGTTCGAATCCTCATCGCTGCCCTCATCCTCATCATCCTCGTCCTCCTCCTCGGCCTCAGGAGTGATCTCCTCAGGCGTAGCCTCCTCCTTCTCATCCTCAGACGGCGCATCCCATGCATCCTTAACCTCACCATCACTGCCGAGAGCTGCCTCCCAATCCTCCAACAAATCGTCCCCATCCTCATCCTCACCCTCCTTCTTGGCCTCCTCCTCCGCCTTCCGCTTCGCCTCCTCTTCAACCTTGCGCTTCGCCTCTTCATCGGCCTTCTTCTTCGCTTCCTCCTCCTGCTTCTTCTTGTTTCGAGAGGTGTATACGACCTTCTTGGGTTTCTTCTCCTCTTCCTCTTCAGCAGCTAATCCCTCGACCTTGACACCGGAGTCGAGGAGTTGCTGGAGTCGTCGTTGCGCTTGGGCTTGTTGCTCTTTCTGCTTCTTAGAAAGAAGCTTACCCTCAGCACGGAGCTGCTCCTTCTTCGCCTTCTCCTTCTCTTTCTTCAAGCGCTTGACTTCCTCGCGTTTCGCTTCCTCCTCAGCCTCTTGTCTCTCGATTTCCTCCAAACGCTTCCTCTCCTCCTCCTCAGCCTGGCGCTGGAGCTCCTCCTGGCGACGACGCTCCTCCTGGGCTTTCTGGAGAGCGGCGATATGCGCGGGGAGCTTCTTGCCACCCTTCTTGGCTCCAGCAGAGGCAGAGTCGTCCTCCTTCTTCTCCTCAGTGGGAGTAGTGGCGGTAGCCTCAGCCTTAGCAGCGCCAGCACCACCCTTCTTCTTCTCAGCCTGAGCCTTTTTCTTCGCCTTGTCGCGCTCCTTCTTTTCACGTTCTTTCTCAGCCTTCGTTTTGACTCTGAACTCCTCCGCCGGGGCCGCGGGCGCCTCTTCCTCCTCCTCAGCCGCAGGAGTCGCAGGCTTTCCACCCTTCTTGGCCTTCTTACCCTTCTTGGGCGCGAAGTACTCATCATCGGAAATCTCAGTAACCTCGACTGGAGCTTTTGAGACCTCCTCGGCAGGCTCCTCAGGAGTGGGGGGTTCGTCGTCCTCGACCGCAGCGGCGGCCTTCCCGCCCCTCTTCTTCTTCTTGTCCTTGGCGATCTTCATTTGTGCCATCAAGCCGCCTGCTTCCTCGACTTCGGAGTCTTCCGCAGCGGCGGCATCATCGTGTCCGTTCTTGATAGGGTCGACGTCTTGCTCGAAAGCGTCATCCCAATAATCATCGCCGCCCTGTTAACCACTTCGTTAGTCGTTGATCTGCGATCGTATTGGAAGAAGAAGAAGCCAACCTTCTTGCTCTTTGCACCCTTTTTACCCATCGTTGTAGAATGGAGGTGTATGCGTCGTCGTAATGACTCTGACTTTTACCGGTACGCGGTATCGATGCAGGCTTAATTGACTTTTCTTGGTGCCTTGCGCGTACATTGTTCCGTGGCAGTCAGGGTTACTTGGAGGACGCGTGTGGGTGAGGCAGCAACAGCAGACAACGAGGATGTCGCAAGATGAACTGAAGAGGTGAGCCTGGCCGACGTTCGTTATGAGGGAACACCATTGAACTGACCATGATCGCAGTCCGCCAAATATGACTACAAGCGAGCGAGCCATCCTGACCGAACTGCAAAAGATCCTCCTGACATGTCAACAAATGTAGGAACAACAATTGCTGTTTCTCTATAAAGCTCGCCTGACTTTGTCCTACAGTAATGCGAATCTACTCAAATCCGTTGGACTAACGACCGAAGCCGAGAACTTCGACGAGAAGGACGGAGCATTCATTGGAGCGGCGCGTGAGGCAGCGAGGAGTATGACAAAGATCTGGGCTGAAAACTTCGAGGATGTCGTTAATGCATGACGTTGAGGAATGATTGGAGTACCATGATGCGGTTGCAGAAGACCAGGTCTGAGCAAGGCTTGGAGCGGTATCCGACGGCACCTCGAACGCCATTGCCATGACATCAACAGGCGGCCGGTCAGACGTCCAGACTCCGTCGCGCCGACCATTGCGAGGAAAGGAGAGCCCCTTAGAAGTAATATTTACGACAGCATACCATAATATACCGATCCTCTTACCTTTGACTCGCTTATCTCGGGGGCCCCTTTGACTCGTGCTCCATGGTGCATGCGCCGACGTCAGCCTCAACCTTATTTGGGTCTCCACCAAACATTCCGCCAAGGACCCCGTCAACCCTCCGGTCATCTATCTTCAAACTTCATAAATCCTCCTAAAGTCGCACAAGACGAGATGGACGACATCGATCTCGGCGGCGGCTCAGGGAACAAGCTAGGAAGAGCGGTGATATACGTCGCTGGTGCTGCGACGGTGGCTGCCACCGGTATGTTCATCTTCCACAGAAATTTCAGGATTTCATGGATGAAGTGTTGACGAGGGTGAACAGGATTAGCACTCTATTCGATATGGCTCCAGCTCAAGAACTACCGGAAACCACTACTGCAGCGGTTCGTGGTGAGGATTTTGTTGATGGTGCCGTTGTATGCGATTACATGTTGGCTATCGCTGTGGAGTTTCAAACTCTCCTTCTACATCGAACCCATACGGGATATCTACGAGGTATCTACCCCTCCTCCTTCCACCAAGCGAATCGCTCGCTAACCCTCACGATGTGAAAGGCCTTTGTAATTTACTGCTTCTTCGCCCTCCTCATCGCCTACCTCGGCGGCGAGCGAAACCTCGTCATCATGATGCACGGTCGAACCCCCAAACCCCACGCCTGGCCTCTCAACCACTTCCTCCCCCGCGTCGACATCTCCGACCCATACACCTTCCTCGCCATCAAACGCGGAATCTTACAATATACTTGGCTCAAGCCGATATTGGCGGCGGCAACGGTGTTGATGAAGTGGGCGGATGTGTATCAGGAGGGGTACATTGGGTTAGGTAGTGGGTATTTGTGGAGTGGGTTGGTGTATAATGTTAGTGTTACGGTGAGTTTGTATAGTTTGGCGATGTTTTGGGTGTGTATGTCGAAGGATTTGCAGCCATTCCGACCTATGCCGAAGGTTCGTATTTCCACTACGTTCTCCTTTCGAGGATTCAGCTAACATGGAAGTACGAACAGTTCCTGACGATCAAACTCGTCATCTTCGCCTCCTACTGGCAAGGCTTCGCCCTCGCCATCTTTGTCTGGTTGGGAACAATTCATCAGGTGGGCGGGTACACCCCCGACAACATCGCCCGCGCAATCCAGGATGCACTAATCTGTTTCGAGATGCCCATGTTCGCAATCGGACACTGGTACGCGTTCTCCTACAAAGATTACTGCGACCCAACTATCTCCGCCGCTCGAATGCCGGTGTACTACGCCCTTCGCGACGCGTTCGGGGTGCGGGACTTGGTGCAGGACTCGAGGGACACGCTTCTTGGTGAACGCTACGGCTACCGCGCCTTCGAACCCGGAGAAGTCGAAATCCTCCCCGGCGCAGACGCCCGCTGGGCCCGACAAATGGAAGGTCTCCGTTACGAAAAAGGTGGGAAATCCAAGTATTGGATCCCTAAACCCCCTGTCGTCAACTCGCGTACTGCGCTATTGGGTGCAGTTGGTGGTGTAACGGGTGCGGGACAACCGATGTATGTGCAGGTGAGTAAAGCGGAGGCGGAGAGGTGGAGGAAGGGGAGGAAGGGGCGGCAGGTGTTGGTTGAGAGTGAGCTGGAGTTTGAGGTTGATGAGAGGGTTGAGCGGTTGTATCGGGATGCGAAGGGGTTGGAGTTTGGGGATTATAACGTGAGATCTCTTCCTTGGAGATTGAAGAGGATGTGTGTGCTAATTTGTGGATTGTGTAGTATCCGGTGATTGAGGTTCATAACGGACCGATTAGCCAATTCGTCAATAGCCGAGGCAACCTACAACACCCTACGACTTCGACACATGCGGCACTTCTCAAAGGAAAGGGACGGGCAGATAACCCGGAACGGTTACCGCGACCTTCGTCGCATCGGCAGTCGAGTACGCAGTCTGGGTCCTCTACGTCATCGGCTAGGGAGGGGTTGGTGGATTTGGTCGTTGAGGACCGTGATGAAGAAGAACGGGAACGCGTAAGAGCGAGAAAGGAGGGTCGGGCATGGGATGAGGACCGGAAGTTTTACCGGAGGGTCGAGGAAGGACATCGTTCGCGGTCTCGTTCGACCGCTACTCAAGATCGTGAGGATTCGAGATTAGTGAGTACGGAGGAGGAATTAGAAAGTGCACGGGAAGTCGAGGAAGAGGAGATTGTGGTTGAGAGTACGGGGATTGCGCCGCTGGGCCCTGCGGGGGAGATGAGGGGTGATGGGATGCCGCAGGGGAGTTATGATCCTTTTACGATTGTGAGCAGTGATGAGGAGGAAGAAGATAATGGAGAGAGCAGTAAGAAGAATGGGAGTGAGCATGGGCAGCATGGATTGATACATTGTCAGTATTCGTCTAGTTTGGCACCGGAGAGGAGTGTCTGGGCACGGGATGAGATCTGACGGTGACCACCACCAGGCGATATGTCTAAATTTTAGGTAATACGATACAGATGCTGGCCATGGACATCGATCTGTTTAACAAATGATTTGTTTTCTACATCTTACTGACGATCGGACGATGGAACGGCATGCTTCGCTTCCAGCTTCCCCGGCTGTTCGGCGTGCAATCTGAAATCATGCATCCGGAGCCGCTGGTTAAACTAGACTGAGTCGCTGCGAGGAGCCTTGCCACGAGTCAAATACAGAGTCGAGAGCTCGATTGCAAGCTGAAGGGTCCAGGCGCGACGGGTCGTTGTTTGACGCTTGTGTTGGAGGAGGATGAGGATGACGGGGGTGGTCTTGCCTCTTTGAAGAGTTGACTTGGAGTTTCGACTTGGTGAATTCAGCGGCCGCGGTTGCGGTTTCCTAAGGCGGACATTCGAATTCGTCCTTGTGTAAGCTTTTAAGGTTTGTTAGCGCGCGGCGGAGAAACTGGGAGCTTGAACTGCAAATATATCAGGGGCCTCCTCTCGGACCAGCATCATCAACAATCATCCAAACCGTTGCTCGGACCCTCTCGAAACCATATTCAAGCGCCTTGAGCTTCAGGGTCATCTGTATCGAGTAACCCGTTACGAGGAGAGATCCCGGTTTCGGCTGCACTTACGCATCTAAGCTCTAAGCTTTGACAGCATCACGCGGACGTCTTCGAGCAATCTACTTCAGGACGACATTCGAATAAGTTGAACCAGCTCATCCCTTACAAGGGTTTGATTACGCGCTGCACGTGAAAGTTCAAAGTTCTGGCAAGGATTCCTGTCAAACACTGATCAGTTGCTGCGCCGTTCGTCAAAGATCCCCCAGTCAAGTTCGACGAATAAAGGAGGGGTGCGTACCGTCAAACGCGATTATTCTATCTGATCGAAACCTCCTTTTGTCCTAGTTGAGGCCTCTTGTTTCCGTTGAGGGTAGATCCTCGCCGTTCGTCAGCGTCAGCTCATCTATAAGTGACGGTCATCCTCACCTTCTTCTCGACGTCTTCTCGAGTCCGTACCCTTCATCGTTTTCTTCGTTCCTTTCGACGACTCCATCTCACCTTGTCTCGGTCTTATCGACTACGACACTGAACATCTACTACAACATACAATAAGAGAAACGATGCATCAATCCGACCTCGCCTCTCTTCGTCCGCCCTCGCCGAAAGCCTCCTTCGTCAAACGTTTCGCCCGTTCTCTTGGTTTGCGCAAGAAGAAGTCCAAAACGCCCGTGAACGACAACTTCTCCACCCTCGCTCGTCAAGCATCTCATAGCACTCTTCAACAAGGCCAAGGTCACTATGACGGTCACCCTCCTCAGTCTGCCTCGTCTTATGCCAGGAGCGGTGGTGCACTCAGTGTGAATGGCTACGGTGGTCCAGCGATCAGCGACCTTGCCGACGACGTCAGTCCCGTCACTCGCCCCCTTATGTCGAGGCCTATCGCGAGGGATGAGGCTTATGCCCCTACGCCCAAGGTCACACGCATGCGCCAGGAGTCGTCTGGACGTTCCGCTACTCCTTCTGGCGGTGCTCCTTACCACCATCAGCAACAGCAGCACATGCCGTATCAGCAACAACAGTACGCGCAGCATTACTCCAACCTGAACGAGGCTATCGTTCCCCGTGCTCCGGCCCTCCGCGCCCAACCATCGCAAGCTGGTCTCGCGAATCAACGCCGTGGGCCTCCTGCTCCTCTCGACGTCGCTCCCCACCGCCAGCGCGAAGCGAGCGTCGACTCCCGCTCCCTCGCCTCCGCCCGTTCTGGTTCCTTGAATGGTCAACAAGTCGAGGAGATGGATTGGGCGACCTACCTTAAGTCCTACGCTGAAGGCAAGATCAACGTGTCGAAGCCCGTCTTGTCCAAACATGCCCCGGCCGAGGTCAACGGATTCTTCCCTGCGCCTAAGCCTGCGAACGATAAGGCTCGTATCGCCGCGCTGCATTCGTATGGAATCATGCCTGAGGAAGGTGATGCGGATGTTCATGTTGACGAGAGTAAGTTCCCGAGGAGGCCTAGTGAGGATGACCTCCGTTCCCTCCCGTCGACTTCGTCTACTGGTGCTGGTGGAGTCAAGACCGCACCGTCCTCTATCGAGCGTTTCCAGCGCATCGTTGTCTCCGCTCGTCGTCATTTCGGAACAAAGATGTGTCTCATCTCCCTCGTCGACGAGAAGAAACAATTCTTCAAATGTGAGGTTGGTTTGGGCGCACCGAGTACGGGCCGAGATGTCGCATTCTGTGGACATACTATTTTGACGAATGAGCCCATGGTCGTCCTCGATACTCTCAATGACTGGAGGTTGTGTAATAACCCTCTCGTTACGGGTGATCCGTTTATTCGCTTCTACTGTGGTGCCCCCATCATCACGCCGGATGGCTTCGCGATCGGAACAGTGTGTATCATCGATACGAAACCGCGCTCGGAGTTCCCGCCTGCGGATCGGAGGAGGTTGATTGAGTATGCGCGTATGGCGATGGACGAGATCGAGTTTGCGCGTGCAGAGCGGGAGAAGAAGTTACGTGCCGAGATGGAGAGTACACTGCAATCTTTCCGTCAGGGCGCAACCACGTCGTTGCCTGAGTCTCCGACGAGGATGGATAACCCCAACGGTGGAATGGGATTGAATATTCCACTCAAGTTTGGGCCGAAGAGGTTGGGGAAGTTGAGTGGGATGAGTGCTGTTGCCACGATGGAGGGCGAGCAGGAGAGGTATCGAGAGGTTGATCATGGGAGGTTTGGGGAGGAGGAGGATGGGGAGAACTACAACGGAAACGGGCACGAGAATGGGAATGGGGTTGAGGAGACGGATGGAGAGATTGTTGAGACGGAGGTTGTGGTCAGGAAGAAGCCATCCAATCACGCTCTTCGTCAACACCAACAGAACGAGGATGACTTCCCCCTTCGCCTCAAGTACGGTCGTAACGACGGTACCATTTCCGACGACGTGATCCGTTCCGTCGAGTACGCTGGTCGTCGTGCTGCCGAAGCCGCCGCACGCGCTGTCGCTGAAGCTGAAGGTGGCCATTTGAGCGAGTTCGAGCCCGATTCACAGAAGACTGCGATTCTTACGGATGACAAGCAGTTTGTGCAACGGGATGTTGTGCATGGGGATGGGAAGGTTACGACGAGGACGAAGGGTGCTGTTGCGAATCCGAAGGTTACGTTGGATGGGGTTAGAGCGATGAAGGCCAAGCAGCAGCAGCAGCAGCATCAACAACAACAGCAGCGCGGTGTTCCTGTGTTGAATGAGCCTGCCTCGTCAATTAGTCCTCATTCGAGCGCGTTGTTGTCTGCGCAGGGGGTTCCTACTCCGCCTGAGAGTCCTGCTATGTCCGCTACCACCGCTCGTCGTCATCGCGATGGTTCTTTCTCGTCTGAAGCTACGGGTACAAGCTCCGCTGTTGACCCTGCTCTCGCACTCCAGCAACAGCAGCGTGCGAAGCAGGAAGCTATGGCTCATGCTCGTGCTGGACAGAACGTCACGCCTGCTTCTGTCCCTCGTCAAGTTGCGCCTGCTCCTCAGCAACAGACTTTGCCTCCTGCACAGCTTGCGGTACAGTTAATCGCGCAGACGTTGAGGTTGGATTTCGTTTATATCCTTCGTATCTCGCCGCAGCGTAACCAGGCTAACACATCGGGTGCCACCTCCCGTGGAGGACGTGGAGGGAACAACTTGATCGTGGATGCTGCTGCCGGAATCACCACCGAGCTCCTCGCCGAAGTCGGCATGCCGCGCCCTCCCCCCGTCTTCGACGGTTCCCTCCACCTCCGCGCTCTCCGCAGTGATGGCGGTTTGATCTACCAAAACCCTGACAACGACGAAGGCGACAATACCGATCCCGCAGCTTTCAAAGTCGGAATCCTGATGCCGCTTTGGAGGGAGGGTGGCACGCGCACTGAGCAGGTGTTGAAGAGTAAGACGGGAGCGGTATTGGCTGGGTTCACGAGGAAGATGAGGCCTACCGGGCTTGGGTTTACAGCGGATGAGGTGAGGTATGTTAGGGAGTTTGGGCAGACGATGAAGGAGGTTTTGGCCGGGCCTGATATGTGAGGGCCGTGTCTTGGTATTGTCTATCTGTGGTTTTCTTTGTTATTCGTTGTTTGTTGGTTTGGGAGGGGCCGAGGTCAGTCATTTCATCACGTTGAAGCATTGCTTGAGGGGTTGGTTATAGGCGTATGTACTTGGAGTTTGTCTTGCGATCATAGCTATATGGTACTTATCTAATCTTTCAAATCCAGCTACCCTGGTCTTTGCAATGCCATTGCAATTGGAATCCTCAGTTCACCACCCGCTGCCTTACTGCTGTGTGCAAAATTCTTGACGCGGCGCATTTTACCGCCTACCTGCGCGGGAATAGTTTCATGAACCAGCCCATCTTCGTAGACAAGGCTTAGGAGGGCGATTTCAGGGTGAAAGTCGATAGATCATACTCTTAGGAATCGATAGATGTCCTCAAAATGCGTTTAGTACCGTTTCTCATAGAGTTGTGACATTATGAAGGATTTCGCCATAGGTGCATAATGTTGCATGAACATGCATGAAAGCAACGAAAACACTCTCTGGACCCACAAACCTCAAAACCTGTTAGAATCAAAGAAACCACACATAGAACTTGTTCATCCAAGCTCCCTCTATCTCATGGAACCCGGAGCTGCATCCCTAGTGGCTTCTAGGGTCCGTTTCTTTCTTAAACCTGAAACCACCTTTTCAGCATGAAGCGACTGAGGGAGGCCTTGTGGCCCAAAACCGGTGGCACGACGTGATTGCTAAGGATAGGTATGATCATTTTAAACCCTTACTCGACCTCCGAGGCCTTTATCTATGTTGTTTTAGGGGTTTTTGTCATATGGAGTTTGCGATTAGCGCGCACATGGGAAAGTTACGTCAAGAATTTTGCACACAGCAGTAGCGCCACCGGGGACCCCGCAATCCGCACCTCCGAGGTCCCCGTAACCGTACATACTCCAAAGCCAGAGCGCAACGGACTTCGACAGTCTGTTACACTCCATGATGCCAGCAGCGTTACGGAAACCGCGATTTATGCCATTACGTGCCACGTTGACTGTCCTTGACGAGTTGTCTGAGGAGGTTGCGGTGATGTCGCAGGATTTGTGGGATGAGATGTATCGACCGGAGGAGATCTCTCGGGGGTATTGCTACGTCGCCGTTGAGGTTAATATCTACGATTCGAAAGAATATTGCGTGCTCAGGGCTGATCTTAATCCGTCACTGCCATTTGGCACTGTCGCTATTGGGAGCAAGGTCGGCGACTGGACGGATGGAACGGTGGTGAAGGTACAGTCCACTAGACCTGTGGAGCTGACAAATGTGATCCTTTCGACAGATCCAGTGTTTTATGATGCGATTGTTGAGAATAAAGTGGGGTTGGCGGAGTGGATCCGGAGGTCAGGGAGGATCATCCGAACAGGTACGAAGTTGCAGCTCGATGTGGAAGGAGGAAACACGGCTCTCCATTTACGATTATGCGAACCTGTGGTACAAGGAGTCATTGGCGCGGAGACTGAGCTTGTGATTGCTCGAGGGGCCAGTTCAAATGAGGTTGGGGAGGAGGATGTGGATGAGCTGGTGGGTGAGCTGGACAAGTCTCGGTTCTTCGGACTGGAAGGTTCGCATACAAGTCTGACTTCGAGTTTGCATTTCTCCGTGCCAACACAATCAAAAGCGTTGCTACCGTCCTTGCAGGCTCACGTCTTGACAAGACCCGTACGGGTTGAGCGACTTCAGGGACAGCACATCTCAGAGGACGAAGATAAGGAGGTGTGGGTCTTGCTGAATTCGGAAGCCATGTGTTCTTTGGGACTTTTCAGTGAGGACCTATGCTGGGTTTCTAACGGAGCTGACGTACCCAAGCGGCTCGTCCGGGTATTCGCCGGTGATGAAAGTGACGATGGCGTACGTCTATCTCCAGTGTTATGGCACAATATGGGATCACCAGCTCAGCTCGTCTTCACACCTCTCTCTCCTTCTGAGAAGAGGAAGCAGGCCCTCCTCAAAGTCGCTGACGCAATCAACATATACAAGATCCCCACCCCGACATCCACGGACCGCGAACTCCAACCAGCTGTTCTCAGTGCACTGAAATCCCATTTCTCCAACATGAAACGAGTGATGCGAAGTGGCGATATCTTCGGCGTCGGGATTGACGAGGAGACTGCTCGTGCGTTATACGTCCCGCCTTCTCCCGACGCAGATGAGGACGATGGTGAGGATCTGGAACTGTTGAGTGGACGAAAAACGGCGGCAGTCTGGTTTATGGTCGAGATCGAGGGTGAAATGAAGGATGCGGAGGTCATTGTCGATCCAAAAACGACAAGGATGACACAAGTCGGCTCAAAACAACTTACCATACCGAAGCTATCGAGCGGATGGCCGACATATCTTGGCCTATCAACAACCCTACCAGCATCGCCACCCTCCTCCACCCCCGCCACGGATCTGCCCCCAGCCTACCCCCGCCTAAAAGCCCTGCTCACCGCCGCCCTATCCCCGCGTGCCCGCAAACTTCCTATAAGCACAATTCTCCTCTACGGCGCCCGCGCCGTTGGGAAATCCACACTCGCGCACTGGGCCGCGGGAGAACTTGGTATCCACGTCTTCGAGATAAACGCGTACGAGATCGTTGGTGAGACGAGTGCAAAAACGGAGGCGTATTTGAGGGCCAGGATTGAGAGAGCTGGGGCGTATGCGCCTTGCCTCATCCTCTTGCGGCATGTCGAGGCGTTGGGGAGGAAGAAGTCTGACAACGAGAATGGGGAAAGCTTTGGGAGAGAGATTATTGCTGAGGCACTGGAAGAGGCGAGAAAACTTGCCGGTGAATTCGGCGTTGCGCTTGTTGGTACAACCTCTGAGAAGGAGAAGGTTGGGGAGGGTGTCGTGGCGGCGTTTCGGCATGAGATTGAGGTTGGGGCGCCAAGCGAGGGGGAGAGGTTGTGTATCTTGGAGACGCTGGTTGAGAGGGGCGGCGTGAGGGTTAGTCCGGATGTTGAGTTGAGGAGTCTGGCGGTCAAGAGCGCTGCGCTTGTTGCGGGTGATTTGGTAGATGTTGTACGGCGAGCAGAAATGGTCGCCGATACCCGGATCGAGAACTTCATCTCCAGCTCTGGACAAGCTATATCGGCGAAGGATGTGCAGGTTGCTGGGAGGTGGGTAACTGCGGCAGATTTCGAGGCGGCAATGACGGAGGCGAGAAAGGCGTATTCGGACTCCATCGGTGCGCCGAAGATCCCGAACGTAACATGGGATGATGTCGGTGGGTTGGCGAGTGTGAAGGATGATATCATGGACACGATCCAACTTCCTCTGGATCACCCCGAACTGTTCGCTTCGGGGATGAAGAAGCGTTCGGGTATCCTCTTCTATGGTCCCCCGGGTACGGGTAAGACTTTACTCGCCAAAGCTGTCGCAACTAGTTTCTCTCTCAACTTCTTCAGTGTCAAGGGTCCGGAGTTGCTGAACATGTACATCGGTGAATCCGAAGCAAATGTCCGCCGTGTCTTCCAGCGAGCTCGAGAAGCGAGGCCTTGTGTGGTGTTCTTCGATGAACTGGATTCCGTAGCGCCGAAGAGGGGTAATCAGGGTGACAGTGGAGGTGTGATGGATCGAATTGTGAGTCAATTGCTTGCAGAGTTGGATGGTATGAGTGGTGGGGGAAGTGGAGATGTCTTTGTTATTGGAGCTACGAACAGGCCAGATTTGCTTGATCCAGCTTTGTTGAGACCGGGACGGTGAGCTTTGGCCTTCGGCATGTTTTTGCGGAGTCGCTGACAATTCCTCACAGATTCGACAAAATGGTGTATCTCGGAGTCAGTAATACGCATGAGCAGCAGCTGAACATCTTGCAAGCATTGACACGAAAGTAAGTCAATGCTCCTGTTGCGTCCACGATCTGCTACTGACATCGCTTACAGGTTCCGCCTTTCGCCACCCCTCGACCTTGCGAACATCGCCAATGCCTGTCCTTTTACCTACACCGGAGCCGATTTCTACGCCCTGTGTTCTGATGCCATGCTGAAGGCCATGACACGACAAGCGGCCGCCGTGGATCGGAAGGTCAAGTCCTACGTCCCTCCCATTTCAACACACTATTTCTTCGATCACCTGGCGACTGAGGAGGATACTGAAGTTGTCGTTACAGAAGAGGATTTCAAAGATGCGATGAATGAGTTGGTCCCGAGTGTTAGTGAGAAGGAGTTGGCTCATTTCAAGGAGATTCAGAGCAAGTTTAGCATGAAGAAAGAGGAGAAGAAGGACAAAGGAAAGGGTAAGGCCGTTGAGGACGATGTGGTGCATAATGGGAATGGAGCGGAGCCGTATACGTAGGTTGGGAAGGAGGTGGTGGAAGTCGATGAGGCAGCGAATAACATGGACCAAGAGGAAGGACGGGGCTCAATAGGCAAGGTGGACAGGAAAGGAAAAGGGAACGAAAGAGCATTCTAGCATCATACAATATACTGAGTCACCCTTAAAAAGAGCGTGCCTGTCATTAACACATTTATTCCTGCATCGAGCACTTCACACCCGTGCCAGTAGTCTTGCGAAGAAGAGTGGTAATGAGAGACTTTGCACCGGGCATACAAATAACGCGTGCAAGCACAGAACCTCGCTACTGAGTTGATTCCGGCTGCGTTTCTGCGTGAATCTTTCCAAGCTCCGTCCTCGCATTGGCAGCCTCCTCCTCCATCACCTGGGCATACGCTGGTCCACGTGAACTGATCTTAGTATCAATCTCAGCGGCAGCCGCAGAATAACTGACAACTATTCTCAAAGTCAGCATCAACCATCCACATCAAGTTCGGTACAACGTACAGATATCGAACTCAGCAAAGTCCTTGACCGCCTTCCCAGTCTTCTTCCACACAGGCCTAGCAATGTCAAATCCCCACAACAACCTACTGACCTGCAAAAACAAGCTAGCTTCGGCGACATGGATACCTGGACACATACGTCTTCCGAAGCCATAGCTGAAGTGGTCGCGTTTCATGGGGTCGGATTGGGTTGCTGAGGCGGAGGCGGAGAGGGTGTGGTTGAGGAAGCGAGTGGGGTCGAAGGTGTCTGGGGAGGAGTAATGAGCGGGATCACGGTTGATTATGTGGACTTGTGCGGAGATGACTGAGCCTGCTGGGATGTGGTAGCCGTTGTATACGTCGTCTTGGGTTGTTGCATGGGGAAGTGCTAAGGTTTCGCACGGTCAGTCACATGGGGAACAGACAAGACGTTGAGAATGGAAGTGGAGGTACCGAAAGGAGCAATGCCCTGCCACCTATGACATTCTTTGATGAACGCATGCACGTAGGGGAGGGAGGGCTCGTCTTCCCAAGTTGGCAGGCGGTTCGGCCCGACGACCTCGTCGAGTTCGGCTTGGGCCTTTTTGACGCATTCTGTATGAAGCCCAGCGATTACGTAGAACACTGTTGTCCATATCGCGGTCTATGAACACGATTAGCAGAAAAACAGAGTCAATGGTAGTAGCAGGATACCGTGTCAGCTCCTGCAAATACCAAAGATCCCATCAGACCATAGCCAATCCTCAGATCCGTCCACTTCTCTGGATCCTCCTTCTGGTGCTTCAGAAGTGCACCCCCGAATGTATGCGGAGTTTTCCCAGTTTCAATATTTTCTTTGCAAACCTCCCAGAACGGAATCCAAAATCCAATCGCGTCTTCATAATACGCACGACCTTTGGCACGCCACGAGTTGAAGAAATCGGGAAGATGACGAATGAAGGGAAACGAGTCGACCAGAAACCGTCCTGGGAGAAGGAGATTCGCAAGGTTGTCCGCAGTCTTCTGAAGTGCTTTAGTGACTGGACTTTCCAGATCGTCGATACGCATTCCGTACAAAACGGAAAGGATGACGGAGAGCGAGAAGAGTTTCGTCCATTCACGGTACTTCTCAGGAGCGTGAAGCATACGGTTAAGGAACTGAAGGTTCTCGTATTCCTGGAAAGTATGGAATTTCTCGGCTGCGTGGGTACCCAGAAGAGCATGAGAGACTTTCCGGCTTTCCTATGTGCAAATACACTGTGAGACTCGTTAAGAGGGGAGTAAGGAGATGCACGTGCCCGCCATTCAGCGTTGTAGGTCATCATGGCAAACCTGTGCTTTCCAACGATATCCATGATATGGAGGTGCGGCCTTCCACCATATACAGCCCCACGCTTATTCATCAACTCATCTGCTATCTTGCCGTCGGCAATAGAGATGATCGTACGGAAAGGCCCAGCTCTCAAAGCGACGATGGGGCCATACTTGGCATGAAGGTCTTTGTAGAACTGACGCTGACGACCACCTTTGGCCTTCGTGAGCTGGTGTAGGTTGCCGAGAAAGGGGAGCCCAGGAGGGCCCGGAGGAAGCGGAGCGGGCTTGTTCCTACCGGCGCTGGAAACGGTGACAACGAGGAGGCCTATGATACCAGCCAGCAAGATGCTGGTGAAAACCTCCATAGTCCTGAAGAGCGATGACGTTTGGTTTCGATGGTTTCAGCAAAGCAAAAATAGGCCCAGCTGGTTGTATGGCGACCCACGGTTCATGAGCTTCCATGTGATGCACGTTAAACGGCGGCCCGTCCGTAAGCCGAGGCATAGAACGGCATCAATTTGGTGACTCGTGCTACAGGGTAGATCGGAGGAGGAGTTTGACCCCATGGTGAACCTACAGACGAGTTGCCATTAGATATAAGTAGGTGAAAGCAAGCAACATAGCTCCAACCAATAGATCACCGGGTATACGTTTGCTAGATATCAACCAGATGTTACACCAGAACCAAATTCTTCCTGGCGACAGGCCTGACCACAAATATCGTACACCCTCATTTGTCGAAGAGAGCACCCATGGACACCTTTACTCGTGCCTATGCCCTCGAGCGCCCTGCACGACAAGAACACTCGCACTTAATCCCCTCTCGACGAATCTCCCGCCCAGAACTCCGAGCGTTCCATACGACGACCCAGGCTTGTCGATAGGGTCAATTGCATTACTCCTTCTCGCCACCACGATAAGATCTCCCGCGTTTTTGGGGTTTTGTCCAACTTCTCTCTCAGCGCGTGCCATTGCATCCTCGACTGGCGAAGATGTTTGTGTGCTTTCCAACAAGACGCGAGAAGCGAGGTTCTCCGGGAGCGAACGACGGATAGACTCAAAGAACGACAAATCCCTAGCCTGGAGCTCAGTCTCATGCGTCGAGTCCTTCGTTTTCGATTGGACGGTACGTAACGGCGTATCCTCCGTTCTGGACGTAGTCGGTGAAAGATCGACCCCGGAAGAACTGGCTTCTCCACTCCCAACACGCTCGAAAAACACAATCGTGGCTGTGATATCCGCGTTCTCCGCCAGCTGCAACACCAATCTCAACGCAACCCTCCCATCCGCACCCCCAAAAAACGGCATATAGACATGATGACTCCGATCCGGAATAGGCGGAGCGACCGTTTTCTCCCGTACGCTGTGAGAGTGGGCGCTGATACTCATTGCAGAGGTCCTACGCCTCAACGGGTGTGGACGACGTTCCTCAACCGGAGATGAGCCACCGAATCCCTTGTTGACAAGCACAGCGACATTGCATGTCGGCGATGACCCCTCCACTGCCTCCCCGATAAACGACGCATACGTCCTCTCATCCCTCAATCCCTCAAACCCGCCTCTCTCCCCCTCCCTCATTTCCCCCTCGCTCCACGGCAACAACAACATATCAACGTCTTCCCTCCCCGCTTGACTGACAAGTAGCTCCGCGAACGAAGATTCAGGCGCGATGAGGACTTCGCCTGAGACGCCGAGGTTGTAGAGACGACCGAAGTTGCGGAAGGTGTTGATTATGGGATCACGCCAGCTGAGGTCTTCGGCTTCGGAGACGCGCATGACGGATGAATCACGCTCAGTCAACTCCATCAAGCGAACACCGTGGACCTCAACCGGTCTCTTCGGCGGTGCGGGCTCGGTCTCACCAAGAGTCGTGGCGGCGTGAGACGGGTGCACCCGCTTGATGTCATGAGGCCTCCCACCAAGCAAAGAGACGAACGTCATCAACGCAGGCATGTTCTCCAATCGCAAATACACCAACAGATCCCTAACCTTCCCACTTTCCAGCCTCGCCGCAACAACACTCACGTCCTCCTCCTCCGCCCTCCCTTTCGTTGTAGGCCGTCCCGTATCCCAATCAATGAGTCCCTTCTTCCACGCCTCCAACTTCTTCTGGTACCAGACTGGGTATAACGCGACCGTCAATGGCGTCGTCGCAAAGGTGGTAACGAGCGCCATAACGACGAAAATCGTGAATGTCCGCTGACTCAAAATCCGTGCCTGTAACCCGATGTTGAGCACAATGAGTTCCACCAACCCCTTACACGACATCAAACTCCCAATCGCCATACTTTCCCTCCAAAATAACCCACTCATTCGTGCCGCTACGGACGCAGCCGAGAACTTCCCCAAAAACGCAATGACAGTGACACCGATGACATACCCCCATGTTTTCCCCGAATCCAGAAGTCCAAGATTGGTGCTGAGTCCACTGAGGGCAAAGTAGAGGGGGAGAAAGAGCGCGCTGACCAAGTCCTCGATCTTTTCAGTGACTTTGATTGCGAAGCCGCCGTCGTGGGGACAGATTAGTCCGGCCATGAAGGCCCCAAAGATAGGATGGACTCCGATGACTCCCGTGAAGAACGCAGAGGAGAGAGCGATGAGGAGGGTAAGTGCGATCACACCCTGCGATGGTCCATCCTCCAAGGCTCGGGTCCGTTTGAGGACCAACATGAACGCTGGCCGGACAGCGAAGAAGAGGAAGAGCGTATATCCCACCGCCGTGAGGAGGACCCACACCGCCGCGACACCCGACCCGGAGTTGACCAACGCGACACATAATGCGAGCAAAATCCACCCCACGACATCATTCCCAACACCAGCACTCAACACAATAATCCCCACTGGCGTACTCAACAACTTCAACTCCGTCAAAATCCTACACAAAACCGGAAACGCCGTAATCGCCATCGCAACCCCAATGAACAACGCATACGTCCCAAACGCAATCGGCTCCGTCCCAGGCTCATCCCTGAAATCGTGATATAGTCCATACGCAATCCCAACACCAAGCCCAAACGGGACTCCCATCCCCGCGGCCGCGACACCCGCCGCAACCCTCCACTCACCTCTCACCCACCTCAAATCGACCTCCAACCCCACGATGAACAAAAACAACACTAACCCCAGATTCGCAACGAGCGACAGATTCGGGATGGCGGCGGGTGGGAAAATTGTGGAGGTGAAGGAGGGGATACGGCCCATGACGGATGGACCAAGGAGGACGCCGCCGATGACTTCGGCGATTACGCGGGGTTGGCGGAGGAGTGAGAGGGGGTAGTGGAGGAGGCGGCAGAAGATGATGATGATGCCTGCCTATCAGAGCAAACACCCATTAGCCACAACTTTTTGGAGGAGAGCGGGAAGAGAGAAGCATACCTGGATGATAAACAGGATAATTGGATTCTGGGGGTCATAGTGTGTAGGATTCTCGCCCTCCAGAATCCCACCCTGCGGCGTAACTGAATTCCCAGCAGTCGCGGAAGCGGAAGCAGAGACTGAGGCAGCGGCAACCGTCGCCGTGATGGTTTCCGTAAGAAAGGCAGTGACTGTCGTCGCCATCGTGCTGAGAGCCCTTGCAGCCGGTTGTTCACCTGAGCTCGACTAGTATATATGCTGTTTGACTGGTGGTAGACTGTATGCTACTCGTCTAATAGATCAGGTGGTTATGGTGTTGTGGCAGGGCACCCTCCCTCTGACTGCGAGGGTGTCGGTCCGAGCACACACTTCATTCTAAGGCTGCATTACCGAATCTACCCCAGGAAACACTGATAACCGAATGATCAGATAAGGTCTAATATTCCATCTACATGATATCATGTACTTAGTACTTTCGAATGGTCTATTCTCGTTATTTGCTCGTTCTTCCCTATAGCATGGTCTCCTACTCTTCTGGATCATCAGGTGCTCAAGCGTCCCGCAATAGTCCGACAACCCTCTTCTCATCTCCACGATCTGTACGATCTCTTAGACATTCCCCCAAATCCTCCCCTTCGCAAACTCCCACTCACTCCTCAGCCCATCACCATTCCCACCCTCCTCCTCCGCAACCTCCTCCCGATTAATCACGCCATTCAGCACACCCGCAATCTCCCTCACCCCTGCCTTCAGCTCTCTATCATCGTCTTGTGCGGAGTCGGAGAGCCATTTGATGATTCCGGGGAGATAGGGACGAAGGATGAGGTAACGGCCGTGTGGACTTTCTGGGCTTGCAACGACGGCGGGGCCGGAGGTGGAACCGGCGGTTGAGGGTGTAGGTGCTGGTGTGAACAGGGAAAGATGCGCGTAGGGGTTTGTCGTCCGAGGTAAGGCATACGCCGGGTGCACACACCGATTCGGCACCCTCTCCTTCTTTGCACCTCCCTCCCCCTCACTCGCAACATGTAATCCCATCCTCAACATAACCCCCAAACACTTCAAATGCCTCCCCCTGCTGATCTTACCCCCCAACCCACTTGTATTATTAACCCGCTTCCCATTATCCACACCCAGCCCCGGGACGCTCCACCCCAACAGGCCCGCGAACCCTGTCCAGACCTTCAGGGTCCACGCACTCACTACGGCGTTTGAACTCGCTTCGAGGAGCCAGTGGAGGAATCGGGTAGAGTATCCGCGGACGCCGGGGGCGATGTGGGTCATTGCGGAAGAGATATAGAGGAGGAGAAGGGGGGTGTGGGGGGTTAACCAGGTGACTTCGTTGGGCGCGAGGGATTCGAGGAGGGTTAGGAGGGCTTGTCGGACTTTGGGTTCGTCGTCGAGAATTAGGGGAGCGAGGGCTGTGATGATAGGCGAGAGGTGGAGGGGGCCCGGTGGGTGTTTTTTCAGGATATCTGTGAGGGCTGTGAGGGCCGCTGTTCTGTTGGTTGCGGAATAATGTTTTGTCAGTGCGAGGTGGTGATCGAGGGTTTGTTGGTCGAGGGTCGAGGAGGCAGGCGCTTCATCAGGGTTCGCGGCTTGTACATCGGTAAATTGGGTTGGTAGCGTAACAGCTTTCGACCGGAACGAAGTATCTGTGAAATTGGCCGGCTGCGCCTTCGACTTGCCCACCTTCAACTTTCTTTTCTACCGTCCTCGTCATTAGTCCTTGATTCGCAAGTTCGGGAAAGAGGGAAAGGCCTACGGCAAAGTCAGCCTTCTTCTCCTTCTTCTTTTTCGAGGCCTTGGGCATGTTGCTGGATTGATCTGACGGGGAGGTGTAACGTAGATTCAGCGAAGGTTTCCTATCGATTGCTGTGCCACACCAGCCTCACGTACGAGCCGGTGCAATACACCCCTCCCTCCATCGCTGTTGATCCGCTGTTGATCCGCTGTTGCTTATTGCTTGATGCCACCATTCATCTTCACCCTCCCAACGACCGGCGCCCTCTCCTGGTCAACCCTCCTCCACTTCACTCCACCCTCAACCTCCCCTCACCTCACAACAACAACAACCCACCGCGCCCGCCTCCGTGACGTGCTCAAACGTCTCAAACGCGCTTCCCCCGCCGACATCGACTCAGATCTCTTCTCGGTAGTCAATGTCATCGAGGAGTATTTGCCGTATCTGTTTTGGCTTGCGCGGGGGTTGAAGGAGGGGTGGATCAGTACGAGGGAGGGGGGAGGTGGGGCGGATGAGGTTAAGTTGGATTGGAGGTGTACGTTGCTCGACACGAAGGTTCCGGGCAAGAGTCAGCCGCGGATCGAAAACCTCCCTGGGATCGATTATGAGATCTTATTCGTGTTTCTGACATACGCCTACGCGCTCTCGAATTACGCCTCATCACTCCTTGGTCGGCCATCATCACCATCAGCTTCATCACCAGCATCGGCGGCGGATAGGAGATGGAATCAAGCGGCGGAGAATTACGCACGCGCAGCCGGGGTCTTCACATACCTCAGCAATACCACCCTCCCCTCCCTCCTCCCCTTCTCCACGAGCCTCCCCGAGACATCCCCGCATACCCTAACCGTCCTTCACCTCACCACCCTCGCCTCCGCACAGCACTGCGCCCTCCTCCGCGCCGTATCAACAGGAAAGACGAATCCAGGCGTCTTGGCCCGGTTAGCAGCGAGTTCATACGAACACCTCTCAGCAGCCTCAGGCGCACTATCCTCGACCCCCTCCCACCTCGACACAGACTTAAAGAAACACATCCTCACAGCACAGAAACAGGCAAAAGCCCGCGTCTTACTCTATATGGGGCACGAAGCAGAGAAACGGGGAGAAATGGGAGAAGCTGTTGCCGCCTCTCACGCTGCTGTCGCTCTCTCCGCCGGTGATGCGCCATTACAGAAGGAATGTGAGGAAGCGTGGAGAGCGTGGAAGAAGATTAATGATGGGGTTACGTTTTTGGCCGTGCCGGGTGTGGGGGAGATCGTGGGGCGGATGCCGAGTGGACGGGAAATTGTTAGCGTTAAGGAGTTTGTGGAGCCGGCGTTGAAGGAAGAGGATGGTGAGGCTGATGTTGATGGTGCAAAAGGGGAGGAATATGCGGGGAAGGGACAGTATTACTAGAATCTTGTTGCCGTGGGAAGCATTCCGGACAATCTGGATATGACACCGGAGGGATGTAGTTTTGAAATCATCCACTGTGTTACATCTGCTGAGATAACCTTAGGCCTGTTTCTGCATTTGCTCAACTCTTAGTTCTTGCGTCATCATCAGAAATTGTCATCCAGTCGACATTTACTTTTGCGGACGAACCCACGTTTGATATCTGGACCGAGTTGAAATGAAAACTTCCCAGCATGTATAAAGATGATCACTTGTAGGGCTACGCGCCTTTGTCAGTCCAAAACATACCGAAAAATATGCGTGGGAAATTGGGTGATTCGCAGATTCTTCTTCCACACCCATAGCTGTTCCTTCCCCGTCAACTGCAACTTTGCCCAGCTCCACATTCAACCTCACGCATACTGGTATTTCTGTCATGATTTCAGTGTCATCACCGCTATCGACCTGACTCAGAACTCAACAACATCCTTCAAAAGCGTCCAGCAGGGGATGGTATGTCAAGCTAGCTCGAGACGTATACCTCTGCACTTTGATTTGGACCCGTTTCTGGTGATTTGGGGTTACCGGCCACAGTCTACCATCCACAGTACATAAACAGACAAAATATTGCTCCGGAGATTATATCACACGCAGTCAAATTCCTTACATTAGCATGCCCAATCCCAAAAGCGAATGCCAAAAACTCCTCTAGTGGACTATCTTCTCCTCTCCTCTCTTCCAATTTCTCATTCTTTTCCAGTATTGCGCTATAAAACTTAGAGCTTCAAGTTCTTCAAGTACTCCTCAGCAGCAGCAACAGCCTCATCGACCTTGCTGACCTCCGTACCAACACCCTGGCAAGAGTCAGGCTTTCCACCAGCACGACCACCAACGATCTTGGAGACGGCTCCAGACCACTCCTGTGCGTTGACACCCTTGCCAGCAGCGTCCTTAGAGACGATACAGGCATGCGCAACCTTACCATCCGCAGCGGCATCAGCAGCCAACAAGTAAACAGACTTGTCCTTCGCGTTCTTGGAAACGTGCTTGATAGCCTCCTGCAAAGCCTTGGGGTTCGCAGAGACATTGGGCACAACAGCAACCATGAACTGAGCCTCCTTGTTCTCCTCGATGTACTTCTTGACAGCCTCGACAGTCTCCTTGGACTCGGCGTTCTTCTTAGCCTTCTCCGCATCGGCGACCTCCTTGGAGATCTTGGCGAAACGGTCACGGAACTCCTGCTTACGGACAGCGGAGATGGAAAGGTTGTTCAACTCAACAGAGGTGGACTTGACCTCAGCCTCTTTCTGAGGACCAAGGGCCATCTTGTCAAGGGTGTCGAGACGAGCGGAGAACTCGTTGGCCTCGCGGGAGACGCGGTGAGCCTCCTCGCCGGTGACAGCGATAATACGGCGGATACCCTTCGCGATACCGGACTCCTCGACGATGACGAAGTCCTTGATGTCACCAGTCTTGGCAACGTGAGTACCACCACAGAACTCGATAGAGGTTTTCTCCCACCTTTCGTTCTTGGGGTCAGCGAGGATGTCCTCAATCGAAACACCGACGGAGACGACACGGACGGGGTCAGGATAGGTCTCACCGAAAACGGCACGGACACCGGCGATCTCTTTGGCGAGGTCGAGCTTGACGTCCTTGGCGTAGACTTTTACATTGTCCTTAACGGCGATGTTTGACAACTCCTCAACCTTAGCCAACTCGGGGATGGTAAGACCGGTCTTGTGGGTGAAGTCGAACCTCAACTTCTCGGGAGCGACAAGGGAACCACGTTGGTGTACGTTGTCACCGATGACCTCGCGGAGAGCGTAGTTGAGAATGTGAGTTCCGGTGTGGTTGTTGCGGATGGGCCATCTTCTTAACTCATCGTACTCGCAAATAACCTCGTCGTTGACCTTAAGGGAACCGTACTTGATGTAACCGGTGTGGAGGACGTAACCAGCGTAAACCTGGGTGTTGTCAACCTCGAACTCAGCCTGACCATCGATGATAATCTTTCCGGTGTCGAACTCCTGACCACCCTGCTCGGCGTAAAAGTTAGTCTTGTCCAAGAGGATACCGATCTGCTCGCCCTCCCGGGATCCCTCGGTAGTCTGAGCGAAGTCCTTGTTAGAGAGAACGATAGCCTTGACCTGGGCGTTGATGTTGCCGAGCTCGTACTTGTACTTGTCGTCAGTCTTAGGAACCTCATCCATCTCAGCGAGTTTACCGAGAACGTGCACGTCAAGCTTCAAAAGCTCAGCACCCTTACCACCAGCATTACGGGAAGCACGAGCAATGGCCTTGGAATCCTCCTGAGCCTTCTCGAAACCCTCCTCATCAACACCAAGGCCATTCTCCTCAGCCATCAAGCGGGTCAAGTCGACGGGGAAACCGTAGGTCTCGTATAGTCTCCAGACATCGGCACCCTCCAACTGCTTAGCACCCTTGGCCTGAGCAGCCTTAAGGTACTGCTCGAACATCTTCTCTCCGCGATCTAAGGTACGGGAGAAAGACTCCTCCTCCTCATCCAAAATCTCCTTAACATCACCCATCTTGTTGTTGAGCTCTGGGAAGATGTCGGACATCTGGTCAACGAGGACGGGGGCGAGGCGGGAGAAGAACGATCCGATGGGAACGTTGAACTTCTTGCGGATGTAACGGGCACCACGACGGAGAATACGGCGAAGGACGTAACCACGACCCTCGTTGTTGGGAACACCACCGTCACAGATGGCGAAGGTAAGAGTACGAACGTGGTCAGCAACGACACGGTAAGCAGTGTCGATACCGTCGACATCCTCCTCACCGTAAGCACCGCCGTACGGCCGTGCGCCGGTCAGCTCCTGAATCTTGTCGAAGAGAGGGGTGAAGACATCAGTGTCGTAGTTAGACATCTTGTTCTGAAGAACAGACACGAGACGCTCGAAACCCATACCGGTGTCAACGTGCTGGGCGGGGAGGGTCCTCAAAGTACCATCAGCCTCACGGTTGTACTGCATGAAGACGTTGTTCCAGATCTCGAGAACGTTGGGGTCATCCATGTTAACCAAGTGCGCAGCGTTACGTCCACCAATACGGTCGAAGTGCAACTCGGAACAAGGTCCACAAGGTCCCTGGTCACCCATCTCCCAGAAGTTGTCCTTCATGTTTCCAGGCAAAATGTGATCCTCCGCAACACCAACTGACAACCATAAATTCTTCGTCTCCAAATCAGGGCCCAACCCGGCCTTTTCCGAACCCTCGAAGTAGGTGACGTAGATCCTGTCAGCGGGGAGACCGAAGGTCTTGGTGAGGAGCTCCCATGAGTACTCGATAGCCTCCTTCTTGAAGTAGTCGCCGAAGGACCAGTTACCCAACATCTCGAACATGGTGTGATGGTAAGAATCGCGACCGACATCCTCGAGGTCATTGTGCTTTCCTCCTGCACGGATACACTTCTGGGAGTTGACCGCACGCTTCCACTTGGCGGCCTCAGTCGTAGGGTCGACAGTACCGAGGAAGATAGGTTTAAATTGGTTCATACCAGCATTGGCGAAGAGAAGGGTGGGATCATCGTGCGGGACAACCGAGGACGAAGGGACGTAGGTGTGTCCCCTCTCCTTGAAATATTCCAAAAAGGTCGTTCGCACCTACCCATAACACATCAGTTCCAATTCAAAACAAAGTCCGAACCAACCCTCCTCACCTTCCTAGATGGCCATTCCTGCGACTCTGCCATTCTGTCGTTGGCGTTGTTATGACTGTGACTGTAACGAAGAACTTGTCGCGATGCAAGCAGTCGAGAAAAACGCGAGGTGCACCGAATACCCACCGAAACGGGACGAAAATTCAACTGGAGCAAAGGACGAGGCCAAATGCTCATGAAATATCGACCGTAACTTGTTTGATCGTGGATCAAAGCTGAAGTTTACGTGCGATGAGAGAGGATTCCTGGCGAAAGAAACGATCTGCTGCGGAGGAATTTGGGGATGCGGGTGATGAAGGGGGTCATGCGAGTAAGAAGTTGCATCTACAGTTTGGAGATTTGTCTTTAGGAACGGGAGATGAAGGAGGAAAGGCTAATGGTACGTCCTATCGTCCGCCCGTTCTGAGCCATAGCCCGCTAACTGCCTGACACAGTCCCACCTCCGCCTTCAAACCCAGAGCCTGCCAACCTTGATATCAATGATGACGACGTCCCCATGCCCCAGTCGACCTCCTACGAGAAAGACGCATACACAACCGTGATCACCTCGCTCGAAGACGACATCGTCGACTCGCCTCCTTCCACGCCGAAAGTCACTGTCATCGGTAACTTCTCGGCCGCGGCACCTATCCCGCCACGGCTGCTCAAGACTATTGCTTTACCCGAGCCCAGTGATGCCAATAGTTTGGTTGTGTGGAGGCCGCCGGTTGTGGAGGAATTTGTGAACAAACAGGCGGGGGCAGCAACTGAGGCCCGAGAAAAAGTGCTGGAGGAGGTGGGTGTGGACGGGAACGATACGGAGCTGGATATGGCGGATGACGAGTACGATGGGTACGATGAAGATGCTATGGACACTGAGTGATCTGGTGCGCAGCATACGTTGTTGCTACTAGCTATAAACAGGTGCTTAAATGAGTACTTGTACGTTTGTGGATTGACAGCATATGCTACAGAAAGGCGAAATCTGGTGGGTCTAAGTAATTGAGGGAGGTTTCGATCCAGTCAGAAGACAGTCTTATGTCCTTAGGCAAAGGTCAGCTGCCTCTCCTTCTGCCTCCGTGCTAAAGAGGTGAGATCTACCAAGTTTGTGGCGATGTGTCAAGATATTAGGGTACGCGAGGACTTCTGTACGTCAGCTGAATGAAAGTGTATGATATCACCACAAGCTAGGAGTTCCTGCCCCGCTCGATTCCTGATCTCATCAAATCCCGTTGTATCTTTCACCGTACCTCACCATCCCAGAATTTTTCTTCGCTTCATCTTCCCCCTGCTGAACTTTCTTCACCTAGGCCCTAGCCGCGGCCGCAGCCGGACCCTCCTCAAAGGCATTCTCAGCCTTCCATCTATCCAAGTAGTACTGTCCACGGAATCCATCCTTGTATCCCCCGAACCTTGACTTTATTGGAGGGATGTGAGTTCCAATAAAGGGAGTCAAGCGGGTGTCGGCAAGGCCGGCGGGAACAACATAGGTGCGGACCTTGCGGTAGTCGATGATGTAGTTTCCGTGCTTGGTATGTCTACCCATGGCACCGGTGCGTGTTCCCTTGTAATAGTTGCGACCTGTGAGTAGAAGTTAGCATGCCCGGTTGGAGACCGTGGTGAAACGGGGAGAACATACCCTGCTTGGTAGTCATGGCAAGACGGCGAGTGCCCTCACAGACCTGTGTTGGCTTGAACATTGCTGCTGGTATATGTGTATTCCTGATAGGATTATGATTTCTTGGTGGTGTCCTGCTCGTACGGCATGAAATCCGGGGGACCCCTGCTGCGCCCGACTGCACCCACCTTCCAACCCGGAACGCGATGTGTCAAGACATACAGGGTACCGTTGCGTGAGGAAACTTGTACGTTGCTGAATGAAAGTATATGATTTAACCACAAGCTAGTATCCTCCCTGCGACGTCCAATGCGAGACCTGGTGCTCCGGCATGAGTTTCTAGGAGTGAGGTAGCTGTAGCGAGGTGGATTCGGAGCAATTAAGACAAAACATGAGGCTCAATGCGAATGCTGGGTATATTCTTGATAATAGAGAACTCCTTTTCCTAAGCCTATTGTCAGCACATTTTGCACAATCCAATGAGGTCAAGGACCCACCATCTAGTCTACCGCTCCTTCTTCTCCTCTGCCACTATTGCAGCCGGTTCCGTCGCACCTCCCTCCTTACTCTTCTTCTCCTCCTCCTCCTTGACCGCAGCAAGCTCCTTCAAGAACCATTGCACACTGACACACAGCCCAATTGCGACCGCTAGGAGCGCAAAGACGTGGATATTCCGCGTCATGAATGCCAGAACGGTGAGAAGGCTGATCAATGCGATGAAGGATGCATTTGTGGCTATGACCAGGGTTGGGGTTGGTCCAGGTGTGAAGATTGAGTCCCATAGAGATACAATGAAGGCAGTCATGGTTGATGATTGTGAGTTGGGATTTGGGTTGTAGGTGGGGTGTACGGGATGCAATTGAGGTGAGTTTGGCGCCTGGATGTACGAAGCCACACTTTAAGTATCCAAAAAATCCTAACCGCCAAAACACAGCCGACACAGAGTGACACAAATGAAAGTCTATGATATCACAACTAGCTATTATCGCGATCGTTCGCTCTCCGCCATGATACCGGTCCTGGTGCTTCTGCTCCACCTGAAATCTGGATTGTGGGCAATGTAGAGACATCCCGTGTCGCGTCTCATACAACATACTCCCTACCCGTAACCCCACTCTCGTCCTTCCCCCTCCTGAACCCCGTATACGCCGGCGGCGGACTCGCAACTCCCCCCCCTCCACTTGCTGCATACGCTCCCATCTCATACTGCTCCGGATGCAACGCCGTCTGACTCTGTGCATGACTTGCCATACCATACCCCGTATACCTATACCCAGCACCTTGTGGTCCCATGGGAGGTGGACCAGGAGGTGGGTGTACGGTGTATTGCGGGGGTGGGTGGGTTTGGTAGACGTAGGATGGCACCATCCAGCGGTGGTAGCGATAGAGCTATCCCAGATACCCAATTAGTATTCGTCATTAGACAGAGTAGCGGAGTGTAAAAGGATAGGGAGGAGCGACATACAGATTGGTTCCGACTCGCACGTATCCGGGCATGGATCAATGCGAGAAGGAGGAAGAGTGCAACAGCGGCTAGGATGAGGCCGAGGATAATGTGCCAGGCGACGACGTAATTGTTCTGTGACCCGACCATCAGCATTCATCCCAGGGAATGGTCCAAGGTCTCACCCCGTCGTTATCGCCGTCACCGACAAAAATGATTTGACGTCGTTCAATTGGTAGTACTGCCATTGCTCGATCACTGTTAGACTCTAGTCCCTCTGGATAGGTAGATGGCGAAGACAGAGGTGTAGGTAGGACTAATTCTTGGCTAGGGTTACAAGACGTCGCTATTTTTACCTTGCCACGCGTACGGTTTTGCGTGGAATGGAAATTAAGGTTCGGCGCGGGAGTGCGGAAGCCGGGAACGGAGATGCAGGCAAGTGAGGTCATGCCAAGACTGCGGGCAACCGTGGATCGAAATGGCTATTGAAAATCTCGTGGCTGGATCAGGACAGGAGCCAGTTGGAAAAGGAGCGAGGCAGACCTGAGATCTAGAGTGAGGGAAGAACCGAAACGGTGTTGAGATCACTGGGTTCGAGGTATCGCGGTTTGAAAACTGAGCTATGACATCAATCATCCTCGATAGTATAGTGGCTAGTATACGCGCCTGTCACTAGGCTCGCGCGGGACCCGAGTTCAATCCTCGGTCGGGGAGCACCTTTTTGCTGTTTTTCGGCCCATCATTCCACTCAATCTTTCTTGGTATGATCTCAAACATTTCAATTTGCTACTTCTGTCGCTGCAGCTGGTGAGGCAAATCGTCACCATTTGGCATGCTGCACTGAGTGGTCGGCACATGTTACCCGATTTCGATTGCCGCTCGCTACACCGGCACCCTTTCCCATACAAGCCAAGAGTCGACCGCCTTACATAATCCCACCCATGTCCTGGAATACCATAGTTGCACCCTGGAAATGTCGATGTCTCCTTGCAATTGACCATAGACCATGCATTTATCCACGACAAACCCATTGGAAGAGGAGAGTGATGCACCGACGACGGACGACTACAAGGCTGCTGCTCGTGCTGAGGCGGATCTTGCGCGAAGAGAGGAAGAGGAGGGCGAGAGGCAGCAGCAGCAGAAGGACAGGCTGAAACGGAGAGACAGCGGTGTACAAGCAGCTGACAATAATGGCAAGCATGAAGGGAATGACCAGGACGACGACGATAACGAGAGCACCGGCACCCAAGAATCCGAGCTTGACCCGATGTCCGTCAGGGCACAATACACCCACGACAGCGACGGAAACCCCTACCCAGCCGCCGGACGTTCAACTGCAAAATCACATTCCGTCCTACAATCCCTCCACGACAAAGTCACCCATCTTCGTCATGGCCTAACACAAGGGCATATACCCCTCACCGACCTTGAACGCGGCCAAACACCCGATGCCGCCCAAAGCTCCGGTCGCGGTCAACAAGGCGAGAACATTGACGGCCAACCCCAAGCCGGCGAACAAACAAATGTTCAACACGCACCAGCATTCACTAACCCCCTCTTCCCACCTCTCCCGCTCTACGGTCCCCCGTCCTTCCTCCGCTCCCTCCAAGTCGGATTCTTCCGATGTATCGGACTTTTCCTGTCCCTCATGTTTCTCATGTGTGTCGTCCTCGGCGCCGAAGTCACACATATCCCCGTCACCGCACGGCGTCTTTACAACCTCGCTTTGGGTCGGGATCCAGATATGAATCGTCCATTTATCGAGTTGGAGAGGCGGCGGATGAAGGAGAGGAAGGAGAATGGAAGGGTGAATGCGAAGATTACGAGGGATGTGGGTTATTATGCGAGGATGGTGGGGTTGGATTGTGCGGAGGAGACGTGTGTGACGGATGATGGGTTTGTTCTTCATTTGCATCATATCATTGATCCAAATCCGCCTCCCCACCTTCTGTCCGAACGACTTGATCACGAGAAGAAACGGTATCCGGTATTGCTTCTACACGGGTTACTACAAGCTGGTGGCTCCTTCTGCACGAATGACGAAGACTCCCTGGCGTTCTGGCTCTGCAAACAAGGCTACGACGTGTGGGTCGGAAACAACAGATGTTGGTTTAACCCCCAACATGTCGTTTTAAAATACGGTGATCCGCGAATGTGGGCCTGGAACATCCGTCAAATGGGAACCCTCGATCTCCCAGCCATGGTCCGACACATTGGTACCAAAACACGGACAGAGAAAGTCGGACTCGTCGCGCATTCTCAGGGAACGACACAGACATTCGTTGCGCTTGCCCGCGAACAAGTACCTGGCTTAGGAAACCAGATCAGCGTATTCTGTGCCCTCGCGCCAGCGGTCTACGCCGGCCCCCTCATCTCCCGCGCTCAATTCAAATTCATGCGAATCCTCTCCCCAAGCATGTTCCGAATCTTCTTTGGCATCCACGCTTTCATCCCCTTCATGGTCTGGATGAACAAACTCCTCGTCGGCCGCGCACGATTTCTCGGCGTACTGTACGGGTACCTCGGATACCTCGTCTTCGCATTCCTTTTCGGCTGGAGTGATCGACGCTGGGACCGTGGGTTGCGGAGTAGGTTTTTCGCGTTTGCGCCGTGTTATGTTAGTGCGGAGAGTATGCGGTGGTGGATGGGGAGGGATGGGTTTGCGAAGCATAAGTGTATTTTGGAGGATGGGGAAGGGGAGGGGTGGTATGGGGAGAGTATGCCGCCGGTTGCGATGTGGCATGGAGGTGCGGATCGGTTGGTTGATTCGAGGAGTTTGCAGAGGAGGATGAAGAAGGAGGAACATGTGAAGGTTGTCAGGGATGTGGTGATTGATGAGTATGAGCATCTGGACGTCATCTGGGCTGTTGACATGATCGAGAAAGTCGGAAAGGGCGTCCGAGATGCGATCTGGGAAACAGTGGAGGGCGATGGGTGGGTTTGTCCTATCGGATGCAAAGAAGAAGATCGAGGAAAGAGTGTGAAGAGGGAGGGTGAAAGATACGGAGAGATCGCACCGGGTGGCGGAAGAGGGCGGAGAAGGAGTACGAGGACTAATGATGAGCAAAAGGAGGACGAGGGGAGGAAGAGGACGGGTGAGATGGGAAATGCCGATGAGGAGTGATGGATATAGATATGTGAATTTGAAATGGTGTCTATCTTGGATGGATTGGCAGGGATCATGGCGGTGTTTGCATTTTAGCTATAGAGATATCATTGTTCCTTGATTTACTTATACCAACGAAAATAGCCGGATCATCTTCTATTCTGGCGGCCCCGCATCGCTCTCCACACCCTTCCCCCCACCAAACCCAACAAACCCCTTCCATACCCATGGACCTCCCATATACTCCCACAGATCCAACCCCTGCCCCTCACCTCCAATGTCTCTCCACCCACCCCTAACCTCCTCAAAACATCTCCGAGCTTCCTCTGGCCCGACCTTGTTCTGGATCGTAATGTGTGGCCGAATGGGTTGTCGGTCTTGCTGAGTTAAGTACGGGTTAAGCTTAGGCGCATGTTGAATATGAGCATGTAAATTCCGTAGCTGAGGAGGCGCAGCGAGCTCCAACCCCACTCCCTTTGGATTTGCTCTCCCGCCCAGGAGGAACGGATGCTGTAGCACGACGCCAAAGGGTTGGAGACTATGTGCGACATCTTCCACCTCCCGCACAAGATCTTGATACTTGTCGGCTGGGATGGCGTGGAAGAGGGTTAGGTGTGCTGGGAGGTGGTTCTGTTGGGGTGGGAAGTAGCGAGTACGGAGGGCGGTTAGGGTATGCGCGAGATCGGGGGAGAGACGAAGGGTTAGGATTAGTGGAGGTGGAGCGTCGGGGTTGGCGCTGTGGTTAGGGTTTCGGTGGTAGTTGTGTTTTGGTTCTGAGTGCCGATGAGAGGCAGCGGATCCTGGCTGGTGGTTATGGCTGGGGTTGCGTCCATGACTCGAGTTCGAGCCGGCACTTGAGGCATTCCCGGCGTCATGGAGGTTACGCATGGCGGAAGAGGTCGAACGGAAGGCGAGATAGAAAGCTGATCTGACATTAGACACGATCTCTCGATGGTTAAGTGTACTCACATCTTGTTGGAGGTCTTAACATTGATGTCGTTGCGGTCCGAGCGTTCATATTTGAGGTGCTGCTCGGTAACGTAGACATCGATTTACAGTGCTGCCTCGTGACGTCATTCAACCCGCGGGAAACCCCTAACCATCCTCGATTCACAAATCCTTTTATTGCTGAAACTGAATAACTGTCTCCTTCACATCTGTAATATTTTCCACCCGACCACCCTGTGCTTCCTCCAACTCCCGAACCCTCAACCTCAACCGCACATTCTCTGCTTCAGTCTCTTTCCATTTCACATACCATCGCTCTTGTGCCAGTGGTGCAACACCATCCAGTTGCTCCTGTGCTCGAACCACAGCGTTCAGGAGGAGTTCGTTCGTTTCTTTCAGTGTTCGGATGTGCGCGTGTGAAGCCCCAGGCGAATGGGCGTGGGAAGAAGGCAACCCTTGAATAATGGTAGGTGTCCGAGAAAATAGGGACCCAAAAGTGGTTGTTCGCGTAAGCCGATGGGTATGTGCTGGATCATCAGCGTTGGCTTGAGCCTGTCGTCGTGTGAGTTCCCGCATTCGAACGCGTGTGCGTCGACGTTCGTAATCTGCCCATTCGCGGCCGTAGTTTGAGCCGATGATGGAGGTTGGGAGGGCAATTACCATCATTCCTGAGAGTGCTGCAAGACACTACCACACCCAGCATCAGCTTGTCCAACAGGCGCGGAGGAAGATCAAATGGGAGGGCACATACAGCGATAAACCGCCCCACGTTCGTGATAGGATACTGATCCCCATACCCCAGCGTCGTAACAGTAACAACAGCCCAATACCAACTCCCGGGAATACTCTGAAACGGACTAACACTCCCATCGCTCCTAACCCACACCCCCTGCCCCTGTTTCCACGTCCCCCTCTCCGCATAATACACACAACTCGCCGCTACCAAAATGACGATCAAGGTGTAAAATGAGACAAGGAGGATCTGGGCTAGGGAACGACGGAAGACGCGGAAGGTAACTTTCATCCCGATTGACCATTCTGTGAATTGGCCGACTTTGACGATGCGGAAGAGGAGGAAGATGCGGAGGACTTGGAAGATTCGGGCGGTGGGGGTGTTGGTTTGGATTAGCTCGACCCTATATCACAACTCATCAGTAAATGCTCCCTTTTGTCACATCTCTTCGAGACAAGAGGAGGGTTAACCAAAATGGCACACTACTAAACGCATCAATCAAATTCAACGGTCTCAAACACCACCAAACCCTCCCCCAAACACCCCCCCTCCTCCTCCCCGCCCCAACCCCAACCACCCTCCCCACAAACTCCACCAAAAAAACACATCCCATAACACCGTACGCCGGCCCCCACCACCTCTTATACTTTGCACTTCCCCACTCATTCCCCACTTCTTGAAACCGCGGCAGTGAGGAAACTGCGATGATCGCGATCGAGGCGAGCACGCAGAGGGAGGAGAGGAATGAGAATGCGCGGGCGAGGGGGGAGGAGGGGAGTTCGAAGAAGAAGTAGAAGGAGTTTGAGAGGGGGGAGCAGTGGGCGCGGGATTCTGCGTCGGAGAGGAAGGGGTCCGGGGAGGATGTTAGGGACCCTTCATCGAGATTGAAGGTGCTGGAGGGATCGGGATTGGATTGTGATTGTGTGCGGGTTGGGTAGACGATTGGGACGGGCATAGCCATGGGCAGTGATTGATCCTTGATGTCTTTCTCATTGAAGACCATTCTCCAACCCGATCGTAACAGTAGATCCCCTTCCCTTGTCAGTCACGGGGAGTTTTGTCGCAGCTCGCGATAAGATCTCGTCAAATGTGCATCGCAAGGTAAACCGGGCCGACCGCGCGCGATAAACTCGACCAGCCTAAACTTTATTTTCCGAGGCATCAATTGCCGAAGCTTTACATCCCTCGTAAGAGTATGTCCGTACTGGTAGGATTCTATAGTTCATCACGTCCTGTTACTTCAGCGGCAATCGCCGTAAGAACACTCGTCACAGCGCCTCTCATCCCCCCCACCTCAATCGCCTCCGCAAGCGTCGTCGTAACCACCGCGACTTTCTCCACAACCTCCCTCACAACCTCCCCCCCACTCCCCTTCCTCCCCACCCCCGTCAAAAACGCCACTGCCTTAACCCCCCTCCTAACAACCCGCCTATAGAATATCCACAAACAAGTCAGTATAAAGAATGCGAGTCCCCCCAAAATACACCACCGATCCACCCAATCCTGCCTCTCCAACACCCCAACCAACCGCCGACTCACCCCCAGCAACCGATCAAACGCTCCATACCTCTCCTGTAGTGCGGTCAGCGTGTGAGATGACTGCGCGAGGGCTTCGAGGGAGAGGGAGGATTGGTGGAGGGATTGCGAGAGGAGGGTGTGGGTGCGGTGGAGGGAGGTGGTTAGAGAGGAGGAGGCTGTTAGGAGGGCTTGGTCGCTGGAAGTGGCACCTGGGGGTTCGCCTCGGCGTTTGAGTTGGGAGGAGTGGGCAGATTCGGGTGCGACTCCTCCCAACAGCAATTCTCGCTCGCGCCGGGCGGAGGATTCGAAGATTTTCTTTGATTGTAGTAGTGCCTTGCGGTATGCGATCCGTGCTCTGCGTCGGGCCCATCGTTTAGCCTCCATCAAGAAACCCCACACAAGGGAAGGAAAGCACGCACGATTTCAAATCATCCCTCAACTTACTCGTCTTAACCTCCAACACCTCCCTCGTGCCCGGATCCCTCTCATACGATATATGCTCCACAACTTCCTGTAAGCCGCCTTGATCAGCACAGCACACCTTTTACAAAATGGTACGCCAGGCGCCGTACTGCAAGACTATCTTCAGCCTCCTTCAGCTCCCCACGAATCGCCTCGGTCAACTCGGATTGCACGCTCGCTGGACCTTCGAGTTTTGAGAGGCGGGATATGAGAGTGAGGGTGGATTTGTGGGTGGAGGCGATTGCGGAGAGGGTTGAGAGGAGGTGGGATTTTGTTGACATCTTGTTGGAGAATCAAAAAGCGGATGGTATTTGGCGGGGGGGTAAGGTTTACAGTAGTGAGGCGCGGCGTTGCAGGGGGGAGGGTCGCGTTCTCCGCTCGTCTGACGAAGAACAACAGCACAAATGTACGGCGACGCCTCCAACAAACTCATCCTCGACTCAAAACGCACCCTCTCCCTCGACCACCTCCCCCCCTACCAATCCTCCCTCATCACCTCCATCATCCGCGAAATCCGTTCCCTCACAAACGACACCCACACCCTCCTCACCACCGCCGGCCCCGACTTCATCCCTTCCCAAGACCCCGGCACCGCGTGTCAACTCCTGATCCACCACCTCTGTCGAGTCCGAAACAAGAGATGCTTGATGGCCTACCACCGCCTCCGCGCCCAACGAATCGCACAGCTCTGCTGGGAGGGGATCGAAGTAGAAGAAACCCGACGCGCGAATTGGAGTCCCGAGGAGGGTGAGTATGGACGGAGGTATAATGAACTGTTGGCGGGGTATAAGGGACAGTGGACCGATGTTGATTTGACGGGGAGTTTGGAGCCGCCGAGGGAGTTGTTTGTTGATGTTAGGGTGTTGCGGGATGCGGGGGAGATTCAGACGGAGTATGGGTGAGTTTTTGATTGGGAAGGGAGGGGGGGGGAGATTGGGATGTACTAATGTGTGTGTGTGTCTCTTTAGGGTGATTACGTTGACGAAGAATTCGCAGTTTTTTGTGCGGCAGGGGGATGTGGAACGACTCATCCAGCAAGGATATCTGCAAAAGTTGGACTGAGAAGACTCAGTATGATGAGAAGAGATACGATTGTCGTGCTGGACATGACAGTCACCAAGATCTCCAACATGAGATCCTGAATCCAGGACGACACACCAAGTAGTGAGAGAATCACCAACTGCAACACTCTTCGGTGTCAGGCTTACAGGGTAGATGACAAAGATGGATCTAGGCAACATTTGCATGTATTTGAGGTGCAAAAGGCAAATATCTATATGGTTTGACTATCGGTAAAAAATAAAACAAGTAGAAACTCCGAACCCATCCAATTCTTATCAGCACCATTCACCATCATAAAAAGTCAAACTACCCTCCTCTCTCAACCTCATTAAACAATCCACCCTCGTCCCTCATCCCCCACCCTCATCCCCGAAACCACCCTCCCAATCCCCGTCCCCAACTCAACCTCAACAGCAATCGCCCTCGACACCCCACCCCGCACCCGCCCCAACACCTCCTCAACACCCAAATCCCACCTCAACTCCCCCGGCCGCGCACTATTCCCACATATCGGACACAGTCCCGGATGCGCGCCCTCGAGATGTGTATGGAGATCGAAGCAGTTCAGGTGTGTGCATGTCCGGCCTCGGACGGGGGTGTTGATCCGTGCGCCGGTGGTTGGGTCGATGAGGGAGAGGGTGATTGTGTCTGAACGAACGGGGCTGCCGGTGTCGTGGAGTGCTGACAGCTCGGCATCCCGACTTGCGGCGATAGAGCGACACAACGGTAAAAACTCCTCCTTCGGAATCGTGTTTCGGGTATTTTGCCGTACCCCCCTATACAACCTCAAACTCGACTCGAAGATCCGGAGTTCGGTGTTGACGACATACTCCTTCGAAGGCGGTGTCGTGATTGCGATTTGGATGAGGTTTTGGCCCTGGTGGAGGTAGTGGTTGAGCCAGAGTTGGCCGTTGACGGGAGGGGCGCGATCGAGCATGATTGGATCGCCGTTGACTTCGACGAAGAAGCCGGAGGGGGGCCAAGCGTACGTTTTCGTAGATGATTGGGGAGAGAGACGGGTACAGACGAGACGGTATTCGTACTTTGCAGGTTTCATGATATCGTCCTCCAATCCTGTCAAGTCCGGAAACTTTAGGAGCCGGTCGGTTTGTCCGACGGAGAGGTGCAGTGATATCAGGCCGGGCTGGGAGAGGGACTCTAGTTTTTGGCGGACCACGGAGACGTGGATCTTACCTGGGTTTATGTGTACCGGAGGGGAGGCTTGGGCTGAAGATTCTACCACTGGAGCGTGGGGCTCTGACACGGCCTGTGCCTCCGCCGTATTCGATGTACTCGGTGCCACCGTTGGCGCCTGAGCCTTCTCTGGGTGACCCGGAGGAGGTGAATCTGAACCTGAAGGCAGAGGAGCAGGCGACTCTGGACCGGCTACATCCATGTCTCCTCGGGTTATCGCAGGAGGGAGCGATGGGACCGGTGCACGCCAGTGGACTGTCATCTGAACAGCTTGAATACGCCGGGCGAAGGCCTGATCGTTTCCGGATTCATTCACCTTAACACGTTTCGGAGTGTCGGAATCGGGCACGCTTGCTGATGGTGGTCTCTTAGCCGGTGTGGTTGGAGATAAAGTCATAGGCGACTCATGATCAATTGGGGTTGCTGCAGTTTGAACTGCCTGGCCTGCGTATCTCGCCTCATTCGCCGGGGGCGCTTGAATGACAATTTTTGATGCGGAGTGCATGGTTGGTGGACGCATCGAGGTCGGTAATGAAATCGGCGCCAGCGAGGAGGTGGAGGAAGACACCGGGGGTGCTGCACCGCGATGGTTGTTCTCAGGCTCAGGATACTCTTGAACGCTTTCAGGAACCCCGACAGGTGTTACGGGAACAAGGATTGGCGGCGAGGCCCGCTGTTCATCCGTTTCAGTATTACCCGCAGGGTTAACGACCTGGCCCGTAGCTGCAACATTGTCAGTTGCATCCTTCTTCCTGATCGACATAGTAGGCATGAAGTATACTGACTTCGAACTCTCTACCACGATGGGCGTCCCAAGTCTGTTAGTAGGAGCACCACTCTCCGAGATTGGATTCTCCTGGTTCGTCACGGCCTCCATCCTGGCTTCTTCCAGAATCTTAATCCGGAATGCCTCATCCACTTGGGCTTTCGGCACCTCTCCGCCAGCAGGAAGTGACGAACGCCTCATCAGATTATTCCATTGCGGGCGCGTTCTTCCTGCTGCTCTCGCACCTTCGGAATGATATTGTTGCAAGGGATCCACGGCTGGCTGATCAGGCGTTTCAGCAGCACTGGCTGAAGCGTATTGCTGCACTGCCATAGAAGGGCTGGACCGACTGTACACGAGCGGATGGACGAACAAAGCCTTGTGGCGAATGGGGCGTGCTTTGTGATGCTTGCCGGCGTGGAGGCGGTCCCATCTGAGTCGGAGACTGCACGAAGGGACCCCTCGTCGAAAGCACAGGCGTGTCAAGATCGAGCCTGTTCATATCAGGCAGGCCTGCGTGAGGCGACCCGCGGCTGTCACGCTTGGTAACAGCGTTCGCAGCCGAACGAAGCAGGGGGTCCTGAGAGGGATCTTCCGGAGTCAATGTGCCACTCCGGAGAAAGATATCCGTCACTCTCCTGACAGAGGCAGGTTGTGTAGTTTTTGTGTTCCCGTTCGATTGGTGCATATCAACTTCAGCTCCCTCGCGAAGACCGTGCGGACGCCTGCGTTCACCAGCAAGATTCTCCTGGAAGCTATTCATCGAGTCCAATATCTGTCTTCGTCCTATTTCATAGTACATTTCGCCATACGTCCGTGCAGCGTTGCTGTAGGCTATGGGTAGCGTATACCACATATTCTCTAGTTCGATCACGTCGCTGACAGGTCTACCAGCCTCTTCCAGTTCTCTGCGGACAGCCGAAAGGAGTTGCCGTCCCTTCTCCAAGTACGGATGGGCAGAAATACTCATGAGGGGTTGCTGAAGGTCCGCTATCTGGAGATAGTGGGGAACAGTGTACTGTCTAGCTTGCTGAGGTTCCTGCGGCGGTCGTGGTTGATGATACGACGTAGCCTGCGTCTGCGAGTCAGTCTGAGGCTGTCGCCGCGATGAAACTTGACCTTGTAGAGGGGGTACAGTGGCCTGCTCGAGACGCACAGTGCGCGCGGCCTGCGAAGCCGAAGCATGATCTGATGAAGATAGGGACTGTGTTGATCTGTGCCCTTGAAGCCGATATGTTGCAGCTTGTGGAGATCGCGTGACCGAGCCATACTGTGGAGGTATGGGTTGAAATGAGGTCAAAGACGGTGCTGAACCCTGCTCTTGCAACTGAGGGTTTCCGGGCTGCTGGGATTGCATAATCGGCGCATGCCGACGGGGAGAGAATTGAGGCGATTGCGGCAGCGATGACCGCTGGTGTGCTGGTCCTCGGGGCAGCGATGTCGCGGGCCGCTGAGCCTGCATGACCGGCACATGCTGAACCTGCGAACCGGTTCGAATTCGTCCCAGAGGTAACACATCGGGCAGATTGTCAAACCGAGCCGGGACTTCTTCCCTGCGAAGTGATGAGACTGTGGGTTGTGAGACCTCGGGTTTGAGCCGTAGAGGTTGTAGTGGTGCCAGTTGGTTTCCCTGTATAGATGATGCTGCGGTTTGCGCCGATTGCGTAAGTGGGAGATGCTGATAGCGCTCGGTTCGAGCTCTTGCTTCCTCAGTAAAAGATTCCCGCAGTCGCTGCTCAGGTCGCTCTATATATCGGGGCATACTGTGTCGAAGTGACTGTGACTGGAATGATTGACCTGTCTGACTCTGGACAAAGTGCTCTTGCTGCTGCTGCTGGTAATGCGGAGGTTGCTGCCCTTGCGAATAAACGTCCACCCCAACAAGCGGTTGCAACCCCCTCTCCGCCCGAATTTGATCACTATATTCCCATCGCTGCTCTGTGAGCTGATGTACTGTAGTCTGCGCTGGCACTTGCTGTTGGTAAATGACAACGGGCGACAGTAGCTGTTGCCGCAAGGCCTCTTGGCGACCTGAGCGACGGGGGCAGTTTGAGGCGGTCGCCCCGGTACCCCCGATTGCGCATAGCTATCCTGGACAGGTCTTACGATCCGTTGCGGCAGTACATCGTGGACATGCTCAGACCCTTCGTTTCGTCCTTGCCCAGACCATACGTTGTCCCTCCTCAGCAGCGGCTGCAGCTTCGTCTGGGGCCCAGGTATACGTTGTGATGGTGTAGGAGGCTCCTCTGACGTCCAATTCTTCTGCTGTTCTGACTCTTGCCGAGGCTGATCGGGCTGATCGGATTGCAGCGGGCGGTAGGAGAAAGGGTGCGATTGAGACTCCCTCCTCACCGAAGACGGGCATGACCGCGACCTCTCCTCATTTTCCTGGTCGTGCCCTTCTTGTAGTGCCTGTCGTTCCAACCCACTCTCCGACCGCGACTCCCGAAGTGCTCCAGAGTCTTTCCCCGACATAGCTACAGCTGTATGCGGCGCACTCATCAGTTTTCCGACAAAGCGAAACGGATGATCAGGCATTCTCAGTCGCACTGTTCCTCGCAATCGCAATTCTCTTCGCGGACGTTTAAGCTGCGACACAGATCCAGCCTTAGCTTCACCTATATATAAGCCAGGCCTTGCTCGTAATTGCAGCCATCGCGGCCCGGCGTAAGTGCCTTAATATCATCGAAGGCCCCGGTTCATGTAGCGGTCGGGGGTACCCTTGTATGCCCTGGGTCATGACGTCCTATCAGGAAAACGAGTCGGTCTGGACGGACGGACGAGTCGCATAATGGCAAAGAGTCCGTCCGGGCTTGGTGTCTGGTCTTATGGGGAAATGGGTGGGGAGGTAAGTTAAGGTTGGAGCGTTGTGCAGGGCCTGCGCTCGGAAGGGTCTTCCGAGCAGGGAGATCGCTTGAACTTTGGCACGTCTTGAAAGCCCTTTTGTACATGAAATGCATGAGATTATACGCTTCTATATCCCGCCTACTATTCGTAGCTAGATTGTGTATACACAACCATACCCTTCGCGGGTTCCTGCGGACGGGGGTGACGTTGTCATTGGAAACTCCTGCTCAGGGTAATCTCCTCCGTAGGACTTACATCACAGCAAGTTCGATAGACTGTTCAAGATGTCACAGAAATGCCAACGCTGCAAACACCCCATCATAATCCACGACTCCCTCTCCGACCCCTCCCCCTCAACCTACGACCTCCTCACCTCCGCCGCCAACAAGACCCAATCCACATCCTCCTCGCAGCTTCGTATCGATGAGGAAAGACGGGCACTGTATGAGCAGGCTATGAGAGAGGCAGGCGGAGGGGGCATAGGGCAGGGAGTGAAGAGGAGTCTTGTGCATCCAGGGGAGTCGTATGTCATGTTGACCCAAAGCCAATTTACACCCCCTCTTCTACACTCGTCTCCCTCCCCTCAAACACCCGACTCCAACTCGACGAGAGCGAAAGAGGTGGACAGAGGAACCCTGTCTCACCAAATCTCCATCTCGAATAAGCTCTTCGCAATCGTCTCTGCTCGAACCGATATCGACCACCCACTATGCGCGGACTGCGCTGATCTCCTTCTGGAAGCGATGGATCGGCAGCTCACGGAAGCTGGAAGGGAGCGTGACGCATACATATCCTTCCTTAAACAACTCAAAGCGGAACAAGGTTATGGAGATGCCGAGAAGGAGAGAGAGAAGGGGAAAGAGGTAGAGAGAATTCGGAGGGAGCATGAGGATGCGGTGAGGGAGTTGACGGAGTTAGAGGATGAGCGGTCGGAGCTGGAGGAAGAACTCAGGGGGTTGGAGATCGAAGACGTGGAACTGAGGAAAGAAGAAATTGCATTCACTCATCAACTCAACGCGATCCAAGACGTCCTCACCCAACATCTTACAGAATTGTCTCACCTCGAACACGAACACGCCAATGCACAACAAACTCTCAAACTCCTAGAAAGCACGAACATCTGGACAGACCTATTCACGATCAAGAAAGATGGGCAATACGGCACTATCAACGGATTACGGTTGGGGAAGTTACCACCGGGTACGCGTAATCCGGATCCACCTGACTGGAGTGAGATCAATGCGGCCTTTGGGTGGATTGTGTTGTTGTTTGACTCGATCAACCGTGCCTTGCTCGACGAAACCGACACGACGTGGCACGGCTTCAAGGGAGTTGAGTTACACCCGCTCGGGTCGCGGAGTTGTGTTACCCGATGGTCGACGGCGGAGGACGGGAAAGGTGGGAAGAGGGAGCGGTTGGAGTTATTCTCGGATTCGGCGATTAGCCGGATCTTTACGTTTCGACGGTTCGATACGGGGATGATCGCCCTCCTTTCCGCGATCCAGCAAATCATGCTACACCTCCTCCTCACCTCGCCTAAACACCCTTCCTCCCCCTCCACCACCGCCAATCCCCGGCCGGCTCCTTCCTCGCCGGAAGAATACGCCCGCTTGGCCCTTGGGCATGATCCCCCGCTGCCATGGGAAGTAGAGAACGATAGGATTTGGAAACTGGAGGCAGGGAAGAGGAGTGGGTCAGGGTGGAGTATTCGGTTGGCCTTTAATCAGGAGGAGAGTTGGACTGTTGCGCTGAAGGGTGTGTTGACGATTGGGAAGTGGTGTTTGGGGAGGATGGAGGGGAGGGGAGGGGTTGGTAAGTGAAGATGTCAGTGAGGGCAGATAAAGGGTTTGCGAAAGAACTGGGTTTGGCGTTATTTGGGATTTTGGGATATCTCGGGAGTCGGAGTGGATGTCTGTCTCTAAGTAGGGTCCTCAGCAGGAGAGGAGGTTTTGGGACATAGGCGTAGCTTCGCAAGCTTTTCTAAGCCATCTACTGAACCTCTTCCATCGGGGTCAGAAACTTCGAAGAATCAGCGACTCCTCCGCGGCGATATTTGGCGAGACTGCATCCCCTGCCCTGCGCACCCGGCAACGCGCTGACATCACCGCCGAATGGTCTGAGTCCACGCTGCCGTCACCCCCACACCCAGACCTCACCATCCTCTCCATCAATCGACGGACAATACGATGGGCCTTCATGACTTCACGGCCCACCTAAGACGCGACCTCACAAGATTGGTCGCATCCCGGAAAAACCACCGTCACGATGACCCAGCCGAAATCGAAGCAGACGAAGTGCGGGAGAAGATCCGGGATGAGAACCGATTCAGGTATCGAGGGACAGCTTATAAGCCAAGGAATTTGATTAACGGATACCCGGATACAGGAGTTTCGCGCCGCCGAGGGATTATAATGATGCCAAGTGGTTTGTCGATGGTCCGTGCCCCTTCTCCTTCTTCTTCTTTCCCTTCGATCCCGAGGTACAAGTGCTAAGACGAGGACGACAGGAAGGGATTACTTCTTCGCCCTCTCCCTTGCCTTCGAACGTGCCGAACACACCATCTACATCCTCGACTGGTGGTTCTCCCCCGAACTGGTAATCATATCTTCCAAGGTTTCTGCACAAACATAAGGCTGATAGGTAATGTGGTTACAGTTCCTCCGACGTCCAGCGAGTAAGAACGAGGATTGGCGTATTGATCGATGCTTGAAGAGAGCGGCGGAAAGGGGTGTCAAGATCTTTATTAGTGTTTATAAAGAGGTAGGCCATCCTTCCCCCGCTGAAATTCAACTTCCTCGGATGACTAACAGGCTCTAAACAGGTATCCAGTCTGCCTCACTTGTCGTCCAGACCATGTACTGACTGTGATACAGGTCACACAGGCAATGACCCTCTCCTCCGCCCACACCAAACACGCACTCGAAGCCCTCCACCATAACATCACCGTCCAACGACACCCTGACCACAACCCACTGGGTAGGGGATTACCGGGCGGTGATATCATCATGTATTGGGCACATCATGAGAAATTGGTTGTGATTGATCATAGCATAACGTTTATTGGGGGTCTGGATCTGTGTTTCGGAAGGTGGGATTTTCGGCAGCATCCGTTGTCTGACGTCAACCCGGAAAATTTGGAGTTGGACTTGTGGCCGGGGCAGGATTACAATAATGCGAGGATCATGGTATGCAAGTGGAAAGTCGTTGTAGCGTACCCTTGCTGATGAGATCTCTTTGTATAGGACTTTGCTGAGGTTGACAAGTGGGACGAGAATCGGTTGAGTAAGATCGAGGCGGCCAGGATGCCTTGGCATGATGTGCATTGCTCATTGGTATGTCAAACTGCGGCTGAGTTTACATTCGAAGCTTTACTTACAACCTGACAGGTCGGACCTGTAGCTCTGGATGCTGCACAACATTTCGTGGAGGTGTGTACATCGGTCCATTCTGACGAAGTTTCATCGAAGATCACTGACCGTTATACAGCGATGGAACTTCATCAAACACGACAAATACCGCCTAGACGAACGCTACCCCTACCTTGACCTCCCGCCTCCGGGCCCCGATCCAAACGGACAGGAAATCTTCATGCACGGCGAACAACATCCCCACCTCAAAATTCTCAACGACAAAGCCCACCGTCTATCCGAACGCTTCCAACACCCCTTCGAACGACACGGCGCGCACATGAAAACCCGCGCCCAAATCCTCCGAAGCGCGAGTGACTGGTCTCACGGTGTGCTTACCGAAGATAGTATCCAGGAGTGTTATTGTCGGGTGATTCGGGAGGCTGAGCATTTTGTGTATGCGGAGAACCAGTTCTTTAGTAAGTCCCGCCCTGCTCCGGATGCTTTGTTGCCAGGCATGCTGATTCGGGTTTGATAGTTGTTGGGACTGGGCCGGAGAGCAAGCCGGTTGAGAACATGGTTGGAAGGGCGATTGTGGATCGGATTATCAGGGCGCATAGGGAGGGAACGGAGTTTAGGATGATGATCACGATTCCGGTATGATTTGCCATTGAGAATGATTGAGTGTGGAGCTGACAGAGGTATAGGAGATTCCAGGATTCGCTGGTGATTTGAAGCAGGATGCGGCTGAGGGTACAAGGTACTCCTCTAGAATAACATACTGACAATTTCTGATCAGAGTTGACCTCCTTGGTGTACAGGGCGATCATGGATTTCCAGTACCGGTCGATCAATCGAGGGAATGGACATTCCATCATGGAGGTAGGATTGTTGCACCAACACTCTCCCTCGAGACTGTTCACTGACCGGAGTCCTATAGCTTCTTGAAGTGGAAGGAATCAACCCGCACAAGTATATCGGCTTCTACAACCTTCGCTCGTTCGATCGGATCAATGCTTCTGGCGCATTAAGGCAGCAGGAGGAGGCGTCTGGTATTTCGTATGCCCAAGCTGAGCACGCGCATGCACATGAAGTCATGAGTGAGGCTATGGAAGGGAATACAGGAGGTTCTGGTGGTGGTACGGGCGGGAATGCCATGGGTCTCGTCGGTGTTGATACATCCAAGGGCTTGAAACACCGGAGTATCACGAACAAGATTAGAGCGAAGCTGCACAGTATTCACCTCCATAAGCCTCCCAAGCCTGGAGATGGAGCAAAGGGTGAGAACAAGCTCGTCATGGATGGCGAGATCCAGTTTGAGAAGGGTGAGGCTGGGATGAGGCGGGCGAGCACTATGCGTGAAGAGTTCGAGAAGCATGCGGATAAGGAGCATGAGAATAAGATCAAGAGTTCGATTGCGGAGGATGCTTTGCAGAGTGGGATAAATATGAAGGATGAGCCGTGGGAGGGGGAAGAGGGGAGTCAGGTGAGGAGTTATGTGACGGAGGAGCTGTATGTGCATGCGAAGGTATGTGTTGTTGACAAAGGTGGAAACTTTCGCTTACTCAACTATACAGGTCTTGATTGCAGATGATCGAAAGGTCATTATTGGCAGTGCGAACTTGAATGATCGATCGCAGTTGGGTACGCATGATAGTGAGATTGCGGTGTTCATTGAGGATGGGGAGATGATTGACTCGAGGATGGCTGGGAAGCAGGTGTGTAACTCCAATCTGTTTTCTCTCTGGGAACGCTATTGACTTGCATACAGTACCAAGTCTCCAAGTTCGCTACCACCCTCCGTCGTCAACTATGGCGAGAGCACCTCGGTCTTCTTCCGCCCGAACATGTCATCCGTGAAAGGAGGGACGAGGAACATGAGAATGAGGAGAAGTATAAGAATATGCATCCTCTTCCTCAGCATAATCACTATGACTTCGATTCGGAGGAAGATCATTTGGTGAAGGATCCGCTTGATCCGGATACGCAGGCGTACTGGCAGACGAGGGCCGAGATCAATAGGGAGGCGTTCGAGGAGGTGTTCCATACAATTCCGACTGATAAGGGTATGATAATACGCTCCTTGTTTAAGCAAGAGAACTAACAGGCGTTGCAGTGCGCAATTGGGCTGACTACGACAAGTACATGCCCGACCCGGAGAGGAGTCCACTTGGTCATGTCTTCGATCCGGACATCCATGTTGACATGGTGAAGAAGCACCTCTCCAAGGTGCGAGGGCACGTTGTGACCATGCCTTTGACGTTTCTGCAAGACGAAATGCTGGTGAAGAAGAGCAGGACATTCAATGCTTGGACGGAGCCGGTATACACCTGAGTCGATATAAGGGGGTGACACTGGATAAACACTATAATATATGGATAATTGGACTTTAATGAGGGGTCATCAATTGTGCATCAGTCTCAATGGTTAATGATATCGATAGCACCTCAATTGTTTAGGCATGGAGACAGGCGTCCGGATTCGTGTGATGTCAACGTAAATAAGGGTAAATTCCAATATGCATTCCCTCGTTACTGCTTTATGTCTGTTTAAAGCGGTCCACTCACGCCGTTTCAATTAGCCGCCTTGTTGCCCTTCTTCGCCTTCTTGTTCTTCGCAGGACCATCACCACCGGTAGCAGCTACCTTAACATCCTCCGCCTTCCTCTTCTCTGTCGCCGCAACGGCACCGCCATCAACCACTCGCAACACTGCTTTGTGTGTCCGGCCTCTCGTCTCAGCATGCATGCATACTGCTCGCGCACCTTCTCCTACAGCATCCCGACCGATTTCCTGACTCAATCCCCACATTGTCGCCAAGTTGATCACATCATATGGACCGCGCAACTCCAAGGCTCTTGCCGCAGAGGACGAGATGATGATACCTCGAGATCGTGTAGCTCGCGTCAGAGCCGCCGCGTTGGAGATCAACTGTCTCCGTGCAGCAAGGTCATGGATCGATTGTGAATAGCAAATCTCGAACTTCAAACCACGGCTGACGGCTGCACCACATGTAGACATCTTTAAGACGTATGGTAGTCTTTCAGACATATCTAGGGAGATCATATCCACTCCTTCCAGGTTCGTACAGGCTTGCTGGAAGGTCTTCTCGGATGTTGGTCGTACCGCGAGAAGATCGTATTGCTGTGATGCTGCCTGAAGCTGTGATGTCTGTGGTGGTGCGCCATCGGAGAGGATGAGTGTTAGTCGCTTGATGGTGCGGAGCTTTGGTGTTTGGGGGAAAGGGGTGTCGGGGATGACTTTGGGGAAGGCACCTGGGATTTTGCCGTTGTGTGTATAGTTGAGCGCGATGACGTTGTAGCCAACTATATGTATATGTTAATGAACGAACAGATCGCGATGCAACAAGGACTTACGGTGATCCAGGATAGGGATGAGCTTCGGGTCATTGACCGGCCATGGTACATTCAAGTCGTAGAACATCCTCGCGACGTGATGTGGTATACCAACAAAGCGTAATTTTCAACTCGCAAAAGGTGATAGTATTAATTTCGCCCAGATAGACCAGCTACCTTATTGTCCGTCTTTGTCGCAATTCACTTTCGCGTTTTCTTGGGTTGTCACCGTGACCGCATTTTTCCTCCCCACCAGAACAGTACAACCCAAACATGACCCCAGCTCCCCGATTACGGTCAAAAGGCCTGACAAATCATTATGTTGTTTTGAGACTCCCACAGCCACCTCACGATGAACCTCTGAGTGCAGCCACGATCAAACAAGCATACCACGCCGCCCTCCTCCGCGCACACCCTGACAAGAAATCCCTCGCCTCAGCCCCCGAAGACGACGGCGTAACGATCGACCAAGTCATCACCGCCTACGAAACGCTCTCTTCCTCCTCCCTCCGCTCCGAATACGACGAATCCTTGCTCTCCGCCAACAACCCCACCGGCAGCGGTGGCACACCCAAATACCATGCCGTAATCGATCTGGATGATATGACATACAACGAGGAGACTGGGTCGTGGTTCTATGTGTGCCGGTGTGGAGAGGATGATGGGCAGGGGTACACGATTACGGAGGAGGATTTGGAAGAGGGGAGGGATGTTGTTGGGTGTGCGGGGTGTAGTTTGTGGGTTCGGGTGGCGTATGAGATTGTTGAGGATTGAGGTTGAAGGTGGCAATGATGATCAGAGAAGAAAAGGTTCGTGGTGCGCCCTTTTGGCGGCATGCCAAGCAACCCGCAGCGTTGAACTTCCTTGGAGAAGGTTGGTGGATGCGTCCTACATTCGAGCTTTGGGCCGACCATGCAGAGACCTGAAGTTCGCAAGCCAGCCCGCTTCTTCCACAGCTACTGTGTATCATTCAGAAGGCGTGGCGGCAATAAGCTTCACGTGGGGGAAAGTCGAGCATCCCGTCAAATGTCCCCTCCGATGTACGGTGTGGCCAGGAAGCTGTTGGGCACGGAAGAGGGTGACATACAGTAGAAGAAACATGCATATATCGCTAGAATGCATACCAAGAAGTATAGAATGCAACCACTTCCTCTTCGACCCCTCGCGGTATCTTACTATGACCTTTTGCTCCAACTTTATCTATACCTCCACACTCCCCCTAGACCCTCACGCTCCACTCAGCACCGCTCACTGCCCCCACATCCCCATCCCCCTCGCCGCCCCCAAAACCGCCAAACACGCCAAATTAACCTCAATCATAATCCTACTAACCTCAAACGGACAGTCCTCCGCCGCAACCTTCACACCCTCGCCTAACCTCCTCAACTTCTTCGCGACGACGAATGTACGTGGAAGCACGACGGCTGCGAAGACTCCGACCATCGCGTGCGCGACGGGTGAGGAGCTGGCCATGGAGATACCGGTGCTGGTACACGCGAGAAAGGCAGCGAGGATGAGTATGGCGTACTGGAGGTAGAGGTACACTTCCGCCACACGTCGGGGGCCGAGATGCACAGTGAGTGTGATCTTCCCAACGAACCGATCAGCATCCGTGTCGACGACTTGCATCACCATAATCCTCGACATCTGCAGCACCGCATCCAACAAAAACACACCCCCGCCAACCCCGCCCCCCACGGGCACCACGAACCCACCCGCCGGATCCTGGGCATTATACCCAAACAACCAACTCCCAACACTCAACGTCCCAACCGTCAATACCTCGCAAAATGGCGTATAGCTCAATCGAAGACCTGCGTTATATTGGGATGAGAGACCCATGAAGACACAGCCCCAGAATATGTTGGCACCGCAGAAGGGGGTGGAGGAGGGGTGGAGGTGCCGGTCGAGGAGGATGACGGTGAGGATGAGGAGGGAGATAAGGAGTGAGGCTGCTAGGGCTGTCCAGCGGGGGAGGAGGCCTGCTACGAGGATGTTTGAGCCGCCGGTTGAGGTTTTGGTTGAGCGGGTTGCGTTTGCCTGTGCCAATATGTCAACACTTTCTATGTCCAAATGTTGGGGGGAGTGGAGGGTGGAGACGAACCTTGTCACCCTCGTAATCGTTGTAGTCATTATAATAGTTAATCGCAACATTCGTCAAAAAGATGATCGCACAAGCCAACGCCCATCGTCGTGGATCAACGCTTGTATCATGGTCGTAGGCGTAAGCGAACGCACCGACCGTCGCACGGACGACAGGTTCGATGGTGAATTGGGCTCGGGAGAGCTTGATGAGGGCTATGACGGTGTTCATCCTTGATCGAGTCGACTCCTACAGTAAAGGAGCGGGTTGGAGGGGGATGGTGGTTAGGCGTCCGCGGGCCGGTGAAGGAGACATGGAGTTCTGGATCAGAATCGGAAATATAAGGTTACCCCATGGCGCGTGCACGGACAGCGCCATCGACGTCGTTAAGGACCGGATTGAAGGGATCATCATTATGGTAGAAGGACATATAAAAAGAGGTTTATGAAGTCATTTACTTTGGGAGGGCACGATTGTGTTTCCGTGTCAGTGGTGTTTCCGTGCTGCGATTCGGAGCTCGAGCGCCAACGTTGATTCAGCATTGCCCCCGACGGCCGCAGCTCTTGGCCGAACGCATGCTGTCCGAAATGGCCGTCGCAAAGAGACCAAAGCGTACGCGGAGTAAGGTCGTGAGCTACGACGAGGGCGAGCATGCGTGCGAGGGTGACGGGGAGGATCCAGTGCCGGCGGGCCGGATGACATCACGCAAGCGAAGCCGGAGAGGGTGCGCTGCCGAGGAATTGGAGTATGAGGGTACTCCTGATGTTGTTCCGTCATCACCAGTTCCTTCCGACCTCGACGTCGAAGAAGTCTCGACACCAGCCAACGGCCTGCTGCCACCTCTCGTACGCACGGCCTCAACCTCCTCCACCCTCCCCCAAACTTTCAACTCCACTAAACCCCCTTCAGCATCCCACGGCCTCACCCCCTCCGGCAAGCCCAAAAGGAAACCACCACGCCCCTACGCCGCTCCCTCCCTCTACTCCCACCTCCCCCCCTCCATCCCCGACTCCCTCGCCCCCAACCTCATCTGCATCTTCATCGGCCTAAACCCCGGCGTCGCAACGGCGAAGGCTCAACACGCATTCGCTGGCCCAACCAATCTTTACTGGAAGTTAATGCGGAAGAGTGGGGTTGTTGACGCACATATCGGATTCAAGGATGACCAGCGGCTTCCGGCTGACTACAGCGTCGGTATCACGAATTTGGTGAGGAGGCCGACTGCGGAAGCGAGTGAGCTAAGCAAAGCGGAGTTGGTCGCAAGTGTTCCATCCCTCGAAGCGAAAATCGCAACTTCCAAACCTCAGGCAGTCTGTATCGTCGGAAAAGGCGTATGGGAAGCAATCCACCGTCACCACACCAACAAACCCCTTCCCAAAACTTTCACGTTCGGATGGCAGCCCGACACGACACGTATGGGTGCAGGTGAGGACGGATGGAGGGGAGCGAGGGTGTTTGTTGTTCCGAGTACGAGTGGGAGGGTTGCGGGGTATTCGATGGAGATGAAGGAGGGGTTGTGGATGGAGTTGGGGGGGTGGGTTGTGGAGGAGAGGGGGAGGCGGAGCGGGAGTGGGGAGGGTGTGAAGGTAAAGGCTGTGGACGGCGTGGATGGTGGTGTGGGTAGAGAGGTGGTCAAGGAGGAGTGTGAGGGAAGGCGAGCTGATACCATCGTCTTACGCGAGAGAAGGTCCTCGATCCCGGGAGTCACTATCATCGAACGGGTAGATGTATAGAGTAACCGCAGCTGCCGGGTTTGGATGCCGGTTGCGGGCTGCGGGTTGGGGTAAGGGTTGAAGGTTTTGGACTCACGACCTGCTCAGGAGCAGAGGATGGGACACGGTGATGTCCTAATCGTCTCATTCATTCCAACTTATGTATCAAGCCCAGTGAAAAGTCATAACGCCCGTCAACCGAATAATCCCAAACCTTAAAATACGTCATCTCCATACCCATCCTAACCCTCTGTCATTCCCTTCTCATCAGTACTTCGTCGCCAAGAACTAGCGCGACAGCTGGTGCATGGTGAGGAGGATGATGAACGGGCCCAGTCGTAAGACCGCGTGAGCCGGGAGATCGAGGGCTAAGAGTCGCGAAGATGTATACTGTACACTTGAATGTCTCCATATTTCATAAGATCTACTAAAGTCTGTGGTGTAAGTCCCCGTAACCTATATAACCCAAAGCAAATTGTAAATGATGACAACTGGAACTATCGGTATCTAACTACTCGCAACAAGCACGCCCCTCCTCCTCGCGGAACCAGCCGCAGGAATGACATCCCTCTTCGTCACACTCGACCCACTACAAGACGTAACCTCCCCAGAAGTGAAATCACACCACACGTTGTTTCCGCTAGACTTGCATGCGGTTCCGGAGGTGCAAGACTCCACTACCCACACACCGTTATCACAGATACCGAAGTTGTAGCCGTCGCATTGGTAGGTGCCGCTGATACAGGAGTTGCCGCTAACGGGACAGGTGAAGCTGGAGGAGAAAGAGGATTTGCTGAGGAAGTTCGCCGAGGGCGTGGCTGCCGCGGTCGCCATAGAAGTAGGGCTGGTACTCTCGCTAGACGTCGTCATAGTCGTACCAGGGCCAGCGGTGGTACTGCTGGAACTCATAGTCACGGTCGCCAACGTCGTAGAAGAGCTGGTCATCGTAGTCGTACTCGGACTCAAACACTTACCGTAACCCTCCTGACACCCAACGCCACAGAACGTATCAGAGCTACCGCAGTAACCCCACTGAGAGCAGCAGTATTCAGAAGGGCAGGTGTAGCCACCGGAAGAGGAAAGCCCACAGGTTCCGTCAGGGGAGATGGTGGTGGAGAAAGTTGCGGCAGCGCTGGAAGACGTAGATGAGGATGAGGAGGAAGTTGTAGTAGCCTTTGTAGAGCTGGTCAAAACGCTGGTAGTCGCTGCTTTTGATGTCGTTGTAGAGGTTTTAGCAGTGGTGGTGATAGACTTGGAAGTCGTGGTGGCAGGCTTGGTCGTGCTCGTAGAGGCCATGGAAGTGGACGACGTCTTTGCGGAAGTTTGAGAGGTAGAGGCAGCCTTCGAAATAGTCGTCGCAGCCTTAGAGCTCGTAGTGGAAGCCTTAGAGGTGGTAGTCGACGACTTCGTATTTGTCGCCTTGGTCGCGCCAGCGCTGGTAGTGACAGCCTTTGAAGTCGTCGAAGCCTTCGCAGTGGTCGTGCTAGACATTTTCGTAGTTGAAGATATAGCCCTCGATGTAGTAGATGCCCTGGAAGTGGTCGTCGCGGCGTTGGTCGTAGTAGTGGCAGCCTTGGACGTCGTAGTGGCAGCCTTGGACGTCGTAGTGATGGCCTTGGACGTCGTAGTGGCAGCCTTGGACGTCGTAGTGATGGCCTTCGACGTGCTTGTGGCCGCCTTCATGGTGGTGGTCGACGCCTTACTGGTGGCGGTAGAAGACTTCGACGATGTAGTGAAGGCCTTAGAAGTCGTTGCACTTGTGGTGTGAGTGGTAGAGGAGGAAGTCGCAGGCCTCACAGTGGTGGAAGAGGATGTAGTCGGGTCGGCCGAAGAGGTCGACGTTGAAGACGAAGAGGAAGAAGATGAAGTAGCACGGACCGTAGTTGTGCTGGTGCTTGCGGTTGACGACGAAGTCGAACTGGAGGAAGTCGAAGAAGAAGATGACGAAGAGGAGCTCGACGAATCAACCGCCAAACAAGCTCCATACCCATTCTGACACCCAGTCCCACAGTGCGAGTCCGATATCCCACAGTATCCCCACTGCGAACAACAGAGACCGCTTTCGCAGACATACCCGCCCGAGGAACTGGGACCACAGGAACCGTCGGCGGACGTTATACCGGTTGCGGCTGATGTTACGGTTGAGCTTGCGGTTGTGTAAGACGCGGTGGAGGTTGAGGAGGGAGTTGTCGTGGCAGAGGAGGAGGATGTGGTACCAGCGCCGAACCTGGCAGCAGGGGTGGTGGTGGTAGTGGTGATTCCAGCGGTGGGGGTAGTGGAGGTGGAGGTGGAGGCAGAAGTGCTAGTCCTCGTAGTCGATGAGGAAGTAGATGTCGTCGACGCAGCAAGCGTACCAAGCAAATACTCCTTCGCCAACTCCGCATAATTCACACCACTCGAATCCTCATTCGCGTACGCCTGGGACATATCCCACATCATAACACCACCGAAGCTCGAATACGCACTCTGCAACTCCTGGATGATGGTGCCGAGGGTGTCAGCGTCCACATAACCGTAGGAAGCGGCAGAGGAGGCGGCGGGGACTCCGAGGTAAACCTTTGCGTCGGTGTTGTAGGAGGATTCTTTTGCGAAAGTGTCCCAGTCGCCGAAGTTGAAGTTGGAAGTGGAATAGTAGTTGACACCGCAATAGTTGTTGTAGAACTGTACCAGATGTTAGCCACAAGGGGCGAGATTCTAAGATCAGACCATGTCATACCTGCACGAAGATCATGTCAAAGTAGGACGTCGTCAAGGCAGCGTTGAGGTACGCATCCGGCATAGGACATTGCGGAGCACCAGAGATATAGTAGTCCTTGGAGGTATCCGTAGCGTAGAGCTCACGCATCTTCGTAACGAAAGCGGAATAACCAGTTATCGATCCACCTTCGATATCAAGGTCAAACCCATCAATGATAGAGTCTCCAAAAGGACGATCCAAGCCAGATGAAGTGTTACCACCAAACATACCCCACATCTCGACAGCGAACTCCTCAGCTTGAGAATCCGAGGTGAAACCGTACGAACCGGATGCACCACCGAGAGACAAGAGAATCTTCTTGCCGCTGTTTTGACATGTTTGGATATCCTCCGCGATCTGACCGCAATTGAGAAGAGTGGTAGAATCATCAAAATACGTCCCTTCGCATGCCGAAGCGAAGTTGAGGGTAGGATCACCACCGATGTTGAAGGTCGTAAGGAACGCAAGGGGGATAACGTCGACAATAGAGTCTTGGCAGTATGTCGCGAGAGAGGATTGAGTGCTGGACCCACCGGCGGAGTTTTGACCCCAGTAGACGGCGAGATTGGTGTTGGCGGATTGGTCAAAGGCGATGGCACTGCCGAGGATGGCGAGGAGTGCGAAGAGAATGTGGATGAGCATCGCGCAATCAGGTAAAACGAGCGTATTGATCGTAAAAGAGCGTAGAATATCGAGATAAGTAAAGTATCGTCGATAAAAGAGTGTATAGATGGTCCGCTTCAAATGAATGTAACCGGATCAAAGATCCTAGGGTGTCGCGCTCTCGTATAAATCGCCGTCCGTCGTCGTCTGGAGGGCAAACGGTGGCGATCCCATGGCTACCTTTTTATCCACGCTGGACACAAAGTCTCGGCAATAATTCCAATTGCAATCGATTCTCGGGAGGGGTTGGTGGGTTGCCTTTCTGAATCGGGGTCGCGAGCGCGCGTACTCCCAGTGCGGCCAACACCGCGCGCGCACGGACCAGCCTCCGCCGCACCGTGTCTGGAAATCGAACACCCGAACCCATTTAACCCGGCAAATGGAACGTTCTTGGCAGGAAAGTTTGCTGAACCGCGCAGCAGACTGCGCTCTTGCGCCTTGGCGGAATATCCGGAACCGTTGGTGGAAGGCTGGTATCCTGGGAATCCCTTCCGAGAACGCAGCGACATCAGATGTGTTGGCTGACCGCTACCGAAGAGGCCGAGGTGATGTGATCTGTGTCAAAGGAGAGGCATTCTTGGCGACGCATCCACTGCCTGATCAAGCAGTTGGTGTGCCGCGCAGGGTAGGGTGGTCTGCTCAAGTTGGCTGACATGGTTGATCATGTCTGATATTAGGCTCAGCAAGGAAGCTGCTGCAGTACGTACCCGCTGCAGCTGATACCAGTTACGGTAACGTTGACCGTGCTGCGGCTTTATCGCGACCGGTCGCGGCGTACCGTATTGCGGGCGATGCAGGGTTTGCATGATCTTGCAGCTCCCTTCGCTGTGCACGTAACTCGTCACCTACACGACCAAAGTACGACAAGAAGGTCCACGTACATAAAACAGAATTCCAAAACAGCAATGACATTGAACATGAAAAGTAGTTCGATCGGCGTTGGAGGCCGTCAGAGCCTGGGAAAATTACCGATGAACTTACGCGCGCGAAATGGGCCTCGTGTCGAAGGTATACGAGCACTGAAGGAAGACAGCGCCGTTCGTCGTTGCCGAAAAAGAAAAAAGGTGAGAGTGTCCTATCCTCTGGCGGAAATGATCCTTACTCTTGCTAACAGTCGCTCTCCGCTCTCTCGTCGGATCCGGGTTTGGACTTCACACGGGTTTTCGCGCGCTCCCGGCCGGATTGGGCACGATTGATTGTTCAGTCATGACTTGGCGCTAACTCGACTAGCTCGAATAGTGCGAGTGAAGGAATTCCGTCCGAATATTTCACTGATCTGATTCATTTCACTTACCCACTACACCCACCACATACCACCCACAACAAATGAAAGAATTTGTTAGAACGTGAGTGGTGGCACCGACGCGATGCAGGTGGTCCCGGATTCCTCACGGACATGACTTAAGCCGAAGCAAATGATCTGCTGGAGTTGATGTAAATGAAACAGGCGGGTTTACCGAATTTGCTGGATTCGACCTTGGCTGCCGAAAGAAGCCGAGGTCGATGCTGTCACCTGACCCCCACTCTGCCTCGTTCCGTCCCTGGATACGCTTCGAGAAGGCGACCCGAAGCCGCGGGTCTCCATTGAACTGACCAGCCCTTGATCAAGAGGAAAAAAAGACAGGTCGGGCCTCCCCTTGAGCGTTCCCACCTACGGGCAATCTCTGCGCGGCCAAGACAAGCCAGCGGCGCCCGCTGATCAACAAAGGCGACGCGCTGGGGTCCGATTCGAAACGGACCGGTCCATGCAACCAGATCTGCTCAAGGACAGACAGTAGTGCCACTCGAAAAGTGGTATACCCGCCAGGAATATTAAAGCGGACGGCACCGGGCAACCTTTGGGTTAGGCGTGTGGCGTGCGTGTCTATAATGGCGAGGTGAACCGAGTCCAGCGACTCACATTACATACTGCTGACGGACAAACCCCATGTCACCAAGGGAGGGCCATGCGATCTCGTCAGCAAACAAGAGGAAAAAAGTTGCGGCCAGGGCACCCCTTGAGGATTCCCACCCAAGGGCAATCTCTGTGGCAACATCCGGACGCTACCCCGATAGGCCCAAGTATGGGCAAGGGTCGGGTGGTGCTAGAAGTCTTGCTGCTACATGTCTTGCGGGGCCAAGGAAGGCCGACAGCGCCCATTGAAGGCAACGCGTCGGGGCCCGCAACCCTTTGCAACTAGGTCAGGGATTGCGTACCGGTCCTTCCATTGGGCTCGTTTGAGGGCGAAGGGGACAGCAATCCGTAAATCACGGTCGATCGTGCACAAACTTCCGGAGACAGTCAAGTACACTGTATGAGTTCGTCGTGAGGCCCATCGATTATCATAATGTGTTAGCCATAAGATGGAAACCATCTATCACTCAGTTTAAACACTCGTCTTCACTCATACCAGCTGCACCTCGACGCAACTTTATTTCGGGACCGACATCTACCTCATGCACGATCCAAACACCACGAACCGTCCAGACAACATGATCGGCCCTTCAGTACCCGAAGAATTCCTCAAAAGGAAGCGTACGCCTACACATGAACCACAAGAGAGCTCTGAGGTCGTTCAGGATCAAGCGCAATCACCGCCGAAAGCGCCTTCCCCAGCATCAGTTGTACCCGTGACGAAGCCAGACAGGGCAGGGCCGGAGCTGCCTCCACATCTTCTCGCTGCACGAGAGGCCAAGCGGAAAGCACGCGCAGAGAAAGCTGCGCGAGAGGCTGCTGCGAAAGAGGAAGCTGAGCGGGAAGCTAAGAGGGCACGAGTTCTGGGTCCTGCCCCCCCTCCACCACAAGAACATGAAGACAGCGACGATGACGTTGGACCAATGCTACCTACTGGTCCAGTGAACGAAAGGGACATCGAACGTCAGTTCGCCCTCCGCGCCGGCACCGCCGCAGTCCCCGGTGCTGCTGCCACGGACTCAGACGGCAAACCCAAACGCGACGACTGGATGCTCGCGCCGCCCACCCAAGCTGACTGGGCCACCAGTGCGGATGCGAGAAAGGTTAGGGCTAGGACGTTCAATACCGGGAAGAGTGGGAAAGATGCGGCGAGTAGTGGTGGGGATGTTGATTCGAGGGTTTGGACGGAGACGCCACAGGAGCGGGCACGGAGGTTGGAGGAGGAGGTTATGGGTGTGCGAGCTCCGACGCTACAGGGACATGCTACACAAGTTACCAAGGAGGAAACGAGGGAGGAAAGAGAGAAGAGGGAGAGGGATGAGGATATCGCGGAACGTGTACGGTCTGCTCGAGGTCCGAGTCTGATGGAGCAGCATAAGGAACAGCAGAAGGAAAAGGAAGAAGAGGAAAAGGATGATCCGAGTAAGAGGGGGTTTGATCGGGAGAGAGATGTTGTTGGAAGGAAGGTTACGGGGAAGATGAGGGATCAGTTGGTTGAGAAGGCGAGGGGGTTGGGGGGGATGTTTGAGGGTGGAAAGTACTTGTAGGCCTTTTCAAGTACGATATTCTGAAGACTTCTTCGACGTCTGTCCTGCTCTCTCTGCCGGTCTGCTTCCCCAGTGCTGTGCCTCATCCTGCCCCCCGTGACGCTGACGTGCATGTACCGAGCGCGTAGCCGTACAACACCTCCAAACCCAAAACACCGTCAATCATGCCTGTATGCCGTCCATTCCCTCGATCCCCCTGTCAGTGCTGACGAATTGACCTTCAGGCCTATCATTCATCCTTCTTGGACTTCCATGACACTCGCACCGTTGGGAACTTCGCCCTCCTTCCCCTCAAGACCCGCTTCAAGGGTCCAGCATACCCACGTACGCCACCTTCCTGGTCTCAATCTCTCTCTTCCTCATCTCAGAAGCTAATCTCTTTATGTTCACAGTGAGCAACCCACAAGACCCCGACATCATCGACGAATGCATCGAACTCTTCCGCGCAAACTGTTTCTTCCGTAACTTCGAAATCCGCGGCCCAGCAGACCGCACCCTCATCTACGGCATTCTCTTCATCTCCGACTGCCTCCAACGTCTCTCCTCCCGTACCCCGCCCACCCAATCCGAAGCCGTTAAATCTCTAAACTCGTTGGCGTTGGAGCAGTTTACGATTCCCGGTGAGCCTGGGTTCCCGATGAATGGGATGTTTGCTCCACCGGCGGGGAGGAGCGAGGGAGAGTTGTTGAAGGGGTATTTGGGGCAGTTTAGGCAGGAGTTGGGGCAGAGGTTGATTTTGAAGGTTTATGAGGGGGGGGAGGGGGGTGCGCCGAGTAAGTGGTGGATGGCATTTTCGAAGAAGAGGTTTATGAACAAGTCTCTGTGAGGGGTTGATGGGGATAGATAGGGAAATGATTGATAATAAGGAGTCGTAGGAATCTCCATATACCATTTGACTTTTTACCTAGGAATGCCCTTTTTTCTGGACCACAACATCCACTCTGATTCGTCTCTGCACCTTATGAAATGGCATTTCGAAATCTACCGTGTCATTGAAGAAAACGCCATCAAACAACGCTAAACACCTTCCGATCAAACCTCCTATAACCCCATCTGCCGTCTCTGCAACGTACTCCCCCTCGGCCTCCCCGGTCCCCTCCCTGTTCCTCTCGGTGTCCCCGGAACCACTCTCGCCGCCTCAGATTTCCGCGGTCGACCCGGTCCGCGGCGGATTTCGCGGGGTGGGGATTGTGGGTGTGGTTGGTGTTGTTGGTGCGGTGGGAGGGGTTGAGGGCGGTGAGGGGGGTTGGCGTAGTAGTCTTCTCTTCCGTGCTCCATTCGCGTATCTCCTTCTACTGCGTGATCTGGGTGAAGGTAGTGCTGTGGATGGTGTTCAGTGTATTGGAGGGGTGGTAACTCGAGGTCTGCGGGGGTTGGCTGGTCGGCTGGATACTGCACCAGTGTTCTTCGCCGTTTCGAGCGGCCTTGGGCATCGAACTCGTCCGCTTCTGGATTGGGGTGGAAGCCGTTTATGGGTGCGTGTCGGGGGATTGGGCGGGTTGGTGCGGGCATGGTTGTTGATTCGGTGACTTGTGCGGGTGGTAGGAGGTGTTGTGGGTCGTGATTCCCATTTTGGTGGAGGGATGGGGGTTGTGATTCGAGTGATTCGAGACGTTCGTGCAGTGCGACGACCAATGATTGGAGTTTCGTCAATTTGTCGAGTAAATACGTCCCGGACGCGCCTTGTGGTATGTCCACGTTCGAGTTTGTCGTTCCGACTTCGTAGAGTGTCGCAGCCGGTAACGAAATCGTGTACATATCCCGGATCTCATCCAATGTCCTCAATGTCGTGCGATACATCTTTCCGAGTGTCGCTTCACACCCTGCACACGCCAGCTCTGAGTACGTACATCCCTTATCCGCGCTCTCATCGTCTGTTGACAACAGGATTGGTTCGCGGATGGTGATGTTGGGTGCGGAGGAGAGGGTAAAGGTGTTGAGGTCGATGTGGGAGGTGATGTGAGCGTAGGAGTCGCCGATGATTGTACGGCAGGAGGCGCATTGGAAGATTACGGGGGCTGTTGGCGGGTGGATGGCCTCGGTCGTTGAAGCCATCGGCGAGAAAGGAAGGGGGGACTTGACGGTATTTTTGTTGCCGAGGCGGAGCTGCGTACGGGAGACGCGTGTTGCAGACGAAGCTTGGCTGGGTCGGGGCTAGGATCATCCACCTCCGTCAGCTGCTCAACCGAACACTCCGAGGGACGTTTCGAAGAAGAAGAAGAAGACGATTTGCGGACCGTTTCAGCTGCTTGTTTGCCCTGTGTTCGGGCCGTACGCTTATCGACTCTCCGACAGGAAGCCAGGGTGCGTTAGGAAACACCAACTGCAACGCCTGCTGCACCGAGCGCAACGAACATCCCTACCATACGGGGCTGTGCAGCTGTGCAGCTGTGCAACTTGGCACATTCAACCGAGACGAATTGACGAGATTGACTTGAAAAGCGAGAGACAGTGCATGCCAGCAATTTCTCTGCGACTTTCTCCTGTCAGAGACACGCGTACGGTGTGATCCGTCCATAACTTGCTGGATTCACGTGGAATATCAGGAGAGACCTTCATATAACACCAGCAACCAGAAAGACTGAGATACCCTACACACATTCTCTACAGAACCATACACACCACCGTCAAACCGTTCAACTTGGCCTCGACAAATCGAATAAGGAGCATCACCAAATGGCCACGGAGTACCTCTCCCCCCACGGGTACAACTCCTCCCCCCTCCGCACGGGAATTCCCATCTCCACAACCCCCTCCCCACCTCCTTCTTCATCCTCTCACTCTCTAGACCTCCTCAACCTCGAACTCCCACCTCCCTCCGCAGCCGAAACCCTCGACCTCCGCGAAGCAGCCGAACAAGCCCAATCACAAAATGTCGTCATCGAATTGACGTTGTCAGGGATGCTACGCTGGGTCTCACCGACGTGGCAGGATGTGCTGGGGAGTGATCCGAGTACGGTTGTTGGGAGGCCGATAAGAGAGTTGTTGGTTGGGAATCGAGATGCGTTTACGGAGGGGATTGGAAGGTTGTTGGAGGATGGGGGACACTCACATCGGATACGGTTTCTGATGGAGGTTGGTGGTAGCCATACAGGCAGGGTTGGTGGTGGAGGCGGGAGTGGGGATGAGGATGATGAGCGTGTGTTTGCGCAAGATGAGGACTACGATTGCACGACTTCTCACATCCTCGATTTGGAAGCACAGGGCATCTTGTTACATGCACCCGCGAGCTCTAATTCACCGTTGGCGAGTGGCGTGACGGATACGATGTGGGTCATCCGTCCCCTTCCCACCCCGCGCTCCCTAACCCTCAACCTCGACCCAACCCTCGTCTCAACCCTCGGTGTCGGCGCCGAAGTCCTCGCAAGCTACCTCACCGACATCGCCTCCGACCCCGATACCCACCCCTCTGAAATTGGGGACCGTGCACCCGGAAGCGTGATGTGTCGGATCTGTGAGAGGGAGATCCAGAGTTGGTATTTTGAAAGGCATAGTGAGCTGTGTTTGGTTGTGCATAAGGCTGAGAGTGAGGTTCAGGGGGCGCAGGATTTGGGGAGGGATATGAGGGGGGTTGTGGTTGGGGTTATGGATCGGTTGGAGGGGGGGGATAGGGAGGTTGAGTATCGGGGACTAAAGATCCTCCCACCTCCGCCGCCGCCCATAACCTGGGGTAGTGGAACGGGAAGTGCGCCCGGAACATCACCACGGAGTCCGAGACAGAGTCGGCCGAGTGCGTTGGCGAGTAGTCCCGTCCATAGTGGAGGTTCGAGACGCCCTGTGCAGTGTTTGAGGACGTTGGAGGTGATGTTGGATTTACTCGATACAGCGCTCGATATCTCTACGCCCACGATTCGTGAAGATAGCGAGACGGCAGCACAATTCAATGAACAGGGAGAGTGGGAGTTACGTGTCCAGAGTCCGGCGAGTGAGAAGCGGATATCTCAAGTTTTGGGATTTCATCGGCTGAGTGGACCGTGGGAAATGTCGTTCCAATCGTCGTCTTCTGACGGTGATGGTGCAGGCTCCGGGGTAGGAGGGGGAGATGGTTTGAGACTTTTGTGTGAGGATGTGGAGATATGTGCGAGGGCGAAGGTTGATGCTGTCATGAGGTTGAGGAATGCGATACAGTATGGGGAGAGGATTAGGCAGGAGCTGTATTTGCAGGTTCAGGATGTTATTGATACGGCGATTGAGAGGGCAATTGCTGGGAGTGAGGGGGAACTCGAAAATGTCGAGGATGAGGATGAGATGATGGAAGAGGAGGAAGGGATGGGGGTGCCGCCGGTGTTGAATGAGGCGGTGTTTAAGCAGCCGTGGACCCAGACACGGTCGCAGAGTCCAGGTGGTTTTGGTGTTGGGGATGAGAGGAGGGGATCTCAGCCTGGGAGTCCTGGAACTAGGCCTGGGACGGGGACGGGGACGAGGACGGGGACGGGGGGTGTGAGTAGTGGGGTGTTTACGCCTAAGTTGGTGAGGCACGAGTCTGAGGAACGTGTTTCGCCGGGACAGTCCCCTTCCCATAAGAATGTTGGGGCGGGGAAGTCGTATATGGATATACCCACCGCGGACTCGGATTCGAACAGCCCTGGGGGAAGTGGACCGTCGTCGAGACAAGGTCAGCAGAGCCAGAGCCCGCATGCGGAGAGTCCGGCGAGTGATTCGGAGGTGAGTCAGCCAAGGGCTGTACATCCCCGCTTTTCCGGCTTATACGGCAGTCCGAGACGACAGCCGAGTCCGTCGAGGTTCATGTCGAGTCCGTTGAAGCAGCAGCAGGTTTATAAGCTGAGTATACCCGCTGATCCCAGCACTGCGATGACCGAGGGATTGAGTTCGAGTTTTGGGAGTTCGACGGGGTTTGCGGGGCATCGAAGGCAAGTTAGTGTTGGCAGTGAGGGGAGTGGGAGTATCGGGTTCGGGAATTATGGGAGGTTCATGCCGCCTCCGTCCCCCCGGGTTGCGAGTCTGACACCGCCTACACGTGCTACACCGCCCAGTATCAAGGATTTCGATATCATCAAGCCGATCTCGAAGGGTGCGTTTGGGAGTGTGTATCTTGCGAAGAAAAAGACGACTGGAGAATATTTCGCTATCAAGATACTCAAAAAGGCAGATATGATTGCGAAGAATCAGGTTACGAATGTACGTGCTGAACGTGCAATCTTGATGGCGCAGGGTGAAAATCCGTTCGTTGCGAAGTTGTGGTTTACGTTTCAGACGAAGGAGTATTTGTATTTGGTTATGGAGTATTGCAATGGTGGGGATTGTGCGGCGTTGATTAAGATCCTTGGTGGGTTGAGTGAGGATTGGGCGAAGAAGTATATGGCGGAAATTGTGTTGGGGGTGAAGTACCTCCATGAACACGGTATTGTACATCGTGACTTGAAGCCGGACAACTTCCTTATTGATCAGAGAGGGCATCTAAAGTTGACGGATTTCGGATTGAGTCGCATGGGGTTGATTGGACGACAGCATCGGGCTCAAGCTCATGTCCAGACCACGGACAGGAATAGTCCAGAGCTGGTCATGGCCCAGCCGTTGTTCATTAGAGAACGTGCGACGAGTTATGGAAGTCAAGGATCTGGTAATCGGGACGACAATTCTCCGAGTTCGGCAGGGAGTACGCCGAGCATGTTACCTGATGCTGGGAACGGGATTAATGCTCCGTCGTACTTCATGCTCAACCGACATGGAAGTGGGACAGGTAGTCGGCGGACGAGTGGTGTCGGCGAGTCAGGTGATAGCAGCATCGCGCGGAGCTTTTCTGGTCTGGCGCTGAATAGCCAGGCTGGAAGGAGTAGGAGGGGGTCGATCGACAGTGTTGGGAGTGTGTCGAGTAGTTTCAGCACGTCTGCGCTGCATACGATTAGCTCTGAGCCGACATTATCAACCGCGATGACTGTGTCTTCATCAGCAACTGCTGCGGTTATGATGCTGCCACCGCAGCTTTCGTTGTTTGATCCGAATGATAGCACGAGGAAGTTTGTTGGTACGCCGGATTATCTTGCGCCCGAAACAATCAAGGGAACTGGGCAGGATGAGATGAGTGATTGGTGGTCTCTTGGCTGTATCTTGTTTGAGTTCATGTTTGGGGTTCCGCCGTTTCACGATGAAACGCCCGAGAAGGTCTTTGAGAATATCCTTGAAAGAAGGATTATCTGGCCGGAAGAGGAGGACGGTGATGAACATCTCATCTCGGAACAGGCGAGGGATTTGATTAATAGACTTCTTTGTGTTGATCAAACTCAGAGACTTGGAGCGAATGGGGCGGACGAGGTGACAAGCCATCCTTTCTTCAAGGGGATCAACTGGGAGCATCTGTTGGATGAGGAGGCTTCGTTTGTGCCTACACCGGATAATCCAGAGGACACGGAGTACTTTGACAGACGTGGCGCGACCGAGTTTCAAGACATTGACGAGCAAGCGGTTCTGTCCGAAGAGTCGCCCTCACAGTCCGACAAGGAGAAGGAAAGGGCGCTCGCTATGGCTAAGCTTGGAGGTGCTTACAAGCCGAAGCTCATGCCGCTAGCTATTCCCCCTCATGTACGTGAACGAAAGCCACGAGATCGTCGGTCGAGTGAGCCGGCACAAGATAACTTTGGGTCGTTCATGTTCAAGAACTTGCCTGTGTTGGATCGTGCCAACAAAGACGTGATTCAGCGACTGAGGTCGGAGCATTTACAGTTGGTGCCGGTGGATAAAGCTGGACATGCCGTTCGACATGGCTCAGTGCCCAACCTCGATAGGCCGAGGTCGCCATCGATCATGTCGTTGCAATCTACGAGTTCGATGCCGATCGCGTTCTCGTCCGGTCCATCGTCACCTGTCAGTTCGGCTCCGACCACGAGCAGTGGGCATGGAAGCGGACTTGTACCACCGGCGATCCTGGTACCGTCGTCGCCAAGTTCACCGACACAATCTCGTCCGTCTGTTTCGTTCTGTAACGAGCCCGAGAGTGTGCGCCAGCATAAGAAGCATAACTCGGAGTCGTTCTCGTCCGCAAGTTCGTCGCCGACGCAACGTGCGTTCCCTACACCACCGAGGAGACGGAGTACGATTTCGGGTATGAGTCCCCGTTCTCGTGCGTTTAGTATGGGAAGTGCACCCGCGCCAGGTGTTGAGCGCCCCTTTTTTCCAGAATCTTTTAAGAAGTCTAAGCGGCGAAGTCAGGTATTTGATCCGTCTCCGTCGTCTTCAGATACGGAGGATGCGCGTGGATCGGCATTGTTGCGTGTTCAGCGCAGGCGACATCATTCGCGACGATTGTCGAATGTCCTGCCACCGGGTGTACCGCAGTATCGACCTCTTGATGTGTTGATTGCGGAGGACAACCCTGTCTCTCGCGCGGTGTTGGAAAAACAACTCGAGACGTTGTGTAACCGCTGTGTTGGTGCGCCGGATGGCGCGACACTTGTGCGGTTGGCGATGAGTAAGATTAAGTTCGATATCATTTTCAGTGATATCAATCTTCCTCAGATCAATGGAAATGATGCAGCGAGGATGATCCGGACGACGAGGAATACGAATGCGAACACGCCTTTGGTTGCGGTGACGTCGTATATAAACGATATCACCGATTCTTCGCTCTTCGACGCACAGTTGGAAAAGCCACCGACCAAGCAGCACATCATCGAGACTTTGGAGAAGTTGTGTGCTTGGCGGACACCGCCGATCGCAATCATGGAAGCGGAAAACTCGAGCAGATACGCTGCTCCGGCCAGTCCGAGAACACCATGGTTAAGCAAAGTCATTGAGGGAACAGAAAATGTACAGAATCTCGTGGATAAGGCTGCGGAAGCCCCGAGCAGAGCAGTGGGTATCAATGGGAAGGCAAAGGCGGCGGATATGGGACCTGGAGTTATCAAGGAATAGGGTACCGGTGAAATCTTTTTCTCGGCATTGTTTGTTGTTTGTATGGTTACTGTTAGCTATTCTGGACATTGTGAGCGGTTGAGAGACGGCGAGAGAGTATGGTGTTGCACTTTTGATATATGCTGAATCATATAACCTACCTGATGCTATAAGTCAAATCCCTTTAATTGATTTTGCGTAAGCAGCCACCTGCACCTGTGCGCCGAGAGATTAGGCGCACTGCCGCGCCGCACGGACCCCGAAGCCCTCTGCAGCTGCGACGCCGTATACCGTGCACGTTTCGAAGATCACCGGAACACCATATACCACCATGGATCCATTGCAAAGCCCTGTCAAGCGACGATTGAGAACAAATTGGGTTCAGCCGGTCACTCTCGAGCGGCGTCTGGGTGCGCAATCCCGCAATTTCCCCGCCGAACGGTTGCTGATCCATTGTTGTAGGCAACTATGAACGCTACTCTCTTGCACGGACATCTGCGGGTTTTTCACCAATTATCGTCATTTTGGCTGGTGTTTCTTCTCAGACTTCGATCGACAACCTGAAGAGCAGGATCTACTTGTTGCTTTCCGCATTCCCGCTACTTCGAAGTCGGATTGCCGGGACAAAGACCAGGGAACCGTCGTTCCAACCTGGAGATGTGGAAGTCGAAGATGTCCTACACTCTGAGGAGTCAATGGCGTCCGAGAACGAGATCATGGCGCGAGAGATGGCGATTGGCGCAAAGTTCAATGTTGAGAAGGGTCCGCTGTGGCGGGTTGGGGTCTACAAACCGAGTCAATGCGGTGGAGCGCATTTCGTGGCTGCTACGTTCAGTCATTGTGTCACGGACGGTTTGGGTGCTGTGACTGCCATCAAGCTTCTGCTCTCTGATACCGAGATCGAAGGCGCAGAGGGCTTGCCGCCCTCGCTGGAATCTACTATCGATGTACGACCATCAGTGTCAAAGCTTGTACGCGTCATCGCCGGCGATCTCATCGCACCCAAACTCCCTTCTTTTCTTCGTCCCACATCAAAGGCATGGCCATCTCAAGTACAAGCGCAACCACACCACTGCCGGATCGACCTCAAATCCCTCCACTTTTCACCGGGTATCCTCACCTCCCTCCGACGAGTCAGCAAACAACATAACGTTTCCATTCACACCATCCTACATACCATCGCAGTTGCTTCTCTCCGCTGGGCTTCCTCCTCGCCCGACATCACGACCGAAACTCCAATCTCGCTTCGTGGCGCCGGTGGCTCACTTGCACATCCACCCACGACCGGGAACTATGTCTGTACCCAACGAACGACATGGACACGGTTATATGAGTCGACCAAGTTCTGGGAGTTGGCGAATAGATATCAGGACAAGTTGAAAGATCCGTGGGAGAGGGAGGAGGCGGTCAGCGGGATAGGGATGTTGGGGTATATCCCTGACCCGGATCCAGAGAATCTACCTTTGACTGGCTGGGAGGAGTTCTTACTTGATAAGGCGGCTTCTACCTCGCCGTTCGCCGCATCCTTTGAACTCTCAAATCTCGGCGCAGTTGATCCACTTCCGGGTGTTGAGCGACTTTGGTTCGCGCAGTCCGCAAACCCTGTCGGATCGGCGTTGAACGTAAATGTGGTCGGGAGCACTGGAGATGGAGGATTGGGTGTAACGGTCACCTGGCGGAGTGGAGCCTTTGGCGGAGATGAGGTTGTAGACGGGTTTTTGGATGTGTTTCAAAGGGGCTTGGAGAGGGTTGCAGAGGGGAGGGTGGATGAAGGGAGTACGCTGAGGAAGATTTGGCCGAGGGTTTGATGAGCTGACAGGCCGTAAACGATCTAGACGTCATGGAAGAAATGGGGAGGCGCGGAAAGGCCAAACCAGTAAATCCCATAGCTAGATATCTTACGCGTTATCCCTAGCTAGAGCGGAATGCCAGACTGAAGTCCCGCCGCTGTCCTCTTGAATAGATGCGCCATTCTACCAAACTTCATTCATCTGTGTCAATCAGCACCTCATAGCTTACGTATCTAATCTGGGTTGAACCAGAGGTCTACAGACTATGCAGCTCAGCGGAGAGGGTCACCGAGTTACCAACCAAAGTGATTGATGAAGCTCCACGCTGACCTACAGAACAGTGTCAGTATTCAAAGGAAGGGTTTACATATGAATAAAGAAGGACGACGGCTGAGGTTGAAGGTGAGTTGAAGGTGGAGACTGAGCCAGCTGCAGAAGTTACCGAATTTGCTGGATTCGACCTTGGCTGCCGAAAGAAGCCGAGGTCGATGCTGTCACCTGACCCCCACTCTGCCTCGTTCCGTCCCTGGATACGCTTCGAGAAGGCGACCCGAAGCCGCGGGTCTCCATTGAACTGACCAGCCCTTGATCAAGAGGAAAAAAAGACAGGTCGGGCCTCCCCTTGAGCGTTCCCACCTACGGGCAATCTCTGCGCGGCCAAGACAAGCCAGCGGCGCCCGCTGATCAACAAAGGCGACGCGCTGGGGTCCGATTCGAAACGGACCGGTCCATGCAACCAGATCTGCTCAAGGACAGACAGTAGTGCCACTCGAAAAGTGGTATACCCGCCAGGAATATTAAAGCGGACGGCACCGGGCAACCTTTGGGTTAGGCGTGTGGCGTGCGTGTCTATAATGGCGAGGTGAACCGAGTCCAGCGACTCACATTACATACTGCTGACGGACAAACCCCATGTCACCAAGGGAGGGCCATGCGATCTGGTCAGCAAACAAGAGGATGGTAGCCCTTTTTTCTGAAGTGCAAGGGGCAAAGTCGACGTCCGAAGTCGAAAGTCGAGACTCGAAGCCGAAAGGCACAAAGCAGTATACTGCACACTTGAATGTCTCCATCCCCAATAACCTCCGCCAGGACAAGCGGTCCAAAGCGGATCGACACCAACCCTTGACCAACCAAAAAAATGCGGCAAACGCACCCCTCGAGGATTCCCACCCAAGGGCAATCTCTGTGGCAACATCCGGACGCTACCCCGATAGGCCCAAGTATGGGCAAGGGTCGGGTGGTGCTAGAAGTCTTGCTGCTACATGTCTTGCGGGGCCAAGGAAGGCCGACAGCGCCCATTGAAGGCAACGCGTCGGGGCCCGCAACCCTTTGCAACTAGGTCAGGGATTGCGTACCGGTCCTTCCATTGGGCTCGTTTGAGGGCGAAGGGGACAGCAATCCGTAAATCACGGTCGATCGTGCACAAACTTCCGGAGACAGTCAAGTACGAGTTCGTTGTCAGGCCCATATGTTATCTCATTGTTGACTGGACAAACTCCAAGTTACCAAAGGAGAGCCATGCTATATATATGTGGTCAGCAAACAGGCAGGTGGGGATTGTATCTGGTTCATCGTCGGGCTCTCTGCTTTATGGCGTCCGCAAGTCAAATAGCCCAGAAGTGCTAGCCCACATCATAAACTTCCTTCATCTCCCCATTCCTCTCCTCTCTCTGCTCATCTCCATATCTCACCCCTCATCCCACCCCTCAGACATCATGCCACAAGTAGCTGATCAGAGCACAACCCTTTTCCTCAACCGAACTGAGGGCATAGTATTAAATGCCTTGTTGCCACGCTACTCGGGTTATCATTCGGTCAGGCGTCGCGATGTCTCCGAGCAAGTTGCTAACAGACGCGTATCCTTTCCCCTCATCCCCTCTCCTTTCCCTCGCCCCATCCTTCTTACCATCCCTCTCCCTCTCCCACTCTCTGGTATGGTTGGTGCGGTTGGTAAGTGAGAAGGATCACACGAGCGCAGATTTAGCTGAAACCCTTCCATCCTGTCTCGTCGCACCCGAAGCACTGTCCATCCCCCTCAAAAACACCCGTAGTTCCTCACTCCTCCCCATCCCCAAAATACATAACCGCAACCCACCCATTCCAAATCTGTACCATCTCCCTCTCCCTCACTTCGCACTTAAATCTCTTCGGCGCCCGTTTTAAGCCAGCGCTCCTCATCCCACAACATGAACAAATCCCACGCTCGCTCCAGGCGCCGGCACGGCGAGCGAGAGGCCTAGGGGAATGTGCTGGTCGGAATGTGCAGTGCTTGGTAAGTCCGTTCGGAAGCGATGGGAGGGAGGTTGAAGCGGCGGTGGACAAGGATGTAGTGGTTGATGAATTCGGTGATGGGGAAGGTCGTGTCCAAGATGGGTGGATCTGGACTGTAGTGACTATAGAACCACCAGCTGCAGTTCGAAAGACAAGGAGGGACTTCCGGCTGGGATTCAGGGGCGATAACAGGTTGGGCAGTTCGCCCGGTCCGTGCATTGTGGATCTTGACTCACCGTCTCTGGTATGCACCGTATAGGAAGAGATGTACAACGTGACAACTGGTAAGATGCATTCCTGTCTCGGATCATTCAATCCATAAGGCAAGTTACAATCGTGAAGCGGAAACATCAACCATAAACGTCATTCATTCATCGCAATTTCGTATCATCTATCATAGCACTCGTACCTTACACAATCCAAAACCCAGAAAGACGTCATTTCCTTCATCTCGTCATCTCGTCTCCATCATCATAATCGTTCCCTCATTCTCCTGCCTCTGAAACCCCCCGTCTATTTCTTGAAACTCAACCTCTTCATGAACCCCTTCTTCTTCGCCTCCTCGACCTTCTTCGGTTGCTGAATTGCGTACGACGTATTCCTGGGTTGCACCGGATCCGCTGGACTCCCTGCGGTCTGAGGCGGAGACTGCGGAGGGGAGTTCGGGATGTACTGGGCGCGGGGAGCGTAAGATTGCTCGCTTGGCCCCGCGCCGGAGTACTCGTAGTTGTTATACTGCTGAGCCTGCGGAATCGATCCCGAAGAAGTCGTTCTCTGTCGTCCAGAATTCGCAAAAATCTCCTCAACATCATACGGACTCCTCACATTCTTCGGCCTCTCCCACCCCTGCTGCCCACCTCCATATCCCGGCACATACTCCTCCCCCCTCGCCAACGCTTCAAACCTCCGAATCGTATCCATCGGTCTTTCATTCCGTTCTCGATACGGATTACTCCTATCCGGATCCCGGATATTCGGGTCTTTGGGACCACGGAGGGATGGGGAGGTGGGCGGTGATGTTGTTTGGAAGTTCTCGAAGGGTTCTTCTTCGTTCATGGGGGTTGTTAGGGTTGCGATTGCTGAGGCGAAGCGTTTTTGGGAGGAGGAGCCTTGGGTTGAGGAGCGGGTGCGGGTTGTGGGGCGGGTTTGGGGTTGGGGTTCGTCGGTCGTTGATGACATGATTGTGATTTGATCTGCTCTTGAGAGTAGACGTTGAATGTGGATGGGTATGGATCAGATGTATGAACTGGATCAAATTGCCGCGGACGTCCTTCTTATACGGCTACGATCGTTCCTCTTATTACTTTGCAGTGTCTCGCAATCTTGGCATCCTCCCGCAGAAAAGGCTCCGACCTCTCCGCCGGCTGCTACACTTCGACTCAGCCGCATTACCGGTCCACTGGCTAGTCCTCGCTTGGCGGGAATACACGTCATGCAGGAGGACACAGCTTTGCGCGTCTGTCGGTCATGGCAGCAGTGCTTGGGGAAGGCGTGAGTGCCAATGCTATACCAAACTGGTCCCTGATCAACTCGTAGTCTGTCGAACAAGAGCCAAGAACCCAGTGGCTTCGGAGTGAACGGCAAGTAACAAGAGCCGAGGAATAAGAGGAAGAAACCCGTTTTTGCACACTCGTGATTTGTCAGCACGAAACCATGAGTCAGCCTCCATAGATCAGCTGAACCAGGCATGAAGCTTAAGTACTCAGGGAGCTCCTCGAGTGTATGTTACACCACTATGGATAACCGCATTCCGTTTCATGTACGCACCTCATACCGCACCCTCCCTACCTTCGGCTATACCCGGCGGCGTAATCGCTCAACTCGAAGGCGGGGGTCACGGAACCGACCGCGTAGCATAACCCCTCGAAACTCAACATCGTCGGAGCGAAGGGGTGGCTGCGCCTACATTCCAGTGTGGAAGCGTTAACGTTTCGAAGCATGTGCCTCGAAACGAATGAGAAGCAATCAACTTGAAGCCAAGGGATGACTCTGCAGTTGAGATGAGCGCCTGCAATATGTGTCAAACGAGTCACCGGTCTTCGAGCATCACGTTTTCCTTCGAAATTTTCGCCATCTCCCTCTGGCCCATCCTGCCAGTATTCTAAATATAGCACTCATATGATCATCCCCTTCCCCTTCTCCAAAATTGAATAAAAGTGTGGAAATCACTCCAGACTTCAATGAACGTCGAAAATCGGAGTCGAAGTCTCGGTTTCACCCCCGCTTCGATCCCCAGTCGCGATTCGACCACGAAGCGTCGTGAAGCGAGGTGTTTCGCCGCCGCCGGCCGAGGGGTGCTGTGCGTTGATGCACGCCCGAACAACAAAGCTTAAGGAGGGCTAAGCTGTCACTCCTTGACCATTTAAACAAACACAGCGTATCGTAGGGAAGGTGACGGGCAGCGACCAGCAACCAGGTTTACGCACTCATTTCGCATCTAAACCCGCAGAGAGCAAAGATAGCGTTTGTTTACGTCGGCTTTCCGTACGCGTTCTTTGGGTTCGGCTCCGCATTCACGCGACTATCGTCCCAGCAAACACAGCATACACCGCACTTTATTGGTCTCATTACCATCATAAACCTAATCAACAGCCTTTCCAGCATACACCAGGAGAGCACATCGACACGATGACATCCTTCAAACACTCCTGCTTCCGCATCCGCCGCCGCTACCTCATCCTCATAACCATCCTCTGTCTCGGGGTCCTCCATTTCCTTCACGCATTTCCCTCTGACACCGACTTCCTATCCAAAGCTCGGCCGAGAGGGTGGATGCCTTCAGGATCACCTGGTGGGACAGGGAAGGGACAGGGCCGGGGGAGAAGAACAGGGAAGAGGGGGAGTGGGTTGGTGGATCCGGGGGTTAAGACGAGGTTTGTTGGAGAGGATCAGAATGTTATTCATTTGACGGAGGGGGTTAACAGAGGTATGTCCAATCCCCATCTTCTCTGCACCTTGAGATGCTGACAGTGGAAAATCAGGGCCGTGGGTAATCGACAACCTCCCCTCCTTCCTCGAAGTAGGCCAAAACCACACCCTAACCCTCCGCTGCCTCTACTCCGACCTCTGCCCAAAACGATACTACCTCCTCCTACGCGGACCCTCAATCCTCACTCCACCCCTCGAATCCATGGTCCGCGTGGATGAGAAGACCGTCGAGATCGAAGTGAGGGTAGAGGATGCGGGTGAGTACCAGGTTTTCGCGTGGCCGGATTATGAGGAGTGTCCGAAGTGGTTCCGGACGGAGTTGAAGTATGGGATGAATCGGGCGCAGGCGATGAATTCTGGAGTGTATATCTCTGTGCGGGGAGCGCCGTTGGAGGAAGGGCTTGACTCGTGTTCGGAGTTGGAGAGGAGTGAGGTTGGGGAGGGGAGGTGGGTTGCTACGGAGGCGATCGCTAAAAGGTGGCAGGGAGTTGGGTGGTATGAGAGTTTGGATAAGGGGATGGAGTACACGTACCAACCGTACTCGTGCAAGCGTCCGCACGTCAACATCAAGGACGTACCCCGACTCCTACCAAGCGCAGAGCATATTGTCTTCATCGGGGACTCGGTTATGCGTGGGGCGTTTTGTACCCGAGTCTGGCCGGCGTTCAGTGAGAGTGGGAAAGCGGATGGCCCGTGTACGTTCATCAACGATCGGGACCTCTACCACATCAACCCGAAACACACCTCCTACAAGAACCCCGAGGGGCGGGAAGTTAAGTTATCCTTCGTCTTCGCCGACGACAAGCCGCGGGGAGCATTGGAGTACCTCACGAAAGAAGGTATCAACCCAACCCACATCATCACCAACCTCGGACTCTGGCTAGCGCCGCTGGACGACACAGCATATACCTCAGCCGTCCGCACATTCCTCACCACGATTCACGAACGCTGGCCCGCTGCAAAGGTAGTCTGGCGAACAACAACAGACGTCGCTCCCCAAATCCAGTGTTTCAGCGACAAGGGCATGACCCGTCAACGTCTTCATAGTCAACACTCCATCTCCTCGACCCTTGTTCCGGAGATGCGTGAGAAGGGGATGAAGGTGGGCTTCGTGGATGCGTATGAGATGAGTCGGTCGAGGCCGGATGCGGGAAATGATGGCAGACATTGGGTGATTGAGAGTCCGGAGGAAGAGGGGTGGATGAGGCCGGCGAGGCCGGGGGTTGGGGATGTGGAGGGTGCGGTGGGGGATGCGATTTGGGAGGAGATGGGGAGGTTAGAAAGGGTATAAGAGTATTTTGTCAAAAGTGAGAGGGGAGGCGTTTGATATTGGCCAGTTAGGGGTTGCATTGTGTTTCTTTGTTTTGGCAGAATATTTGGCATACAGCTGCAGGTGGGATAGGTAGATAACCTGGTATCAGCTACAGCTATGAAATTGACATTCACTGTTCACTGTGGCTACGGTACACGGTTTTCAGGCACTCGCAACCTCCTTCCCCTTGCCCTCCCCTCCACCCTCCTCAACTTCCTCCGCAAAGATCGGATGATCAAGTCCCCATCCAACCCTAACAACCTGCTTCGCACTATCCAAAACCTTCGGCTTTACTCCGCCTCCCCACACGTCCTTCCCAACCCACCCGCCATGCACATTCTCGAACTCCAACCCCGCAACCGCCATCCAGATCTTGTGAACCTGATCAGGGTGAAGGGGGATCATATTGGGATAGGACCAGAGGAAGGTGAAAGGGTGAGTTAAGTTTGGGACTATGCCGATTGAGTCTGCGACGAGAATACTCGATGGCGAACCCTCATGGAAGAGGTCGGGTGCGAGGTGGAGGATTGCGGAACCGGGAAAGTGCCCGCCGACTTTGATGAATCGGACCCCGGGGAGAATTTCTTGTTCGGCCTGTCCTTCAGGTAGGGGTTGAATCGCTTTATCTGGTCTCTGCAACCACTCTGCGTCCTCGGCCGCCACCACGACTGGACATTCAAAGGCTTTCGCCCACTCCACACATGAGCCATAGAAATGTGGGTGCGAGATGCATATCGCCCTAATGCCCCCCAGAGCGGTGATTTGGGTTATGGTCGAGACGTCAAGGTGGGATAGACAATCCCAGAGGACATTGCCATGGGGCGTGCGGAGGAGGATTGCCCGTTGGCTAATGGCAAAGTGGGGGGTGGTCGTAATTGAGATCATGGAGGCATCCTCTAAGAGGATTTCATCCGATCCGGGAGGGAGAAGGGGTGTAAACTCGTTCTCGTATTCCTCTTCGTGCAATTGCTGGAGAGAAGTCCATTTCTGGCCGTCGGGAGGTAGGTATTGTCGTGGATCAGAACAGATCTTGCAGTCGCCGAGTTGAGTGGCATCTGTTTCTGTATGTTGGGAACCGCAGGTTGAGCAGACCAGGTGGGTGTTCTCGTCAAGGGCGAGGATGGAGGGTTTTATTGACATCTTACGGGTTGTGATCCTGATTGGGGTGAGGACTGGTGTGGTTGTGAGGTGTCGGTATTGGTGGTTAAGGTTGAGGAGATGACGGGATGGGTGGGTATGACGTAATGGGCGAGAGTGATAACTGGAAGCGGCTGAAACGAGGTGAAGCTGAGTGCGGAATGGTTGAGCAATGTATTGGACTCTCCGGGGAAGTAAGAAGCGGAACTCGCTTGCCAATTGGGTGTTCATGGGTGTACTGGTGGTTAGGACGGCGCGGGGAAGGACGCTGCGAAAACGCTCGGTTGGAACTTCCCGCGCTTCGGCATAACTTAAGCCTTACGGGTGGCCGAGGGTACTGGAAGTACAACGGTCACAGATAAGAGTTTCGAGGTGCAGTGAATGCGTTTCGGTCACACAAAAGATTGAATCTCCTATATCACACATTTCACAACGCTGGTCGGCCGGAGTGGTTCTCACGCCTGCTCAGCTCGAGCTGTTAGCCGGTCGCTTTATGCCAGTTTGCAGCTAACTTACTGATTGCAAATTCGCAAAGCAAACCCTTGAGCTCCTTAAGCTTCATGCTCAGAACCCAATCTTAGCCAAACCCTCATCTACCTTCTTCGCCTCCATATATAGTTGGGGGGTGATGTCGAGCATCTTACTCGAATCCACGGCAGTCGGCGACATTGGCGCTCTCAGCGTTTCCTCCGATGTTTGTGTCTTGAGGGAAGGTTCCGCTGCAGTCGGCAATACACCATCCGTATGGGTGGAAGTGCCCGCGAGCCAGGCAGTAATTTTGTTGAAAAACTCCATGATTGTGATCGAGGGCGGGAACGGGAAGACAGCGAACAGTCAACAGGAGGACCTAACCCGTTCTTATACGTCACCCGTACAAAGGCAGCGACACGTCTTTCATACCGAAGCTGCCAATTCTAAATCATGCTGAAACACATACAGAACCGTTGTCTGTTCTTCGTTACGCGAACAATCCTCCCCTTCGTATTGTTCCCCCAATAGGCAATTCCTAAAGCGGCTACTGCGGGCTCGTGGCGCATGTCAAGATTCTCTGTACGAGAGCTCACTGGCGACCTGTAGACCGGTAGACCTCGGGAAAGTAAACGTTGTACATGGGTAAATCTGAGAAGAGGGATAAGAAAGAGAAGAGGGACAAGAAGAGGAAGGATAGGGACGAGGATGTCGCGGATCTGGCCTCTGAAGACGTCGTGAAGGAGCCTAAGCAGAAGAAGGCCAAGAAGGAGAAGAAGGAGAAGGTTGAGGAAGCGCCAAAGGTCATCATCCCCACCGATCCACCCGTGAAGGCACCCGAAACGCTTGTCGATACGGTTCCCGCTGAGGCACCCATTCCTGTCGATGAATCCAGCTCCGCCCCTACCGAAGAACCCAAAAAGAAGAAACCAAAGAAGGACAAAAAGGCCCCCAAGAACGTAGACTCCTACCCAACCTTCACCGTCTTCCCCGACAACGTCAAGTCCCCTATCGGCGTCTCCTCCCTCCGGGACCTCGTGATCTGGTGTCTGGGAGACGGAATCAACCCCACATGGATGATGGTCAAGAATAAGCAATACATCCGTCGTGCGGTGGTTTTGCTCGTGCCGGGGTTGACGAGCGAGATGTTTGCGGGTATGAAGGGGATGGGGGAGGGGATGAAGCCGGTTAAGATGGCTGAGGCGGGCGGACCGGAGGAGTTAGGTGTGTTGGGGGATATGTTTGAGTGGATGTGGCCTACCAAAGCTCCGGGAGATAACCAGCGACTCTATTCGCCTCTCCTGGCTTTGCTTCAAGCCCCGTTGTCTAACGCCGAGAAGGAACGTCGTGCGCGGGAGCAGAGACGGGTACAGGCGCAGTCATCCTCGAAAGAGGAGTTCCCGCCTGAGATGTTCCTGCTGAAGTTGGGCGAGATGGAGGAACAGGGATACCCCATCCACTCCTCCCTCGTCCCCGAAGGCCAGGCGAAGGAGTTGGAGACGGATTGGGTCGAGACCAAAAAGTCAGATTCGGAGTGGAAGACGGTTGGGAAGAAGGAGGGTGAGTATACCATCTACGGACTCGATTGTGAGATGTGTAAGACGAGTGAGGGGAACGAACTCACCCGTGTCACGCTCGTGAACGCAAAGAGTGAGGTGGTATATGATAAGTTGGTCATGCCTGATAACGAGATCATCGACTACCTCACACAATGGTCTGGAATTACGGAAGAGCGACTCTCCGGCACAACCACCAAACTCGCCGACGTACAACGCGACTTCCTCGAACTGGTGTCTTCGGATAGAACCATCCTCGTCGGTCACTCCCTCGAATCCGACTTGGTAGCATTGAAAATCCGACACCCCATCGTCATCGACACCTCAGTAATCTACCAACACTCGCGCGGACCACCCTACAAGCCTTCCCTCAAATGGCTCGCCGAACGCCATCTCGGTGCACAAATCCAGCGTAACACCGGCGTAGGAGGTCACGACTCCGCTGAGGATGCGAGGACGGCGGTACAGTTGTTGTTGATGAAGATGCAGAAGGGGGTGGAGTTCGGGACGTTTGCAAGGGATGTTGAGCCGATTTTTACGAGGCTGCAGAGGCAGACGAGTGAAGGTGGGGTTATGTCCGCTGTTGTGGATTATGGAAACCCGAGGGCGTTGATTGGTGCGGGTGCGAAGACTTGTATCGGGTGCCAAAGTGACGAAGACGTTGTGAAGGGGATCAAGGAAGCCGTGGAAACGAATCACGGCTTCGTCTTCGGCCGCCTGCGTGAACTCGAGTTCGCAGCGGGCTGGGGATCCTCGAACCGCGAGGACGCAAATTCCGAACCACTCTCCCCCAACCTCATGTCCCCCGTCCTTAGCCGCCTCGGCGAGCGGATCAAGGAAATCTATGAGAGTTTGCCGCCGTGTAGTGCGTTCGTTGTGTATACGGGTACCGGAAATCCTAGGGAGATGAGTCGCTTGAATGCGAAGTATGGAAAGCACAAGGCGGAGTTTAAGACGAAGAAGTGGGATGAGTTGGAAGTGAAGTGGGATGATTCTGATCAGCAGGCGTTGAATACGGCGACGAAGGTTGCGAGGAAGGGGTTGTCTTGGATAACCTTGAAATAAGGGACGTTATATAGAATATGCTCGTGTGGCCATGGGTCGAGACCGGAGGATTGACGTAAGGATATATGCTATCGATTTGTACGTGGTATCGCTATCGCAAATGACAGGCTATCTGCTCATCCCTCAAACTTCATCTCAAAGCATACAGTAGAGACTAGAGTAGGTTTAGTTATGCGTAGGCATCTCCACATTCGCCCTCGTAGCAACGGCATCCTCATGCTTCCACAACGCCGTGACTGTCTTCAACTGCGTATAAAACTGAACCCCACCCTTCCCGTAGAAGTTCAGATCTCCCAAAATCGACCCCTTGTTTCCGGTGAAGGAGAACAACGGCAAAGGCACGGGAATGGGGACATTGATTCCGACTTGGCCGGCCTCGATATCCTTCTGGAAACGACGGGCGGTAGCACCGGATTGAGTGAAGATCGCGGTACCGTTTCCGTATTTGTTGTTGTTGATGAGCTCGATTGCGTCGTCAAGAGTGTCGACGTTCAGACACACCAACACCGGACCAAAGACTTCCTGTTGGTAGCATTGCATGTCAGTACGAACGCCGCCCAAGATCGTAGGTGCGATCCAGTTTCCCTTGGGGTATTTATCGGGTTTGTAGCCGCGTCCGTCCAGCATGAGCTCTGCGCCCTCATCAACCCCGGATTGGATGAGGCCTTCGATACGGGTTTTTGCGTGGGGGGAGATGACGGGGCCGAGGTCTGCACCTTGCTCGAAGCCACCGGTGACTTTGAGGGCTTTTGCGCGTTCGACGAGGTCGGGGAGCCAGTTCTTCGCTTCACCGACACAGACGAGGGTGGAGAGTGCCATACAACGCTGTCCGGCAGCTCCGAACGCGGCTCCGGCGAGGGCGTTGAGTGCGTGGTTCTTGTTTGCGTCGGGCATGAGGACACCGTGGTTCTTGGCGCCCAAGTTCGCTTGAACGCGTTTCCCGTTCGCGGTTCCGCGGCGGTAAATGTATTCTCCGGCCTTATCGGATCCAACGAAGGAGATAGCCTTGATGCGGGGTTCGTCGAGGATGAAGTCGACGGTCTTGTGGGTTCCGTGGACGATGTTGAAGACACCGGCAGGGAGACCGGCTTCCTTGGCCAACTCGGCAATGATCATGGCTGCGCCGGGATCGCGCTCAGAGGGTTTCAGAACGAGACAGTTTCCGGTTACGACGGCGACGGGAAGACACCATAGGGGAATCATGGCGGGAAAGTTGAAAGGTGCGATGGCGGCAACAACACCGAGCGGCTCGCGCATAGTGTAGGTATCCATGTCGGTCGAGACCTCGACTGACTCGCCCATGAGAGATTGGATGTTGACGCAAGACTCGACGACTTGAAGACCGCGAAGGACGTCACCCTTTGCATCGGCGAAGGTCTTGCCCTGTTCGAGGGTGATTGAGGCTGCGAGGCGGTCCATGTTCTTGCGGATCAAGTGGACGAGGTTGAACATGATCTGTTGGCGCTTGATGATACTCGTGTTCCTCCATTCCGGGAATGCCTTCTGTGCAGAGTCCACTGCGGCCTTCAATTCTTCGCTCGTAGTCTCAGGGACTCTGGTGACGACTTGTTGAGTTGCTGGGTCATTCACATCAATCCACTTGTCGGTCTTCGACTCCACCATCTGGTTGTTGAGGAAGTTCTTGGTGGAGGTCGGCTGATCCAGACTGAAGTGATCCATAGGGTAGGAGATACCAGCCGTACCAGCCGAAGGCTGAGGAACTGCTCCCTGGCTAGGCATCGTTGAGGAGATCGAACGGGATTGTTGGGATCGGCGGGAGACGGTGCGGAGTGTGGCAGAGGCGAGAGGACGCGTGTTGAGGAGACGACGGAGAGCGATTGAGCGAGTCGCCATGTTATAGGACTACAAGGATCCTTGATCTGGACCTGGTCAGGAATATAAATGGTCGTCGAGGGGAGTTCATGGCGACGAGGGGGGGTACGTTTGTCATAAGGCGGGGCTTCCCCGCAACGGCAGGTGCTCGTCCTGCATGCGCTACGTTCAAATGTTCCGACGCAGCCGACCTGATTCACCCGGCCGCGGGTAAGGCGGGCATCGGTTAATAAAGAATCCTGTTTTATGTGTTTTCTTTTTTGCTGTTGTTGCTGTGGAAGATGGTTCCAAGGTTCATTATACATCGCTGTGTTCTGGTGACCGCAGCCGGCGGGTGAATCCCGGCTGCCCGCCAGCTGAAGGAAACCAGTTCAATATTGGAAAGGCATTCGAATAGATATATTTCTTGCGTTCGGGTCATTACTTTCGTTCAAGCAACTCACACCGTGGGAACTATCTCCCCAATCCATTCAGAAAGCGCGCGTACTGGTGATAAAGACGTGACGACTCCCCGTTCCGTCCCATTCAACGATAGACGTGATTATACCTATTGTTAAGTCAGCCCTGCCTCAGAACGTGTAGCACCATTAACGACTCACTGTCTGCAATGTGCATGCTCGAAAGGATTAGGCGGTTCACGAGCCTCCCTCTTCAATCCCCAATTCTTCGCCCATAAACAGCGAGACCCTTGAATGCAGTTTGGGCGGTTTTGAAGATCGGCTATATTCAGAAATTAGCACAAGGAAGTCTGGGAGATCATCCAGGAGAGAGGCTCTCACCTGGCAGTGCCCCAGGGTATGTCATCTGCACCTGCCACCAAACAAAGATACAGTCCGGCAACAACTCATCAAAGCATGACTCGCAAATAGAATCATTTCGACGCACAGAATTTCGTGCCGACCTTAGTGCAATTTGGCGGTTTACGAAGGTGAAAGGTCTGGCCCCCAAGGGATGATTTGCATGGCCTAGCTCAACGGCTTCCCAAACGTCTGAGATCGTCATCGGTCGAAATCGAGAGGTGTCGAAGTAGTAGAACAGCAATTCTGCTTCAAACGCACTCAGATCTGGGGCGTATAACTCCTTCTGCGCGACAAATGAATCTGCCCAAGTATGTTGGTCCGGTAGGCGTAAAGACTTCTCATAGGCCCATTGCCCCGGTGTTTGTAACGATTCCCGGCCATCTTCAAGTCCAGGACACCTTTCATGGAACCACTGACAAGAGAGCTTGTTACAAGCAGCACACTTCACCGGGAATCTTGTTTCTCGTTCGAAATTGGGCCAGACCGGAATGACGCAAAAACATCCTTCGCAAACAAAATGCCCATTTATCACGACCCCAGTGCGAGTGCGGTCACGGTTTTCCACGATCTGCCGGTAGATATCGTGATTCCCGTTTTGTACAGGACAAGTAAGTTCCAATCCTCTGTAGCTAGGACCCGGACAACATGGACAGGCCCATAATTCGTCGATGTTGTTATTGGCTACCGGCACTGGCGCTGCCGGCGGCTGAGGTCTTCCTATAGCTGGACGTGGTTCGGGTGTTTCCTCCTCAGGCTCATAGATAGGATCGAACTGGATAGGGAATCATTTAGCCCGTGATCCCGCCCTGACTTGAGCTGTGAGAGCGGACTTACCGGCTCTTCCCCATCCCATATCTCATCCGCGACCCTCAACTCCTCCGCTGTCCTCTTCTTATCCGGATGCTCGCTCAAAAGAACCTCGAGAAGGCTGTCGATAGGGAATGCGCGTTTACCTTGGCGATCGGGGTATACCTCCGTCCGACAATGGGGACACGCTTCACGCTGCTGTAGGGACTGAAAAAGACAGCTACCACAGAATGTATGCTGGCAATCAGGAAGCGTGACAGGGCGATGGAATATTTCGAAGCATATAGCTGACCAGATGTGAGTATATGCGCCGTTATCATGCGTGGCATGAACATACCACACCGTAACAGCCTATCCACCTCCTCGATCACCTTCTTCTGTTCCCTGACATGGTTCTTGTACCGCTTGACTGACCTCTTCAAATCTTCCATTGCTCCCTCATTAGGATCGTTACCCTTCTCCTGTCCGGGTACAACTTGTGCTCCCGCCGGCTGGGGTGGGGGTGGGGGCCCGCCTGGTGGTCCGCCTTGGGGTGCTCCTCCAAACTCGTACGTCTGCGTCACTCTCTGCGGAAGATTTTTCATTGGGGTCGTCAAAGGATGGTAGAGGATACTGATCGGTTGCAACGGATTCTGAGGGATTGCGATTTTTGGTAACAGCAGCTGCTATACGTACACGCATGCATGCCGATTAGGTGCCAGGGTTGCAACCCAGAATATATTAAGGGGTACTCCGAGACGACGTGCACCGAACGACAGAGAAGAACGGGCATTACTAGGATAAAGGAGCACACAAGAACCCTAGAAGTACGTTCTGGCTTGCGGATTTGCCTTTGACATGTCGCAGGTGAGTTCGAATCGCGATAGCTACCCATAGCGTGGGAATGAAGTCAATTGACAAGATGTCACAGATATCATCTTCTGGTTATAAGAGGTGGATACTAGCCAGTGCTTCCTACCCTTTTGGTTAGAGAGCAAGTTAATGGTCTGATCTTTGGCGGCGAGGGGTGCGTCGCGATATGGATTGGTCGTCGTCCTATGTCCACGGCACTAAGAGAAACGGAATTGGTGATGGCGAACTCCCAGCTGATGAGGGCCAGCTCACCCGGCATCACCGCCAACATCCCCTTGAAGCACCTTTTCTCGGGGCTCTTCCCCATCCCTCGCCTATAGATCCGTGTCTCCTCATATCGATAGCCCTGCACTACACCGCACACCCTGCGTCCGATAAGCCGTCCCACCGTTCAGTAAGCATAAGAAAGGCCTCTACCATTCCCATTGATCAATTAGACATCAAGAACAACCCCCGACATCTGCCGTCTTTCTCCTCACGTGCGGTCCTAATGGGGTTTGGGGTCTTGTGCTAATTTTTCGAGGCGCGCATTCGCCGCACTCCAGTGAAAAGTCCTCGCAGTCCCGAAGTTTTCGCTCTTCAGACAATCCTCTCAAACTCAAAAATGGCTTCTGCTGCTGAAGGTTCGTTCAGACTCGTCAATTGCGTCTCCTCCGTGTCATTATTAACGTCTGTTTTTCAGGAACTTACGAAGGTGCTATCGGTATCGACTTGGGTACCACCTACTCCTGTGTCGCTGTGTGGCAGCACGAGTCCGTCGAGATCATCGCCAACGACCAGGGTAACCGTACCACCCCTTCGTACGTTGCCTTCACCGAGTCTGAGCGTCTCATTGGTGATGCCGCCAAGAACCAGGCTGCCATGAACCCGGCCAACACCGGTACGTCGCAATTCCCATCTGTGGATTCGCATCGGATAAATTGACTGACTGTCTCTCAGTTTTCGACGCCAAGCGTTTGATCGGTCGCCGTTTCGATGATGCCGATGTCAAGAAGGACATGAAGGTCTGGCCCTTCACCGTCGTTGACGCCAACGGTCAGCCCAAGATCGAGGTTTCCTACCTCGGTGACAAGAAGCAGTTCACTCCCCAGGAGATCTCCGCCATGGTCTTGACCAAGATGAAGGAGATCGCTGAGGCTAAGCTCGGCCAGAAGGTTGAGAAGGCCGTCGTTACTGTCCCCGCCTACTTCTCCGACTCCCAGCGTCTCGCCACCAAGGACGCCGGTGCCATCGCTGGATTGAACGTTCTCCGTATCATCAACGAGCCCACCGCCGCTGCCATTGCCTACGGTTTGGACTCCAAGACCGACGTTGAGAAGAACGTCCTCATCTTCGACTTGGGAGGAGGAACTTTCGATGTCTCCCTCTTGACCATCCAGGGTGGTGTCTTCACTGTCAAGGCCACCGCTGGTGACACTCACTTGGGTGGTGAGGACTTCGACAACACCCTCCTCGACCACTTCAAGGCTGAGTTCCAGCGCAAGCACAAGCTCGACATCTCCGACGATGCCCGTGCCCTCCGTCGTTTGAGGACCGCTTGTGAGCGTGCTAAGCGTACCCTCTCCTCCGTCACCCAGACCACCGTTGAGATCGACTCCCTCTACCAGGGTGTTGACTTCTCCGCCAACATCACCCGTGCTCGTTTCGAGGACCTCTGTGCTGTTACCTTCAAGTCCACCGTCGACCCTCTTGAGAAGGTCCTCAAGGACTCCAAGATCGAGAAGTCCAAGGTTGACGACATTGTCTTGGTCGGTGGTTCCACCCGTATCCCCAAGATCCAGAAGCTCGTCTCCGACTTCTTCGACGGCCGTGCCTTGAACAAGTCCATCAACCCCGATGAGGCTGTCGCTTACGGTGCCGCCGTCCAGGCCGCTGTCTTGACGAACAAGGCCGACTCCGAGAAGACCTCCGACCTTCTCCTCCTCGATGTCGTTCCCCTCTCCCTTGGTGTCGCCATGGAGGGTAACGTCTTCGGTGTCGTTGTTCCCCGTAACACCACCATCCCCTGTATCAAGAAGCGTACCTTCACCACCGTTGAGGATGGTCAGACCACCGTCACTTTCCCCGTCTACCAGGGTGAGCGTGTCAACTGCTCTGAGAACGAGTCCCTCGGAGAGTTCCAGCTTGCTGGTATCCCCCCCATGCCCCGTGGTCAGCCCGAGCTTGAGGCCATGTTCGAGTTGGACGCCAACGGTATCTTGAAGGTCACTGCCACCGAGAAGACCACCGGCCGTACCGCCAACATTGAGATCACCAACTCCGTCGGTCGTCTCTCTTCTTCTCAGATCCAGGAGATGATTGAGAACGCCGAGAAGTTCAAGCAGGCTGACAAGGAGTTCGCTGGACGTCTCGAGGCCAAGTCTGCTCTTGAGTCCTACATTGCTTCCGTCGAGGGTTCCGTCAACGACTTGAACACCGGCATGAAGCTTAAGCGTGGACAGAAGGAGTCTATCGAGAACGCTCTCGCTGAGGCTATGGAGGCTCTTGAGGTTGAGGAGATTACTACTGAGAAGATCAAGTCTGCTGAGTTGAGGCTCAAGCGTGTCGTTACCAAGGCTTTCTCTAACCTCCGTTAAATTGACAGAGTTAGTGGATTAGAATTGGTGGTGGCTGGCTCGGGCTCATAAAAATGGCTGTTGGTGTTTTTTGGGTTTTGGTCATGTTTGCTTTTCCCATGATGGTGTTGTTACGATAGTGGATTGTTAATACGGTCGTGCATCTCCTACATTCGTTCATCTTTTCTACTTGTGCATTTGTGATCCTTCATAAGCCTGTGCGTAGAATTTGTGTGATTGTGTCCTAAGTAGACGATGCTATCGGTGTTCCCATTGGATCGTATGCCTTTTGCACCTTCCTCGGTCATCGTAAACTCGCTCGTTGCCAGCTGTTGGCCGGGGTTATTCCCGTATTGTATCGTACATCCTTGCCGTCTGTAGTGTGGTTCTGTGCTCTTCTTATCCGTTCATCCCCGTTATTCATGTCCTCACGCCGATCCACATCCACCCTTTTTCAACGCCTTGAAACTGTTCGCTTTCTTTCCTGGCATGCGGCTCTGCTTGATCGACTCATTATCGCCGAGGCGAATGTCCTTGTGTATTCTTAGTTCTGTACATTCGGACGTCAGTAGCCAAACTTCATCCGAACGTTGCCACTGCACATACGGTACTTCTCGTCTTCCGGTACTTTTTCTCCCTGAATCACACCCTGCCTCAGAACAACGGCAACATCACTCGCATGCTTCAGCTTCTCCTCCCACTCCTTGCTCCCCGCCTCAAGACTCCGTCCCGCCTCGAATTGCGAGCGTGCCTGCTCGTGAGCAGCCGTCATGACTCTGTGATCGCCATGGAAGGCCACCCTGACGGCGCGGAGGAGATTGCGGTATGCTGCAACGCCTACTGATTGCGACAATGACATTATCCTTTGCTAGCTATAGAGGGAGTATTTTGTCGTTGGTGGTTACGGGATATTTCTAGAATCACGTGCATAAGGGGCACCGCAGCCGGGCAGGGCCTTGAGCGCGCGATGCCACGCTGGCGTTAAGCGCGTATATCACCGCACGCTTCCCCAAGGCTGCTCCACCGTCCCACTCCCCTCCACCAGATCAATCGAAGAGAACATCTCGATCATGCGTGCCGGTATCCCTATTTCTGCCGTTGCTGCATTGTTGCTTGTCAGTCACCACGGCCTGGCGGTCGCCGATGAGTTGGACGACGTCATTGCGGCCGATGAATCTGCCTCGAGCACCTCTGTTGCGCTTCCCCAGTTTACGGTATGTGATCGGGTCAATTGGTAACAATATTGGATCACTAATGCTTTGGCTAGCCCACTTCTTTGAAGGCTCCTTTCTTGGAGCAGTTCACTTCAGACTGGTCAGAGCGCTGGACTCCTTCTTCGGCTAAGAAGGATGACAAGGATGGCAAGGAGGAGATGTCTTACGTCGGAAGTGGGTTATCATATATGTCTCAGCTCAATTGAGTGGTTACTAACATATCAACAGAGTGGTCCGTCGAGGAACCTACCGTCTTGAAGGGCTTGGCACAAGATCTCGGTCTCGTCCTTAAGTCTCCCGCCGCTCACCACGCCATCTCCGCCCCCTTCCCCGAGCCCATCGACAACACCGACAAGACCCTCGTCGTCCAATACGAAGTTAAGCTCCAAAAGGGTCTTGAATGTGGTGGTGCCTACCTCAAGCTCCTCTCCGCCGACACCGTCGCCGGTGTCGAGGCGCAGGAGTTCTCAAACAACACCCCTTACCAGATCATGTTCGGTCCCGACAAGTGTGGTGCGACTAACAAGGTCCACTTTATCTTCCGTCACAAGAACCCTAAGACTGGAGAGTATGAGGAGAAGCACCTTACCGCTCCTCCTCCCTCCAAGATCACGAAGCATTCTACCCTTTACACCTTGATCGTTAACCCCGATCAGACCTTCGAGATCAGGATCAACGGCGATAAGGCAAAGTCTGGATCTCTTTTGGAGAACTTTACTCCGGCTGTTAACCCCGCTGCCGAGATCTCCGACCCCGAGGACTTCAAGCCCGCTGATTGGGTTGACACCCCCCAGGTCGTCGATCCCTCCGCTACTAAGCCCGCGGACTGGGATGAGGATGCACCCATGACAGTCCCCGACATGGATGTCGAGAAGCCTGAAGACTGGCTTGAGGACGAGCCGGAGTACATCCCCGACCCTGACGCCGAGAAGCCCGAGGACTGGGACGACGAGGAGGATGGTGACTGGATCGCCCCCACTGTCTCCAACCCCAAGTGCGAAACTGCCTCGGGCTGTGGACCCTGGATCAGACCTTTGAAGCGTAACCCTGACTACAAGGGCAAGTGGTCCGCACCCCTTATCCCCAACCCTGACTACAAGGGTATCTGGGAACCCCGCAAGATCTCCAACCCGGACTACTACGAAGACCTCACCCCCTCCAACTTCGAGCCCATCGGCGCTATCGGCTTCGAGTTGTGGACGATGCAGAGCGATATCCTCTTCGATAACATCTATGTCGGACACTCCGTCGAGGACGCAGAGGCTCTCGCAGAGGAGACTTGGAAGGTCAAGTATGCGAATGAGAAGGCAGAGGAAGAGAAGAACGTCAAGGCTACCCCTGAGCCAACAAAGCAGGATTCAAAGGGTAAGGTGAGCCCGTGGAAGGAGGATCCCGTGGGTTACGCGAGCCAGCAGTTGGATATGTTCTACCAGATCTTCATCCGTGACCCGCGCTCCGCATTGGAGATGATGCCTGAGGTCGCTACCGCGATCATCGTCGGTCTCGTTTCTCTCCTTGCCACCATCGGTGGTCTTCTTGCGTGGTTGACTGCGCCGGCTGCGAAGCCTAGCCAGGTCGTGAAGAAGGCTGCGGAGAACGTCAAGGCTGATGCTAAGGCGAAGAAGGAGCAGGGACAGGTTGTGGAGAAGGAGAGGATTGTGGCGGAGGAGACGACGGCGAGCCCGGTTGCGCTTGCTGAGGAGGAGAAGGTTACGAGGAGGAGTACTAGACGTGTCGAGTAAAACGGCATGCTGAAAAACGCGTGAGGCAGGGAGTGTATATGTGACGTATGATTGACTGCGGTTTATTTGGTGGTTTTGGAATTGTGTGAGTTAGTGAATACCCCGTATAATCTAGTTTTGTGAATATCATTCATTTTTGGAAAACCTGCTTCACCCATTCATCTTCGTGGTCCTCGGCAGTACATGGTCATGACTTGGAGATTGCGGATGGTTTGTAGCAAAGGTATATTTGGTTTAAATGAGAAGAAACCCTCCCAATCTCACGGTAAGCAACAAGAAAACCATACTCCACATCATACACTCTTCCTTCCCATCGATATCCTACACCAATTCTCCCCTCCCCCTTACTCACTCCTTCAACCTCCCAACACAAGTATCCGGCGCATACTTCTCCACAACATTCTTATCATGCAACATATTAAACTCCTCCGTCGCATCCCGTCCCGCGTACAACAAAATAGCCTTCGCGCCCCCCGGGTGTTCGTCCAAAAAGTTGGTAACGTCGAGGACGAGACCGTTGACCGTAACCCAGATATCGGATTCGGTGTTGTGTTTGGCGATGTCGGAGAGGGTGTATGTCGCGTCGGGGATTTGCATGCCTTTTGCGGGTTTTTTGACGGTGGCTGGGGTTTGGTCTTGGCCTGTCACGGCAAACCCAGTAGCCTCTCCTTTCGGCTCACTGCTCTGCTGTCCAAAGCCGGTGGAGGAAGAGGAGGATTGGTTGTCGTCACCCCACATAAAGTCGATCGAAACCTTCTTCGAGACAGGGTCAATCCTAACCCTCGAATCAATCAAATGACTCCCCACCATCCCCAACCTCTCCCCCGCCCCTTCGGCGCCCTTGCCCTCAATCAACTTCCCCATCAAGTACTTGCTCGCCGAATCACCCGCAACACGCCCATAGATGACACACCCCAACAACGAACTCCCGCCCAACCTGTTTGCGCCATGGACTCCGCCCGCGAGTTCACCACATGCGAAGAGGCCTTCGATTGGAGCGGGAGGGGTGGAGGATGAGAGGATTTGCCCGATATCGTTGATTTCGATACCGCCCATTGTGTAGTGGAGGACGGGTTGCATGAGTGCGACGTGGAAAGTGTCATCATCCATCTCAACCGGTGCATTCTGGAAGAACTTTTTCTTAAACGGGTCAGGTTTATCCCCCGAAGCATACGTGTTGTACTCCGCAAACGTCTGCGCAAGCACCTCAGCTTCAATCCCCATCTCCGCAGCGAGTTCCTGACCGGAAGAGGCACGCTTCATGAGACCACGGCCAACGTAGTGTTTACAATGCCACTCAATTTCTTTGGAAGCTTTCCCGTTGAGTACGAGACGGATCGGGAATTTGTTTTTCCACATTTCGTTTGTGACGAAATCGCGGTGTTGGAGCTCGTCGACGAAGCGCTTGCCGTCTGCGTCGAGCAATAGGCCGCCCACGCCGCGTAAGGCTTCGGCGGCGAGGAATTTGACTTTTGCGTTGGGGTCTTTGGGGTCGATGAGGCCTGTGGGGTGGACCTGGACTTTTTCCATGTCGATACCCTTTCCGCCGATGGAGGGGTCCATGACCATTTTGTGGCCGTCGCCGGTGGACGAAATTCCGTTGGTAGTGGATAAATCAATGATATCGGGACGGAACTTTTTCAACAACGAGTCCTCCCCGAAATCAGCGGCATACCCCCCCGTAGCCAACACAACCGGTCCACGCTCCTCGAGTTGTTTCCCCTCATGTTCGTATTTGACACCGACAACTTTGTCACCTTCTTTAATGAGTTTGAATACTTTGGCTTTCTTGAGGATGCGTGCGCGGGTGGGCTCGTTTTCGGCGATTTCTTCGAGTTTCTCCATGAGTGCGTACGTGATTGTCATACCGGGGAACATCTCCTTCCCACGGTGGGTACGCGGCTGAGAATGTCCTCCCAAACGCGCAACCAAACTCAAATCCAATCCAAAGGAGTCTTGAAGCCATTCGACGGCGCTGGCGGATTTGTAGGTAAGGACTTTGATGAGGTCAGGACGAGCGAGGTCTCGAGCAGACTTCAAGGTGTCGGCGTAGAATTGCTGAACGGAGTCGCGGATACCGAGCTCGATTTGGGTACGGGTTAGAGCGCCGTTGATACCGGATGTCGCCTTCGTGGAGTTGCCACCGCAGAACGGCATCTTTTCGAGTAACAAGACGGAGCCGCCGCGTTCGAGGATTGTGTGGCAGGCGGAGAGGCCGGAGAGGCCACCGCCGACGACGATGACGTGGGAGTTGGCAGACATGGTGGTGAGTGGACGGTCCTGGAGGGGTGGAGGGATGGAGGGATGGGAGGGTTGTTATATAGGGCCGGGACTGAGAAGCGGGGGCGGCGTGGGACATCCAGGGCGCTGCGGGGTCCCGCCTTATCCCGTATCACCATAGCCAGGGCACGTGCAGCCAGTCCACGCGGTTCAGTTTGGGAAAAAGGGGCAGCATAAATGTCACGCAAACAACAACGCACTAAACACCATCGCCATGACCACCGACAAAGCCATCCACAGCCAGTCCACGCGTTGTGTCTCTAGGAACCAATGGATAGGTAAGTGGTAGTATTAGGGCGTGAGGATAGACCTCCAGACAATAATCCCTCCCCCCGAAAATATAGCACATAACGCCCTTCGATATCCTACACTCGTCCATAAATTGGACCTCTCTTCCTTTCTCTCACGTTTCGTATGTTTCTGTGTGGATGTGTTGGAAGTTTTGGGTAGTCTTCCGTACGCAGTCGGTCTGGTCGCCCGTAAAACGGTTTCAGGTAATCACGATGGAAAGTCCCAATGACCTTCTTGTCGAGGTTGAGTAGTTGGTACGACACACCGAACATATCGTCATCGTACGCTTTCATCTTGCCCACAATGAATGGTCCAGTCCAACGTTGCGCCAGTTTGTCACCCTTGGTGCCAGCCACCGAGGAGTCCCACAACATACAGAATCCTCCGATCTCGATTCCTGCTTTATCTCGTATCTTCTTATCGTATCTCTCCTTCATTCTCGCTCGGTAGAGTTCTTGAGTTGCCATTGCTCTCTCGATCCTCTCCTCAGACGTCTGTGCATGTAATATGAGGTCATCCATTTCAGGGGTCTCCACAGTCGTCACCCCAGCTCTTCGGCCATTCGCTTCGGCTGTCGCCGCGTTTCGATGCGTTCCGCTTAATTTGTCCCGTACAACTGTTCCGAAAAGTAGTTCGAACGGTGTGAAGCCATGAGACCTGACTATTCGCCTGTTTAGTTTGGAGGTTGCGTCAGCTAGGGTGAGATCCCAGTCCTTCTTCCCTTTCGCCATACGCTTAATGCGGTCTTCGACTAGGCGGTTGTGTATTTCAATCATGCCTGCGGACTTGGAGGATGTCCTGGGGATATATGTAATTGCAATTCCCTCAGTCCTCAGGAAGCGTCTGAACTCAGCAGAGTCGAATGATGAGCCGTTATCACAGTATATTTGTTCTGGATGTGGCCATTGCTTAAGCCAGTCCTTGAGATGTAGGATGACCTCAGCGGACGTCTCTGATCTTACCGCCCAAGTCCATGTGTAGCGCGTGAAGTAGTCGACTATGTGTAGCACCTTGTCGTTTCCACGGCTCGACTTTTCACCAATCGTGATGAAATCAATACTGATCAGCTCGAAAGGGCGAGTAGTGCGAACAGGACTGAGTTTGGCGGAGCTTATTCTGGGGCCGTGTTCCATACACTTGATGCATGAATCGTAGTACGTATGTACATCTTCGTATCTTGACGGCCACCAGACCTTTCTCAGTATCACCTTCATGATCTGATCAGGTCCATAATGTCCACCTTCATCATGCACATATTTGAGGATGCTTGGGACTTCAGATTCGACGGCCACGGGGATCAAAATGCCGCGAAACATTCTCATGAGTTGTGTATCTCTTCCCATTCCCATCAGTTTGAAAGATCTGGTCGACTTCTTGAAGGCCCTCAACTCTCTTTTGCGTCCGTGGAGTGACGGTGGGCACACGCCTTTCGCTAAGAACCGTGCAATGTCTCCAAACCATGTGGATCTCTCATACCTGTCAACATTGGGGTCTTTGACCGGGATTATGGGTGTGTCATCCTCGCCACCGCTCCAGTTGATCACGTCATTTGCAAGACCTAACCACTGCTCTTCCTCGGACTCGGTGTCATCCTTGGTAATTTTCTCCGATCTGCCAACCCTGCTGTAGTATTCCTTGGTCGCCTCCGTCTTCTCGTTTGCCTTGGCTATGTTTATCCATTCCAGCATTTTCTCGAGCGCCACATTGCGATCATCTTCTTCGAAGGGCAATCTCGGATCCTCATCCGTACCCGCGAATATCTTTCTTGATACACCATCCGCGGCCTTGTTCTTGGGGCCAGCAATGTATCTCACTTCGACGTTGGACTCATCAAGGATATTGGCCCATCTAGCGTAGATTCCCGATAAGTTAGGAGCGCTGCGAAAGAGTGTTGCCGGCATGTGATCCGTATAGATGATAGATGTCTCTGTCCCTCCGAAATAGCAGTTGTATTTCAAAACCCATTGGACAATCAAAAATAGCTCACGCTTGAATACCCCATAGTTCCTTTCAGTTTTATTGAAGGCCACGGAGTCGAACAGGACAACCCTCTCATTGCCGTTCTCATCCTCTTGTACGATGCATACTCCGCAGGCAATATCTAAAGCATCGGGAGGAGTACGCAATCATCTCCTTACCCGGAATTGGTCCATAGGCGTCAATACATTCACTACACTCTTCTTGATCATATCAAATGCCACCTTCTCGACCATGGTCCAGCGCCATTCAGCATCTTTGATAATAAGCTGACGAAGGGGTCTTTCAATGTGGCAGTAGTTCTTGATCCATCTGCGGCAGATCTGAACGGCACCAAGGAACGCACGCACTCCGTTCACATCCTCAGGGTCGGTCCACTCCCTGATTTTGATGGTACGTTCAAACTTGATTCTTACCACGCCTCCCGCCTTGATCTCATAACCAAGGGTCTCGATGCGGTCAGTGCCAAAAGTAAACTTCTTCCAGCCAATCTTGAACTTGCTCCAGGAGATCCTTGGAAACAGGTGATCTCGATGAAATTCGAAAGCCTGCCAGAAGCCCTTGAAGGCAGTGAATGTATCATCTTGGTAGTACGCCAGATGTGGTCCCGCGGCCAATGATGGTTCAGGGTCAGGGGGAGGTATCCTGCCGTATACAATTGTGGAAGCATTGGCCATGGTATGTGCCGCCCCTGATTCCCCTTGCGGTGTAGTAGTCGGAAACACCTGGCCAAGGCCGTTGACATGGAATGCTAGATACTTTCTATGCGGTTTGAATACTCCCATTGCCAAGAACTCGTTCTTGGAGTCGCAGCCGCATAAGGTATCAAAATCCGGGTTACTTATTTTGTCGATGACGTCAGTAATCAAGTTCATCTTCGACTTGGGTAGTGTGACGTGAGGGTTCACGCTGGCAAAGTTGAATGTGAGTCTCTTGGAGCCATCGGACTTGGTAACAATGACTGGAGGCGAATCCCATTCAGATAGTGGCTCCTTGTCGCCATAGTTGATCTCGAAGAACCCATGTTTGACTCCCTCCGTGACAGTGTCGTACAGGAATTTGGCATCGTCTTGTGATAGTCTCTGTCTGTATCTCACTGCTGTCGGTAATAGCATTTCAGGAACTCGAACGTACTGTTGTGTCAGATCCGTGATCTCCATGTTGGATATATCATTTGCGCCAATGTCCTTCCATAGGTAACACAGACCTAAGAAGTGGTGTTCCTTTTCCTCTATGTCAACGTGAATCCCATTTGCGTTGATACCCATCCCTTCAGCCCACTTCCGAAGATCCGATAGCGATGGTAGTTTCGTCAAATCAAATTCCCGTCGTTCGATTCTCCTGGTCGTTGGGAAATGCTCACCGAAGTCAAGCACATGACGGGTCTTGACATTGTTATCCATGCATACGGTAGCGTTTCTTGCGTTTAGTTCAGCGTATTTTTCATAAGCCTCAGCAGTAGTTTTGGCATTTTCTTCGCGGCGCTTCAACCTGTTCACCCTTTTCTCCGAGTACTCGACCATAGGGAATAGCATTATCCCTTCCTTGGCTTCCTCTCCCCCACCTTCATCAGCCTCTAGATTAACGACTTTGCGGTCATTTGAAAATCCTCCATGAGGCTGAACCTCCTGGACCCAATTGCGCTGGCTAAGTAACCCCATTCTCCTTCCGGTCCGTACTCCTCCAAGTACTCTCTCGCCGTGCCATAGGCGATTTTAACCCATGATCTCTGCTTTGCCATCCGGAGTTGCATTAACGACCATACATCTCCTTGATGAGACTACATCATCACTGGACTCAGAGGATTCCTCATCACCGCTGTCGTACTCAGTGGTTTCGTCATTCTCGCTCCTGGTCGCGCATTTTACCAGACGGATGGGTGGTAGCGGTTTCCATTGCTTTCCCTCAAGAATGACTTCGTCATACCCAGGCGGTCTGAGATACCATGTGTTGTGGTAAACGTCGAACATACCCCTCAAATCAAAGAGCCAAGGGAGACCAAGTAGGAATGAGTATCCAGCGACCCCATAGTACGTGTCCGGGATCACAAAGAATTGAACGACAACACGCATCCCTTAAAGTACTATCTCGACATCCGCCCAACCAGTGAACTTCACACTCCTCCCCTCTGTGGTGCGCATTCGTACTCCTGCCATGTAGGTGCCACCGACCTCATGTATTTTGACACCCCAGGTGTTTGAGAGGCGTTGGAAACGTAACGTTTATATCGGAGCCAGCATCAATCACAAGTTGGTTGAACTTGCGCCACTTGTTAGATGCATCTCGAGCATAAACCGGAACCATGAAGGATGCCCACGCAACTTTGTCGTCCCCCTTGTCGTTATCCATCATGGCGTTTCTCGCATACGTGCTCTTCTTCCTCGTACCCGGCAGGCCCATTGCTCTCGCGATATCTTTCCTCGCGCTCGGTGCTTCCTGTAGGAACTGCATTATGGTCATACTGATGCGTCCTTCATTGAAGAAGCGGATTATGTCCATGGGAGTATGTCCCTCCATCCCCCTGATCTGTTTAAGCCGGCGCTTTTTCTCATCCGGTTTCCCATCTTTGGTCTTGGTATTCGTGTCGATTATGATATCATTGTTCATGTCCTTTGGCTTGAGATGGTGCCATGGGCTTGAGGAATTCACGCGGAATGCGGATGATCTCTCTGCCTTTCGGCTCATCTCTCTTGCGCGGGGGCGCATCGGAATCGGTAGTAGTCTCAACGGTAGCAGCCTTGCGCTTTGCCTCTGCCGCACGTGAGTTCAATAATGTACGGAAGTCCTCGTAGTTGGAGGTTGGGAGTGGCATTCTCGTTCCTTCAATCTCATCCTCGTCACTGGATACTAGCTTGACCATGCGGGAGCAGTAATCGCCAGTGCTAATATCGGCATCCAGCGGGGTGTCATCCCTCATGTCTTCGTCAATATGGAACATGCGTGAGTTGATCACTGGAGGTTGTCCTCCTTGCCCTTGCCTCTCCTGGCCTTGACCTTGACCACCAGGGCGTGCATATCGAGAGTATGACTTGCGAGTACAGATCGACCTGGCACGGTCACTATCCTCTTGTGACACGGGTTTGTTAGGGCACCCCCATGATTGATGCCCCTCCCATTTTAGGCACTTGTGACAGAAAGCGGAGACATCCTGCGCGTTCTCAAGCTCACTCCATTCCTTTTCTGTCATGGCGGACTGACGAACACTCTGTTGGTTCCCAGCGTTGTTACCTCCACTGTTCTACCTGGCTTGACTTCCGTATTGACCCTGACCTTGACCGATCGCGCTAACACTCTCATTGCGACTCCTTTGTGTATACGCCCGAACTCCGGCGTTACCTAGAGCCGCAGGGTCAATAGGGTTTCCGTGTGAATCGTAGAAGAAGTGATGATGGTTGAGGTTCCCCGGGTCGGACTTGCTCCTATCCATGTTCTGACCACCGTTTGATACTTCCGGAGGCACCGTCTGCCCCGTTCTCGCAAAGATCTCGTGACCTTGACCTTGTCCCAGTCCAAACTGTTCACTGCGCCAGAACAGGTTGTTGCGAGTGTTTGACCAATAATATAACTCCTCCTTTGCCTTCCTTAGAGTCTTGGGCCTGGCGCGGATGACATCCTCAGCCAGCGTCAGGTCAGCGATACCGTTAATGAAGGTCGCTATGACCTGGAACAGAGCAACACCGCTGGATAGCTCAGTCGGTTCCTCCGTGTCTGTGCCTCCTAGAGCCTCAAGGATGTCCTCGGCTTCGCAATGGTAGTCGTTGATGGACTTCTTCTCTGACTTCCTGTCATCCTTCCACTGAGTCAGGGACTGGAGTTTTGACGTAATCATCCCGATGTCCTCGTCCTCATTGCGCACCGGGTAACGACTCTGTAATAGTTTCTTGAGTGCTTCCACGTCAGCAATAGTATTGTTGGACTTATTCATGATATTGTTACACTGATTGTTTCGGTCGGCCCAGTAAGCAGCACCGTTCCTTCCACCTGGGTGGTTTGCAAGGTTGGCGTAAACTAGGTCACAGAACAGGTTGCAATCTTCTTCTGTCTCAATCTTTCCTCCCACGGCCACGCGAATTTTCGCAAACCAGCGTGTAACGCTATCTCCCTTCTCCCCCGAGAAGCCGAGTACGTCGACTTTGGGCATGGCAGCGCGTTGCGAGGCCTGTTCTGGTCGCTGTATGCCGGGGGGCAGTGTATGGATGGCTGTAGATGCTGAGGTATTCGGTGTATCAACTTCTTGAAGGTTTATGTCCTCGAACTCAGGGGCGAACGCTTGGTCAGATGATGTTGGACCAAACTCAGGGGTCGATTCAGGGGCTGGTTCGGTGGACGCGTCCGAGTCGACGTTGACCTCACGGTAGCTGTATACGTCGGTATGACGAGACAGTTTGTTGGTTCTGGGATGTTTCGGAAAGGTGTTTTCGATGCCCACGTATGGTTCCTGACAGCTTGTCGGTCTCAAGACTTGAGACTGCCCGACACTACAGCTGTGAAGTTCCGGAAGTAGGCGAAAACTGGATTGGTGACGCTCTGGTGTTCTGACTCTCAGCTTCTCCCACCAATGTTTCTCTAGGAACCAATGGATAGGTAAGTGGTAGTATTAGGGCGTGAGGATAGACCTCCTAGCTACGTCGACCTAGACAACTATCGTAGAGGCGCAGCTACACCCGCCACAGCGTTTGTCTGATGTCACACAAACAACAACGCACTAAACACCATCGCCATGACCACCGACAAAGCCATCCACCCCTCAAACACCCCTCCCCCAACTGCCCCGTTCAACATAAAATTCTCCGTAGGCTGCGCCGGCGTCCCCGCATCCCCACTCGTAATCGGCATCGTGCTCGTCCTAACCCTATCCGTCCCCACACTACTACTCGGCACTCCCACCTCCAACGCACTCCCATTATGCGCGGCTGCACCACACCAAGGCATCCCGCTATAACAAAGATCCGTACATGACCCGTCGGCTTGTGGGCACGCGTGGACGCACGATTGGACTTGGTAGATACATTCGAAGTAGGGGATTGTGAGGCTGTACAGTGTTGCGTTTGGGGCGAAGCCGTTTGAGCAAGTGCAGGAGTAGTCGAGGGATGTGGGGTAGCAGGAGTTTGAGAGGGCGGTGTAGGTTGCTGTCGTACGGTTAGTGGGGTGGGAGAGGCTGGAGGGGGATGGGATGAGTACCGTTTGCGCAGATGTCGTCACAGACGGCGATTTGGTTCTGGCACCAGCTTTCTTTGGTTGCGTAGTCGATTGCGGAGGCGTTGAACAGACCCATCTCGAGATGACTAAACAAGGGTACTGGACTGAGGATTAGGGCGGAGTCGTCATCTTATAGAAGATTGAATATAGTGATTGTTTCATGGCGGAAGCTTGGGCGTTGCACAGACCTCTTCGTACAGTGCTGTTGTTCAGTTTGAGGGGAGGGTTCATTATGTCGCCGTGAGAAGTACGACAAACGGACCGAGACGGGGTGCACAATGACTCTCAGAGAAATACACAAACGAATGCTGTATGTTCATGGTATGACTTACGAAAGAGTGTAAACGCACTCGCCCTGCCTCTAGACTGGTATACTCCGAGTTCCCCACATCAAAATCCCATTTCCAAGTCCCGCTTCGTACAACCCTCCGCCAGGCGAACAACATCTACCACCGATGAACCCCTCCTCTTTTTGATCCCTATTTCAGTTTTCGCATGTTTCAAGCTCTCGCAAACCTCAGCGAACGCGCGCTGAGTCTCGTGAAGCCCGAGAGTCCGCTGCCCGTGCATCCTCACCACAACAACGCGGATCCGAAAGTCGGCGACATACTGGGCGACGACTCGCGACATGATATGGTGATTGGTTTGGGGGAGCATTTGATGATGGGTGAGTGCCTTGCAATGAGGAGTATGGGTTTGGGACTGATTGGTTTGTTGGTGGTAGGCACTCCGATACCGCATGAGCAGCTTGGTGAAGAAGTTCACGAACAACCACGACCAACGAATAAGCGCAAGCTCGACGCGCACGCCAATGAGAAAGTCACTTCAAACAGTACGTCGTCGGAACACATTAATAACACAGCCCTCGTTATCAAAGCCATCGCGCCCGTCGGGGCCCATGTGACGCCATCCATCCCTTCACGACAGGTGCCGAAGTCAGATAGAAGTTTACGAACGCGTGTGAGCGGAAGACTGAGTTTCGTATTCAATGCGCACCCAGTCGATGCGGCCCTTACCTCTACAGAGCCTGACGCAGAGGATTCTCGATCGCTCGTTGCAAAAGGTGTGCAGTCGTAGGCGGCATAGTTCTTCAATGACGTTTTGCTAACTGCTTTGCACACAGAATCTTCGAAACTTGGCTATACGGACAAGATCATTGTAATACACTCAACTACGTCGGACGATGTGACGTCGACAGCACCGGCAGTGGCGAAGCCTGCCAGACCTACGATCGAAGTCCCTCTATTCAGGATCATCGACGACACCTCAACAACGTCTAAACCGCCTCCGGAACCGGGGAAGTCTCCAGCACGTCCACTCCTACGTTCAGCATCTACTTCTCCCCGCGCAGTTCGAAAAGCGCCTCCTTCATTGTCGCAGGCAGTCGTCGCACCAGAAGACGACCCCTTGGGTGACGATATCTACCACAAAGCACACCAGAAGCCTTTCCGTTCCGAACGTCATTTGTTGATCAAAGAAAGAGAGCGTATCGCTTATGAGAAGCTTCAACTCGAACGTGAGTTCGAGATCTTGCAGGGCCTGGACTGGATGCGTGTCGTAGGACCAATCCTACACAAACGAAGACCAGATCACAAGTTTACTCATGCCGAATATGAAACGGAGCGGACACGACTCATCGAAGAGACTAGGAGCGTGTTGGAGAAGTATCGGATCTGGAAAGCGGAGGAGGCTAGGAAGAAGAAGGGTCCTCTCAGAGCGGGTACAGCTATTGTCCGGCAGAAGAGTGCTACGCCAACACCCAGTGTACACGAAGAGGCTATTGTTCGTAAGAAGAAGTTTAGGGTTGAGCGGACAGATCCGAATTGGCCAGGATGGAAGAGGATTAGGATTATCTTCAAGGGCATGCGTCCTCCAACACCGACATCCTTGCTCGCGGCAGTTGAAGCAAGCAAATTGCGGGGCAAGAATGCTAGGAAGAGCGGAAGGGTTGTTACAGCATGGGGAGAGCCATTACCTAGGATCGCGATAGCAGATAGGGACTTCACGTTGCCATATTGGTTATAGCGAAATGAACTATCTTACAGGAATACAAGCAAAATTACCACTCTATTATCGTACTGCCTATATTTTTCTACTTACAGCGCTCCTTTGCTATTTTAAAGCAACAACTTCTTGAACTGAGCGACGATACGGTCCAAGTTCTCGGTCTCAGCCTTCATGGTCTCCAACTTCTCCGCGTTCTGGGCCCTCACGTTCTCGGGGACCTTGTTCTCGTAATCCTTCTGCGCCAACAACTTCTGCATCTGTGCCTGCTGCTGCTGAATCTTTCCAATCTTCTTCTCGGCCTTAGCAATCTCGGCGTCGAGGTCAGCGTGACCCTTGACCAAGAGCAAGGCGTTGCAATCCTTGTTGATGGCGTAGACGGCACACCCCTCAGGCTGCTCGGATCCAGAGGCCAAAACCTCGCAAGACTCGCATCCTTTGATAAGGGCAACAATGGAAGGAGACTGCTCGGCGATGACACCGTTGATGCTGGCGTCAGCTTGGACGAAGATCTTGGCGCCCTGGAGGACGTTGTACTCAGCCATCAAAGAGCGGGCGCCCTTAACAACGGAGAACACGAGCTCGAAGTTGGTCTCGGCCTCGGGGTCGTGGAGCTGCTCGTTGTACACGGGGTAAGCGGCCTTGACGATGGTGGGGGTAGAGTCCTGAGGACGGCGAGGGATACGCTGCCACAATTCCTCGGTAACGTAGGGCATGAAGGGGTGGATCATGCGGAGAGCACCGTCCAAACAGGTGTAAAGAGTCTGCTGAGCGGAGATCTTCTGCTCCTCAGTACCCTCGAGGATGAGGTACTTGGAGTTCTCGATGTAGACGTCACAGAGCTCGTACAACCAGTAGTTGTAAACAGAGTTGGTAGCCTCGAAGAAGTTACGGGCCTCGAGGTGCTTGTTGATGTCCTTGGCAGCCTTGTTGTACTTGTGCAAGATCCACCTCTCGACGAGGGATTCCTTGCCGGTCTTCTCGATCTTAGCAGCAGGGACGAAGTCGGGGCCGAGACGCATGAGAGCGAACTTGGTAGCGTTGTAGATCTTGTTACAGAACTTACGGTAACCCTCAACACGGACGACATCAAGGTTGATGTCACGTCCACCAGTAGTGTAAGCACAGAAAGCGAAACGGAGAGCATCGGTACCACACTGAGGAATCCCGTTAGGGTAAGACAGCTTCTGACCAGTCTTCGCCTTCTCGATCTCGCGAGGGTCGAGGTTACCGACTAAAAGCTTGGCGTGCAAATCATCGAGGGAGATACCCTCAATCATGTCAATAGGGTCGACGACGTTACCGAGAGTTTTGGACATCTTACGTCCCTGAGCGTCACGGACGAGGGAGTGGCAGAAGACCTCCTTGAAGGGAACCTGACCAGTCAACTTGATACCAAGCATGACCATACGGGCAACCCAGAAGAAGAGAATGTCCCATCCGGTCTCCAAGAGCGAGGTAGGGTAGAAGTTCTCGTAGTCGGGGGTAACCTTAGGCCATCCCAAGGTAGAGAAAGGCCAGAGACCGGAGGAGAACCAGGTGTCAAGGACGTCCTCATCCTGAATCAACTCAAACTTCTTACCAGGGAACTGCTTCTCAGCCTTCTCCTGAGCAGCCTCCTTAGTGCGGCCAGAGACCCACCATTTACCATCACCACGGTCCTGCTCCTCGCCCTCAATCTGGACGTAGTAGACAGGAGCCTGGTGACCCCACCAAAGCTGACGGGAGATACACCAGTCCTGGACGTTCTCCATCCAGCGCTGGAAGTCAGCTTCGGAGACAGCGGGCTGGATCTTGATCTGACCGGACCTGACGGCCTCAGCGGCTACATCAGCCATAGCCTGCTGGGAGACCCACCATTGGGGTTTGAGGACAGGCTCGATGATGTCGCCAGACTTGGAGCAGACGGGGATGGACATGGGGTTGTCCTTGACCTCGACGAAGAGACCACGCTCGGTCAACTTCTCCACAACGGCCTTACGGGCGTGGAAGCGCTTCATGCCAGTGAACTCACCACATGTGTTGTTAAGGGTACCGTCATCGTTAAGGATGTTGATGAACTCGAGGTTGTGGCGCTTACCGACCTCGTAATCGTTAGGGTCGTGAGCGGGGGTGATCTTGACGGCACCAGTACCGAAAGCCATGTCGACGACGATAGAGTCGCAGACGATAGGGATCTTGCGGTCGACGAAGGGGTGCTTAACGAACTTGCCGTGAAGGTGCTTGTAGCGCTCATCGTCGGGGTGGACAGCGACAGCGGTATCACCGAGCATGGTCTCGGGACGGGTAGTGGCGACGATGATCTTCTCGTCGGAAGCCTCGATCTCGTAGGCAAAGGAGGTGATGGCTCCGAACTCGACCTTGTCTTCTGGGTCGTATCCGGGGACGGAGAGGAGGGTACGTCCAGAAATCTCCTTCTGGTCAACCTCGAGGTTGGAGAGGGTGGTGTTCAACTGGGTACACCAGTTGACGAGACGATTAGCACGGTAGATGATACCCTCCTCGTGAAGGCGGACGAAAGTCTCGACGACGGCAGCGGAGAGGTTCTCGTCCATGGTAAAAGCTTCGCGAGTCCAGTCGTAGGAAGCACCAAGACGCTTCAACTGGCCAGTAATGCGGCTATGGTAGTCATCCTTCCACTTCCAGATAATGTCAATGAAGTCCTTACGGCCGTAGTCGTGACGAGTCTTCTTCTCCTGAACCCACAAACGCTTCTCAACGGCAGACTGGCAAGAAAGACCGGCATGGTCAAATCCAGGCAAGAAAAGAACGGTCTTACCCAACATACGATTCCATCGAACAAGGGTATCCTGAATAGCGATAGTAAGGGCGTGTCCGATGTGAAGAGCACCAGTCACGTTTGGTGGAGGAGCGGGAACGACAAAGGTCCCCTCAGGCTTAGGCTTGCCATCAGGTCCGAACTCAGGCTCGAAGAAACCAGACTTCTCCCACCACGAGTACCACGCAGATTCAACAACCTGAGGATCATAGTTCTTCAACGCAGGCAACTCCAAATCCTGCAAGACCTTCTTGTCTCCAGGCTTGGTCAACTCGACGTATGGCTCAACGTTGACCTCCTCCTTCTTCGCCTTCTTCTCCTTCTTGGGCTGAGCAGCCTGCTTGGCCTTATCCGCGTCCTGCGCAGCCTTCTTCGCGGCGAATCGAGCGGCTTTCTCGGCCTTTTGACGCTCCTTCTCGAGCTGCTTTGCGGACTTGGGCTTTCCGTCCGCCCCGAGCACTACACCGTCAGTGGAAGCGTGAGCCTCGGCGGACTGAGCGATAGCATCCTTAGTCTCCTGAGAAACAGGCGTAGCCTCCTGGACATTGTTGGTAGCGGGAACGGCCTCGCCAATTGGGTTCGAGGAGCCGGAGTTGGTAGCCATATTGCGTGTATAAAGCGCTGGCTGAATCTGAAAATGGGGAAGCGGAACGATGGACCTCCTAGGGATCTGAAGGGATATTAATCGAGTGATCCGTCCCAAGGCTGTTGGCATACAGTCCACAGATATTCAGCTCTGTTCTTGACGTTTACTCCACAAATTCTGATTCACCTGCAGAAACGCTGCGCGAGTCAGGTCTGGTCCCTCGATCCGATTACGAATTACGGCGAAGTACGAAAAGTCAAGAAACGGACAAAATGCCAAACGATACTCAGATGCCTGATTTTGGAGCATTCGCTTCCCCAAAGACCGAGGAGGGAAAGAAGAATGACTTGCCGCCGAGGATCGTGCTCGGTCCTGACGGTAAACCGTGCAAGTCTTGTACCGCCTTCAGTGCGTGGGCAAAACTCCCGAAGAAGAAAGCGACCGGTGCCACCGATCCCTCATCATCATCCGCTCCACAAGACACCGTAACCCCCGCAACCCTCCCTCCAGACTGTCCACCCGACGTCGAAGCACTCGGACGAGCAACTTGGACTTTCCTCCACTCCATGGCAGCAACATACCCCGACTCCGCCCCACCAGAGAAACAAAAAGAAATGTCCTCATTCCTCCGGATCTTCGGAAACGTCTACCCCTGCTGGGTCTGTGCCGAGGATTTCCGGAGTTGGATGGCGAAGGATGAGAATAAACCTGTGCTGACGGGAAGGGAGGCAATGAGTCGGTGGATGTGTAGGGCGCATAATGAGGTTAATGAGAAGTTGGGGAAGCCAGCGTTTGATTGTAACAAGTGGGAGGAGAGGTGGAGGACGGGGAGGAAGGGGTGCTTCCCGGAGGATCTTTAGAGGACGAGGATGGAGGGGAATGGGTATTCGCACGGTGTGGACATAATCAAGAGCTGAAGTGTCTATGCTGTGTATTCTCCACTCAACAAAAGAGTATCATGCAACCAGAGGTATTGAGGTTTGCCATTGAGGGGCCCCTGCATGTGTTTTGCCGTGTCAAGCCTTCCTGCACACGTCTTCCATACCCGTCCCTCATATCTTTGTGTCCGCCTCCACTCAGCTCGAACGCATCCAGTGAAGCGTTGTCGAACGCTGTCAAGTTCTTCTCCCCGATTTTGCTGTTCACATCTCCCCACACTCCGCAACCTGCACCGTAATTCTTGGCTTATTATTCGCACCCGTGCTCACATTCTCGATCTTCCTCAACACCCCCATCCCTTCCTCATCCCCCTCCATCAACCGCCCAAACACAACATGCTTCCCATCCAAAAACGGCGTCTCCTTACACGTGAGGAAAAACTGACACCCATTCGTATCGGGGCCACTATTGGCCATAGACAACAACCCGGGCCCGGTGTGTTTGTGAATGAAGTTCTCGTCGGCAAAGCCGGAGCCGGTGGAATAGATTGATGTCGAGCCCGTGCCGTCGGAGTTGAGGAAGTCGCCGCCTTGGATCATGAAGTCTTTGATCACGCGGTGGAAAATGGAGTTCTTGTAGCCCTGGGGGCGGCCTGTCTTCGGGCTCTTCGATTCGCCGGTACAGAATTGTCGGAAGTTTTCAGCGGTTCTAATTCAATGATTAGCATCTGCTATATGGATCAACTGATCCCCGAGTTTGGGGAAGGGGGAAGGAGGGAGGGAGACGCACGCACTTTGGACAAGTATCCGCAAACAACTCAAACTTCATTCGCCCAATCGGTTGCCCGCCAAGAGTGATATCCATAAACACAATGGGATTCCCATTAGGTCCAGCTCCTGGTATCGATGACATTCCAAAATATTTTCCTCTCGTCAAGCGGCTCGATGTCGTAGGTCGTATGTGGTCAGAATTGGCTCCAGTCCCCGCCTGTTCCGCACTTGCAGCCCGCAGCCAGATTACGCACGCTTGCTTGTACTCAAGTCGATCCGGTTGGATCCTCAAGACCCGATCTTATACCCAACCGCTGTTGACTCTTGATTGTTCTGTGATCAATTGGAGTTGAAGGAAGAGTAATCAAGCGATCCGCGAAACTTCGCAGCTGGTACAGGCTTGAAGCCATTGGCCACCATGTCGGCAACCGCAACTCCGGCACCAACAACGACAGGTTACACAAACAGCCCAGCAACATCTACACATGTCAGCCCATCTACTAATTCCAGTGGTGGCAGTTCGGGCGGTACGAGTACAGCCCCCTATCCCTCCTGTCCAATGGCCACTAACAAAGCAAGCACGCAGTCGCAGGCTCCCCCCTCCTCTTCTTCGTCGCCCTAGGCTTCGGAATTCTCTTTACGAACTTGTGGATCATCGTCGGTGTGAAATACTGTTTCAGATACAACCAGCGTCAACGCGCCCGTCAACTCGCTCTTCAATACCCCGACGGTGTACCGCCCAATGTGACGATTGGTCGTGATGGGCGTCCGGCGCATGGACATGGGAGGAGGAGGAGAAGGGAGAAGAAGTTGATGAGCATCGAGGAGGCGGAGGAGAGGTTCCCGACTACTACTTATAAGGCGTGGAGGATGCGGAGAGAGATGCAAGGACTCAGTGTTGAGGGTGGGGTGAGTAAGAGTAGGCCGGGGAGTGTGCATGAGATGATACTCGATACGGATAATAAGAATGAGGAACATGGTGAGGAGGTGCAGGAGGTTGTTGGGAAGGATGTGGATGTGGGTGGGAAGGGGGAGGCAAGCGGCGCGCCGAGGACGAGTATGGTCCATGTTCGCGCTCTTTCATCCGCGAGTACCGTCACCTACCATGCCGACGACCACCAAAAAGACACCACCATCACCACAGCACCCGACACCGACACCGACACCGATCTCTCCCTCCCAACCATCATCATCGAAGAACCCCTCACCCCCACCCTCCCCCACTCCCACGCCCAGTCCGACAACGATAATGACCACGATCACGACTCAGGCGACAACTGCGCAATCTGCATTGACACCCTCGAAGACACCGACATCATCCGTGCTCTCCCTTGCGGGCACGCATACCACGCTACATGTTTGGATCCGTGGTTGACAACGAGGAAGGCGAGTTGTCCGTTGTGTAAGCGCGACTACTACGTTCCCAAGGTGGTACCGGGACAGGAAGCTGGACCGGGAGTGTTGATTGGGGAGGGAAGAAGTGGAGTGGTGCAAGCGCCGCAGCCGGTACATGTAAGGTTTGGGGGATTGATGATGCCGTTGTGGAATCCGCGTGGGCCGTCAACCGTACACGGTGCTGGTGGTACTCATCCTTCTCGCCCCACCCCAGCCGAAACGCGTACTTCGATGAGCCTCGGACGCGGGAGTCAAGATCAAGGTCATGAAAGGCTGGATACGCGAACGGGAAGGTTCAGGTTTGCGATACATCGTTGGTGGAGGGGTGAGACGCCGAGTGAGCGGAGACGCAGGTTGGGGGATTTGGAGATGCAGAATCGGACGCAGATGCCGGAGGGGTTGAGGGTGGGGTATACGGGGCGATAACGCAGATTTGGGGATGGTCATGTTGTTCGTATCGGACGATATTGACGGGGACGGCCGGTGGGGGCGGGGTTTTCGGTATCCGTGTTTTTGGGTATGGCGTATTTACTTTCTCTTTTTGGATAACTGCGGGTCAATTTAGGATTAGGATATAGGGATCTACTCGGTGGATATGGCAATGGATACCTTCTCTTTAATCATGTACATAGTTATACCAGCCCTAGGCTATCGCTTCGCCGAGCACGGGACACCCAACTGGGTCTAGTCAGGTGGTCCACGGCAGGGTCGCATACCGCAGTTCGAAATCTCGGTGAGTGGGAACACAAACGGGAAAGAAGGGAGTTTCGTCCAATCGACACAAGAGACCGACTGTATCACCTAATCCCTGCTCCATCCGCTCGTCCTTCTCCTGTCACGCTCGTCGCACCGTCTCGCAGCACACAATGTCCGTCGCTCGGTCCTACGCCGACGCAAACGAACGTCAATCCCAATCATACTGGGACTACGACAACCTCCAAGTCCAATGGGGCCAGATCACGAACTACGAAATCACCCGCAAGATTGGACGCGGAAAATACTCTGAAGTATTCGAGGGTATTAACGTCCTCGCCAGGGAACGCTGCGTGATCAAGGTGTTGAAGCCGGTGAAGAAGAAGAAGATTAAGCGCGAGATCAAGATCTTGCAGAATTTGAGTGGGGGGCCGAATGTTGTTGCGTTGTTGGATGTTGTGAGGGATCCGCAGGTATGTGCCGACGCGAGTAGGGATGGGGATAGGGAATGTATGCTGACTTTTGGGTGCGTGTGTGTGTAGAGCAAGACTCCATCACTGATATTCGAGCATATCAACAACCAAGACTTTAGGGTCCTCTACCCCAAGTTGACGGATTTCGATGTACGGTACTATATCTTGGAGTTGTTGAAGGCCTTGGACTTTTGTCACTCGAAGGGGATTATGCACAGAGATGTGAAGCCGCACAACGTCATGATCGACCACGAAAAGAGACAGGTAGCTTCGGCTTGATTATACTGTATGGCAATGTGCTAATAGCGAACTACAGCTTCGCCTCATCGATTGGGGATTGGCAGAATTCTACCACCCAGGAACCGAATACAACGTCCGCGTCGCCTCCCGCTACTTCAAAGGCCCCGAACTCCTCGTCGATTTCCAACTCTACGACTACTCCCTCGACATGTGGTCCCTCGGCGCCATGTTCGCCTCCATGATCTTCCGACGCGAACCCTTCTTCCACGGCCACGACAACTACGACCAACTCGTCAAAATCACGAAGGTCCTAGGAACTGACGACTTTTACGATTATTTGGAAAAGTATGATATCACGCTCGACCCGCAATACGATGATTTGATCGGGAAGTGCTCGAAGAAGCCGTGGACGAAGTTTGTGAATCAGGAGAATTCGAGGTATATCTCGAACGAGGCGTTGGATTTTTTGGATAAGTTGTTGCGTTATGATCATCAGGTATGGCAACACCTCCTCACTGGCAAAAGGTCATCTGTATTAATTGTTGGGATAGGAACGGTTAACACCAAAGGAGGCTATGGTCCACCCTTACTTTGCGCCTGTTCATGCTCAGGCTGCCGCGAATACCCAGTAGACCAGAAAGGAAAAAGTGTGTGCTTGGATTGAGGAGATGGTGGATTGTATACTCGTGTGTTGATTGGAGCATTGGATAGTGGATAGCTCTGGGAGCTGGCGCAGGTTGAGTCATTGCTTGCGCAGGGATAGCTATAGGTTGCTTTCGTCGTTTTGCCCGTATTTCTTGTCTGTTCGTCCGTTCTTTCGTTAATCCCGTCTCGTTTCTTATTGAAGACGATTGCAATTACAGCGTTATCCCAGGCTCTTGCCACTTCTGTGACTCTAAATCTCCGTACGCGGTGCTGCGAGTTTCAGGGCAGCGCATGTCTGGAAATGTCGAGGCCGACTCTAAATTTAGACGTGCGACTCCCATAACCTCCAAGATCAATACCCCCACAATGGCCGCCCAGAAGGAATATAAGGTCGGTATCCTCGGTGCCACCGGCACTGTCGGCCAGCGCTTCATCGTCCTGCTCCAAAATCACCCATACATGAAGATTCACACCCTCGGCGCCTCCTCTCGATCCGCCGGCAAGACCTACAAGGAAGCTACCCGATGGACCCAAGCTATCCAGATGCCCGCTTTCGTGAAGGAGATGCAGATCTACGAGTGCAAGTCCGAGCACTTCAAGGAATGCGATGTCGTCTTTTCCGGGCTGGACCACGACGTTGCGGGACCTATTGAGATTGATATGTTGAAGGCCAACATCCCCGTTTTCTCCAACGCGAAGAACTACCGCCGTGATGAGACGTGTCCGTTGATCGTCCCCACCGTCAACACGAGCCATTTCGACCTCATCCCTCACCAGCGCTCTTTGCACGGTTTGGACAAGGGTTTCCTCGTCACCAACGCCAACTGCTCTACCACCGGTATTGTGGTTCCCCTCAAAGCCCTTCAAGACGCATTCGGCGAGTTGGCACAGATCAACATCGTCACGATGCAAGCTATCTCGGGCGCTGGATACCCCGGTGTCCCATCCCTCGATATCATCGATAACCTCGTTCCCTTCATCGGTGGTGAGGAAGACAAGATCGAGTGGGAAACGAACAAAATCTTAGGTGGCCTGTCAGCAGACAACAAGTCCTTTGACTACTTGAAGAACACGAAGGTTGCGGCACAGTGTAACCGTGTCGCTGTCATCGATGGACACACCGAGTGCGTACAGGTCACTTTCGCCCAGCGCCCCGCACCATCCGTCGAGGAAGTCAAGAGGGTCCTCCGGGAATACACTTGCGAAGCACAATCCCTCAACTGCCCCTCTGCACCCAAACACGCTATCCATGTCTTCGAGGAGAATGACCGTCCCCAGCCGAGGTTGGACAGGGATGTCGATGGTGGGTATGCTGTTGCGGTTGGAAGAGTTAGGGAGGATAAGGTGTTTGATATCAAGTTTGTTGCGTTGAGTCATAATACCGTCATTGGTGCTGCTGGGTCTGGGATTTTGAATGCGGAGGTCGCTATTGCGAAGGGGTTATTCTAAGTTGAAGTTTAAAAATGGGTGGAGTTGGGATTGTCATGGGAGAGGGAGCATATGATAGAGCATCTGGTGGAAAGAAGATTGGAGTGGAATATCCGTGTAATCAATGTTCCAATGTTTTAGATATCATGCACCGCCCCCATCCTCTATTGCTGGCCAGCTTCTGGTGCTGGCGTCGGTGGAGGTGCACCAAATGACACACCCGCCGTCTTCTCTGTGCAATTGTAAAGCTGTATGAACCAGTTAGCGAAACGGATGCATATGAAGGGTTCTTCTGTTCCGTACATCTCTCAGTGGTGCCAAGCAAGGCTTAGGATCCTGTGGATTCGCCTGCAAGCAATCGTCATACAACTTGATCGCATCCGCACACGCCTCCTTCACCTTCCGCAGAACAGCAACGCTGGTCCAATCGTCAGCATCGTTTCTCCATCCTCTTTCACATCAACGTACTTGTCCTCAGAACACTTCGTCAAAGCCTGTCTCTGTCTCCAACACGCAGCATCCCAGTCATTGGGGTGAGAGGTAACGCAAGCCTGAAGCGCGAAGAGCTCGTTTGCGCACTTTTCGGCGACTTCTTGGAGGGTGTTTTCCATTATGAATCGAGCGGATCAATGGGGTTTGGGGTTGAGAGGTCGAGGAGGAGGTCGTAATTATCGGAATTTCTGGACGGGATGCACCCCGGGATTTGGCCTGCGTTGAGGTTGCTTGAAGTACGACGTCGATAACAACAACATTCTCATCGATGTTGCCGAGAACACCTACTGCCATCAAGCTTGCTCAGGAAGATGTGAGGATCTGAATCATATTACGTTTCACGCGATGCTAATGGATTCTTACAGATCTTCGAGTACGACGATAACCTCGCACGAAAACGTGCGGAGGAAGCTGCTAAGCGAGCACTGCCTGGAGATGTCTCGAGCTCTTTGACGGAGGACCAGATTAGGAGGCAGATGAGTGCGCAGGAGAGAATCACTGGTGCGAGTAGATAGGAGCCGTTGTCCATTGGCCTTACACCGAGAGCGGCTGAACAAACTCATATACCCAAGATATCGGATAGTGATCAATTGTAACCAACCATGCCGATACACACCGTGGACTAGGTATTGGTATCTTATTCTTCTTCCATAACCAATTCATCAGCTGTCCATGCTAGTTGTGTTGCCGTGTAATGCGTTCTCCCAGTAGAATAACGAAAAAACACGAGATAACAAAGATAACCCAATGCCCAACACCGGTATGCTAAAACGCTTTCCATATCATCGCATCCAAAAACTTATTCCACTCGTCCTCCTCTTCGCCAGTTTTAAGCACCGCCTCCTCCTCCCCCGCCCAGCTTGATCTTCAACGTGGGTAACTTCAACTTGATGGTGGGTGCCAGCACGGGTGTCGCAGGACTTTCTTCTTTCTTGATTTCCTGTTTCTTCGGTGGTCTCGGCCACGGTAACTCCTTCCTGAACACGATCTTACCCTTGCCAAGATATGTAGCACGCAGCCTTGGCTTCGGTAGCTTGAGCTTAACAAGGTACGAATCTTTCGTCGTAAACAGCAATTGACACAAATCAAGCAAATCCCTGCGACTCAACAAATCGAGTTCCGTCGAATTTGCCGCATCCCAAAGTAACTTCTTCAGTAAATCAGACTCCGCAATTTCCCTCTGCAACGCGTCAATGGCACCACCCGGGTTCGCCCTCGCAAGTGCTTGACGACGCTCCTCAGCGGCGATATCACCACTTTCCTCCTCAATGATCATATCATCCAACCCACCGCCCTCGCCAGCCGATTGAGGCCTTCCGCCGATAGCTACGTCACCGAACCCTCTTAGTATGGTTTTCACGAGATGTCGCCGAACGACGGGCGATGGATCAGACGTGAGTGCGAAGAAGACATATTTCGCCAGAGAAGCTTGACGCAAAGCACCGAGATCGATAAGCGCCTCGAACGCTTTCATCCTTAAAGGATCGAAGTTCTCTTCTTGAGTATATGCCAGGTACTCTTTGAAGTTCGGCTTGATTAGCCGTTTCTTGGTGAGTGTCTCCTTGACCTCGATTGCCTTTCTTGAGATGATGTTCTGGTACGAGGGAAGCCACTGGTCCATCCTCTGACACCTCTCAATTTCTTTCACGACAACCTCCGAAAACCCGGCGTCGTTGTTCTCATTATCCCCGAAATCGAAGGTGAACTGAGATATAGCCGCCTCTGACGAGACAAGCGTTGCCGCGAGTGCTCCCATAATCTTTGCCAGATAGAACGCGTCTGAGTAGTCATTTCCCGAGTTATCGTTATACTTCAACAGATCCAACAGAAACTGCTTAACGCCAGCAGGCGCCTTCTGCTGATTATCCCGAATCCTCGAGATGGCTTCCACGATTGCACACATAACATGGTAGCGCGTAAAGTCCTCAAAGTCATTGGGCAGAGGTATCGTGGAGTTCTCATAACAGAACAAATCGCGGAACGCTTTGTTCAGGTGAAAGTGCCCGATCCACTCAAGCTCCTCTGTCGCTGATTTGGCTAGGGCATAGGCGGCCTCAAGGCGGACGCCGTAGTAATATCGCGTATCCATCAACGTTCGGATCATTGTCGTCGAGATGATGGGATTTTCCTTATTTACGGCAAGAGCGTGAACAGCTTCATACTGCGCGATAACGTCTCTATCCTGCTGAAGTTGTGAGATCCACATGTGCTCAGGCTGATTGACGCTACTTCGGCAGATCCATTCGAAATCCGCATCGATGCGGATCCACTCGAAGGCTTCGGCAGACATTCGGTCTTCCTCGTCCTTTGTCCAGTCGGTGAGCTTCCAGAGGAATGCATCCTCCTCGGTCTGCAAGACGTCGCCCAAGCATTGTAGGACGATTTCTTGCTCTGCAGCGGGTGTGTCTGATGTACCATCCGAGTTTGCTGCTACCACGAGACCGGGTTTCATGGCTTGCCGGCGTTTTCGCTTCAGACGCTTATACTTTGCGTTATATTGAATGTCCACCTTCGTTAGCGCGTCTTTAATCTCAACGACGTGATCGTATGGTGTCCCATCAGCCTCGTGAATCCGGATCGTCATGGGACCGGTGAAGACTGGATTGACCTCGGGGGGCTCCTCATAACGATTATACTTCAAGGCTTCTTGCACGAAGTTCTCCGCATCCAGTGGTCGAGGCAGGATAGCCGTAGTTTGATCCTGCTTGATCGTCATTTCAATTACCATCTTCTTTCGGTTAAACCTCTGCGTGATCTTGAAGACGGGGTATCCTGTACCATAAATCCACTGATCCGTGAAAACGTCGAGCTTTGTGTGACTGATCTTTTCACACGTACGGATGAAGTACGCTGTGCTCAAGCATCCGTTGACCAGATCACCCGTCATTGCCTGCAAGAACAACTTCGGAATAGCCCTCGACAACCCCAATGATCCACCCGACTTCGTGAGACGACGTTCCAAAATATGCAGCACAACTGGCGCTTTAAGAGCAATGAAGTTCAATGCCTCGTAATCGAACGGTGCCATAATCCCGTGATACATCAGACTCGGTCTTCCCACATCTTGCCTGCAAACCTCTTCCGCTTCCTTCTTGAGCCTGAACCGATATTCATTGTTTCCCATAAGCTTTCGCATAAACAAACCCGTGATATAGTATCCCAATCCAATGACGATCCACATATCCTCCCAACCTTTCGCAACGATATTCACACCAACCCATTGTGAAGCCAGAGTGTACGTAAGTGCATTGGTCACCTCGTACATACGATCAATGACATCCGCTGGAAAAAGCATGTTGTTGCTACAAATTGCCAGAGAAGCTGATGCTAATGCTTGTACCGGCGCCTCATCGACGAAACACAGCTTGAAGTTCGTGAATGGGTATGAACCGTACTCCCTGACGAAGAAATCGATTGCCTTATACATGAACGCGCATGTATTCCGCATGTCAGATTCCCTCAAGGGTAAGCAATACCCGAGGACCTCCACAGCACTCATTCCCATCGCATCATCCTCCTCGCTGTCTCGGAACTCTGTGAGACTTACCCGGGTAAAGGGACCTATGGCAAACGCGATATGTTGCGCTGCAACAGGTGATGCCAAAGCGAATGACAGAATCTTCCTTGAGCGGTCTGTAGGATGTGAACGCTCATCGGTCTGATCGCCGGAGCAGATTACAGTGATATCAATGTCTTCTCCCGCGTCATTCAGAGGTGCTGCCGTTTCTGCAGTATCAGGTCGATCTGCATCAGTCATAGCGGTATCGATTGAATCCATGGTTGCATTGGTAGTTGACGGTCGAGCGTTGAGGTGCCGCAAAGTCTTCGGCACGGTAAATTCGAACTCCCACGTACACCGATCCCATAATCCATCCATACAAGGTATCCATGATGACGTAGCTCCCGGTATTGGCGTATTGGTGGTGAAACAGTGAGGATATCGCTTGTCATCGGGTTCGCACCCCACGAAGTACAAGCCCATGTTTGTATCCTCCAGAGTGAAATCTATTCGAACAGTGATAGACGCGTAATTGATACCGAACGGATTGGCAGTCGGCAATGCTGCTGGTGTTCCGGGAATTGGCGAATCTGATCTGCCGTTTGCCATAGGTTGGGACGTGACGAACGCCAATGGCTCCTTCTGAGGTTCCACCCGGACCCCCTTCGGAAACGATATTGCCAATTCTCCTCCCACATCTGCCGCATGTAGAACTCCGTCGAGCTTCGTGCGTAACAAGTGGTGCTGGTGAACGTCGGATCCTTCCGGGAGTTTGAGTTTGGTGAGGTCATGCTTGAGGGAGAAAGGCGCTTCTTTGCCATTAACGGTGACAGCCGATACTTCTGCAAGAACATTGAGTAATTCATTCAGAGAGAGCATTACCCCAGATCACATACTTATCTGTCGGCAATTGAGTCGTAACGCCTTCAATGCTGGGTCCGTCGGGACAATTGTGATCTCCGTCCATCCCTGTACACGCCGTTAGGCGCAATCTATGAACTTGCCTTCGACGCCGCGTACCTTGAGTGCCTTATTTGCAAGATCGACGTCGAGGTTGACTCGTTGGTGACCTGGCGTGTACCCGCGTAAAGGGTCGTCGGGAACTGGCATCGCCTCAAAGGCTTCAGAAGGTCGTGCGCATTACCCGGTCGAGAATGAGGGTATAGGAAGGCAGCGACGAAAACTACTCGTGAACGGCTGGACGCGGGTTTGCGATGGTGTTTTCCTAATTGCGACGACGTATACCTGCCGCCGACGCGCATGCCCAAGCATCCCAGTACAGAAAGGGAGGGTCCCGGAAGTGACCGTCGCATAGTGGGACTCCAAGTTAAACGTCTTGCTTTTGCTATTTGGGTAGGTTTACTGACTCTTATGTTTCAATATGCAGAACATCATGTGCCCACGTACAGTATCGTGGCTATCGATAAGTTTATCTGCGGCGAACAGAAAAGTCCTACGACAGAACCCAGCTCCACTCCCATAATCACCCAAGATGCCGAAGAAGAGGTCTATGAAGGATATTGGAAAGCAGGATGAGATCCATCCTTCTTCACGAAGATTTACTCAGCTCAACCGCGTTGTGTTGCGAGACGACAAGTTGGCGAGGATGAACCACCTGCGGCATAAAAGCAAGAACAACCAGGGTATGTGGCATCCTTTCACCGAACGTTTGATGTGTATGCTGATGGCTTATGTAGTGAGTCGAGCAATTGTCTTCAAGCTGGCCTTGGAAGAAGCAAAAGTCACCACCTTCACCGAAGCCCAAATCCACGAAGTCATCCAACAATACATTGCCCGCAAAGACGTCGAGCTAGCAGAGGAAAAAGCAAAGCGAAGACCAGGACGTCCACCAACAGCCAAGCAGCAGCAATTAACAATGTCAATAGAGCAGGAGAAGAAAGAGTACGAGACCGGGTTTTATTGTCCTGATTTGAGGGATGCGGAGAGTTGTGAGCAAATTATATTGTGGAGTGGGGATTTCAATGCGTTGCCGAGGATTAAGTTTACGAGGTTTTCGAAGCCAAAGGAGGAGACGGTTGAGGTTATGCAGGAGTAGAAGCAGAGAATATTGGAGTTCTTGGGGGTATTCTGCATTATTTTTGGTATCTAGGGGTCAAAATTACGTCGGTCGTCTCGCCCTCTTGCTCCTCAGCTGGCACTGCCTTGCCTTCCTTCACCAAGAACAATTCCCTTGCCCTCCCGACCTTATCCGCAAAGATGAGTGTGGCCTCAAACACACTCGCTTCCTCCCCCTCCGCTCCCACAGCCCTCAGATGCTCCACAACATCAACCATACCTCTCGTCTTCTGTCCCCCATCCCTTCCACCCTCCACAATGATCTCTCCCTTTGCGATGACGTGAGTTTTCGGGCATGATTTTGATTCTGGCTTCGGAAGTTCTGGCATAGGGAAAATGTATCTGACGTAAGGATATACTGGATGTGACTTCAATGCTTCCAGGTCAAGTGTTCGTGTAGTCTTCGACGGGCCTGATGCTGAAGTGAAGCCGATACCACGGACAGTGCGAGTCACTGTTCGTTCTGGTTTAGCGAAGGTGAGTTCAGAGGAGATCGCAACGACGGGGGAGCCAAGATAAGGTTTCATCTGGTCCGCGATAGAAGCGATCAGAGTGCTCATGGCACATTCTGTGGCCGTGGTCATTAGCAATGTACAATGACAACACATGGCGACACTAGACACCTTCCAACTCGTCCTTCTTCTTCTTCAATACCTCTTTCAATTCATAAGGCAGTTCCTCGGGTGTCTCCACCCACAACGGGAGAAACACCTCCTCACCCTTCCCATATACCTTCCACCCACTTCCCAGTGTAATTCCCAGCGCGATAGCGGCCAAAACTCTGGGCCACCGTCGTGGTTGTGCGTTTCCAGATACCTCGACGCCTTTTATCTTCGCGAAGGGAGAGGACGATGAATCAACAGGCGATCCCGAAGTAGCATACCCGCAGGCTCCACGCTTGTAGACCTGAAAGACCGCACTACGCAATGGGAGGGCTGACAGAAGTCTTGGTGGCATTGTCGTTGTCCAAAGTCTCGATATCTAATTTTAGAATTCGTCCGGTAATGTTGAATAACTTAATTTTACTTAACGTCGGCCGCCGACTGCACTTAAGGATTAACTCAAACGCGCCCATGCATCATCGTATGCTGGCGCCGTAGCAACGCCGGCACCACACCTCACAGAGCTCATCAGCTCACTCCCCGATCACCCAACCATGAAATCACCATTGAGCCTGTTATACCTTGCCATAGCCTCTGCCTCCGCAGTAGCTGCAAAGTCAGCACATGTCTACAACTTTCCCTTCTCCTCGCGTTCCCAGCATGCGCCATCCCTGACGGCACCGGAAGCACGAGCGGTGTTGTCCCATGAGCTCCAGGTTTCGCAGTTTCATAAGGGGCTGGAGATGCAGATTGATGCGTTGGCGTTTGTGAGTGGTGAGGAGGGGTTGTGGCAGGAGAAGAAGGGTGGGGTGGTTGTTACTATCGCTGGAGTTAGGGATCACAAAGGTGAGATGAGCAAATCAGGTCCATATTGTGCATTGGCTGACTTGCTTTCTGACAGCTATTTTCCCTGATACTCACCCAACTTACAACATTGCCGATTCACCGACCCACGAAGCATTCGGGGATTTGATGACCCGGTTTATCTCGCAATCCGCCTCCTCTCGTGCCGAGTCTGCGGAGAGGATTTACGTCAACACCGACGGTTCCTCAATCTTCGTCATCCCATCCGGCTCCTCCATCGCTTCCCACATCAAAGCAACTGCAGACCTCACCACCTTCGCCTCCAAATTCGGCAAGAAAGCTGCGAAGCACTTCGACATCTCCAAGAAAGAGCACAGGATGTTCATCTCGGAGATGTTAGCCCTCGAGTCCTATATTGCTGCTTCTCCGCTTCTGGAGGCTGATGCCAGAACGTTCGTGCAGTTAAATTCTTTGGAGGGGTTGTTGTTCCGTCACTCCTCCGACAAACACCACAAAATCTACAAAGAGGCAACTCACATCCTCGCTTCCCTCGTTTCTCAGCTCACCTCCACCTCCACCCGCTCTACCATCCTCCTCCTTCCTCCCGCCCCCACGCAATCAAGCTCCTTCCTCACCCGCCGCGCCGAATCCGCTTTCGCATTCGGTGAGGGCCACGTCGCTTCCTCCCTCGACTTCCCCACATTCCAGTCCATCATCTCCTTCCCCACCAGACTCACCTGCGAAAACGCTACAAACTCCTGTTCCTCTCATGGATCTTGCCAACCCTACCGTGGCCGCGCCGACGACTGGCGCTGTGCTTGCGGCGTGACCAAATCCAATAACGGATTGAAGACGACGAAGTGGGCGGGCGAGTGGTGTGAGAAGAAGGATATCGTGTTGCCGTTTTGGATCTTTTTCTTTTTTGGGTTAGGTATGGTGATTACCGTGGGGTGGGCTGTCGGGTTGTTGATTAGCGTTGGGAATGAGGATTTGGGTGGGGCTTTGATGAGCTCTGCCAGGGTTAAGAAGGATTAGGGACGTTTTTTTTCGATTGTTCATTTACGGTTTCTAAAATGCTACGTTTCTTTCCACGTTGCTCCTCGCTCGCTTTCACTCCCATATTGTTGTGCATACATCCGTTCCAAGGTGCTAAAATCCAAAGTCACAACGCCCTTCAAAGAGGCTAGATCTGAACGATCACCATCTTGACCTTGTATTCGCCGTTGGACGATGGAAGCGTCTTCAAAGAAACTCGATGTCGTAATCACGGTGGGATGTTGCGACAGATGAAGGGCTAGGGGAATTAATATCCGGGGAGCTTAGTTCGGCGGCCCCTTCAACACCCCCACGACCATCAACATTCCTCCTCAACTCTTCGTGGACGAGGATCTCAGAAAGGAATACCCTCCATGAAATGCTGACCAATTTCCCGACCAATGAAAACGCATGGCACCCCGTATTCCATAGTCGAGGTTACGATCGGGTCTAAGCAGCAGATACGATTCGCGCCGCATAAGTGACAGCCCCAAAGAACGCCGCGCGCCGGGCCCGGGAAGAGAAGTCGTTGGGGACGATAAGTTTCTGCCATGGCCGTTCCTTCGTACTCGTGCTGTGCCTACCCGTTTTTCGTAGCATTCATTTCGCAGTTATTGTAGCGGAACAACGATTCTCCTTGTATCCAGGGTCCCTCATTGGCTAGCAGGACGGTTGACTCGTTTTACGTTAGGCTTTCCCCGCCCTGCAGTGTACGGACCGGCCGGCAATCGGAACCTCGCGTCAGCTGCAACTGCGCCTGAGAAATCTGCAACAACCAACCACCTGCCAGAATCAACAACAACCATTTCAGCAGTTGAATGTACAGGGGTGATTCGATCCCTGCATATATCTAGCAATCCTGGCATATCCAGATAATGCCATCTCCTTTGTGCAGCCGCAGACCACCACGACCATGACTCCATCCAGTTCGGTGAGTGGATCGGGGACTGGGGGTGGAGGACAGCATATATCCGGGACGGCCACACCTGCGCACGTCTCGCCGGCACCGAATACGACTCAGTTTGTCTTTGTGGACGAATATAACCGGTTCAAGAGGTTGAAGGTCACGAGGGCGTGCGAGACGTGTCGGAGGAGAAAAGTCAGGTGTGATAGTTCGCAGATGAATGGAGGTCCGTGTTCGAGTTGTCGGAGGTTGAATGTGGAGTGCATTACGCCGAGCTCGTCACAGCAGCCTGGGTATCCTACACGAGACGACGAGCAAGTGCACAAGGGTGATCAGTATCAGACTGGAGCCGGGGCGACCGCGCAGCAACATGGAATGCCTCCGCACGATTTTCAGCAACAGAATTACCCGCAGTTGATGCAGCAACAGTATGAGCAACTCGCACAACTTGCGCATTTACCTGTCGAGCAGTTTACACCTATCGCACCAGAACCACATCAGATCCTCGCACAGCAGGAACAGGGTGAGGAGATGGGGAAGTTATCGGATGTATTGGGATTACTGAATATCGAGGGAAGCGGGAGAGGTGATTTCCTCAGACGGTACAGCTGTAAATGCAGTTACTGACGAGTTGTCACAGCTGAATACGTCAAATCATTCGACAAAAAGTACGTACCGACTATGCCGGCGGCTGGCGACTGCGGAACTCCACCAATATCGTTCTCTTCACCAAAGCTCTCCTCGGAACTCCTCGCGACACGGATACCCGCCAACCTCATGCCAAGCGACGACCTCGCCATGCACTTGTTCAGCGTTTACTTCGAACAAATTCACCCATATATGCCGATCATTTCCCGCCGGCAGTTTATTCGACAATGGCACAAAGACAGGGATGATCTTAGTCCGCTGTTATTGGAGTGTATTCTCGGCTGTGCTGCACGATTCACCGAGCGACCCGCGGGTAGGACAGACGTCGATGATCCGAGCACGAACGGAATGGTCTGGGTACTCCGCGCAAAAGAGCATATCTGGGATTACCACGACATGCCACGCCTCGCAACCGCCCAAGCATCCCTCATCTTTCTCAAAGCACTGGAAACGATTCCGCAACAAGGGTTGTACTACCGGTCGTGGCTGATGTTGGGTGTCATCGTCCGTCATGCGATGGATTTGGGGTTGAACAAGTTGGCAGATAAGTACAAATCACAAATGCCAGTGATGGACCTCATGATTCGCAGACGGATATGGCAGCAGTTGTTTATGCTTGATCAAATGATGGGACAAGCTACGGGTCGGGAGAAGTATATTGATATCAATACGCTGGATTTGACGCTGCCAGTGAGGGATCCGGATTTGGACGAGAAGGAGTTCGATACGCATTCGGATTTTATCTATCTGGTTGCGTTAGTGAAGGTTCTGAGGAGGATGAGTGATATTTATCTTCAGCTGGGTGCGGACTGGAAGTTGAGCTCGATTTTCACCGTTGGGTATTCGGCGATGGACGAAATTCTCGATGCTTGGTACGCCGGTTTACCAGCACGGTTGAAACTAGTGGTACCAGATGATTTTGATGCACCATTGCCGAAGTTTGGCTTTCATTTTTTGCCGTTTTTGCACATGGTTTACAATCTGTGTCGGATTGTGCTGCATCGGCCGTGGGCGGAACAAGGTGGCCATATCGATAACGTGGAGAAGTGTTTGGGACCTTCCATCAACCTCGTTCGGATCGCGAAGGCTACGTTGGACCAGTTTGGACTCCGTGGCTTCCAGTGCTCGTTACGAGGGACGAACTTCACGGTTTATGGCCTCGTTTCTGCGTCCGCGATCTTCCTGGGGAGGATTAGGGCGAATGTAACAAATCCTTGGGCGAAGTTCTTCCAGATGGGGATCGAGGTGTTGGAGGTCGTTGTGGATTCGACGCATAACGAGGATCTACATCAGCAGGTGCAGAAGATGAAAGAGGCTTGTCGAGCATCGCTTGAGCGGTCGAGGAGGTTGGAGTCTACGCCTCCTGTTGGGCCGTCGCCCCAGCAGGGACAGCAGCAACAACCGCCGAGCCAGCAGCCGCAGGGGATGGATACAACGTACAATTCTGATCCGGCACTTGGGTTCCATGTCCATCCATCCTGGCATCCGGATAATGCCGCAAGGGAGGTGTACAGCCGTGGTGCACCACCGGCTGCACAATCCTTCCAGCATGAATTGCAAGGACTGATGTTGCCACCAAATCCACCCGCACCATATATGCAGAACAATTTCGGCATGGTGGGCGGTACGGGAGGGATGGCTGGCATGGGGGCCCCGGATATGGGAGGAGGGTTTTATGGGGGGCCGGAGGATGGGGATCCGCAGTATTGGTCGCAGATGCAGGCGCCGACTGGGATGGATCATCCCGATGATTTGGAGGAGGACTTAAGTGGTGGGCATGGGCATGGAATGGGACTGCAGTGATGTGGGAATGGAGGAGGCTGTTATGAAAAATCGTTTTTGTTGGCGTCAGGTCTGGTTTCGTAATTTTGGGCATGGATCTGGGTTCGAGAGCGTCTTTCTTGAAGATTGCTAGGGTTGTATGTTGAATGTGTAGTATGCAAGGGCGTTATGTGATAATGGAGAATATTTGTCCTCGAGAACGCGGTGCGACTTGCCCGTGGTTCATTCTACCTCTATGATGATTATGCCAAAAGTCATCCTTATTCGGATGCAGCGGGCTCGGGACGTTCGTCTCGTTCGCCGCAGCCATGAAGGACAGCAATATTCACCGGCCGGCTCGCTCTTTGCGTCACCCTCGGGAGACGATTGGGTGGAGTTCTGAGAGGTAATCGATGCGTTTAGTTACGTTCGATAAACAAGTGTGTGTATATCCTCGGTCACGAGAGATCATTTTCGGACAATTCGGCCTTTACAGCTGCGTCGCGTGCGCAGACCGGATCAGGCGTCGGAGCCTTACTGTACCCCGACCGAACTATTAGCGCGAACGATTTTTCTATACCCATCCAGTCCTCCTCGTCCTACTCCTCCACGCCAACCACCATGACCAACTTCCAACTGGCCCAACTTATCGCCATGGTGGTGGATGATTGCTCTCATGGGTTTGGCGACATATCTAGAACTTAGATATCCGGGGACTTGCCTGACCAAGGTCTTGGACGGCTAGTACTAGCTTTGTAGTTGAAGAATTCCGGTGGGACTGGAAGGCTCATCGGACTCATGTCAACAGGAGAGCCGGCTGCACGATCTTCACCAACTTGGAGTCCTTCATAAGTAACAGCACGACAATCACAGGCTGTAAGATAATTGCATTGCACATTGCAATTATGCTTGTGTGTGAAGCCTGGGAACGTCGTGCACTTCTTTCCTCGCGCTCACGATGGAGAAGTTCGTGTCAAGTCACATATATACCCCGGCTCACAAATCCAGGTCGAAGGCCCGATGCATCCACAGCAGCCCGTACTCCTCGGGTAAGTGCTCAGGTCTCGTTCTCTTCTCTTTTTCTTGATGGCAGCAAGTCGGTTGTCTACTCCTCTGGCTCTCGCAGAACTCCCTACGGTCCGCGCGCTAGTCCGTGACACTGAAAGCGGTCTTCATGGGACAACGCTCGTCGCGGCCTCTGTCATGATACGATATCTTGCCTTCATGTTCAAGAAATGACCCGCCTTGGCTTCTCACACATGCGCAAGAAGGTTCACTGATAAAGGCTGGGCCGATTAAACTCGGGTGCGACAAGCGACAACCTCTCTTTTAGAAGTTGACATTCAGCTGGAATAGACCATGGCTCCTCCAGATTCCGTTGTGAGCTCATTGATTTGTTCATGCTATCGGCGCTGGTAGGCCTAGGCGATCAACCGCGCTATAGCGCTAGTACAGTACTAGTAGACTAATCTTTGATACGCCCATCGACATACTCAAACTCCCGCTCGGAGGACCTTAAGCTTATCACACCGCTGTCAAGATACCGCGATCGACCGCCCTCCCTTTACGAACGGTCAATTTCGTGACGTTCACGGGCGGCTGTCGAACGTTACCCTACGCTGCGTCGGGGCCGGCGGGCGTGAGACACGGCCTGTACTCGGACCGACTCAGATTTCCACAAAACAGCACGTCAGTCCCCGAAATGAAACTTACTGGAACGATTCACGCTATGATTCCCATATGTGACGCCGACGCAACCTTATGCCGCCATCCGCGTCCGAACCTCGGTCCGGAAGTCGCGGACGCGGCGTCGGACCTTGTCTTTGATCGAAGCGGAGTCGAGCACACGACAGTGTTTGCAATGAAACGACCGACACAAACGGTATATAAACAGCAGCGATGGCTGTCTTGAGAAAGGTGTAAGAACAGACGGTGACAATACCAAGCCTCCAAGAACCATACCAAGCCTTGGCATATAACATGACCACACCAAACATCTACACCGCAGTTATGCATACCGAACATACAAAAGCAACTGGAATGAACCCACTCCATCTTCCAATTGGGCTTTCAGACCGCAAACTCCGCCGCAACAGTTTTACCTCAAGTTACGGCGCCTTTCTCTCCTCGCACGCTCACGTAATCAGCGACAAAATCTCTGGTGTAGCTGCGGATGTCATCCTGCATTTGTACAATGACCACAAGGAGAAGAAGGAGCGACATCATGAGAGGAGAAGCTCAAGCTCAAGTGCGTCTTCTGGATCCAGTCTGAGCGTGAGGTCGAGTTCCGAGTTATCTTCGAGGTCGAGAGGGACGTCGCCATTGAGAGGCTGATGATGAACCCGAGGAGAGCATCAAGCATGCTACAGTCGACGTCAGCAGTCCCTTTGCACAGTCGCAAAACATCCGGGTCCCACGACGTACTCAGAAGAGCAGAACGACGTACTCAGAAGAGCAGAACGCCGTTTACTCAGGAACCTCGAGGAGGCCTGCGTCAGAAAACATGGTGCACGCACAGCACCCTCGGCCTCAATAACAGGACAAGAAGGAGGCGAGTGACGGAAAAGGAAGACCAAGAGTAGATACACGAGAAGGGCCTAGGCTTGAAGTGCGAATGCGCTTCGCAAGAACGTATTAGAGAAATATCAAAACTTTAGCAACCTGTCCATACGCCCCAATGTCCGAAAATGTCCAAATGATGTCCGTGTACACCTCACCCAACCAGAAATACGTAACCCATCGCTATGAGACGCCCTACATAACCAACGCACCTGCCGCAACCGCGAACGCAATGCCACCGATACCGGCACCAAGCATACCTGCACCAGAGTTCTGAGTAGCGGAAGCAGTCCCAGATGCCGCGGCAGCAGCAGAAGAAGTACCACTCGTTCTCGCCCTACCACTCGAGACGGCAGATCCCGACGTCGCACTCGCCACGGCACTCACAACAACACTGGAAGCACTCGGCGCCGCGGTCGCCACAACTGTCGCACTCGACACCGCTCCCGTACTCGAACTTCCGTCAACAGGCAACACAACATTGTCTGTATTGTCGTACTTGTTGTAATCAGGACAAGCCATGAAACAGTTGTATGTGGCATTCGTCGCCTCATTCCCATAATACGACGTATCATTCGCATTTCCCGGAAAATACTCATCCGCACATTTCCTCACACAGTCGATCGCCTCACATGGGAAATCCCCTGATCCCAAACTCATCCCATCCAACTCGTACTGAGAAAAGTTACCAGTCATGTCATGGAATGTGATTTCGAGGGCGGAGTATTCGAAGCCGCCGAGGGATTCACCGTTTTGCCATGCGTTCCAGGAGATGGCGTAATAGGGTCCATCGGGACCGGCAGCAGCTGGTACGGTTATTTCGGTGGTGTTTTGGGTGATTGGGATATCGCCCAACACGCATACGGGACCAGTACCCCAGCCCGGGGGAGTTAGGGCGAGGTAGACGCGGATGGAGTCGAAGCCCTCGGACATGTAGGAGGACGTGGAGGAGGTGGGGATGGTGACGTTGAAGGGGACGTCGCCGCTCGGTTCGTAAACGGAGAGGAACGCATCGGCGGATCCGGCGTAGGAAGCGGAGCCTGGGGCGAAGATTGCGGTTGCGGGGGAGGTGAGGAGGGTTAAGGAGGCGATGAATGCTGTTGTAAGGAACATGTTCAGAGAGTGTATGCTGTCGATTATGCTTGGATTAGGGAATGAATGCTGGACTGAAAACACCTTCAGAGGAGGAGAACAGGAGAAAGGGGGGTGTTCTGGTTAAATATGTTGGTGTTTTGGCTGAAGGTAGACTCGGGGCGGGAGATGCCGAAGCCATCGCATCTGGGGCGCACAGACCAAGTGAACCCTGCACCATGCCGGGGCCTGACGCGGAAGTGAGGCGAAGGAGGTCATCTTGGAGTCATTCAAGGGGTTCATCGATGAGGAGGATTTGTAGATGCGTATTAAATGCTAAGAATTGCTTTTTCCTCGGCTGTTCTCAGTGAAGCTTCTAAAGTTGACTGAAGCCTTCCGCTGCCCTCTTCGAACTTGCGCGCGGTCCAGAACCGACCGGCAGCACTTTTTGCAGCCTCTAGCTGCTCGTCCGGAATGTGAGAATGGCCCAATTGTGGGATTAACCGATCCAGTTGTGGGCATATCAAATTCCGGGGGACAGCTGTCCATCGAGGTCAACGACATCCATGGTCATTAGAGAGAGGAAAGGACAAATGATGTGAACCACTCTTATTTATTAAGAAGAAATTATCGAATCTTTGAACCCCGTGACCCTTATCCCAATTTGTAGACGTTAACCGTATAAAGAACCCAACACCCATAAACAACAATAAAAAGGTAAGAAAAAGTGCATGCAAACCCATCGTGCTCCGTTTTGTTTGTTTCAACAATTTACATAACCTCGCACTTGAGTCCACAAACACCGCCCTTCTTCTCCTGTTCCTGAGTAGGTGCAGTATCCCTCATGGTAGTCTTCATCTGTCCGGTGGATTCGGCACGAGGGCGGGTCTCGGTCTGGACTGGCGCAGGCGCGGGAGCAGCAGCGGGGACGACAGCTGGAACAGCAGCAACGGGCTCAGGCGCCTTAGCGACGACAGGCTCGACAACATACGGCTCAGCAACAGTCTCCACAGCGACAGGCTCACTCCTCAACGCAGCACCCTCACTCGAAACAAGAACCGGCTCACCCAAGTTCAAATCATCCAACTTCTTCGTAACAACCTCCTCCTTCTTCTCCGCAACTACGGTTTCAGCGCCGTTCGCTTGGATTCGGGGGCCCGAGCGTAGTTAAGCGAAGAAACGCTGAGCGTACTGGGCGAAGGACTCACCCTGGATACCAGCGACCTCGAGCTCGAGAGCGGAAGGCATGCGGGAACCGTCACCACCGGCGAAGGTACCGGCACCCCAGGCGGAGCCACCGTGGACCTCCTCGAGGTTGGTGAGCTGAGCGAAGGTACGGGAGTATCCGAGGGGAACGTAGATCATTCCGTGGTGAGCGAAGGTAGACATGGCGTTCATGACAGTAGACTCCTGACCACCTCCGGGGGAAGCAGTAGAGACGAAGACACCGGCGAGCTTACCGGCGAGGGCACCAGTAGCCCAGAGACCACCGGTCTGGTCAAAGAAAGCCTTGAACTGGGCGGGGAAGTTACCAAAACGGGTGGGGATACCGAAGATGAAGGCGGAGTGAGACTCGAGGGTCTCGATGGAGGCGAGGGGGTAGTCGCGCTTGCCGGGAGCGTGCATCTTGGTCAAAACATCCTGGGGGAGAGTCTCGGGGACCTGGTAGATCACGGCCTCGGAACCGGCCTTCTCGATACCGGCCTTGACAGCCTCGGCCATGGTGGCGATGTGGCCGTACATGGAGTAGATGACGATGGCGATGGACTTGTTGGCAGGAGTAGACATTTCTGATGGATGTATGTGGTCTGGAGGGGAGATGGGAGTGGTCGAGGACGTGGGATCGACTGGCTTTATACGCGCGCGCTTTGGTAACGCTGAGTAAGTGAGGTAATCTCAGCACAACACCAACTCCGCATTAGGTAACGCTTGATAAGCCGAGTGTAAACAGTTTGCCCTTCCATGAACATTCCAGTATTGTCGACTGCCTGAGTCTGTCTGTGGCCATGTCAGGGTTACGGAACGGAGATTTCTTCTAGTAACAGCGCCCATGACCAAGTCGATCAACCTAACCGTAGCTACCCAGTGTCCATCTTTTGGTTGAGCTGGGACTTCTTTGCGGCCGATCTTGACTGGACACGTGAACCTATTCGAACGACGGGACCGTTGATCGACCCGCGAGGAGGTTGACAGGCGCGCGTGTTCAGGGGGTGAAGGCCCTGTCTGTCCGTGTGCATTCTATTAATATTGCAAAGATGCTCGAGATACTGGTGTAAACTGAGTAAAATGGCTATGGAAAGTCCATCTCTGCTCTTCCTACAAAGTGGTCCTTCTCCCGAGTTCGATATCTTTGACATTTTTGTCGCGCAAAGCAGGCCTAGGTGCGGTTTCTGAGCGCTGCACGTGGACACGTCCTCAACGAAGGGGACGGCTGTCCAAGGGGTGACTGGGCTATGTTTGAGTGATGAGTAGTCCTCCTACCTGCGTGTGAAGCAAAAGCGACCGTTATGTTCATGGAAGCCGCGGCTATGTCTACGATTGCGTGCGTTTCCAGCTCTCGCTGAAGCCTGGGGACGCCTTACTTATGTACACCATGCTGGCCGCGGCTCGGCCTCGGTCTTAGCCTCAAGTCCGTGACAATGAGCAATGAAGTTGGTACTCTACGAAGACATCCTTTGAGGTACGGCATACTTGCAGGTAGGTGATGGACAGGGAAGGAGCCGTGCCCTGTCTCCACCTATGGGAGCAACTCCGAAGTCCGCACATGCCAAGCTTGCAATGCCAGCAAGACGGACAATTGTCGTAGAAGGAGACCTTCCATCTAGTGTAACTTGCTTCTAAATACATGCAAAAACCGTTCATTCTTTTCCCCTTCCCATCGTGTCGAAAGTAATTTACACCTGTGTGGAATTCGACCGTACCCATTCCCTGTGCGTTCAAGCAAGAGAAAGGGTGCTGCGCCGATATCCGTATCCTCCAACACCCAACAACCAATCCCAAAGAACCCTTTCGTGGCCAGCACCCCGGCAATAGCGATAGACGCCGTAGACACGCCAACTTCCACCGCGGTCGTCTACGCGAGAGCTCTACGCTCCTCATCTTCATCCTCCACACGCGCAATTCCTGCCACACCAATCGCAATATCCATCCACGCACAACAGGAGGAGAGAGAGAACACACAAAATGCCCGGCGCAGCGGCGAGCCCAAGCGCTGATTCAGAAACAACATACGGAACCCGTTCGAAGGGCCGAACGAATCGCATTACGTACCACGATTCGTCGGATGAGGAGATGGGTATTACCACGGCGCCACGGACTACGACTACAGGCACCGGTACCAAGAGACGGCAATCGAAGGGTGCGCAGGTGGAAGGGAGTCCAGCGTCAGTAGCGGGGTCCTCGTCGGCCATTGGAACGCCTGCGACTGAGGAGGAGAGGAAAAGGAGTAAGGGCACGCCGAAGGTCGGGAAGGATAAGGACGGGCAGGAGAAGGCCATCCCGAGATTGTCGTTGAAGATTGTTGGTAATGGGTTGAGGCAGAAGAAGGAGACGCCTGGGGCGAAGTACAAACCTGCGCGGTCGGTGGTGTCGAAGGAGGGTGTGGAAAGTTTGACGCTGGAGGATGGAACAGTGTTGTCAGCGAACGGTACGTTGGCGAGTGCGTGTAGAAGGCCAAGCATACTAATTCGCGGCATACAGACTCCATCTACCTTATATCAGAGCCACCGGGAGAACCGTACTATATCGCAAGAATCATGGAGTTCATTCATGAGTCCTCGGCTTCGTTGATGCCTGCACCAGAGACCGACACCCCGAAAACCAAACGCGCAAAGAAAGCCGCAGAGCCGGCAAGCGATGGCTCAACGATCACCTCCGTCCGCGTCAACTGGTTCTACCGACCCAAGGACGTCTTAAGGCAGGTTTCCGACTCGCGTATCCTGTTCGCTACGATGCATTCCGATGTCTGTCCTGTCAACGCCATCCGCGGAAAATGCACCGTCAAACACCGCGCTCACATCGACAACCTCGACGAATACCGCAAAATTCCCGACTCCTTCTGGTACGAAAAACTCTTCGACCGCTACATCCACCGCTACTACGAAGTCGTCCCCACCGAAAAAGTCCTCAACATCCCCGCCAAGGTCAAAGAAGTTCTCCGCAAACAATGGGCATTCGTCGTTGTCGAGGGTGGACGCGGGAAGGAGTTGTGTATGGAGGAGAGAGGGTGTACGAAGTGTTCCGGGTGGTGTGCGAGTTCGGATTCGGTGAGGTGTGCGTTGTGTCATGCAGATTATCATATGGCGTGTGTTTCGCCGCCGTTGACGAGGAAGCCTGGAAGGGGGTTTGGGTGGACTTGTGCGCCGTGTACGAGGGCTGAGGAGAGGAAGATGCAGGAGAATGCGGTGCCGGAGGTGTCGAAGGGTCGCCCGCTACGAGAGGGTGAGGCGGACAAGCTGGAGGCGCAGAAGGCGGCGAGGACGAAGTTCATCATGGAGGACGATCTAATATCGAGACCGACCACGTCTGCGACTACGTCGACCAGTGTTCAAGATGGTGATTCTGGGACGTTGGCACAGGTGGAGGAGATCATGGAGGTCGCGGGTACGAACGTCGGACGATCAAAGGATAAGAAGCACGAAGCAGATTTGTGGCCATATCGATATCTCGGAATCCATTGCAACGTCGAAGATGTACTGGACTACGACGATCGGCTTTATCCGCGCGCTGCGTCCCGTGTCGGAGGTAAACACCAGGCTGTGGTAACGGAGTGGCCAGGACGTCCGTTTGAGCTCATCGACGTCAAGAAGGAGGTTCTCACCAAGAAGCAGAAGCAGGCGGCATATCAGCAGAGAAGGAAGGAGAGGGATGCCGAGCGAGCTGCTGAGCGGAAAAGATTGGCCGAGGCGGAAAAGCTTCGTCTGGTCCCCGCGGAAAGTCGGGAGCAGACCGCGACTGTTGATGGAGGCGATAGCACGCCTGCTGATGAAATTCTTGATCCCATCATGGCCGACTCCTCTGCATCTTCGAAGCTGGATGTCCCTACGCCATGGATTGTTGAGAAGCCTGCTGGATACATCGAGCGTGGTAATGACGAGACCTCGGAGTTGATGTTTGTCAAACCTGCAGAAATGTCTGAGGATGAGCTTGACCGGAAACTGGCAGATCTGATGGAGCGTTTGAAGGGCACGGCGAACCGCCTGAAGTTGTCAGTTAATTCTACCAATCTCATTGACGCCGCGGTCAATGCGCTGTTCAAGCACGACTTTGATCCTACCGAGGCAATCGAATCTCTGGCCAAGATCACCAGGAAGTCGATTGGTGAACCTTCGTTCTCGGTGCAAGAGAAGGAGAACTTCGAGATTGGTGTTAAGAAGTACGGTAGCGAGATGTATTCTGTCTCAAAGGTGGTGGGTACGAAGACTACGGAGCAGTGTGTACGATATTGGTATATGTGGAAAAAGACACCTGCCGGTCAAAAGATCTGGAGCAACTACCACGGGCGACGATCAAAGGCTGAGAAAGCTGAGGCATCCTCTGATCGAAACCAGGCCGTTAAGGCTGGTGGACCGGTGGTACGTATTGACGACATTGGTGATTCTTCGGATGATTCCTCGTACGATAATGGAAAAGCGGTGCAGAAGAAGAAGACATTCCAGTGTAAGTTCTGTAATGTTGCAAAGAGCCGGATTTGGAGGAGAGCGCCGGGGTACTCCGTCGGTCCTCAGGGTGCGAACGTCATTGCCTTATGTCAGCGGTGTGCGGAGCTTTGGAGAAGATATGGTGTCCAATGGGAAGATCCTGAGGAGACAGCGAAGAAGCTTGTGGATGCCGGTGGTCGTTCGCGCAAAAGGAAGTTCGAGGAGGAGCTATTGCGTGAGCAGGCCGTGCATATGGAGGCTTTGGAGGCAGAAAAGGCCGAAAGGGCAAAGAAGAAGACTAAGGTTGCGAAGGCGGAGGAAGTTGCTACTGCGTCTGGCGACAAGGAGACCCCCGCCAAAGCCAAGCCTGGACTGAAACTGAAGCTTGAAAAGGTGGAAGAAAAGCATCATTGTGATGTCTGCAGAGTGCCTGAGCAGCTTAAGGATCTGTATGTTTGTGCACGATGCAAACTGTCCGTTCACAAGCAGTGCTACGGTGTTGAGGCTGAAATGGAGGCAAAGAATTGGCTATGTGACTGCTGTTTGAACGAACGTTCACCAGAAGCTCTTACGACCTACGAATGTGTCCTCTGTCCCATTCGTGATCAAGAGCTCGAGGGTACGAGACGGAAGCACTCTTACGGTCCTCTTAAGCGGACCGCTGGTAGCAATTGGGCTCACGTGTTGTGCGCTGCCTTTTTGCCCGAGCTGAAGTTTGCTAATCCTGTGACTTATCAGCCAGTGGAAGGTATCGGATCTTTGCCATCTACCAGGTGGACTGCTGAATGTACCGTCTGCAAGACTACCTCCGGTGCCTGTTCAGAGTGTCACGCATGCAAGGCTGCGGTGCACGTTGGTTGTGCTGTCCGACAAGGATGGGCTTTCGGGTTCAACATTTCGATGGTCAAGGGTGCTGGAAGGCATACCGCGACTACTGTGCGTTTTGCTGGCGATTCCGGTGTGATGACTGCCGCTTTGTACTGTCCTCAGCACGATACCAAGAAGATTTCGCTGCATCCCATGAACGAGACCGCACGCGAACAACCAGACACTGCTCTCCAGACGTTCAGCAAGCTATACAAGGAAGCTGACTTGACTTTGACTGGTTGTATGCGTAAAGCACAGTTGACGAGCGCCGCGACACAGACTACTCGAAAGAAGGTCAAGGCTAAGCCGGTTGCTCTTGCTGCTGTTTCACCGGCAGCCAAGCCCTCTATCAAACGATGCAAGAAGTGCCGCGTGGATGTCAGTCCAATGTGGTGGGTTGAGGAAGAAGGTGATACCAAGGTGGTCTGTCATCGCTGCCATTGGGCCATTACCCACGCGCCTCCGCAATCAGAGGATGATGACATGGACGTGCAGCCTGCTCCGGTCGTCGAGGAGGATCCTGAGAAGGCTGAGATGGAACGTTTGCTGTCAGAGCCTTTGCCCTTGACGCCATTCCAGCTTCAGGCCAAGCAGTATGCTGAGCAGAGGGCGCAAGCACAAGCCCAAGCTGAAGCTCAGGCCAAGCTGTTAACTCAGATGGCACCTCAAGCTCAACCCGCAAGTCATACGGGCGTTCCTGTCCCTCAACACTATGCAGCTCCTCAATATGTGCACATGCCGCCGTCCACGCCTGCATCGCATGCAACGCACAACGGCTTGTCTGTTCCCGTTCGCTCAGTTGCTCCTGAGCAGCAACAGCATGCGCAGCCTGCGGTCAATGGGTATCACGCGGCGCAACCTGGTCTGTATCAATTCCCTGTTCACCACGTGCAGTACTCGGCATACTCTCCTCACCAGCAATATGAGGTTCACACGATTCACGATATCCAGAGAGCACAGGCTGCTCAGGGATTGGCTGCGTTGACTTCTACGGCTGCTGAGGCGCAGCCTTTACCGGTGCCTCAGCATTATTCGCATCCAAGTCCGATGCCTCCGCCCAACGGGACACCGAACCGGCATTGAGATGATATGACGTGTGACTAGTTATTTTACTTTTTTGGCGTTTTGGACTTCGGGTCATAGTATGATAGCTTTAATCTTCAGTATAGGAGCCGTATGATAGCCAAAATGCCTCGGTCATGGCTGTGGATTGTCGATGATATGCTACGAAATAATTAGGAGAATTCTATCCTCATTTCCGTTCATCACCAAATGTCGAATGATTAAGGATTCAAGCTGGATCGAAGGTGTTGCGGGGTGTGCGCTCAATCAATCTCTGTAACGCACGGACCTCTCACGCTCACCGCGTGTCACGAAACGTCCAATTTACAAAGGTTGGTGAATCAGGCATGTGCTGCCAGGGCACGGGTTATATCTTCCTCATTTCTCACTCCCTGAACCATTGCCCTTCAATTCTCCGGACATTTGGTCGCTCTCTGCTCAGGTAATCCCACGTTCTCTACATCGACAGAGACCCCTCGAGGTCCTTATCCAACACAGCATGCCAGCGAAGAGCAACAATCCAGTCCGTCACACCATCGGTGCTTCTCCGCCTCCTGTTGTGGTCATCAACGAACCAGTCCCTCGTTTCTCCTTTCAGTTCAAGCGGTTCTCGCACACAAACCTTCAACTCAAGATACCTTCCGCTGCCACGTTCAGCACCCTCCCAACCACACAGGTCACTGGCGCTACTGCTCAAGTTACACCGGTCAGCGTCGCAGCTGCTTCCCAGCACAAACACCTCGACCGGAAACTCTCCAAGAAAGACCGCAAAGCGGCCGCCAAGAATTATGAGCTTGCTAATCTCGTCTCCGCGTTCATCGCCAAGCCAACTTCAGCACAGAAGGTGACTACGGCTCAATACAAGGAACGCAAGAAAGCTCTGAAGGGTTTACAGAGCCCTGATGATGCAGCGGGCATCATCAGATTGTTGGCGGGGATGCCGGAGCCGGCGGGGAGTGTGGAGGAGCAGCAATTGAAAGAGATGGGATGTGCGATTGGGAGGCCCCTGAAAGTCGATACGGAGCGTATCAGTGCTTTTGTCTGTGAGATAGCTCGCAACTGCATGTATGTGGGGAGTTACTGACAGTGTGATAGACTGGTGGGGTTTCGAGATCGCCGTACCCAGATCGCAGATGCCGCGACTTGCCCAGGCTAAGAACTCTACCGAAGCTATGTGAGTAATCATTTCTATTTGCATCATTGAAGGTTGTGCTAACGGATGATAGTCTCAACCTCCTCTCCGCTATGGCTCCCATGGAGTTCTCAGCTATCCGTCCGATGTCTAGGATCATCGTGGCGTACATCAACTCAGAGTATGCGACTGCAGCCAACCAAGACAGAGGGCAAGGAATTGTCTTGGCTGCTACGTGGTTGCTTCCCTTGGTTGTAGTTCCTAGGCCATGGGATCTGTGAGGTGCCTGTAAGGACTGGTTTTGTTGGGACAGGTCGTGGGAATGTTTGGGTCATATTTGAATTAGGTATTATTTTGATCTAAGTTAAGATCGAGGCAGTACTAGCTTTAGAAATGCTGGATATTTGCTCATTTGTATTGATGCTGGTGGCTGTGTCTTATAGGTAATATATTAAGTCGACGTCGTCCGTACCCAGACCAGGAACGGAGGTCTCTTCTACTGGCTCCTCTTTTGCTGTATAAAGTCAGTATAGTCGCACGGTGTAAGGGAGTCCAGAAGAGCTTACCCGCAATATACCAGGCATGGCGTTTGTTCTTCTCGACCACCTCCACTTCCTTTCTTGCCACCTCATATACGATAGGTTCGCCCTCACCATAAACATTCTCCCACAATTGTGAACTCCTCAGTTGTTCCCGTGACGGCGATCGACGGAAGTTCATGAGCACTGCCATCTTCACGCTCGACATCGGTCCCGTCAAATACGCCTGATGGTGCTTAATTCTGTTCGCGACATCCCACGCCCTTGCGTGCAACTGATTGCAGTCAGTGAAGATAAGCTGTCCCCTCTGGTCCTTCGTCAGGTGTACCTCAATGCCGACATGACTCTTGTAACCCAGCCAGCGGGGAGGAAGGGATACCAGAAGATCTGTGCCGAAGGTGTAGCGGACTGTGGGGATGGAGAGGGCGGTGTACCATGCCGTGAAGGCATCGTCACCGACGCGTGGTGTGCCACACGTGTACACGCGAATCGGATGCGGTGTAGATGACGAACGATACCAACTGACCTGTGCCACCTGATCTTCAGGAAATGGTATCAACTTCGCTGACTGCTTCGCAGCATGAACGAGTTTGAGGACATACGGCGCTGCCAGGACGGCAATGGCTCCGCCAAGACTGTGACCATGAACGATCACTTTGGGTTGACGGTTCGTATATCTTCTGCAGTTCTCCAAGAAGTCCTTTACTGATGAGGTCAAGCCTTGAGGACCAGTTTCGTTCATCAAATCCTCCACAATCGCATTGAAGCCAGCATGAACCTTCACATGGCTGTTGAGAACGTACGGTGTAAGAGGCACTTTCGAATTTGTCAACCATGCTCTCGCCGACACTGAGCCACGGAAAACGATGTGCATGGTATCGCCGTATACATGGTATTCCCCGTACGTCTTTGTCTTTCTCGAGCGAAACATGACTCGAGGCTGGAGTTCGCGGAGCGGGCAGCGCGGAGGAAGGTAAACTTCTGAGCAGAGCTTCGCATGATCAGCGAATGCTTGCTGAATGTCTTTAGAGTAGTCCTCGTCGATATCATCGAGTCCGACAAAGGTAGAGAGAGTCGTTGCAGACCAAGCTGATTTCATGTTGACTTGAGCGGGAATGTTGCATCCGTCCAGCATCATCACAGCCTGTCAATGAGAGCTGGTTTCATGGTTCCCAGCTACGGGGAGCAGGACATTTTAAGTCTCCACACAGCTCAACATGGACCTCGGTACATACGGCTCAGCGTCCATGTGTACACTTCCTCGACCTCGGATCAACCTCATTGCCAACGGCTTCATGGAGACTGACCACATGGAAGCGGAACATGCGTCTTCAGACAAGTCTAAGCACGGCCAAATCTTCCGCCGGGGATTTAATGGTACCGGTCCGAGTCCATAGGGTTGCAGCCACCGCAAGATAAGGCCTGTGAGCCGTGGAAAAAGATGCGGCAGCTCTGAAAAACCAGACCCATTCCACGAGGAGGGTTAAGCACCCATACTTTCAAAAGAATACCTAGATATCCAGGTTCTCTACTTTGACATAGCTTCCAGGTATACATCAAAACCGCATGCTAGACATCGCTTTCTGCGGTCTACAGTACAGCGTTGTGCAAACATGGGCTTCAGACACCCGTGTTCATTTGCGCGACGTCGGCCGTCCGTCAGCCGTGCGAATGTGACATGTCTAAAGAACGGCATAGGGCAGTTGCGAATCGGTATTTGCAGAATGCTAGCATAATTTCTTACTCCTTCGTATAATAGAGACAACTGTGCGCCTGCCCTTTTAGGCTTTGGCAATTGCGACCCGTCGACGTCAATTATTAGGCTCGCTTAGCATGCCAGCAAGCCCCACCAGAAAAGGGACCGAGGTTTCTGTCAGAGTACCACTGATATCAGGGTGTAGGCCGGGTGCATCTGCCGGGGTTTGATCCCCCAAACAGTCATATATCCGTTTTTGCCTCGGCTCTCAGCCGCAGTCAGGTACTCCCTCTTCGCCGTGACCGTAACCCAATCTGTAAGCACTTTCCCGTAATACCTCCCATCTATATCTCACATTTCACCAATCTTCTTCGGCAAAACCAATGCCCCCCTATCATTCCTCCTCCAAAACTCCACAAGCACTTCCGCCGTCCTCTCCGGACAATCCTCATGCAAGAAATGCCCGGCCTCCGGAAAGACGTTCAACTGATACTTTCCCTGCATTTGGCCGATCATGAGAGGTTTATCCAGTCTGTCCGTGCCGGCGAGGATGAGGAGTTTAGAGGCGGGGATGGAGAGGAATTTTGAGGAGAGGTTGAGGAACCAGTGGGACCAGGAGGGTGAGGTTGATACGAGATCGGTTCGCCAGCGGAAGGGTTTGGGGCCGCCAGAGGTCTCTTCGAGGAGGAGTGGGGGAACGGAAAGGCGGGCTGATCTCTTATTTCGGAGGACGCGTGTTCGGAGACTGTAAGTGGTTATCAGGACGACTTCACACATCTATGGCAAACCACTTACTGCCACTCAGTAGCTTGGGCTATCGATGCAAACCCAGCCGGCCGCGCTTCCAGTATTCTGTGCATATGTTTTAGGGCCTCAATCGCTGAACCTGTTCCATCTTCGTAAGCATGCGCTCAGTGAAGTTGATGACGATATGGAACCTTCTACTACATCAAACACAGCAACTCCCATGACGGCCGGGCCAAGCAACCGTCGGTTAGCGAGATCCGTCACGACCGCTCCACCGAGACTATGGCCGACAAGGACGATGTCCGGTAATTTCTCCCAGCCGAATTTCGTTTGTACTGCGCCCACGACGGCAGCCATGTCGTCTCCTAGAGTCAATAGACTTAGATCGTGCTCGTTTTCGACCTGTGTACTACCATGCCCCCGAGCATCGAAGCAGAGGAACCCGGCTTTACCAGCCATCAAGCGCTGGATCTCGGATGCGAGTAGTCCGAAGGAGAGAGCGGAGGAACCGGCGCCGTGGTGCGCGACAAATAGTGGGCCTGTGATCGAGTTTGGAGGATTGTAATACATGCGAAAGGTAGATGGGGAGGATGGGTCGGGATGGAGGTCAAGTTCGTGTGCGAAAAAGTCCGACCATGGCAGTGGTTCGGTGTCAGACGTGGGAATCCTGATCTCGCGCGTCAAGACACATGAGTCACTATGAAAGAGAATGTAAGTACCTTTGTGGACGTCTAAAGTTGAAGTCTGCCGGGGTAATCGTCGAAGCCGAGGACGCGGACACGCCGCTGCTATCGCTCGACGCGCTGGAGTAATCATGCTGCTCGGTTGCTACGCCGTCCTCAGGTAAGGCCGAGAGTGGAGTTGGCTTCATTTTTGCTTTCAGCAGATCTCTTGGTTGCAATGGCATGGGATCGCTATTCGTCTGGGAAGTTGAACTTCAAGGGTCCTCGACCTACGTCAGCGCACGTGCATGCAGGCAGACATATCGATAAGACAGAACCGCAACAGCACGACATCGAGAATTTCGGGATTTCAAATGTCTTTTTATTCTGTTTTAGGTCTTGACGACTGCTGATCTTCTCGAAACGCCTCGAACACGTAAGCAAACAACACCACATTCGCGACCAACGCAGCTGTTCCTCCGGCATATGTTGGGTTGTAACCTGTCATCACCCAGTTAGCCCAAGTTTTCCAAGGATTGACTGAGTTACTGACCTGGGAAAACGTAGTGTAGGGAGACGTAGTATGATAGCAGTGGCAGGGTGATCATGGCCAAGGTAAAGAGGAAGAGCTTCAGGAAGACATTTGGTACACTGTCATAATCTTAGCATGCACTCCAGCTTCACGGTAATTCAATCATACAACTGCTGTTGAGCGAAAACCTCCTTCTCAACGACGGTTTCCTTTTCAGATTTTGAGGCCATCGGTGGGTTTGTTGCAGATGACGAACTTGGGGGTGTAATGTAGACACGCCAATCAATGCAAGGCCAGGAAGACCCTGGGAAACTTCACCTACCAGCTATGCCGCATTGTTGGGAATAAATGGTTCTACTCTAGAAGTAATGCTATTACAAAATATAACAACAAATCATGCGAAAAAGCTAGCACCCGCGGTTCCCGACCTCCTTTCCATCTCACGGGCCCACAGATGACGCCTTCGAAGCCGCCGCAGACGCCGTTACAGACGCAGTCACGGATGCAGTCACAGCGGAATCGGGCGTCGCCTCCTTCAGCCCATAATCCTCCATCATCATCTTCGCAACCAAGCTCGCTCCCGCCTCCTCAGCCGCCGCGTCGTCCTCTCCACCCGCACCCGCACTTACGCTCTCATCCAACGCCAACTTGGTATTCGCAAGTGCATGAATCTTCTCCTCGATCGTGCCCTTGGTGATGAGTCGAACAACCCGGACGTCCCGCTTCTGACCGAAGCGGTGAGCGCGGTCTTCGGCTTGTTTGTCGTTGTGGGGGTTGTAGGAGCAGTCGTAGAGGATGACGACGTTTGCGCAGGCGAGATTAATACCGAAACCTCCGGCTTGGGTGGAGAGGAGGAAGACTGTTACGTCTTCGTCCTCATGGAACTCGTCGATCATGGGTTGGCGTTCTTCGACCTTGGTCTGACCGTCCAATCTCATGAAGGTGATGTTCAGCGTCGTCAGGATCTTCTCCAGGATATCCAACATGGACGTGAACTGCGAGAAGAGCAAGATACGATCACCGGTCTCCTTCATCGTTGGTAACATGTTCTTCAACTTCTCGACCTTACCAGCCTCCATCCAAGTCTGCTCATCTAACTGGAACTTGCGAATCGTAGGGAACTTCCTACAGAGATTGTGTAGCTCGAAATCAGACATGTACGTCATGTCTTCATAGATATATTCCTCGTTGTTGTCCTTGTAGACATCCTCATTCATGATCTGATTCGCCATCTTCCGCAAAGTCTTGTCATCGTATCTACGACGGAAAAGCATAGGATGATTCGCCGCTTTACGGAGGTTCATAAAGTGATTCGTCACATCACCAGCCTTCTTCTGTGCCCTAGGCAACTTTGCGTTCGTCGCCTTTGCCAAAGCAGCTGCCTTCGAAGCGGCGTCAAGCTCAGCATAAATCTCTTTCTGGACACCGTCCGCGAGCTCACAGTACTCCACCTTGTGGAACTTATCAGGCATGTCCAAAACTTGCTGCTTCTTTCTTCGCAAAATGAAAGGCGTCATCATTGTTCTCGCACGAGTGATCCTCTCCTTCGACAATAGATTCGCAGCTGCATCATCTCCACCAGCAGCCGGCTTAATCTTGAACACACTCTGCAATGCCTCCTTATTCTCCTCGAACAGTGACGGTAACATGAACGACAACAAAGAGATCAACTCCTGGAGGTTATTTTGCAAAGGCGTACCAGTAAGCAACAACCTGAACTTCGCCTTCAATGCCATGAGGTGGGTGTACCTATTTGACATACTGTTCTTCAACATATGTCCCTCGTCATAGACACATACATCGAACTTGAATTGCCTCAAGAAACTCCGGTCAGGCTTCGCTCCAGTGGCGATGTTGTACGTCGTCACGAGGACATGCCAATCATCACGACCTTCGAGACCAACACGCATTTCCTCACGTTCCTTTTGCGTACCGTAGTACGGCTCAACGACCATTTCAGGCGAGAACCGCTGGAACTCGCGAAGCCAGTTCTCGAGGGTGGAGCCAGGGACAACAATAAGATGCTTTCCGCGCTTGCCCGAGTCAAAGAGATGCGTCAAGAAAGAGATAACCTGACACGTCTTTCCAAGACCCATCTCGTCCGCGAGAATGCCAGACAATTTTTTCTCATACAGAAGCGTGAGCCAATTAAGCCCAGTCAACTGGTAATCCTTCAGCTTGACATCCTCTGCCATAGACCGAGGCTGCTCGAGCATATACCCAGTCTTCGTCCTCTTAACAGGCTGCAACGTGACTTCCTCCCCATCAACCTCCACAACTTGCGGTTTATCCTCACTAACCTCAGCCTCATCAGTCTCGATCGCCATCACCTCCAACTCACCACCTTCCTTCTTGACTTCGATACCCCAGCCTTTGATTGCATCAGAGACTTGATCGCCGAGAACGTCGCAGCGCTTGATGAGCGCGTCGACGGCTTCGTATCCCTGCATGACTTCCAGACACGTATCAACGATCTTGTCACCGACGGGTCTTGGGCCTCTGCCCCTACTCTTCGGAGCAGCAGGTGGAGCAGCGATCTTCACGTCTCGCACAGCACCCAAACTCTTGTGCGGTCTCTGGTCAATAATGGCTTGTGCCGCTTCGTCATTGCATGAAGCAACGTCCTTCAGTTGCGCAATTGTGCAGGTATTCAAGAAGTCCAAGACGCGTCTCGCGAATGCACTGTCAATATCGTCACCGCTATCACTCGCCTCCGAATCACCAGAAGAAGCAGGAGCCTCGTCATCACTATCCGCACGAATGACCGCTGCCGGCCTCTGCACCAACTTCTTCCTCGGCTTTGGTGGCTCATACGCCGTACGTCCGAGCGTAGCCAACGGCGAGCTCATGTTGATACTCACCGAAGGACGGACGTGACCGGGACTTACAGTCGCAGGAGGTTTGATAGTGTGACCCCATCTTTGCGCAATCGAAATCGATGGTTTCTTGATTTCCCTCTTTGCGCTGGAAGCAGGTAAGGGTTTCTGCATCATTGTCGGTCGTGGTGCGGGGGAGTCGCTGACCACGACGGGTTTGTCGTAGGTTCCCTCGCCCAATTTCAATGCCGCATCATCCTTATTACCTCTAGCAACGATCAAAGCTTGCCTAACAAGATCCAACTTGATATCGGGGTAAATGGCCTGCAAATCGAGCAAATTCGTCTGGTAATTCAAGTCCATGATATTCGGTTGCCATGGCGCCTGCTTCGGTGGTTCCGGCTTCTTCTGCGTCAATCGTCTCGGCTTCGAGGACATGTATGCATCTTCCATCGCGCTGCTGGGTCTGGCCGACGAATTGGACGTAAGAGAATCCAACCTCTCGACCTTCTTATTCGTATCATGCCTAAACTGCTGCAAACTGGCGCTGAACTTTGACGTGTCCGGCGAAGGCGCGGAGGTCGCGGGTGGATTAGATCCCGTCGCACGCTTGAAAGTCGGCTGTCCAATGACCGTGCTAGGAAACACAATGTTCCGCCTAACACTTCCACTCGCAGGCTTGAGCACAGACTTCTTGATCAAGTCAACCGGCTCATCGTCACTCTCAATGACCATCGTATCATCCCCATCCTTCTCGCCATTCGCCGCACGTCGTTTGGCCGCGGCATAACCAGGATTGATGGGCGAGGACTCGATAATCTGAATACTCGAATTATGCGAACGATTGGGTGGTTTGTGTGCGCGTTCGGGAGACTCGACCTCCGGCGAATCGGGCACGACGTGAGCTGCCTTTGCGCGATTGCCCCGAGGGACTTCTGGGCTGGAATTGGGTTCCGTCAATGAATCGTAGTCATCCTGGATTCTTCGTCGTTTAGCAGCTTGTTCCTCGGTCGACATAGCGATTGATGACGAACTGAGCTCTCTGGTCGGAGGAGTGGGTGTATGCGTGTAGGCCTCCCTCTCGTACACCTTTTGAACTCTCGTGCTTTGGGCTTCGGTTGATCAACGCGCAGCCGCAGCTGCGAGCAAATGCAACGCTAAATCGCCTTTGACCAGCGGCACTGTGGGAAAATTGAAATACGCGTATGATTTTACATGGTGAACGATATTTTCGCAAAGAAGTTTGTTTTCTAAAAGCCGATGCACTTGAAGCAAAACGCCTTATCGCATTTGTATCCCACCTCTCCACACACGGCTGTCCCTTCCGGCTCTCCAGCCTTTGCTTCCGTCACGCACTCTGATGTGGGTACTGACACCGTCTTGTCTTCCGCGTCAGACTTCTTCCCCTTTCTGACCTCGCTAGCCACGACCTCCAACAAACTTGCCGTCTTCCCGTCTACATCCACGGCAGAAGCGACTGACGCGAAGCTATCTTCGGCGCGTAACGCAGGTCTGGCAGCCGACTTTGGCGTCTTCCTCACAGTCTTGATCGGCGTCCACAATCTGCGTTTCGGCTCCTCTGACATCGCTTTCTTCGGTGTAATCTTTGTTGCGGGAGTGACGAGACTCTTCTTCGGCGTCATCCTCGTGGAGGGAGTGACGGTAGTCTTCATGGGACTTGTTATTGCTTTCACCGGTGTTGTTTTCCTTTCTGATGGTGTTACAGGTGCCAGCACCGGCGCTGGCGCTGGTGATATAGTTTTCACCACATCCGTCGGCGTCACACTCCGTTGCTTCCTGTACATGTGCAGCAACAACCCCAAAGGATTGGGACTCGCGTTCTCAAACGCCTTGTGCTCCTTCCACTCATTGCTGCCCTCATCCATAGGCTCCTCTGTATCCACTGGTTTCTTATCATGCTGCCCGTCCTCCCAATATCCCTGATCATAATCCTCAAACAGACCCTCCGCTGTCGGCATCAGGGTAACCTTCTCCCTCTCAAACATCTCCGGCGGCGGACTCCCATCCGGGTGATGATCCCTCCATCTCTTGCCTTTCTCCACAAATGGATCGTTCCGACTCGGTCCCCACAAGTCGTCGCCCATTCCTTCCTCCACGGCCTCTACTTGCGCTGGCGTTAGTACCGCTGCTGCTTCTTGTGTTGGCATAAATATTGACATTGGTAGTGGTGTCGGTATCGCAGAGGGGCGAAACAAGACAGGCGTATTTGCGGCATGCACATTCAACCACTTGCTCGGACTTGCCAAGGTCAATCTCCCCACCGGTCCACCCTCCTCGTCCTCCGCATTAATCCACGCATGTTCGCTCTCATCATCCCGGATCAGTTCATCTTCGCCTGCTCCTTTGACCGTTCGAGCACCAGCGTTCAACCAGTCATGCGCGCTCTCTTGAGATAGTTCAGACTCCGCCCCAGGCGACGAAGCGTGTGTCGAAATAATCGATTCGCCTTTTCCGGAGTCATGGCCTTGTCGTACGAGTCCTGATGGAAACCGCGGTGGTGCGCTGTCTTGTCGGCTACGTGACGGTGTATGCGGCGTCCGATTCCGTCTCGGCGTCAAGCTTCCCGATCTCTGCGTCCGCAACAAATGCATTAACTTCGATCCAGGCGTCCGTCGTCCTGGCGTCAGCAACTCCTCAAACACCTCCTCTTCTTCTTCTCCATGTACCTCCCCTTCACTGAAATCGCTTTCCCTTTCCTCGTCTCCCTCAACATCACCAAACTCCAACCTCTCCATCCCGCGTAGGTGTCCATTATCGACAACGACCTCCCCAGTCTCCAGGTCGATCTCATCAGCAACGATACCCGGACGCGAATACCTCTCAATGATATCCTCCCATGTCGTCCGTAACCGATCCTGAGCCTCGTGTCTCAACAAATCCAACTCATAATCCGTGAGTTCTGGTTTGGGAGCAGGAGGCTGCGCCGGGGGATGTATGCGCAGCTTTTTCAGCGGTCTATCGGAGTCGTCGAAAAACATCTCCGCATACCTCCTCTTCCCTATGCCCCTTGGTGAGACGCGAACGATACGCGATCCATTAAGCGTGGCTGAGGAGCACCGGCACCAGCCACAGGCCTCGTCGTCATTACAGGCACCGTCCAGCTCCTCCAGGTATCCCATCAACCAACCC